CTGGAATTGCTTATTTTTTATATACACTCATGGCTACGCTTGAACGAAATCAGTACCTGAGTACCGACTTTGCACACTCATGGCTTCGCTTAAATGAAATCAGTACCTGAGTTTCGATTTTACATACTCATGGCTACGCTTGTACATTTGACCATGGTGCAGCCACGTGTGTCAGATTTGGTTCAATTAACAATTATACACATTATTCAGACCTTGACAGATAAGTTGTTCTCTCATAGATTGTATCAAACCTAATTTATGGGAATGAATTTACACTGTTTCTTTGTATAGAACATGGATTAGGAATTTACATTCATTGGCAGCTTAAACAATTAAAAAACCTCAAAATCAATAAAAGACAATATCCAAAGATAATCATTATGGGGACAATAACACCCATCTATTTGAACAATATTAAACGCAGGTTTTCTACCTATGATTTATGATCTACTGATAGATGTCTACATTAATCTTGTTAGTACATGTTGTATAAATCAAGCTCGACTAACTCGTAGGGAGGAACATCATATTATTCTATTATACTAAATGTTTATACTGACCCTATTTGCACCTTTGATTGTTTACAAGTGACAAGTAAAAAGAAAAAAATATAAATAATAAACCCATCGACAATGAAAGAAATAAACGTTCATTGTAACAATTTTTTTATGTAGGCATACAAGTTCTTATAAAATCAGATAATATTAATTTACAAAAAATAAAAATAAAAAACTAATTTCGCTATACAATCATTCCCTTTTTTTTTTTTTTACCAATGGCCGTAACAACTCGATCAACTAGCAAGCAAACCAGGGGCAACAGAAAAGCCGCTACTCCTAAACCAACGCCAGTCCCTAAGGCCAAATCTGTTACCAAACCCAAGCCTGCTACCAAAGCAAAGCCTACCCCCAAAGCCAAACCTGCTACCAAGCCTAAGCCTACTACCAAAGCAAAGCCTGCTGCCAATGTTAAGCCTGCTTCCAGCTCCAAGTCTACCATCACCCGCCCTGCTCCTGCAGCCAGATCTCTCCCCGAATCCTCTTCAGCAACTCGTACGTCATTGAGATTAGCTTCCAAGAGAAAGCAAACTGACGAAGAGACCACCCAAAAGCCCACCCAACCTAAAAAGGCAAAGCCCACTCGCCCAACTCAAACGAAAAACCATCCTACTGCTGCTCCTGTTTCTTCCTCAAGAGCCGAGAGAAGTGGTACAAATACTGCTACACAGACTTCACCCCCTGTTGCCACTGTTGTCACTGTAGCTCAAGCTGCAACTCAGGATAGACCCTTCCCTCGTGCTTTAGCTCCTGCCACACCATTCAATCCTATCGTTATGCCCCAAGAACCTGTCGAAGCCAGACTTCCAGATGTACGTGAAGGTGATGTATTTGACCATGTAACCATGAGCATTACAGATAGTCTTACTGCACATGAAAGTGACTTGATTCGTCTTAAAGAAGAACTCCATCTGTCTATTCGTCAATTAGTGGGAAGAGTATCTCCTCAGTCCACCGACGTTATGAAGAGAAATTTGGCGGCTTATTGTCAGGAATTGAGAGAATCTTATGATTATCTTCGAAACCGCGAGAAAGTTCTCTTTAACACTTTAAAGATAGGTTTAGCTACCTATACGCGTCCTCAGGCTGCGGGACAATCCACTCAGGCTCCCGTTCAAGCTCCTATTGCTGAATCCGCTCAAGTACCCGCACAAGCACCTGTTCAAGCACCCATTGAAGTACCCACTCAAACGCCCACTGAAGAACCTGCTAAATCACCTATTGGGGAAAACGATCAAGCTCCTATTTGACGTAACCACTGGAGTTACCGCCCAATTCATAAATGATTAAAGTAATCAATGGATACAATGCTAGCTAGAGTTTTAATTAAAAAGTATTTTGATAGTTAGCTTCTTAAGACATATAAAAAAAAATAAACAATTAGTTTTGTTAAAAAACGTTGTACTTATGTACCACTTATTAAAAACTCATATAAGATTTTGTAAAATATTTGAGGTGCTGTGAAAGTTGTTCATTATTTGTCGATTGACTATATTACAAAGATCATTGGAAGATGGAAACAAACTTTTATTGGTCACAATCAGGGCAATGGGTAGAGTATTTATTAAATGATTTACACAATAAAATAAAATATGTGTTACTGCTATCTACTGAAATCTACAATATCCTATATAAATATTTGGATAGTGTAAATATAGTATAATAACTAGGTGTAAAGAAAATGAGACACATAATAAATGCATCACGAGAATGTTCTCGAGAAGAAGTTAATATAAGTATAACTATTTACACTATTACTTTTTTTTTGGAAAGGTATTAGACGCGAAAAGCAACACTTTAGTAAACTACAGTAATCCTCAGTTTATAACAAATAAAAGACTCGCTCCGTTTTTATAAATACTTTTTAATAAAAGACAGTCGGGGTAAAAGTATAATTATAAGGTTTTAGCAGATAAATATCGATATTGCCATAAAGAAACGTATAAATGTCCTTTTACTACCCACAATTTTCTTTAGACATATCTTAACAGACACTAGGGTGACCAGGCAAAGGAGCACAAGGATGAGTGGTTGCTCTGGCTTCAAGATTGGGAGCAGCAGCACAGTAGACAGTAGCGACGTAAGCTAAGACCAAGATAATAGTTCCCTTAAGCATTTTGATGTGGATTGAAAAGAAGATACATATTATTAAATAAAATTTTATGCCCTTTTTATAAAAAAAAAGGTTTGGTTACAATACGTATCCATTTTAGAGTTTTTTAACATTTTGGATATTTACCGGGTAATTATGCAAAAAAAAAAAAATTGCTATTTACGAAAAACCAGGCCTGTGATCAAGGAGGCAAAAAAAAAAGGAATACAATGATGCTATATTAATTGCTTGTGATCAACCACTTAGCTACATCAAAGAGTCTTTAAGAACATTGTTTACTTTAATGAACAATTCCAATACAACATCTGAAAAGTAATGATTTAAAAGTACAAACGTTACATGTTTGTACTATGTATCAATGTACCTATGATTCAGAAGTTTTTATGTATAGTTCTGACGCTATTAAGAAGACTCTAAAAATAATTACGCTTTTTGGGTGTGTGTGTTCCTTTTATCAGCACAGAATTTCAAAGAATATAACTATATTCTCTTTGATAGCTTTTCTTTCATGAAAAGAATGCATTAAATTACTTCTTGATGTTCACCTTGAAAATGTTTTAAAGCTGATATACAGGCTGAAAAACTACTTTTTAGTGTATACGACTAATGCTCTGAATTAATACAATATATCGAATATAGGCTTGGATAGTCTTTCCGGTCCAAACAAAGTATGTAATACATAACGAAAGGCTTTTAGGACACGAAATGGGCTTCAAGCTCAAATTTATTTATATATATTTTGTGTGATTGTTGATATGATATCTTGTAATTTAGACGCCGAACCTAACTCAAGGATACTTTCCTTCCTCTGTCCAATATTTTCTTAACGCAATTTCATGAGTATCAGCACAAGGGCATAAATAAAGTGTTCGTTCGATGAAGTATACCGAGTGAAATGGAGTCCTTCTTTGTAAAAATGCACACTTTATTTATTCGCGTCTCATCATCCAATGTAAATACTCTCTACCCCTTTGTCATCTATTGTCTTTTTACAAAGGTAAAAATGATGCGTAATATCTAGAAGAAAACTAAGCCAATTCACAGTACAAAAAAGTGTCACCTATCCACATATAGTATAACTCGGGGCCAAAAATGAGCTCAAGATTTTTACTACCTCTTGTTAGCAACCAATTTTAACTCACGAAATCCATAACTAAAATGAGATCATACAGCCAGTAACATAGTTTTCCACATAAGATGCCTTGGTGGCATATGAAATATCCTTATGACTTCTTTTTTGAAGGGGGAAACAAAAACCTACTACTGTTGATTTTGAGCGTCCACTTTTTCTACTTGTAGTCTCAAACAAGTCAAAATACCCCCAATTTATTTTTCTCTCTCTACCAAATTCTTGATAAGCATCTTTGGAAAGAGCAGATACAGTTAATAAATAAAAAAAAAAAGAGAAAGTGTGGTTAGCCAAATTCTATCAAGCAAGAATTATATTTGTTTAAATGAGTTTGGTTTTATCTAGAATGAAGGGATGCTTGGCTATCTCAGAAAATACTTTTGAAAAGTACATTTAATAAGTGCCATTTGCAGAGAAGGCACGATTCAATTCACCGATATGAATTCACGCGTATAAAAAGAAGACACATGACATCTTAATACAAAAAAGACAATGTTACACAAGAGTAATTTCATAATCTTGCTTCAGTTCGTATTTACGGAAATGTCTAGACCTCCGTATTTTTTTCAAACGTATTTTTTTATAATCACGCGATGGTAAACACGTCGATTGACATGCCATATCATCTAAACTTCATGGGATGATCGATTTCTGTTTTTCATAAAATCTGCTTCACTGTCATTACAAGCTGCTACTGGAACGCAGATAGACAATTACCAAGCTCTGACTTGCAAGGGAGGTTTTTTCAAGTGTTTCTATTTTAAGTAAAGGCTCAAACATTATGAATGATAAAATAGACAAATGAAATCATCCTGACATAAGCTTGTTTATCTATAAATAAAGCTGGTTCACACACTTTATTCTTCTCCTTTTCTTTTCTCTTAACATGCTTCTTTTATCGTATGAAAGTAACCGATCACATAAAAAGGTTAGTTAGTAATGACTCTTGTTTCTTTGAAAAGAAGCTAAATTGAAAAAAGATATATTGTGATATTGCGGCTGCGGCTAGTCTTTGCTATAGGAGGGCGACCTTTTTGGCAGAGAGTTCATGAGTTTTGGAACTCACGAACCGTGAATGGCTGTGATTGCACTGTAAATGGTTGTGAATATACTGGCCTGCTAGTCTTCTGACCGGAATTCCTGTAAGTGGTAAAAAAAAAAATACGTTTGAAAAAAATACGGAGGTCTAGACATTTCCAATTTTTTGCATAGGCTTGTGCAATATTGTGAGGAAGTGAACAAGCAATATTCTACTGAACCAGTGGTCGTTGTTTTTGTAATCAAGAGAATTACGGATAGCGTAATGACCAAAACCACAAAGGACCGCAAGCAAAAATTCCTACTTAAATTGCCAAGTTATCCATGGGACAAAAAATGTTTATTTCTCACTGGTTACTCCATCCACGACCATTTGAATACCACTCCCTTACACCCACTGGTTGCTCTAGGTGCATTTTTAACAGCTCAAAAGGTATCTATTCTTGATCACGATCAACGAGACGATCCAATTATCCAGCAGTACGGTGATAATTAAACCGAGATGTATACAGTTGTTGCTCTCACTGGCCACTGTAAAAAAGCAAGATCCATAGTGCAAATACGGTAGTGAAGCTCTCGGTGTGGATGTACCTGTCTGTGGTAGAATTGGTGGCATATCCAAACGCGTTATTGGACACGTGGTCACCCGTGAAAAAACGACAGTTGATGATCTTTTGGGAGTGTGTGATATCACTCAATCTAAATTCCAAAAAGGAAAAGAAATTCTACAAGATCTACCAGACAACAACATAAAAAAGCGTGCTATTGACTGCCTGAATGAAGGATTAGACATCATAAAAACATATAAGGCTAAATATATGTCCGATCAATTGTCATCTTCGACAGCCTCCTCTCCAGCAGCCTCCTCCCCAGCAATAATACCCGCAGCTTCATTATTGTCATTACCAGTCTTGCCATCACTGACAGACCCATCCACGTCAAAAATCACACAAACTACTACACGGACTCCGTCATCATCATTATCATCCGAAAATTGGACGTTTGTCGGTGATTACATACGAAACCTTGGAAGTAACAGAATGAATTGGAAAGATTGCTATTTAAAAGGGCAACGTCAAGGTTATTTTAAAAATTACACTACGGCAGCAAGTCTTAAAAAATTCTTATCAACGTTGGAAGATCAACAATGTTACACCGGAAGAATAAGAAGTTTTTTTTTAGTTTTAGTTTTAGTTTTTCTGTTATTATTATTATTATAATTGATGATTCGATTGATTTTGTATTATGACTTAATCAGCAGTATCGAAAAACTCCTTGAAGTTGAATTCTATGATACCAGTGTTTAACAATATGTTTGCTCATTATTTTGATTCTTGGATTTTTGGTATAGGGGTAAAATTAAAAGAATTTAATCTGGTCAAATATCTTGGGGAGGGGGATGGAGATGGAGATATTATGAGATATGATAAAGAAACAAAGAAATGGGCAGAGAATAAAAAAAAGATAGGGTGTATAAGGAGGAGAGCATGGGATGATGGAATTGACAACAGGAGAAACGTACTATTATGCGGATGTATGACTATTGGGACAAGGTGTAAAGTCCAATGTTGTGGTTACATAGTGTGTCTAAGTCTGATTGGCACCCAAAAATTGGAAAGAAAAATTCATAAACACTGTCGTATTTGGGTACGATTCACTTAAGAATAAATAAGCAAATCGTTCAAATAATTAAATTATGAAATAAAAAAGAACCTTCAATGTTGCATACCAGCATACACATGTATAATGCTATACAACTTCTCCTACTACGAGTACATATTTCTATATTAAAGATTACATGATTGGCCTAAATACGATATACGAATGACAGTTGGATACAGAAGGCTATACCGCTGAGTTACGATATTACCGATCGAGAAGAGAATCTTCTCAGATCAAATCAAGAATTATAAGAAAGAGAAACTTAATATTAATAGTTCTCTCAATGGCTTAGCTACCCATAGAGAGAATAGAACAGCTATTAGTATAAATGGTTCATTTACTTATATGTTGAAATAATTATACTTCCTATAAAGAGTATAAAGAAATAGTGTATGAATTAATGGATACCTATCTTCTACAACCAAATATACAAATTTTGATAAGATATTCTATATTTGGGATCGTATTTTATGCATTAGAAAATTAATGCACAAATGATCAATTATAACTATTATGTTCTACTGCCAATTACACTTGACAAACAAGTATGTGTCTTTTAACAGTATCCGTTACACGATCTTACAAAGACGTGTGCCACTGCACCGAGTATTTGTCAGAATACTCGTGTTCCCGTTTCACACATCTGGGACAACGTTACCTTTAATCAATTCTAACGAGTAGAGTTCAGATAACACAAGATGGAAGACTAAAATATAGATTTATTCCAAAACCAGAAAGGTTGACTCATCATAAATCCAGGAGATGTTGGCAATATAAAAAGGATTGATTATTTCATAGCAGCAGAGTTCTTGAGTCTATTTTTACCCTAATAAAAATATTCGTTTTATCTCATTATTTTTTACGTGCATTTTATCAAATATCACAGGAAAAGTGGAGGTGACTAATTCTGTTTTTTCAATATAAGCTAAGAACAACGTGCTGATAAGTTCGGTCAAGTGATAACGGTTGCAAATGTCTTGAATCAGAACTGACAGCTCCTGTAGCTGAACAGGGGCTGCACCACCTAATTTTGTTGTATATTTAAAGGCAGTTATACTCTCGGTGAAAACCTTTATTGTGCAGTTTTTTAATCTTGGAGCATGCATTTTTAATGCATAATATACCGCTTTCAGTTCCCGAATGTTTATAGACGTTGATTTGTCTTGGCTGTTCCAAAATCCGAATATTGATATCATTGGTGAGCTTACTCCACAACACGTGTCTGAACTGTCTGTGTATATCTTCAGTTGTAGAGTCGAGACTGCTAATGCTTGAATACTGTTATTTTCATTTGTTGTCGCCAACAAGAAATAAAACAAGTCATCGACAACAAACCCGACCTTTTTTATTTTGTAGCGACAACGGCCACCACCTTAACTTTCATTCATATGTGAGACGACGGTTTAGGTGACATTGCTTTATTACTAGTAGTCGGTGAAGGTCTTGCTGAAGTCTTCTGGTAGGGCTGATTGTTACCGGTGTATGTATCGTTTCTCGGACATACGTTTGGGTTTCTCCACATCCGGAATACACTGAAAATAGTATTCAATTCATTGTTGTTGAGCGTTCATGACAGGATACAGAAGTATCTACCTTCCTCCTTACCCCCGAGCTTAATCCAATAGAGCAATTTTGGGCAATTGTCAAAAATAAGGTCAAGCGAAGTTCATTCGAAGATACTGAAGACTTGACAGCTCGAATTGCTGAAGCTTGTAACGGTGTTCCTCCTATGCACCTCCAAGAATTCGCTCAGCACTCTGTAAATTGTTTTCCTATCTGCTTACGTGGTGAACCGTTATAAATACTGTTAATTTCAAAATAAACGAACTTTGAATATAAGAAACCGACTTTTGAGGAAAAAATAAGCCGCCTTTTGCATAATTGAAAAGCGCCCTTTGAGAAAAAAAAACCGCCTTTGAGATTTAAAAAACCGTCTTTCGAAACAATTTATTATCCGCCCTTTGGCGCTGGAACGACTGTAAAATGGGCCTCGAGCCGATTGAATCAGAAGTAATTAGTAAGAATCATTTTGCTCATTAATATTCATCATTCGCTTGTGAAAATTTAGTCGTTTACTTTCCTGTTTGGAATATGATTTATTTTCATATTTTTATACAAGTCGTCTTTTTCATGTCTTTTATCAAAACGTATAGACTGCAAAATGTAGTCGACCACGAAGAAAAATAATGTAAACTTACTTTTTTATCTACCAACGTCTTTCTATTTCGATGTCCTCTAAATTGTCGGGCCGGTACCATTGTTCATCCAGAGGTGGAATCGATGGATCAAGCCGGCACGAAGATTTAAGCCAACAATACCCAAAAGGTTAAAGCGAGTCAAGAAGGATGCTGCATGAGAGCATCGGGGTCCAAATTGTATTTTTATATTTTTAGTTTCACATAGTATCAATAAACATTGTCTTTTTCTCGCATAAAATAAAATAATATTGGCCACGACGTACAGCTGTGCCCGCAACGACTCAATTGCCAGACATTAAGACAATTGACAAAATCAGATTTTTTTTTTTGCATCCTATCAGTCAACGTCGCGTCTAGTAACATGATTTAATCCTTGGGTGAGCTTATGTCATGATACTTTATCTGTTTATTTAATCAAACATAATGTTTGAGCCTTTAATCGTTCATGTTATCTTTACTTACATACCTATTTCCTTTCTTTCGTATGAATAAATGTCGTGAAAAGCTTAGTTATCAAGGCATTTTGGTATTTTTCAAAAAATATGTAAACTTTTATTTAAGAACACTTTGCTGAGGCTACCCGTTGTTCAGTTAACAACAATTCCCAAGACCATTTAAAGCCCGCCTCGATTTTAAAAAAAAAGGGCTTTTCATGCATTGGGTTGAAGTAAAATTCAGCCAATAAAATTGCTTATATATATTTTTCATCTTCATAAATTATAAGAATTTTTTTTCATTTTCATTAATATTAAAAAACCGCGTTAACGGTAAAAAACCAAAGCCCGGTAAACCAAGGCAATATGATTTTATTTTAAAGAAAAAGAAAAAAAAAAAATGAGGAAAATCCTGCCCTTTTTATACCTTTTCCCCCACCCCCTCAAAAAAAAATTTTGGGTAATCACAAGACCCTTTCGTGACGGGGACTTTTTGATTCATGCAAAAAATTATTTCATGTGATCGCGCGTTTGCTGCGTAATGCCACTGTCGCGCGCGATACTAGTCCCTCCAATGTCACACAAACCCATCTTTTTCACTTTATTCAGAGAATCCAAACTCTCATGGCATGATTAAGGTCTTCTTGTAATATGTTCGCGTTTAAACGGTTTTTTATATCTCTACACGTTCAACGAACGCATGGGGAACCCTCGCAAAGTATTTTAGACTGTTTTTAGAAAGGCCATTAAACCAGTATATTCCATTCCTGCATGTCCAAAGAACATGAAAAAAGACTCCTGCGAAAAGAGCACTCAAATGCTGTCTTTTTGTAGTAATCTGCCATACTTGTCAGCAAAAAGGTGCCTTGAATTATTTGTTTTGTCTCTTGTAATTTAAACGACTTAACCGATCGAGCTCTTCTGTCAATCTTGCCCTTACTCGAAAAAAAAAAAAGCAAAAGTTATAGTCGCATATTGGGTAACAGCCACTTAAAGTGGTCAGCAGAATTATCAAGCGTAAAACCAGAAGGGGGCCAAAAGTGCTAATTCATTTTAAAATTACCAAACCATCCAAGGGCTAAATTAATGGCAGTTTGCTCCTGAATGATTGTTCTATTTTTTTGCACAAGACTCCTAAACCCATGGGTTGCTTTAACATCATTTTATCGTTTCTCAAAAAAGATCTATTCTCGACCACACTCATAGTCAATATCCTACCTGCCTCATCTTATTAATTTTTGGATGTTTGGTATAGGGTCAAATATCTTAAGGCATCGTCCTTTTTTTTGGGGGAGGAGTATGAAATATGATGAAGAAATGAGCAGGGAATAAATAAATATAATGGTGATAGGAGATGCGACTTGTTTGACTGTTGGGACAATGTACAAAGTTCAATGGAGTGGTTTTCCAGTGTGTCTAGGACTGAACTTGTGATGCTAATTTTCAGTGAGTATATGAATTGGGGGTTTTTTTTTATTATGTAAGAAGTATGTAACCTTCTATAAGTGTAATTCTTAATTACCACTGTATGATCAATGCTGAGTAACGTGAAATATTTGGGTTGTGATAGTCATGAATGCTTTAATGAAACCTATTGATATGAATAACTCGACCAAACAGCAAGTCTCGTCCTTTTATAAATGCAAAGTGTTCAATGTTCCTCATGCAGTGGGTAAGACACAATGCTCGGGTTATAGCAAGAATAACAGTCAAAAGCTTTTTTTTTTAATTTATGTGACGAAATAAGATGCATTCTTCCCGCCGCTTAAAAGGGTGAGTGACTTTATGAAACTGTGCTTTGCATAACAGATTATGAAAGGTAGTAGTACCTATTAAAAAGGAGCTTATATGAAAAATGTGGGCTTTTTTGTTTACAAAAAAAGGGTGATGGATTTATGAATATATAGTGCAACAACATATATTAAACTACTCGCTGTGCATGCGTGTGTGTGTATTTGCATTATGAACGTAATAAAGTTAAAGGCCAATATTTCAAAAAAAAAAAAAGATAATTCATCTATAAAAATAAGATAATCAGGATGTAGTTTTAAATCTCAGGGACATTTGGGGGGATTCCCGAATTATGCAACTCCGTTTATTTTGACAGGCCCGGTTATTACAATGGAGTGTTGTAAAGAAGTAAAGAGAGAGAGAAAAAAAAGTAGATGAATAAAATAGATTATCAAGGTTGTACGGCTGTAAGGGAGCAGCAAAAAAAAATATGTATATGCTGTGTTGAGATATGTTTGTCACACAACCCACGATCGAAGGAAATTTGGTGATGAAGTCTTTGCAGTACATTCAACAGGATCAAAAAGCAACTATATGAGAAAAACTTTATCGGTTACATATAATTCGGCCACATTAACAATATAATTAATTTCAACAGTCAACAAACACTGAATGATGAGATGTCAAAAGTATTTTCACTCTGGTTAACTCGAAAGCAGCATGTATAGATGAAATATTTTAGTGGTATAGTCACTAAAATTAGTACCATTTAGGTCGTTAACAAATAAGGAACCATTGTACATATCTTCTGATTTTTAGATCGTCCAGCATTAGTGTCCATTCAAATGAAAGGAACTCGTAGCTGACTTTAAATGATCACACTCCTTTGATTCAAAAATGAGGTGGGACACAAAATATGTCTTATTGTCCTGACAGAAAAAACTCGCGCTTTATCCTTGTAAATTATTGTCAAATAATTAAGAGCGATTTCATCATTAATTATGGCAAAAAAAAATCTTGTGCAAGACCTTTTAAACATATAGATAGACCAAATTAGTCACTAAAGATAGATATTTTATTGTGGCCATCAGGTGAATAGATCAGGCTCGCACATGATGTTTTTTTCTTTTTACATATTTGTGTAGCACCAAAATCAGCTCAATAACAAATAAATTTTACTTTTAAACTCTCGAACCATCTTTTCCTTCCCGCCCTTATTTTTTTGTTTATCATATTCTTTATATGAGTAGCTCTTATAACTTTTTCAAGCACTCATGCTGCGTTGAGTTAAGTTAGTATAGGTTGATGACAGATCTCTAATTGTATTATATTAACAGTATTAGCTAGGTTTTGACGAAGATGCAGCATACATTAGTTATTACAAGACCGGGATTAGGGCGAACCAGACTATGGCTAGCACGACGTTCGTATGAATAAATTAACTATTAATTGCCGCAAGGAAAAACCTAACTCTTTTTTTTTTTTTTTTTTTTTTGAGTTAGTATTGAAAAAAGGGCTTCTATACTGTATAATGCTTTTAATGGGGATATTTTGGCATACGGAGAGAGTGCTGACATAAGAAAAAAAGAGGAAGATCGTGAACATATATTCTACGTGGACAATATTTTGGTGAAACTGAATGAAATATACATCAAAACAAAGCAACATGATTACATAAATGATGCACATGTTACTCTATTGCAGAAAGCCATGGTAACGCTCCTTCAACATGCAAGAGATGACTTTACGTTCAAGCAAATACCAAATGATGGGTTTCATTATGTAATAAGCCTTCCGACATTTTGGGATTTTGAAATAAGAGATAAAGTTATCCGTCCTCTTTATATTCAAGCCGGGTTGATTAATGAAGAAGATGACCACGACAGATTATTGTTTTTTACTGAACTTGAATCAAATTTTCGGTATGTCCAGTGCAATAGTCTATTTAATGGAAAGACGCGAGTACGGTTGAAATACAACAAAAAGTATATCTTATTTGTAACAAAATTCACCCCGAATAAATGCTTTGTAACCTTGGATTTGGTGTCAGCTCATTATCCACATTTAGACTCGGGTTTGTTCATTGACGTTGCAAAATCATTAAAATCAGTCCGCTTTACCGTTCCCTTTGGTACAAAATTAGAAAAATATATACAGCTACGTCTCAAAGATAAAGGGACAAATATGAACCCCATCAAGGATGCGCTATTAAAAGATCTGATACGCCAGTACAAATCTTGTCAGGTAAAAATCCCGAAGTGATCGTCTAAAGCTTATGGGATATATTAATATTGATTATTATTGAACAGCCCTTCTCATATAAAACTCAAGAGAATCGACCATTTAAAAATATATATACCGAAGAGTTATGTGAAACAAAGAATACATATCTACAATCTATGCGTATAGAAGAAATCAATAGAGATTTGTTATGTTCGGTCAGCAAAGACTGTCAAAACCATATACAGAAGCTGTTGGAATTCCAAAACGACAAGATAGAGGCATTTGTTTATATTTGCCGCAATATGAACGTCTTAGAAAACGAATTTGAAGTCCTTGATGATGAGTTAAAATCATTAATGCGGACATACGTTGATCAAAATTACAAACACAATTTTTTATCATTTGATAAAGACAAGATTAGGAAAAACTACAAGGAATTTGGGAATAACTTTCATTTGTTGTCCCAATGTGAGTTGGTAGCGGAAGATTTAGTACGGCAATCTTGTGTTCAAAGGTCACCTAAAACGTTACCAAGAAATTCGGATGCACAGGAACAACGCAAAATGGTGTCCAGATCGCTTTTTGAAAACTCAAACCCAGATTATATAGCGAGTATAGGTATTGTCTAACTATGTTATATTCGCTAAGAAATATATATATATTTATCGTGTTTGTAATAATTAGACATTTCTCTTGAGTCAGTAAAATACGTGTGTGGATTTCTTGGAGATAATGATCGTGTCACAGAACTCACAGAATACGACAGTTTGTAGGTGTTTTTTTTTTCGTATAGACATTTAGCTAACTCAAACTCAATTATAGAGACATTCAACCCTTAGAAAGCTACTTTAAACAACAGGCTATATACCGGAAGTTAGTATTACATATAAGCAAAAGGTATAATTTTCTTAATAGCTATATTTTCTTCCAGATACTTATTAATTGTGTTCATAATTTAGGATGAAAAAATTCATGGAAGAAAATTTTGATGACTATCTAAGCAGTTATCCCGGTGATAGAGAATATCCTATTCAATCACTCTATCTGGATATTTCTTCGACAAAAATTAAAGAATCTCTTCAAAAAAGTGAATTGTCCAGTTTTTTCTCCACAGAAAAAAACTGGAAAACGTGGCAACAACCAAGAGTACTTTGATACCCGTATTTCAAGCAAAATATACCCATATTTTTCTGTTGATGTATTTAGCATACGTTAATACTCTGATATCTGCCCAGTTAGATAAATGTTTTGAAAAAGATTGGAGAGATAAGAACATTGGGTATACTTTAATGATTGAAGATTTTTTCATGGAAAATGTGGACATATTTAAAGAAGACATACAGCAGCTATTTCATTTAAGTAGCATACCTCAGAAAGTTGTCGAAAGAAGAAAAGTGCGCTTATGTAATATCGGATCGTGTTTGCTACCCGCTTTTCAGAAACGTATTGGTCAAGAGTTCAAATTCAAGTCGTATTTTGTTATCGCTCAGCTGCATAGCACCTACATACATCTTGGTTTAAACCAAGTCGTTAAACATGACTTGTCTGAAAAGGAGATGTTCAAGGCTATGTTTATTTCAGATAGGATAATCCCGATCGAAAATTTAAATATCAGTTTGTGCAAAACCATTTGGAAAAGCATCACTACCAACAAGACTATAGACTATTGCGATACGCACAAAGATCAAGATCCAAAATGGGATTTCTTTAAACTAGACAACTATAAGAGTGTTTTGCATACACTAAAATTACAGATGGCCGATATTGTTAGTAAGATTTTCTTATTTCGTTTTTGTACTTATTTCAATTAATATTTGTTTTAGCTGTCGTCCGGTAGTAAATCATTGAACATGGACAACGAAATAGAGTTGAATCTTAGCGAAGAGTGTAACTGCAGAACCCACACCACCCTCCGTAATATTATGATAGGATTTAAGCCAGTGATTGAAAATGTCACTTCAATGATTATTTCAGCTACATTTGGTATGAGGTTATTTTATGAACTTGACAAACTGGATTATTTGTTTATTTTTGAAAACGCTTTTATCATCGAGCATGAATCAATACTGTATAAAGCCTACACAAAAACATTACAGGAAGAAATGAGAAAAACTATTCAACTGAAAGAAATAAGTACACAAGGAATCTTAATGCAAAAACCAATCAACCAGCTTCTACAACCGGTGGCACATAAAGAACATCCTATGTACAGCGCTTTCAAGAATGGAGATCCTTATAAAGTGGCAGGCAGCACATATGGATTGATCCTTAAAAAACTGATCGTAACTGGAATTGAAAACTCTTACTTAATTTGTATAAAGCATAATGATGATGGTACAGATGCTTACATAGACGTCGGGGACACAATCATTGTTGTTCGAAAGGAACAGATAATATTACATTCAGGCATTAATGTGAAGTTTAAAATTCGATTCAAAAATATACAGAGAGATGATACACTACTGCTTCCTTGCTTGTTAGAGTTGGGTAATTTTATATATTTACAAACATTGAAGCTTAAATTTAATTACTGTTTTTTACCAGAGTTGATAAAATTCCACCCAGAAATTAGGTCATCGGAAGGCAATTTTTTGTCAGCCAAAAATCCGCACGAATCAATATCTGAAATCAGTTTGCCTATTGATGGAGTTAAATCTGACACATGTGTCAATTTAAATATCACGTATGGCTATTATGCTATAGAATTTTTTATAAGAGATGAAATTTCAGTCCAGCATCCTGATACTCCTTACCACATCACAAATCTAGCCATCGCGGTAGTAGAAACTAAAAACATTGTGTATTTGTAAGGCCATAATTTTTTATTAGTCTCCGTATATATACATATATTGCGTTATATTATACCTTTAATAAACCCTGTTTGTTCTTCTGCTTGATACCTTATAGTATGGCGATGACATAAATCATACGCTATATAAACCCAATCTAATAGTACCTGATCATCCACTACGAGTATGGTTACCTCGATTGTCCCTAAAAACAAAGCTGTTAGTGAAATTGACATCATGGCACACCATAACATTTTTGTTATTCCAAAGAGTCTCTTCAGCAAGTATCAACAGATCATGTGCATGAATGTATGTTTGTCATCAGGGCTCTTTCATTTTTTTGACTTTTTTTATCGGCAATTCTCAACTTTAGAACGAAATCTTGCTTTTTCAGTAACGATGCCTAGACTTTTGGGCTTTATTAATACCTTTTTTGCAACTTAAAATTCAGCCTTTCTCTTGGTACACATAAAAATAATGATACTAGGTCTCTTACTAAAAGCAAGTTACTCCCCGAAACGAAATCATCAACACTAGATATAATAAGCCTGAACCCGTAAACTATGGACGTTTTTTTAACGTTTGAGAGTGAGGAGAATAGTTTGTTACTCATCCGTGAAGTATACCGAGTGAGATGGAGTCGTTCTTTGTAAAAATGCACACTTATTATTTATTCGCGTCTCATCATTCGATGTGGATACGCTCTAGCCCTTTGTCATCTATTGTCTTTTTACAAAGGTAACAATGATGCGTGATATCTAGGAGAAAACTAAGCCAATTCACAGTACGAAATAGTGTCACCTATCCACATAGAGTATAACTCGGGGTCTCAAGATTTTTACTACCTCTTGTTAGCAACCAATGGCAACTCACGAAATCCATATCCAAAACGGGATTATACAGCCAGTAACATAGTTTGCCACATAAGATGCTTTGATGGCATATGAAATATCCTTGTCATTTATATGATTAACTAACGTCCGTGGCTCAAAAAAAAAAGGGATACAATCTTCCATAACTGTCTCTTGAAATTGTCATTTAAAATGGCTGGACCTCGTATGCAAGTGAATGAGGCTTCAGAAGTATTATCTTGAGCCATCCTTATCACTCCCTATCACAAATAAATTACGGAGGCCTCCCTTTTTGACGATGACAGTAGCAAGGTGTGGTTACTCTAAAATTCTTATTCACGTTGCAGAGTTAGAGGTGACGTAGTCATGGCATGGCATGGTTGGTAATATTTTAAAAAATATACGAACAGGAAGAAAGGCACGGTACGACCTTTTTTTTTTTTTTTTTTTTTTTTATTGTATGGAGGACTGTGTACATTGTGTTCTAACTGCCATAGCAAAAACGCAGCCACAGTGGCATTTCTTCCTGCTTTTACATAAAATAATTTTGCATGAATTAAAAATCCCTGCCACGAAAGGGTCTTGTGATTTCTTACCCAAGGGGGTAACAAAATCCTACTACTGTTGATTTTGAGCGTCCACTTTTTCTACTTGTAGTCTCACACAATTAAAAATACCCCCTATTTCTATTTTTCTCTCTACCAACTTCTTGATAAGCATCTTTGGAAAGAGCAGATACAGTTAATAAACAAAAAAAAAGAGAAAGTGTGATTAACCAACAAATTCTATCAAGCATAAATTATCTTTGTCCATGAGTTTGGTCTTATCTAAAATGAAGGGATGCTTGACTTTCTCAGAAAATACTTTTGGAGAGTACATTTAATAAGTTCTTGTTCACATTCCATTTGCAGAGAAGGCACGATTCAATTTACCGATATAAATTCACGCGTATAAAAAGAAGACACATGACATCTTAATACAAGAAAGACAATGTTACACAAGAGTAATTTCATAATCTTGCTTCAGTTCGTATTTACAGCTGCATGGCATGTCAGCAATCATTGTGGCTAGTGTCATAAAACTTTGATTTATTTTTAAAGTCTTATGGTAGCAGCCCATGGCTGGTTGTAGTAGACATCTTTTTTCTTTGAATTTTTTACGTCTTCAAGGCCTTCACAAGGACAAAAAAAAAGTTGTATATATTATCTTGTGCGTGGCCATAGGTGTATACAAATGTAATTTTTTTTGTTTTGTTTTTTAATAGAATTACAATTAATATTATTTAAATGAAGGGATGTGTGTGGATAGAGAATGGGGATGATGAAAGCGACTTAATAAGCTTCACGACTTTCGGCTTTGGTAATGGTATCGTACAAAATCTTGGCTTCAGCGGGAGGAGGAATATCACCACGCAAGATTGCGTCAGCACGTAAAGCTTGGCCGTAAAAAGTGGCATTGGCCTTTTGCAACTCTAATAAACCTGTACCTTCAATCGACATACCGGCAAAGAGACCCTTTGATTTGGTGTAAGAAAAGATAGGAGCGACCTTTTTATCACGTATATCACCAGCGATACTAGCCTCACCACCCGCACCGATGGGACCTACACTTACGGAAAGGTTACCACCTAAGGTAAGATTACCGCCTTGAGAAAATGCTCTGACAGCCTCATCACTATTTAAGATCAAGACAAAATCTGTGATATCAGCACCAATTTGTGCACCAAAACCAACACCACCGGTTGCAATACAACTGGGGGCACTCCATCTACCATCAGGTAACCTAAAATTGTGTATGAGTTACCATGTACAACCGACACGCACTTTAACTAAAACTTACTTTGCTACTACAACACCACTACCAGCACGTCCACTCCAGAGAAATCCTGCCTTGACAACTGTGAAAATGGCAAGGCCTTTTGCTTGTTTGATTACTGAAACAGGAATAATTGTATCGAATCCGTTTTCAACCTCATCTTTAACTACGATGAAACAGTTTAAAATCTTTTTTTAAAAAAAAAAACGCCTCATCCAAAAATAATAATAAACAACTTACTGATGAATTGCTCAAGGATTCGAGAAGCCTTGGCACATTCTTCTGCCAAATTACCAGGAATAGGACTATTGAAAGTGGGGCTTGTCTTGGCTAATAGTGAGAACAGTCAGTCTAACCTTTCCTTTATAATACTTGATTACATAAAACTTACTGGCTGTGTTGGCCATTTCGCCAACTTGACGAGTAGCATTTTGACCTAATGCAGCTGCACCTATATGAACAATAGAATGAGCACTTACAACTCAAAGTGAAATTGTGAATGAGAATTTACCTGTAGCAGCACGGTTGGCTTGTTCTTTGATTTTGTCAAACATGGACATGGTATTTAGATATTTATTATTGTGAATAAAGGTTTTGAATTGAAAAAGAAGTAGAAGGTAAAAAAAAAAAGAGAGCTTTTTTATATTACACTGGAGACCAAAATTCCAAAAATAGAAACCTGGGCATTCAAAGACGTCAGATGTTACACCAAGCACTTGACAAATCGTTAGCACCTTTTTTACTTGTGTTCACGCGCTTTTTTTTTTTTAAAAGCGAATATCTGCGTCATATTCACCTTTTTGACACTCGCCAAGAACTCTTGGAAATGACAAAATATAAAGGATGTATCTGCTAGTTATCTCTATTTTTAAATTCATAGGCTGAAATATAATGCATGTCTTTTAGAAACATACCCCTTCAATTAAGCTTTTCACATGCCAGAATGACATAATATTCAAAAAAAAAAAATGTTCCAGCCACAGAAACAAGTACACTAAGGGGAAAGTGTATGATTGGTTACTCGAGTGATCTCCTTATTTAGAGCCACAATAAAATAAAATGGGCCTCGAGCCGATTGAATCAGAAGCAATTAGTAAGAATCATTTTGCTCATTAATATTCATCATTCGCTTGTGAAAATTTAGTCGTTTACTTTCCTGTTTGTAATATGATTTATTTTGATATTTTTATACAGGTCGTCTTTTATCAAAACGTAGTCGACCACGAAGAAAAATAATGTAAACTTACTTTTTTATCTACCCAACGTCTTTCTATTTCGATGTCCTCTAAATCAGATTTTTTTTTTGCATCCTATCAGTCAAAGTCGCGTCTTGTAACATGATTTAATCCTTGGGTGAGCTTATGTCATGATACTTTATCTGTTTATTTAATCAAACATAATGTTTGAGCCTTTAATCGTTCATGTTATCTTTACTTACATACCTATTTCCTTTCTTTTGAATGAATAAATGTCGTGAAAAGCTTAGTTATCAAGGCATTTTGGTATTTTTCAAAAAATATGTAAACTTTTATTTAAGAACACTTTGCTGAGGCTACCCGTTGTTCAGTTAACAACAATTCCCAAGACCATTTAAAGCCCGCCTCAATTAAAAAAAAAAAAGGGCTTTTCATGCATTGGGTTGAAGTAAAATTCAGCCAATAAAATTGCTTATATATATTTTTCATCTTCATAAATTATAAGAATTTTTTTTTCATTTTCATTAATATTAAAAAACCGCGTTAACGGTAAAAAACCAAAGCCCGGTAACCCAGGGCAATATGATTTTATTTTAAAGAAAAAGAAAAAAAAAAAAATGAGGAAAATCCTGCCCTTTTTATACCTTTTCCCCCACCCCCTCAAAAAAAATTTTTGGGTAATCACAAGACCCTTTCGTGACGGGGACTTTTTGATTCATGCAAAAAATTATTTCATGTGATCGCGCGTTTGCTGCGTAATGCCACTGTCGCGCGCGATACTAGTCCCTCCAATGTCACACAAACCCATCTTTTTCACTTTATTCAGAGAATCCAAACTCTCATGGCATGATTAAGGTCTTCTTGTAATATGTTCGCGTTTAAACGGTTTTTTATATCTCTACACGTTCAACGAACGTATGGGGAACCCTCGCAAAGTATTTTAGACTGTTTTTAGAAAGGCCATTATCAGTATATTCCATTCCTGCATGTCCAAAGAACATAAAAAAAGACTCCTGCGAAAAGAGCACTCAAATGCTGTCTTTTTGTAGTAATCTGCCATACTTGTCAGCAAAAAGGTGCCTTGAATTATTTGTTTTGTCTCTTGTAATTTAAACGACTTAACCGATCGAGCTCTTCTGTCAATCTTGCCCTTACTCGAAAAAAAAAAAGCAAAAGTTATAGTCGCATATTGTGTAACAGCCACTTAAAGTGGTCAACAGAATTATCAAGCGTAAAACCAGAAGGGGGCCAAAAGTGCTAATTCATTTTAAAATTACCAAACCATCCAAGGGCTAAATTAATGGGAGTTTGCTCCTGAATGATTGCTCTATTTTTTGCACAAGACTCCTAAACCCATGGGTTGCTTTAACATCATTCTATCGTTTCTCAAAAAAAAAGATCTATTCTCGACCACACTCATAGTCAAGATCCTACCTGCCTCATCTTATTAATTTTTGGATGTTTGGTATAGGGTCAAATATCTTAAGGCATCGTGCTTTTTTTTTGGGGAGGAGTATGAAATATGATGAAGAAATCAGCAGGGAATAAATAAATAAAATGGTGATAGGAGATGCGACTTGTTTGACTGTTGGGACAATGTGCAAAGTTCGATGGAGTGGTTTTCCAGTGTGTCTAGGTCTGAACTTGTGATGCTAATTTTCAGTGAGTATATGAATTGGTTGGTTTTTTTTTATTATGTAAGAAGTATGTAACCTTCTATAAGTGTAATTCTTAATTATCCTTCATAAGGTCGGAGACTCTTGTTGTATTACCATCTTTTCTTTATTAATGCGAAATTCAGAAAAAAAAAATATGATAAATAATATAATAAAATGATACTTGGGATAAATATCGAACCGTATCCATACAGAAATAAAATAATAAGCTAAAATATAAATATAACATAGGGTGGGATAAAAGGGTGGGACAGCAAGAGTCTCCTCCCCTTGGGATAATAAGTTGAGTTCGTCAGCTACGCTTCGAACTTAAATAACTAATAACTTTAAGTGTAACATGTGTACAAAATCAAAAAAAAAAAAAAAAAAAAAAAAAAAAAGAAAGAAGGAAGGGAGGAAGGGAGGAAGGGATTCAGTTAAAGTGCATTAAGTGTTAGATCGATGCGTTTAAACTAAGACACACTAATTCTCATTGTCTTGCTGCTGCTACAGTTAGACTTTATATACACAAATTAAAATATCAATTTTACATCAGACTAATATACCAATTCATTTTTAAATAAAGAGCTTCGCCACATCAATTTACTTCTTAGAAACACTCCTGTGGTAACACCTTAAATCATAAGATACAAACAAACGGCATTTCTTCAGTATTACTTTTTACTTCAACTGAAGTAAGTGGTAGCTCTTTTACTTTGACTTTATTTTTTACCGGACACGAGATTTTTATTTGTATGACCTAATATGCTTCACACAAATGTCAATTGTAACGAAGTTTCCCATGTTTTCGGATTATTGTACAGAAAGACTGACCAACGTTTGTGAAACGTATGACAGTGTTACAATTTTCAGAATTTATATAAAAAGCTCAACACTATTCTAATACCATTGTATTTGGTCTGAAAAGTTGATGATAGGTGTGTATCTTTATTTATCATGCACCAAGTGATGCTGTTTTATGAGCAGGTTAATTTTTTTTTCTTAACTACGACGTGTGACCATTTTAAAAAAAATAGATCCCAGATCAGAAACTATGTTTTATTTACGGACCAACGCCCATGTTTCTGAAATGGGATTGCCCACAAGACTTGAATCAATAACATTTTAACTTACAGGCTGATCAACTGAAGCGAAACAATGTACTACTTGGGGATAATTATGAACCAATATATTTATTCTTTATTTAACAATTTAATTGTTGCTTGCCCCTTTGACCTCGCTTGATCTAAACTTTGAGCAAATATTAAAGAAAAATCCAAACGAGACATTGGAAGTGAGTAAGAATATGCATAAGTAGAAACACCGCATATCCATTGTAACAATCTCCCATACTAAATAAGATAATAAATTATAAAGTCCCTCTTGGTTACAGTCAAGGTGTTATTGGACCCTCATTTTGCCAAGAAATAATTGTATGTATATTGCATTTTGTAAACCCTATCTATTCTTCTGCTTGATACGTTATAGTATGACGATATAAATCATACATTTAACAAACCCAATTCAATTGTGCCTAATCCTACATTACGAGTAAACATATCTTGATTGTCCCAAAAAAACGAACCTGTTAGTGAAATTGACATCATGGCACACCATATCAGTTTCGTTATTCCAAAGAGTCTCTTCAGCAAGTATCAACAGGTCATGTGCATGAATGTATGTTTTTCACCAGGGATCTTTCATTTTTTTGACTTTTATATCAGCAATCCTCAACTTCAGAACGAAATCTTGCTTTTTCAGTAACGATGCCTAGACTTTTGGGCTTTTTTAATACCTTTTTGCAACTTAAAGTTCCGCCTTTCTCTTGGTACACATAAAAATAATGATACTAGGTCTCTTACTAAAAGCAAGTTACTCCTTGAAACGAAATCATCAACACTAGTTACAATAAGCCTGAACCCGTAAACTATGGATGCGTTTTTAACGTTTGAGAGTGAGGGGGATAGTTTGCCACTCATCCGTGATGTTGCTTTTGGGTGTTTCATCAGGTAGTTACAACAACTTCACCATAAGAACGCTCAAAGCAATTAAGGATCAGCTTGGTCATTTCTTGACTTGGCCATCAGATCCTGTCAGATCCAATGCGATCGCTGTCGGTTTTGGGAGTAACACTAGAGATAGATTGAATGGTGTAATTGGTGCTGTGGATGGTAAGAACTTTATTATTTACCAACATTCTCCTTCAACCGTGGGTGCTATGTTCAGGGATAGAAAGAACAACTATTCCGTGAAGCTTACTGCCGTATGCGATTCTACATTACGATTCACGTACATCAAAGTGCGTGACTCAGGTATTGTAGTAAAATGATCTACGATGAAACAATATAAAAGCTAACACAACAATATTTACTTCAGGAAGAACGCATGATGCTGCTGCTTTCCGATCAAGTGATATAGCGAGTGCAATTCTTCGCCACCCAGACATTCACTTTCCTGACAACACGTTCATGATCGGTGACTCTGCCTATCTTTTGGGACCCAACTTGATCACACCATTTCCTGAGAGTCAATGCGTGTTAGACAGTCGCAAGCGTACATTCAATCGTGTACATTCATCTACAAGAATGGCGATCGAAAGAGCCTTTGGTGTGTTGGTGGCTCGTTGGAAATTTACTGGTAAGTACATTTACATGTTGGACCAGTTGAAGATCAACGAGGTGATTACCGGATGTTGTATTTTACACAATATGTGTATCGACCTTGGTGATACCGGGTTTACCGACACTGTTCACCTTCAAGATCATAGTGCAGCTGTTCCTGAAGATGAAGACGCACCTGATGTAGGCGGTAGTAGCTGAAGGGTTACCATTTTTGAGGAATTGATGAGACGTAGAAATAGACGTGGGGCGGCTAGAGGGGGTAGAAGAGCAACTAGAAGTAGATGTAGAAGAAGAACTAGACTTAGAAATAGAAATAGATAAGTATAGAAAACTTTTTGTTTAATTCAATTTTTTTTAAAATAATATTATCTGTAGAAGGATTGGCGCTGAAAAAATTCAATGTTGTAATAAATTGTCCATTTACATCATTAAAATTTAAAAGATTCTATTTGGAAAAACTGTAACCTTTCACAAAAAAAAAAAAAAAAAAAAAAAAATTAATGTCCTTAATCGGGATCTTTAAAAAATAGTTTGATGTGCTTACGAGGGCCCTTAAGACTAAAAACCTGTATTGCCTTATCGGATTTCGTGATGTAAATAGGTTTCTTGTGCATCAGTCAGTACATCTGGAATTGCTTATTTTTTATATACACTCATGGCTACGCTTGAACGAAATCAGTACCTGAGTACCGACTTTGCACACTCATGGCTTCGCTTAAATGAAATCAGTACCTGAGTTTCGATTTTACATACTCATGGCTACGCTTGTACATTTGACCATGGTGCAGCCACGTGTGTCAGATTTGGTTCAATTAACAATTATACACATTATTCAGACCTTGACAGATAAGTTGTTCTCTCATAGATTGTATCAAACCTAATTTATGGGAATGAATTTACACTGTTTCTTTGTATAGAACATGGATTAGGAATTTACATTCATTGGCAGCTTAAACAATTAAAAAACCTCAAAATCAATAAAAGACAATATCCAAAGATAATCATTATGGGGACAATAACACCCATCTATTTGAACAATATTAAACGCAGGTTTTCTACCTATGATTTATGATCTACTGATAGATGTCTACATTAATCTTGTTAGTACATGTTGTATAAATCAAGCTCGACTAACTCGTAGGGAGGAACATCATATTATTCTATTATACTAAATGTTTATACTGACCCTATTTGCACCTTTGATTGTTTACAAGTGACAAGTAAAAAGAAAAAAATATAAATAATAAACCCATCGACAATGAAAGAAATAAACGTTCATTGTAACAATTTTTTTATGTAGGCATACAAGTTCTTATAAAATCAGATAATATTAATTTACAAAAAATAAAAATAAAAAACTAATTTCGCTATACAATCATTCCCTTTTTTTTTTTTTTACCAATGGCCGTAACAACTCGATCAACTAGCAAGCAAACCAGGGGCAACAGAAAAGCCGCTACTCCTAAACCAACGCCAGTCCCTAAGGCCAAATCTGTTACCAAACCCAAGCCTGCTACCAAAGCAAAGCCTACCCCCAAAGCCAAACCTGCTACCAAGCCTAAGCCTACTACCAAAGCAAAGCCTGCTGCCAATGTTAAGCCTGCTTCCAGCTCCAAGTCTACCATCACCCGCCCTGCTCCTGCAGCCAGATCTCTCCCCGAATCCTCTTCAGCAACTCGTACGTCATTGAGATTAGCTTCCAAGAGAAAGCAAACTGACGAAGAGACCACCCAAAAGCCCACCCAACCTAAAAAGGCAAAGCCCACTCGCCCAACTCAAACGAAAAACCATCCTACTGCTGCTCCTGTTTCTTCCTCAAGAGCCGAGAGAAGTGGTACAAATACTGCTACACAGACTTCACCCCCTGTTGCCACTGTTGTCACTGTAGCTCAAGCTGCAACTCAGGATAGACCCTTCCCTCGTGCTTTAGCTCCTGCCACACCATTCAATCCTATCGTTATGCCCCAAGAACCTGTCGAAGCCAGACTTCCAGATGTACGTGAAGGTGATGTATTTGACCATGTAACCATGAGCATTACAGATAGTCTTACTGCACATGAAAGTGACTTGATTCGTCTTAAAGAAGAACTCCATCTGTCTATTCGTCAATTAGTGGGAAGAGTATCTCCTCAGTCCACCGACGTTATGAAGAGAAATTTGGCGGCTTATTGTCAGGAATTGAGAGAATCTTATGATTATCTTCGAAACCGCGAGAAAGTTCTCTTTAACACTTTAAAGATAGGTTTAGCTACCTATACGCGTCCTCAGGCTGCGGGACAATCCACTCAGGCTCCCGTTCAAGCTCCTATTGCTGAATCCGCTCAAGTACCCGCACAAGCACCTGTTCAAGCACCCATTGAAGTACCCACTCAAACGCCCACTGAAGAACCTGCTAAATCACCTATTGGGGAAAACGATCAAGCTCCTATTTGACGTAACCACTGGAGTTACCGCCCAATTCATAAATGATTAAAGTAATCAATGGATACAATGCTAGCTAGAGTTTTAATTAAAAAGTATTTTGATAGTTAGCTTCTTAAGACATATAAAAAAAAATAAACAATTAGTTTTGTTAAAAAACGTTGTACTTATGTACCACTTATTAAAAACTCATATAAGCTTTTGTAAAATATTTGAGGTGCTGTGAAAGTTGTTCATTATTTGTCGATTGACTATATTACAAAGATCATTGGAAGATGGAAACAAACTTTTATTGGTCACAATCAGGGCAATGGGTAGAGTATTTATTAAATGATTTACACAATAAAATAAAATATGTGTTACTGCTATCTACTGAAATCTACAATATCCTATATAAATATTTGGATAGTGTAAATATAGTATAATAACTAGGTGTAAAGAAAATGAGACACATAATAAATGCATCACGAGAATGTTCTCGAGAAGAAGTTAATATAAGTATAACTATTTACACTATTACTTTTTTTTTGGAAAGGTATTAGACGCGAAAAGCAACACTTTAGTAAACTACAGTAATCCTCAGTTTATAACAAATAAAAGACTCGCTCCGTTTTTATAAATACTTTTTAATAAAAGACAGTCGGGGTAAAAGTATAATTATAAGGTTTTAGCAGATAAATATCGATATTGCCATAAAGAAACGTATAAATGTCCTTTTACTACCCACAATTTTCTTTAGACATATCTTAACAGACACTAGGGTGACCAGGCAAAGGAGCACAAGGATGAGTGGTTGCTCTGGCTTCAAGATTGGGAGCAGCAGCACAGTAGACAGTAGCGACGTAAGCTAAGACCAAGATAATAGTTCCCTTAAGCATTTTGATGTGGATTGAAAAGAAGATACATATTATTAAATAAAATTTTATGCCCTTTTTATAAAAAAAAAGGTTTGGTTACAATACGTATCCATTTTAGAGTTTTTTAACATTTTGGATATTTACCGGGTAATTATGCAAAAAAAAAAAAATTGCTATTTACGAAAAACCAGGCCTGTGATCAAGGAGGCAAAAAAAAAAGGAATACAATGATGCTATATTAATTGCTTGTGATCAACCACTTAGCTACATCAAAGAGTCTTTAAGAACATTGTTTACTTTAATGAACAATTCCAATACAACATCTGAAAAGTAATGATTTAAAAGTACAAACGTTACATGTTTGTACTATGTATCAATGTACCTATGATTCAGAAGTTTTTATGTATAGTTCTGACGCTATTAAGAAGACTCTAAAAATAATTACGCTTTTTGGGTGTGTGTGTTCCTTTTATCAGCACAGAATTTCAAAGAATATAACTATATTCTCTTTGATAGCTTTTCTTTCATGAAAAGAATGCATTAAATTACTTCTTGATGTTCACCTTGAAAATGTTTTAAAGCTGATATACAGGCTGAAAAACTACTTTTTAGTGTATACGACTAATGCTCTGAATTAATACAATATATCGAATATAGGCTTGGATAGTCTTTCCGGTCCAAACAAAGTATGTAATACATAACGAAAGGCTTTTAGGACACGAAATGGGCTTCAAGCTCAAATTTATTTATATATATTTTGTGTGATTGTTGATATGATATCTTGTAATTTAGACGCCGAACCTAACTCAAGGATACTTTCCTTCCTCTGTCCAATATTTTCTTAACGCAATTTCATGAGTATCAGCACAAGGGCATAAATAAAGTGTTCGTTCGATGAAGTATACCGAGTGAAATGGAGTCCTTCTTTGTAAAAATGCACACTTTATTTATTCGCGTCTCATCATCCAATGTAAATACTCTCTACCCCTTTGTCATCTATTGTCTTTTTACAAAGGTAAAAATGATGCGTAATATCTAGAAGAAAACTAAGCCAATTCACAGTACAAAAAAGTGTCACCTATCCACATATAGTATAACTCGGGGCCAAAAATGAGCTCAAGATTTTTACTACCTCTTGTTAGCAACCAATTTTAACTCACGAAATCCATAACTAAAATGAGATCATACAGCCAGTAACATAGTTTGCCACATAAGATGCCTTGGTGGCATATGAAATATCCTTATGACTTCTTTTTTGAAGGGGGAAACAAAAACCTACTACTGTTGATTTTGAGCGTCCACTTTTTCTACTTGTAGTCTCAAACAAGTCAAAATACCCCCAATTTATTTTTCTCTCTCTACCAACTTCTTGATAAGCATCTTTGGAAAGAGCAGATACAGTTAATAAACAAAAAAAAAAGAGAAAGTGTGGTTAGCCAAATTCTATCAAGCAAGAATTATATTTGTTTAAATGAGTTTGGTTTTATCTAGAATGAAGGGATGCTTGACTATCTCAGAAAATACTTTTGAAAAGTACATTTAATAAGTGCCATTTGCAGAGAAGGAACGATTCAATTCACCGATATGAATTCACGCGTATAAAAAGAAGACACATGACATCTTAATACAAAAAAGACAATGTTACACAAGAGTAATTTCATAATCTTGCTTCAGTTCGTATTTACGGAAATGTCTAGACCTCCGTATTTTTTTCAAACGTATTTTTTATAATCACGCGATGGTCTACACGTCGATTGACATGCCATATCATCTAAACTTCATGGGATGATCGATTTCTGTTTTCCATAAAATCTGCTTCACTGTCATTACAAGCTAATGTTGTGATTACCTAGTGTGTCTAAGTCTGATTGGCACCCAAAAATTGGAAAGAAAAATTCATAAACACTGTCGTATTTGGGTACGATTTACTTAAGAATAAATAAGCAAATCGTTCAAATAATTAAATTATGAAATAAAAAAGAACCTTCAATGTTGCATACCAGCATACACATGTATAATGCTATACAACTTCTCCTACTACGAGTACATATTTCTATATTAAAGATTACATGATTGGCCTTAATACGATATACGAATGACAGTTGGATACAGAAGGCTATACCGCTGAGTTACGATATTACCGATCGAGAAGAGAATCTTCTCAGATCAAATCAAGAATTATAAGAAAGAGAAACTTAATATTAATAGTTCTCTCAATGGCTTAGCTACCCATAGAGAGAATAGAACAGCTATTAGTATAAATGGTTCATTTACTTATATGTTGAAATAATTATACTTCCTATAAAGAGTATAAAGAAATAGTGTATGAATTAATGGATACCTATCTTCTACAACCAAATATACAAATTTTGATAAGATATTCTATATTTGGGATCGTATTTTATGCATTAGAAAATTAATGCACAAATGATCAATTATAACTATTATGTTCTACTGCCAATTACACTTGACAAACAAGTATGTGTCTTTTAACAGTATCCGTTACACGATCTTACAAAGACGTGTGCCACTGCACCGAGTATTTGTCAGAATACTCGTGTTCCCGTTTCACACATCTGGGACAACGCTACCTTTAATCAATTCTAACGAGTAGAGTTCAGATAATACAAGATGGAAGACTAAAATATAGATTTATTCCAAAACCAGAAAGGTTGACTCATCATAAATGCAGGAGATGTTGGCAATATAAAAAGGATTGATTATTTCATAGCAGCAGAGTTCTTGAGTCTCTTTTTACCCTAATAAAAATATTCGTTTTATCTCATTATCTTTTACGTGCATTCTATCAAATATCACAGGACAAGTGGAGGTGACTGATTCTGTTTTTTCAATATAAGCTAAGAACAACGTGCTGATAAGTTACAGTCAAGTGATAACGGTTGCAAATGTCTTGAATCAGAACTGCCAGCTCCTGTAGCTGAACAGGGGCTGCACCACCTAATTTTGTTGTATATTTAAAGGCAGTTATACTCTCGGTGAAAACCTTTATTGTGCAGTTTTCAAATCTTGGAGCATGCATTTTTAATGCATAATATACCGCTTTCAGTTCCCGAATGTTTATAGACGCTGATTTGTCTTGGCTGTTCCAAAATCCGAATATTGATATCATTGGTAAGCTTACTCCACAGCACGTGTCTGAACTGTCTGTGTATATCTTCAGTTGTAGAGTCGAGACTGCTAATGCTTGAATACTGTTATTTTTATTTGTTGTCGCCAACAAGAAATAAAACAAGTCATCGACAACAAACCCGATCTTTTTTATTTTGTAGCGACAACGGCCACCACCTTAACTTTCATTCATATGTGAGACGACGGTTTAGGTGACATTGCTTTATTACTAGTAGTCGGTGAAGGTCTTGCTGAAGTTTTCTGGTAGGGCTGATTGTTACCGGTGTATGTATCGTTTCTCGGACATACGTTTGGGTTTCTCCACATCCGGAATACACTAAAAATAGTATTCAATTCATTGTTATTGAGCGTTCATGATAGGATACAGAAGTATCTACCTTCCTCCTTACCCCCCCGAGCTTAATCCAATAGAGCAATTTTGGGCAATTGTCAAAAATAAGGTCAAGCGAAGTTCATTCGAAGATACTGAAGACTTGACAACTCGAATTGCTGAAGCTTGTAACGGTGTTCCTCCTATGCACCTCCAAGAATTCGCTCAGCACTCTGTAAATTGTTTTCCTATCTGCTTACGTGGTGAACCGTTATAAATACTGTTAATTTCAAAATAAACGAACTTTGAATATAAGAAACCGACTTTTGAGGAAAAAATAAGCCGCCTTTTGCATAATTGAAAAGCGCCCTTTGAGAAAAAAAAACCGCCCTTTGAGATTTAAAAAACCGTCTTTCGAAACAATTTATTATCCGCCCTCTGGCGCTGGAACGACTGTAAAATGGGCCTCGAGCCGATTGAATCAGAAGTAATTAGTAAGAATCATTTTGCTCATTAATATTCATCATTCGCTTGTGAAAATTTAGTCGTTTACTTTCCTGTTTGTAATATGATTTATTTTGATATTTTTATACAGGTCGTCTTTTATCAAAACGTAGTCGACCACGAAGAAAAATAATGTAAACTTACTTTTTTATCTACCCAACGTCTTTCTATTTCGATGTCCTCTAAATCAGATTTTTTTTTTGCATCCTATCAGTCAAAGTCGCGTCTTGTAACATGATTTAATCCTTGGGTGAGCTTATGTCATGATACTTTATCTGTTTATTTAATCAAACATAATGTTTGAGCCTTTAATCGTTCATGTTATCTTTACTTACATACCTATTTCCTTTCTTTTGAATGAATAAATGTCGTGAAAAGCTTAGTTATCAAGGCATTTTGGTATTTTTCAAAAAATATGTAAACTTTTATTTAAGAACACTTTGCTGAGGCTACCCGTTGTTCAGTTAACAACAATTCCCAAGACCATTTAAAGCCCGCCTCAATTAAAAAAAAAAAAGGGCTTTTCATGCATTGGGTTGAAGTAAAATTCAGCCAATAAAATTGCTTATATATATTTTTCATCTTCATAAATTATAAGAATTTTTTTTTCATTTTCATTAATATTAAAAAACCGCGTTAACGGTAAAAAACCAAAGCCCGGTAACCCAGGGCAATATGATTTTATTTTAAAGAAAAAGAAAAAAAAAAAATGAGGAAAATCCTGCCCTTTTTATACCTTTTCCCCCACCCCCTCAAAAAAAATTTTTGGGTAATCACAAGACCCTTTCGTGACGGGGACTTTTTGATTCATGCAAAAAATTATTTCATGTGATCGCGCGTTTGCTGCGTAATGCCACTGTCGCGCGCGATACTAGTCCCTCCAATGTCACACAAACCCATCTTTTTCACTTTATTCAGAGAATCCAAACTCTCATGGCATGATTAAGGTCTTCTTGTAATATGTTCGCGTTTAAACGGTTTTTTATATCTCTACACGTTCAACGAACGTATGGGGAACCCTCGCAAAGTATTTTAGACTGTTTTTAGAAAGGCCATTATCAGTATATTCCATTCCTGCATGTCCAAAGAACATAAAAAAAGACTCCTGCGAAAAGAGCACTCAAATGCTGTCTTTTTGTAGTAATCTGCCATACTTGTCAGCAAAAAGGTGCCTTGAATTATTTGTTTTGTCTCTTGTAATTTAAACGACTTAACCGATCGAGCTCTTCTGTCAATCTTGCCCTTACTCGAAAAAAAAAAAGCAAAAGTTATAGTCGCATATTGTGTAACAGCCACTTAAAGTGGTCAACAGAATTATCAAGCGTAAAACCAGAAGGGGGCCAAAAGTGCTAATTCATTTTAAAATTACCAAACCATCCAAGGGCTAAATTAATGGGAGTTTGCTCCTGAATGATTGCTCTATTTTTTGCACAAGACTCCTAAACCCATGGGTTGCTTTAACATCATTCTATCGTTTCTCAAAAAAAAAGATCTATTCTCGACCACACTCATAGTCAAGATCCTACCTGCCTCATCTTATTAATTTTTGGATGTTTGGTATAGGGTCAAATATCTTAAGGCATCGTGCTTTTTTTTGGGGGAGGAGTATGAAATATGATGAAGAAATCAGCAGGGAATAAATAAATAAAATGGTGATAGGAGATGCGACTTGTTTGACTGTTGGGACAATGTGCAAAGTTCGATGGAGTGGTTTTCCAGTGTGTCTAGGTCTGAACTTGTGATGCTAATTTTTAGTGAGTATATGAATTGGGGGGTTTTTTTTTTTATTATGTAAGAAGTATGTAACCTTCTATAAGTGTAATTCTTAATTACCACTGTATGATCAATGCTGAGTAACGTGAGATATTTGGGTTATGATAGTCATAAATGCTTTAATGACTACCTATTGATATGAATAACTCGACCAAACAGCAAGTCTCGTCCTTTTATAAATGCAAAGTGTTCAATGGTCCTCATACAGTGGGTAAGACACAACACTCGGGTTATGGCAAGAATAACAGTCAAAAGCTTTTTTTAATTTATGTGACAAAATAGGATGCATTCTTCCCGCCGCTTAAAAGGGCGAGTGATTTTATGAAACTTTGCTTTGCATAACAGAGTATGTAAGGTAGTAGTACCTATTAAAAAGGAGCTTATATGAAAAATGTGGGCTTTTTTGTTTTAAAAAAAAGGGTGATGGATTTATGAATATATAGTGCAACAACATATATTAAACTACTCGCTGTGCATGCGTGTGTGTGTATTTGCATTATAAACATAATAAAATTAAAGGCCAATATTTCAAAAAAAAAAAAAAAAAAAAAAAGATAATTCATCTATAAAAATAAGATAATCAAGATGTAGTTTTAGATCTCAGGGACATTTGGGGGGGGGAAATTCCCGAATTATGCAACTCCGTTTATTTTGACAGGCCCGGTTATTACAATGGAGTGTTGTAAAGAAGTAAAGAGAGAGAAAAAAAAAGTAGATGAATAAAATAGATTATCAAGGTTGTACATCTGTCAAAAGGTAATAAAGCGAATTAAAAAAAGAAGGGCTCGGTAGATCATTCTGGCAAAATTCGTCTTTCCTTATATGGTCCTTCTTTTAGCGATTTGATTATCTCTTTGTTCGGAGATAACACCCAACACATTTTTTAAAAAGAGTGTAGTAGTAGTAAAAGTGAGAGAGAGCGAGTAAAGAAAGATAGACTAAAAGGCAAGTAACGAAACTCCGCTATTCGTCCTAAATTGTGTGTGTACTCGCATTTCCCCACACACACACACACATTCTCCCTTTTTCTCTTTTATATAATTTTTTTTTTTTTCTAAAAAAAGTTCAACCTATGGAAGCGTCTGTTGTGGAAGAAAGTACAAATATATCACCACGAACAGTGAGAACTAACTGGTTACTATTTTCATGGAGTCAAATTTCTAGCGCCACCAAAGCGCTATTATTGATATCCACCTTACTCGCTCTTATCCAAGTAAAAAAAACAATTCCCATACATGACAACCCAAATTTAACGCTATTTCTTTCCTTTTTTTTTTCCTCCCACCCCATAATAGATCGCAGTGACGATTGTTGTATTGGTGCTGGGAAATCGACAACAACTAAGTTGTGAAAAACCTCTACAGTTGTACTTGACAATATTTGTGGTCCGTGTAGGTTTATCGTTACCGCTATCTGTGTACCAACACCTATTTATACCCAGAAGAGGAAGACCCCGCCGAGCTAGAAACCATAACAACAACAACAACAATATTAATATCAGTAACAACAACAACAACAACAACAACAATAATAATAGTAATAACGACACGACCCATGACGACGCAATTAATCAAGAATCAACCAATCGTCCTGAAACACCTCCGCATAACCGACCTTCCACCATTTTTAGTGGATGGGCAGAACGGTAAGATATATCATCACTTTTTTTTTTTTAGTGTGTGTGTGATTTATCAGAGAAGTAACGTTTTTTACAAGACTCAAGTCGTTACTAGATTTGTTTGCGATTCTTTGGTTTATTGTGGGTAATTATCTAGTGTTTTCACAATCCACATGTGCATTGAATGCAGGACTGTATTATTATACGATCCTGACCTGGATCATTTTTGGTTACACGATTCTGGTGATTCCACTCTTGGCTTGTGCGTCCGTCGTATTCTGTCTTCCCTGTGTCCTGGGTAATATAACTTACCTTTTATTTTTTTTTATTTTGATTGTTGTTACTAACACACTTTTTAAAACAGTGGCAATGAGGACGTTTAATATCAATATATCCAATGTGATGGTGGGTGGCAGCAAGGAGGAGATTGCCAAAATTCCCGTCTTCAAATACAAGAAGAGCGAGGCAGGGGAGGATGAAGAAACAACGGGTTCGAAACCTGTCATGAAAAAGAAGAGTTATTTTAGCAAATTCAAAAAAGAACACCATGTCACTACAGATAAATATCTTTCAATACCCAAGGCAGAAGATGCTGTATGTACTATATGTCTATCCGAATACGAAAACGATGAATTCATTTGTAAATTATGGTAAGTTTTTTTTTTTTTTTTTGGGTGTCGGTATTAGATAATCATGCAATGAAATCTCATGCGTTTTAAATGTCGAAGGTGTGAGCATCATTATCACCATTCGTGTGTGACCGAGTGGTTAGGGTTGAATTCGAAATGTCCATTATGTAAACGAGATTTCAGAAAAGATCACGTTGATCAAGACTCGGATGAAGAAGTTTAATATATATATAGTGTGTACATATCAGTCTGTAATTTACATCTTTTTTTTTTTTATATAATATAAATATTTACAAAAAATATATGATTTTGATATTTTCTAGTCTGAAGCAATTAAAGCAACAATCATGCAGTAAAGATAAAAGAAAAATGTCTAAAAATTCGTGATTAGTTTTTTTCTTCTTCTTCTCATATACAACAAAATGTCAGTTATGCAAAACAAAAACAAAAAAAACTTACAATGGCATAGAATCCAAGCTTAATAAAGCTTTCCTTTTTGTGCTTGGACAAGGTACGAAAGATCTCTGTAGCATCGTACATGTGTGTATTGTTCATAACCCTACCAACAACCGATAATAAGTTTCCTTCCCCCATCAACAATGATCACGTCAAAAAAAAAAAAAAAAAAATCACTTACTTTCGAACATTGATAAATAAAATGGGCAGATTGATAAGCATTTGGAGCCAATGGCCTGTAACTAGAAAGATAAAAAACAAAAAGGCCTGAAGTCCCATCTCGGGCAAAACAAACTAATGAATGCAAAAAAGGTCAGTTGGGACAATGCTTTTTACAGCTGTGAATAGATAGAAAGTGATTTTTTACTTGGTTGAGTTTGTTGCAAAGGTCGATGGGGTTAATGTAATCACATTCTAAATCAGAAAACATGATGACCTACAGTAGTGGATTAAAAAACAAGAACAAAGAAAAAAAAAAGAGACAGTAACTTACAAAAAAGACCATGAGGAATAAAAGGATAGCAGCAAGCACAACCGAGGTTAAGAATAAGGTAATTGAACCAAACATTATTATTATTTATAAAAGCGTATACTAAATATAGTGTGAGTGTGTATGAGGGGAATATTGGGGGTTTAAAGAAAGAAAAAGAAAAAAAAAAAAAGGTGTGTGTTTTTTTTTATAAAATTAAAATAAAATAAATATGCGGAGATTGAAATGGTTTAGATAGTGGTGGTGGTTTGGAACCAAGGCAGATCTTCAATTTGATGGATGGAAATTCGTTTATCTGGATTTCTCTCCAAAATGGATCTGACGACGTGTTTCGCTTCTGGCGAAATTTGGGTATCTGCGGGCCACTTCACCTCGGCGCGTACGATGCGGTAAAAGAGTTGAGAGACACGTTCATTTTTACGTGGATCGTAACGGAAGGGTAAATAGCCCACTAATAAAGCGTAAAGAATGATGCCTAGCGACCAAGTATCTGTCTTTCTACCGTCGTAACCGTCCTTTGATTGTTGAATGATTTCGGGTGCTGCATATTCTTCGCTACCACATCGTGTTGTTAATAAAGGTGACTCGGGATCTACAACGCGTGCTAAACCAAAATCCGTGATTTTCAATATTTCGTCATTGTCCTTCTTTTGAATGAGAATATCTATTTATAAATATTCTTTTAGTTACAAGAAAAAAAAACAAAAACAAACAAAAACATCTTTTTTTTTATATATATAATAATAGTTACTTTCTAGCTTGAGGTCTCGATGAACAATGTTGTGACCATGTAACCATTTTACTGCATTCAACACTTGTAAAAACACCTTCTTCACCTTTTCTTCATCCACACTGGCTGTCTCTTGATGCATTTTCTGTACAAAATCGAATAACTCGCCTCCTTCTACATATTCCAACACAATACACATCATATGTTCGGTTTCCATGGTTGCTTCTAAATGAACGATATTCGGATGGTCTATAAACTATTTATGAATGATATAAAATAAAAAATAAAAAAAATTTACATGTTGGGGGTGAGTCATAGATATAACAGCAAAAAAAAAAAATCTTTTTTATAAAAATTACCTTCAACACACCCACTTCTCTTTCCATGCTGGATCTGACACGAGGATCATCCAACAGTCTTCCCTTTTGTATAGTCTTAATAGCAAATAATTCGGCAGTGTCGACATGATGGGCCAAATAGACATGAGAGAAAGCACCCACGCCTAACAACCGGGAAATCCGATATGAGCCAATTTGCTTGCCAACCAGATCTGTTTCTAATTCGTCTTTTCGAACGACGGGTTCACGTCGCATGGTCATGATATCCTGGTCTCCCAGTTTCAAGTTTTCGGATAAACGTGGTATTTCATTGGATAGCGAAGGTCTGATGATATCGGAAGAGATGACAGAGATTTCCTGAATGGGGAAGACGAAATGACGCGGTTCAGCAGGTACATGCGGTGTGGGAAGTGATAGTAATTCGTCCACCATCGTCTGATTTTCATCAAAGGGCGATCGAAGTGGTGACTCGAGCGATCCATAAGGCTTTTTGGCGTTCAGGTACTGTGGAATGGGAGAAGGGGCAGGTGCCACCGATGCTTGACGTGTGGAGGCTACCAGATTTCTAAGACGATTGGCATAACTATCATGATGATATAACGCATCCTCCTCTTCTTCTTCTGTAATCTTTATAGAGGAAGGAGAGGGAGGTGATATACTGGTACTGGTACTGTTGGGCGTTTGTTTGATAGAGATCTTGCGACTGATGGAAGGTGGTGGACGTGGTGTAGGTACATCTGCCGTGTGAAAAAATGAGTTGGTTTTAGACGTATTAATTTCTAATCCATGTGATGTTTGTCGTCGATGGTTCTTTCCTCCTGTTGAACTCTGCTCTTTTTGGTTTTAGTATGTGATTCATATTCATGTGTATTTCATTATGCTACCTCTAATAGTTCGTTCATCGTGTGTTCGTTTGCCATCGTGTTCTTTAAAGATGTAGTCTACTATGATGATTAATAATCTATTCTTTACATGTAACCGCATATTTCTACATACCATAGTTTTTTTGTAATATTAAGGGAAAAGAAAGAGTTTAAAATAAAAATCTTGAAACATAAGGGAAAAAATAGCTTTTTTTTTTTAAAAAAAAAAAAAAAAAAAAAAAAAAACTGTCACAAAAAAAGGGCCAGCACCAATTGTTTTTGTCAGTTTGCTTTTTTTACTTTTTTGATTATTTGTGGTAAAAAAAAAAAAAAAATGATAGTAAATAAAATAACCATGGTTATCTCTCTTGTGCGCTTTAATCTCTTTCTCTATCTCTCCTCTTTTTATTCTTGTGGAGCCTTTCATATAAATAGTAAATCAAAAAGAGCATTACAGTAACAAGCCAAAAAAAAAAAAAAAAGTATGACATACATTGGTGTAACTTTTATGCAATCAAAAAGGGTATGACAAGGCGTCACATGAAAGGGGGAGAAAAGCTATTTTACCATGTGTATCTTGTTGAACACAGAAAAAAAAACGGAAGGTTCAACCATTGTCAATAACGTGCATATGAAATCTACCTTTATAACTCGCATCCGTTTCCCCTTCAAGGCTCATTTTGAGAATGAGACTTCACTACAAGAAACTGCTCCCACAGAGCCCAATAAAAGTCTGTTGCCATGTAAGCTATTCGAATGAACATTTATCCATAGTTACGCGGATGGTTGCTTAGTGACATTCGATCCTCCGTGATCAGTCGATAAAATAATTCATGAAAAGCAATAGAGTTCCGAGCAGCACCATCAGATCATCTTGGGAACATACCTAGGAGACATTTAGCAAATCCTCAGGACACACAATAAGGGAGCTTATTAGATAAGCAGGGAATGAATGACAAATTTGCCCATTCGATAATTTCGTAACTAATCTATGGTTAATTTGCTTACAGCAGCAAATTCACATTGAGGCTAAAAAAGACTTGCCTTTTTACGTCATTAAAAAGAAGTGTAGTATGTATGTGTGCGTGACTTTTTGTTTTGTAAACGGGCTTTTTTTTTTCCATCACGTAATGAAAATGTGTACCTGGGTTTATGCGGATTTCTACTGGTTCAATGGGACAGAGTGCGACACAATACTAATATTTTATTATTATTATTTTCCCTTCCAACGTGCCACAGTATTATTTACGGCATCATTCTGGAAAAAACGTGTATTTGATTTGTTACCATGTATGTAATCCCAGTGTGAGAGTGTAAAAGATGGATTACGCGGGAATAAAATGAGAGGGGGGACCTTTTTTTTTTTTTTTTTTTTGTTTGGGCTGGAAAAACCCACGACTGGGAAGAATAAGCGAAAAACTATAGAATAGGATGGAGGAGTGCGGGAAGAGTGGAAAAAGAAAGCGCATTCAACCCTTTCTCCTCCTGATCTCCGTGTAATGCAATCCAAAAGGAGGGGATGAAAATGTGATTGGAAGGAAATTTCCATTGGGCTACACAAGGAATTGGAAGTTCACATTTCACCTTTTTTGTTTCCCTTTTAAGTTTATTAAAATTTTATTCTCTCTCTCTTCTTCTTCTTCCCTTCAACACACGGATAATATATATATATAAAAAAAAAGAAATGCAAGAGTCCTTTTCTGATATGAGCCTTTATGAAGACGAAGAAGACTATTCTCCCTCATCGTCAGCATTTGAATCGTGCTCATCTGATCTCACGGATGCTTCAACTGTCGTTTCAGTTTCTTCGTGTCTAAAGGAAGACCAAGCTGAAGATTATTTAATATTTCCTCCAATTATATTACCTTTCCATGATTCACTTTCCTTCAATATATTGAGCTTGTACAGAGTAATGTATCAGGGCTTTCCTTTTTTTTATGTACATGCGTCATTAATACTATCACATAGAAATTGATACCCTCACGCCAATCCTTTAATAAGAGGCAAGTCATGATGATCAAAATAGAAAAAATGCTAAATCGAGAATGGCCTGCCCAACGTATCAAGGTGCATCTCTTTGGGTAAATTTCAATTTTTTTTTTTATTTCCTATTTCCTCTATTAAGCACACACGCCAACAGATCCTCTCAAAATAACCTGGGCACAGATCAATCCGATGTTGATATTTGTATTTCTACTGCTTGGAATGGCCTCAGATGCATCAAAACTTTGGCTAACGTCTTGAGAAAAAGTATGTAACTTTTTTTGTTTTTGTTTTGTAAACATTTATAGTTTAACATTTTATCTAAAGATGGCCTTCAAATCGTTCGAACCATTCCAAGAGCAAAAGTTCCAATTGTAAAGATATGGGATCCCGTCTTGTAAGTACTTTACTTTTTTTTTTTTTTTTTGCTTTTCTGTATGTGTGCTAAACAAACAAAATCTGTAATAGACAGTTGGCATGCGATTTAAATGTGAATAATACCATTTCCCTTCAGAATACAAGAATGATCAAAACCTACGTAGCCATTGACCCGCGTGTCAGGCCCTTGATATTAATCATTAAGCATTGGACAAAGCAAAGAAAGCTTAATGACGCAGGTAAAACCAAATAGTCTATTTTTTTTTTATTCGTTATTAACCAAAAATAGCGAGTGGTGGTACATTATCTACCTATACTTGGACATGTATGATCATTCATTTCTTACAGACACGAAATCCTCCTATTCTACCAAAGCTTCATGAAATACCGCATGCCCTCTCGAGTGATAATGTCGAAATCAATGGACAGAACTCTTCCTTTTGCGACGACTTATCACGTCTAGTGGGGTTCGGCACGAGCAATTACGAAAGTTTGGGTGGGTTATTATATGCATTTTTCCGAAAATTTGCCTATGAATTCGATTACCAGACGCAAGTGATATCCGTAAGATCGGGTCGACTCTTGACCAAGATCGAAAAGGGTTGGCATAAAGGCATCGAAAGTAAACGACTTTTATGCATAGAAGAACCCTTTGATACACGCAGAAATCTAGGAAATTCAGCTGATGCAGCGTCTGTTATCGGTCTTCAATTGGAATTTCAGAGAGCTGTACACATTTTATTAGAAACAAGAGGGAATTTAGAGGTCCTTTGTCATAAATATCACTCATTTCAAGTGTAACTCTATTTTTTTTTTTTTATGTGTGTATATATATGTGTGTGTGCCTTTTCTTTATACAGTACACCTTATCCCCCGTCCCCCACCCACCCCCCATTCTTTGAAAAAAAAATACATCACAACTCTTGTTTGTTTACAAATTCAATTTTACTGCTATTTTTTTTTATCAAAGGTGGATGGTTTTACAATTGCGGTATTTTATAGTCACGCTTTCCTCCTAGTCTATTAAAGGTTACACAATAAGCACTGCTCTTTTCTATACTCTTCATTCCTGTAAAATGAATCACACATTGTGTGTCTTGTATGATGTACACGTGGGGAGAGGGGGCATTTATTCCGGCCCATAACACACACACACACACACTATTTGTTGGAAGCCGTACATTAGCTGCATAAATGGATTATAAACATGAACCCTTCCCCATCATCATTCTTTACCCAACGCTCATTTCTGGCTGGTGATCGATGCGGGAAATATGGTTACACCAAGTAAAAAAAGGATCCGATGATGAGAATCACCCTTTTTTTTTTTTTTTCCAATATGCAAAGCATGTTTTCTAAACGATCAGCATCTTATTTTGATGATTTACATACCACTCCCATATTGACAAAAAAAATTCGTTTTTGCATATCTACTCTGAATACGCATGATAGTAAAAGATGCAAATCATAGGGGATTTGAGATAAAACGTGGCACAAAATAGCCACCCTTTGTGTCACACTTCAGTGTAGATCCCTTTTTTTAAGCATTCAATGAGCGCTCATCACAAACATGACTTTACTGAATTTGAGCTATTTTTTAACAGTATTAAAAATCACAGGAGGCAACCATAATTTTTTGCTGTAATTACACTTCTTGTTATGAATCTAATCAAAAAAGATTTTTACTAATGATGTAGAAAATAATGCATGAATTTGGGGGTGGAGGGGTACATTATTACAGGACTTTGCCTTTTTCTATTTTTCTCCATATAGCATCCTAAAGAAAAATCTTTCTCATCCGCTAGAGCAAAGGTTTAAAACACTTGGCGTATACTAATTACTTAGGTATGAGTCTTGGTAAAGGGACTACGCGGACGTAGTATCAAAAAAAAAAAAAAAAAAAAAAAAAAAAAAAAAACTCAATTGCAGGAAAGATCAGACACTTTAAATCCCCACTCGTATTGAAGCAGTAATCGATGATGTCAGGAAAATCGACCCCACCCCCACCCCTTTTTTTTTTAGATAAGATTATCTGCAGCAGTAAGAAAGTCTTCATACAGGTTAGCCTTATTTTCCATTCTTTATTCATTGTACAACCAATCAGATTGCCTTTTTAAAGAATCGTGACAGCAAAAGAATTATAGTATCGCACATAGCAGCAAAAAAAAATCTATTTAAAAGTCTCACGGTTCATCAATCCAACTCAATGTAGGGACCGCCACTCATTTCCTTTTTTTATAGGGGGTCTATCAGGGTGCACATAGTGATATCAGATCACCCGGCAGTCCGTAAGAACCCAATTAAGGTTAAGTGCAGCAAATAGTACTGGGTTTCCCACAGATTTTGGGACATAATTTGAAAGCTATTGAGACGACATTTGAATAATTATTGGGAATAAAAAATTTAGATAAAACTATAACATTTGTTCCTCCAAAAAGCGAGGAAAAAAAGACAGCCAATGCCTTATCCATCCTTTACAATCACTCAAAGTTGATTTAGAGCATGACTCTAATATGCTTGGCGTAAGGTTATCCTTTCCGTCGATTGGTGTTCTGGCATATTCAGGGGGGATACAATCTAGCAAAGAAAAATCACTGATAGGTTTGAAGGAAAGTAAAAGCCTTGACGGCGGAGAGAACCTATAGTTCCTCATGGCGGTCCACTTCAGCATCACTGTATTGATTGAGGCGGGAAAGACAGAATTGATGAAGAAGAAAGGAAAAACCTTTAAAAAAGGAGTGTTAATAAGAAGAGGGTTGCTCCGCCATCATAGACCAGATAAAGGCGAATAAAAAATATTTCGATGCCACTCCTTCACAGGCTGAACTACATTAGTTCTTCCAAAAAGCTGGAAAAAGAGTAATAGAGACTTTGTCTTTTGTCTTTATGTGCTTTGTCATTCACAACAGATTGATGAATAGCATTGCGTTTTCGACCGCTCAAAATCGTATGCCAAAGCTGCTGATTAGCTTTTCCTTTTGCTTTCTGTTTTCTGAAGAGAATGAAGCCATTATATACATAGCATTAGCCTTCCTCTTCAAACAGCTTTTTGTACCATAATGTATATTAACAAAAGAATAAAAAAGGAGAGCAGATCGTTACGGTTTTATATCAATAAGCGATCATATCAAAGATATTTGGTTTTTATATTTAAGGTAGTGGTGCTCTTCAAAAGAAGACCACTTTATTTTGAAAAGTATCTCCCGCTCATAAATAGTAGTCTTAACAACTAAATGGAAAAAGAAATTACTGCTTTGTTTTATTTATCTTCTTCTTGGGCTTCTTGGGCTTCGCATTTGTTTCAAACTTGGTCTCAAAAGAGAAACGCACACGACCTCTTCCCATTCTCTTTTCTCCGACCGTCATCTTTTCGTTCACCTTTACAATAAACTTGTTAAGCTCGCACTGTATAGAATACGTCAGTACAATGTTGTTATGGTTTGTTTGTTTGCAATCAATACCTTAACAAAATGAAACACGGTTTTAGATCAAAAACTTGATTGAGCTTTTGGAACCAGTATAGATATTTTTGTCGCATTGCGCTGTTATTGTATAAATTCAAAACAAGCTGCCATGTTGAATGTATCAATTCCACGATAAAGCCAAACACTTTAACGGATCGCTGCTTCCAAACACCAAGAGATGATGGAAATAATATAGAACAATTTGACTTCGATTTTTGAAGCGTCCTCGCCGACAAAGAAATTTTGCTACTGTATGCGTATTAAGTGTTTGACCAAAGAGATAAGCCTAGATATTGATACCAAGTAAGAATAGCGCGTAGTTAGTATTGCTCAAGCAGTTTTCTTTTTTTTTTGTCTTTTGCTTACTTACTTTCATTGCAAGAGCATCAGTGAACCTGAATTACACGTAGCGTACTCTACTCATCAAGACTTCAAAAGGCCAGATGAAGAGGTCAAAAGGTAACGACAGAGCGCATGTCAGAGTTCGCACTTTTCTAGTTCTGTAATCTCTTACAGCCCATAAGCTACCACTCCCGCCGTCAGATTCCTCCGTCGCACTTACTTTTCGCCAAGTCCCAGTTGAAACGTCCTTGCGAGCAAGGAAACCTTGCTACTGTGTGTGTGTTAAAGTCAGTTATAACAATGACTCCATATCTAAGATGTTGAGCGAAAGAAACATGTTTTTTTCAAAATAAAGGCAATGTCTAGAACTCCGTATTTTTTTCAAACGTATTTTTTAGAATCACGCGATGGTCTACACGTCGATTGACATGCCATATCATCTAAACTTCATGGGATGATCGATTTTTGTTTTCCATAAAATCTGCTTCACTGTCATTACAAGCTACTACTGGAACGCAAATAGACAATTACCAAGCTCTGACTTGCTAGGGAGGTTTTTTCAAGTGTTTCTATTTTAAGTAAAGGCTCAAACATTATGAATGATAAAATAGACAAATGAAATCATCCTGACATAAGCTTGTTTATCTATAAATAAAGCTGGTTCACACACTTTATTCTTCTCCTTTTCTTTTCTCTTAACATGCTTCTTTTATCGTATGAAAGTAACCGATCACATAAAAAGGTTAGTTAGTAATGACTCTTGTTTCTTTAAAAAGAAGCTAAATTGAAAAAAGATATATTGTGATATTGCGGCTGCGGCTAGTCTTTGCTATAGGAGGGCGACCTTTTTGGCAGGGTTCTTGAGTTTTTGGAACTCAAGAACCGTGAATGGCTGTGACTGCACTGTAAATAGTCGTAAGCATACTGGCCTACAAGTGTCAGAGGCTTTCATTTCTGGAAGGGCGCTTCACCCAAGTCCGAGTTGGCCTCTTTGAGGAAGTTTGAAGAGTTGCTGGACGTGATTATGGACGATACTGAGCTTATTTTGTCAGATGGCGAAAGCGTTTGCGTTTCGACAAGAGATTCATTGCGCAGCATGATGGAAGAGGATGAACTAACTGAATTTGGGAGAAGGATTGACTTGATTGTTAACTGCAGCCGTTTAGGAGCCACTGTTGAACTATGCAGCATAGAGTTTAAAAAACAAGATGCAAGTAAATCGGTGGTTACTCACCAACAAAGCAAAAATGCTAGAATAAACTCTTGTATCTTAAGCAGCATCAACTCCTTGACAAAGAATTTTAGCAATCAAATATTATCCTTTGACTTTGTTGGAAACAACGGTTATATGACACAGATGTGTTGCTACGAAGACGTTATGTTTTCTCAAAAAATCGCTGATCTTCATATACCGACAGATGCATTCGAGTTGGATAGTTTGAGAAGTACTTCGAAGTATTTGTATTTGTGGAAGTCACATCTTGTAAAGTTATCTGCTACAGTCATAAAATCCCTATACAGCAACAAACGAAAGTATTCTCTTGTCGAAATATGCGAAAAAGATAGCAACAAATCGTCAAGGCTCTCCCCTCCCCCCGTCTAGCTCAATGATATTTTCATGACCCCACACAGAAAGAGTACAAAATAAATATATTAATTATGACCTCCTAAATACGAATAGTAGGAATGGCCTTCTAGTTTATGTCATAAGAAAATGTTTTGTCACCTTTTACTACATCAAGGTGCTTGCGACCTTGATTTGATTCTACCATAAATTTCAGACAGCCATATACACGATCCAAATTAGACCGGAAGACAGATTGATTTTTCACTAGCAACACGTTAGACGCTGCAGAAAAATAATTGTGATACGATAAATAGCAGCATGACCTTACTACCCAATTATGTCTTTGAAATAAGGCATTAAGAAGAGCAACTTAACCGCCGAATCAATTTAATATCAGCTAAAGAAAAAGACCATGATTATGGATTAAAATGCTATGGATCATGTTATTAATTCATGTAGTTTAGGAGATTTTTTTTTTTTTTTTTTTTTTTTTTTTACAATAGTTTATTTAACAAAGTGAACAAATTCATCATTATGAATGAGTATACTTGCAGTAGTAGTATGTCGCTTTGCGTAATCTATTTTGATCTCGGGATGACAAGCCATTTATTATCTATAAAACTACAGAGGCTTAAAGCAGTTGTAACCCTTTTTTTTTTTTTTTTGAAAAAAAAAAAAAGGCTGGAAAGTCGGCTTTCTTTTATAAATATATTGTCATAATGAGAATGGTAAACAAGAACTGGCTTATGTCAGAATGTCACCTGCAAAAAGCCTGCCAACCTAAAGTCAACCGCAAAGTAATGCCTGTAGCTTTCAAATCTCAATCATTTCCGAAGAAGAAATTACTGCTAAATGTGACACACACCAGATCTCAAAAAAAAACGTTAAAAACGCATGAACTGATGCCTCGGCCAATGACAAGTTTACAAGATTGAGATTGTTGAGCTAAATAAGAAAACAGAAAAAATTCTCGGGTTTCATTGGTGGGGAACTCCAGTCACGAATTCTAACCACATCACATCTCTTTTTTTGAAAACCTACCAAGATGGAGTGTGTGCGGTGTTAATAAAAAAAAAACCAGCATCTTTCATTTTTTTTTTATTCTTTCCCTTCTCCAGTAAAGAAAAAAAAATTATGGTAGAAGAAACACAATATGATAAAATTCTGGTAAAGAATTTGGTTTTGAAGAATGTTGCTGGCGTAGAAGCGTGGCAGAGACTTAAGTCACAACCTGTGATTATTTCTGTCGAATTATATACGGATATTTCTGCTGCTGGCGATACTGACCATGTCACCAACACCATTCACTATGGTCATGTCACGAAGGCCATTACGAAACTCGGTGAGACCTGTACTTTCTCTTCCTTGGAAGGCTTAGCTCATGCTGTGGTCAAGTTGTGCTGTGTGCAGTTTGGAGCGAAAAGAACACAAGTGACAGTTGAACAACCCAAGGCCTTGTTACACGCTGCTGCTTCCGGTGTCAAATTGACCCGTGCTATTGAAGATTTTGAAGATAAGGACATGGTGGAAACAACAGGACGAGTATCAGGATTGGGTGTAGCAGATGAAATCTTTGTGCGAGATTTACGTCTTCATACGATTGTGGGTGTTAACCCTTGGGAACGTGAGGAGAAGCAAGTTGTTGTGATCAATTTAAAGGTTTTCCCTCGTGGAAAGAATGTGGCTCAGGATAACGAAAAGAACAAGTCTCACAATTTGAGAACCATTGTTCGAACCTTAACTCGTCATATTGAAGCCTCCGGATACAAGACCATCGAAGCGTTTGGTGTTACTGTGGCTCGATTGGCGCTTGAGAAATGTCATGTCAACAAGATTTCTGTTCGAGTCGAAAAGCCCAGTGCTATTTTATTTGCTGACTGTTCCGGTATTGAAGTCACGCGTAATCGTGTTTGGTTAAATCAAGTATTGGAAGCTGAAGAGAAGGCAGGACAAAAATCAATTCATCATGCTGGTAAATTAAATTATAGTAAAGAAGTACCCGCTGATTATACCCAAACTGCCTATATCGCTTTCGGATCCAACATTGGGGACCGTGTCGACAACATCAACAAGGCATTCGCTCTTCTCGAAAAGGAATGCTCCAGTGTTGTGTTAGATACCAGTTTCTTGTACGAGACACCTCCCATGTATTATATTGAACAGCCTGCTTTTTTGAACGGTGTCTGCAAGATTGCAACTAGCCTGAGTCCTCATGAATTACTGGCCAAGTTGAAGGAAACAGAAAATACCCTGGGTCGTCTCCCTAGCTTTAGAAATGGACCAAGACCTATTGATCTTGATATTCTCTTTTACAATGATTTGGTGTTGGAGGATGGAGAGCATTTGATCATTCCTCACAAACTGATGGGTGAACGTGAATTTGTGTTATGGCCTCTTTGTGATATTGCTCGTGATATGGAACATCCTCGTCTCTTCAAGACCAATGGCCAGTTATTATCTCAGTTATTAAAGGTGACCGCTGAAAGTGAAGAAGGTTCACTCAAGATTGACAAAGTAGCACCTATTCAAAACAAGCTATGGAAATGGAACGAAAAGACATTTGTGATGGGTATTTTGAATGCTACACCCGATAGCTTTTCAGATGGTGGTAAACACACAGATATCGAAGCCGCTACTGCTGCTGCATGGCGTATGAAGGAAGAAGGTGCGGATATCATTGATATTGGTGGTATGTCTACACGTCCTGGTGCAGATGATACATTCCCCGAAGAAGAGGAAATTCGTCGTGTTGTACCTATCATTACTCAGTTACGTGAATCTGGTTTTGATTTACCTATTTCCATTGATACATTCCGTGCTTCTGTTGCTAAAGCTGCTGTGGAGGCTGGTGCTAATTTAATTAATGATATCAGTGGTGGTTCTCGTGACCCTAATATGCTCAAAGTGATGGCCGAATGTCAAGTTCCTGTATGCTTAATGCATATGCGTGGAGATGCACAAACGATGATGTCTGAACAAAACACGACTTATGAGAACGACGATGTGGTTGATGATGTATCGCATGTATTGTATTTGCTTGTCCAAAGAGCTATTGCAGCTGGTGTGCATCGTTGGAATATTATTATTGATCCCGGTGTTGGGTTTGCTAAAACCCCCGAGCAAGACTTTGAATTGTTGCGTCATTTAGGCGATATGTCTGGAGGACAGGATTCCCTGTTGCGTGGTATTCCTTCTTTGGTGGGTATTAGCCGCAAGAAATTTATCGGTAAAATCACGGGAGTTGATGAGGCTGAAAAAAGAACTTTTGGAACGGCTGGTGCTGTGGCTGCTTGTGTTGCTGGTGGAGCGAATATCATGAGAGTTCATGATGTGAGACCCATGTGGGAAGTGATTCAAGTATGCGATACCGTTTGGAAGAAGAAGTAGATAATCATCCTACGCCTCTTTCACCTTTCTTTTTTGTATATATATATAATAAATCATTTTGTTTTTTCTCTTTCTTTCATACAATGCTGTGACTGTTGACATTACAACCCTTATGCCGCTCCTCACTTTTTATTCTTTTGTTTTTTTTGTTCTTTTTTCCTTTACATAAATTTAACGCGAGTTTGACTGTATGGCTTCAATCTACACAAAGAGATTAACAAAAGAACTTCGAGGTAGGCTATTCATGTACAGGGTAGAAAGTGCATTGCATCTAATATTTTTCATTGCAAGATCTCAACAAGAATCCTCCAGAAGGTGTTGTTGTGGAAGAGGCTGATAATTTAAAAAAGTATGTCCCATCGATCAAAACGTTTATTATAATATCTCACCAAACCTTGAATAGATGGAAAGTACGTTTGACTGGTGCTCCAGGTACCATTTACGAGGTTAGCGCGACATTTCTTTTTTGTTTTATATAACTGTTGTTCATTATGCAGAACTAACACACGTTTTGTAAATACTAGAATGAAGAGTTTAAGCTTGAGGTAAGCGAATTTTTGGTAAGAGTATATGCCATCATGTACTTATGTATGACTCCAGTTTCGTTTTACTACACAGTACCCATTAGAAGCACCTGATGTTGTTTTTATCAAACCTTTTATCCCAATCCATCCACAGTAAGAGCTAATTTTAGAAACCCATAATATATATTCATGTACATTTACTAACACCGAATGTACATAGCGTAAGTACATGAAAAAAATTAAGGCAATGGGATGAAGAGATACAAAGGGAAGATATAAGGCTGATCGGTTGTAACAGATTTATTCCAATGGCCATATTTGTTTAAACATCCTTTATAAGGACTGGTCACCAGTCCAGACAGTTGCTCAAGTTTGTTTATCCATTATATCCATGATTTCTAGTTGCACAAAGAAAGTAAGGTTAAAAGGAAATGTGTATTGACTATAAATACTTATCTTATCATACAGGAGCTTCCACCAGATAATGAAATGTATATCAAATGTGCGTCTGCATCACCAAAAAAGACGGCGTGGGCTTTCCAGGTTAGTTGTGATAAATAGCGAATACAATTGTAAACTAATATGTAATTTCTGTTTTTTTTTATAGTAAGTAAAAAGACATGATAAGAGAGGGATATTAACTAACATGTATTTGCAGTGATGACACAGTGTAGAAAAAGAGAGAGTCGATAGGAGAATAAATAATAGACAAACGAACTATTTTTTATTATTTTCGGGATGAAAAAGGGAAGGGAAGAGGGGGAATTATAATACAATACAAAAAAATAAAATAAAAGGAAACGCTTTTTTTTCCATTTATACAATCCAAGCAAGGACTTTACGATACCAAGGTAACACCTTATCTTCTGCATCATCTTGCTCGATATCAAGACGAGTGACACGACCTGTTTCGAAATCAACGTCCATCAAGGGAATCACCTTGGATTTACGAATTAATTTATATCCGATGTACCAAACTGTAACAGGTACAAGACCAATGTAATTCTGTACAAACTTGGTACCATTGAATTCTGGGTAAAAAGCATTATAGCCTTGACCAAAGATAACAAATGTTGTCAAAGCAATGGCGATATAGGCAGAATAAGGATAACCAAAGGCCTTGAAAGGCAAGTCATCCATACTACGTCCTTGTGCCACAAAGGCCTGTCTGAATCGGATATGTACAACAGCGATACCCCACCAGCCGATAAAGCCACTCACGGCAGTGATACTCAAGAACCAAACAAATGCAACAGAAGCACTGTAAATGGATGCAAAGACACAGAGGAAACCAACAATGGAGGAACAAAGGACAGCCCAGTAAGGAGAACCAAAGCGGTTCATTTTAGCCAAAAAGCGTGGTGCGTTACCATCCTTTGCAAGACCCAACATGGTACGAGAACAAGTATAGAGAGAGGAGTTGGCAGCGGACAAGACACTAATTAAGATGACAGCATTAATGACATGTGCGCCTGCTTCGATACCAGCAAGAGTAAAGACAAGTGTGAAAGAGGCGGTTCCTGGATCACCATCGGGATTAGCCAAGTCAGGATTATCGAAAGGCAAACACATGCCCAATAAGAAGATGGTGAGAATATAAAAGAAAATGATACGCCAGAAAGTGTTACGGATAGCACGGGGAACTGTCTTTGTAGGATTCTTTGCCTCGGCAGCAGTGATGCCTACAACTTCTGTACCCATGAAAGAGAAACCTGCAGAAAGTAAGACATCCAATGTACCAAGTCCAGCGCCTGCAAAAGCGCCTGGGTTTTTCCAATAATCGAAACCAATGACTCGTTCACCAAGACCACCTGTGGTGACACATAACGCTAATTGTTGAAAAGATAATTGTTAAAAAAACAAGTGAATGGGAAGCAATACTTTTTCTTTTCTCTTTACCAATAATAATAAATACAAGAACAATTAAAATCTTCAAGAGCGCAAACCAGTATTCCAGTTCACCAAAGAGCTGAACACCCACCAAATTGATGAGAATGATAAGGATAATGAAAATCGTAGACCAAGCGGGATCAGGAAGTACTGGTTTCCACCAATTGATAATAGTAGCAGATGCGGAAATTTCTAAATATGCAGGATATTAGTATTCGCGCTTGTAGGGTTTTCCACAGTTTCTATTTTACCGGTAGCGATAGTAACAGCCTATTATAATCAATTGTCAGTATATATTTTCTTGGGAAATTCAAAAGTTACACATACCCACTATAACAATAATGATCGTGCGAAAAAAAAAAAAAAGAATGCGATTGTTAAGTTCGAGTAACCTAAAATTTAAAAAAAAGATGTTGTCTTACCGAAAGCCTAAGTTATGAATGTTAGCTTTGATCGATCATACACAAGGAAGAAAAAAAAAAGTTTACCAGTAATTCCAACCGATAGCAAAACCAAAAGCAGGATCAATGAATCTGAATGCGTAATGGTTGAAAGAACCAGACACTGTAATATGGTATTAGAATCTACATGATAGTGATAAATTTCGATTCAAGTTACCAGGCAAATAGGTAGCCATTTCACCAAGGGAAGTCATGAGACAATACACCTATAAAACAAAGATCATTTGTGTCATTATTTTCATCGTATTTTATCTAATCTACATATCTGTCATACCATAACACCGACTGTGAAAATGTTAGTAACTTGTTTTGATTTATCTAAAATTGATCACTTACCGACGATATACGCAATTAATGCACCAGCAGGTCCCGCCTATATATTTTAATTAAAAAAAACTTGATCTCTACAGATAGCACTAAAAAAAAAAACTTACGATTGCAATATTTTGACCAGAGTTCAAGAATAAACCGGTACTACAATAGAGACAAAAGATCGTGAGAATAAATTACAATTATGACAGGTGGAAGGTAGATAAAATTACCCAATACAGCCACCGAGTGAAATCATTTGGATATGACGAGCAGAGAGACCACGGATAGGTTGTGCTGAGGCAATGGATTCTTTGTCATTAGGTATACTTTCGAAAGAAAGGTCTGTTTGATCATAAACCTCGACTTTTTCGTTATTAAAAACTCGCATTGGATTATTGGGGTTATTGTCTATGACCCCTTGCTCCGCGCGGCTGATCTTTTGATCTGGCGTAGGCATGGTTTTTTTTAAAAGAAAAAAAAATTTAGAGAGTGAAAGAAAAGGATTAGGCCAAGAGAAAAAAGTTTTTTTTTTTTTTACTGAATGTAATAGGATGGGTTGACCCTGTCTCTGAAACACAAGTCCGCTTACCCAAAAGAAGCGATTTTGTCAAAGAAGCTTTCATGCTCCGGTGATAGAAAAAAGATGCGGGACCAGAGTTTGAGTGGGGGTGGGAGATAGCAAAAGACTTCATTAGGCATCGCTTAACATTTTGTACCATGTGTCAATCTGAACGGAGCCTATTTCCTGTTACTCATAATTATTAAATGCCCTCCCCACCCCTAGCCCTTTCTCGTTGTCTTCATTGGTTCAACCCAAATTATTGATGGTTTTCCAAGAAACATTGATTTCTCTCCGTCCAATAAATGTCGATTAGCTTTTAACTGGATCGTCCTTTTACCGTCTGTCCGGTAATCAGAGCTCAGACAAGGATGTTATTTTTGCCAGCATCACTGGGGAAGCAATATATTTGGATAATTCCCGAGCTTGACATAGGACCGCTTTTATTGGATGACTGTCATTGATCGTAATACAAGCAAAAAAAAAAAAAAAAAAAAAAAAAAAAAAAAACCTCCTGAAAGTCTTTGCAATAACAAAAGATCCGTTTTTAATATTTCTTTTGCTTTCCTCTCTTTTTTTTTTTTTTCTTTCCCTTTAAATTTCCTATGATAACCGCAACAAAAAATGTAAGTTTTTTTTTTTTTTTTTTTTTTTTTTTTTTTTTTTAAACATATAAATTTCGATATGGAGAATTAATCCTAAACATAAAAATTTTCGCGTTTTATTATTCAGAATCTTCCCGCATCTACAAATGCGTTCCAGGAAGGTATGTGTGTAGAATACTGGAGTATGACTTTTTTTTTAATTAATTTTTACATCTTTCTCTCTCTTCACCATAACAGCCAAAGACAAATTAAAAAAGATTTCTTTACTGAACAGTAATGATATCAAAGCCTTAACGACGAAACAAGTACCCCAAGAGGAACAACAAGAACGTACGCTGGCATTAATCACATCGACTGAAGATTTACCTGCTATTCGATCTCATATCGAGAATCAAGGTTTCACCATCATCAAGTCAAAGACGATACAATTGTCATCTGAACAAGCACAAGCATTTTACGAGGATCATCTTACTCAATCCTATTATGACAAAATGGTGCGATGGTTAGGTAGTGGGTAACGTATGCCTTTTATTAAAAAAAAAAATTTTTTTTTTGTAACTTATGCATATATTGTTTAGTTCAAATATATGCGCATTGGTTTTAGAAAAGAAAAATGCAATCCAAGACTGGAAATCCTTGATGGGTCCAGCCGCCTATAAAAAAGCTCGAAAAAACAGCCCAAACTCGTAAAGTCGCCTTCTCAAGCGCAATAGCATGTCTTACTGACCCTTTTTTTTCGGTATAGGATTCGTGCTCTGTTTGGAAAAGATACGTTACAAAACGCCACACACGGAAGCGATTCGGAAGCTAGTTTCAAAAAAGAAATCGATTTTATTTTTTCTGATTCCGTATTAGATATGACGGCTGCCGACACTCCTCCTGCTGCTGCTGCAGAATTACATCATCCACAAAATGACGGCGTTGTTCCTGTTACTATGCCCATCACAAATGAAGATACCCCAGTCGTTACTGATGCTGCTCCGGAAGAAGCTCAAGTTAATGCCACCGTTGAACACAAGAATGAGACGCGTGATAATAATACAGATACGCTTGAAAGCCATGTACCAGATACCATAGAACAAGAGAAACACGTCCAAACTCCTGTCGCTGTGGACACACAGGAGAAAGAAACATCACCTGCTACAGATAACATGGAAACTGTTTCATCTGTTGTCGTCAACAACTCTTTAACTGATGCTATTGAGAAAAAGGACATCACCAACATCGACCAAATTATACCTGCTATTTGTGATACTACTAGTTTACCTGTAAACACTAAAGATATACACTCTGATGCTAATAAGGAGAATACTATGCTTGCTGAAGAAAAGAAGGAAGTAAGTAGACCTGTTGAAGATAAAATGGTGGACGTCTTGCCTATTAAAGAGGAGAAGGAAGAAAGCGCACTTGTGGAAAATATCGTACCTACTAAAGATAAGAAAAAAGAAAGTGCGCCTATTGAAGATGAAAAGAAAGAGTGTGTGTCAGTTAATAACCATGTTGATGAATTGGAAGAGATTTCACTTGTTGATGATAACAAAGCACCTTCGGTGTTAGATGATGCCTCCGATGCTGCAGGTAGTGTCCTAAAAGAGGCTGATGCTGCAATCTCCGATATTTCGCAAGACAAATTAAAGACTTGCATTGAACTTACGCCTGATGCTTCTTTGAAAGACGAAGATGTCATCTCATCAGACAATACAATCAAAATTGACAATCAAGATGAAAACCCTTCTGATAATACCATGATTTCTGATGCCGAAACCATTACAATCACACCGCCTGCTGAAAGAGACCAAGCAGTGTCTACAACCAGTTCTGCTGGTTTGAATGTCAATGAGGACCAAAAGAGCTTACCCAAGCCAACAGAGGCCAGTCATTCTACAAAAAAGCCTCTCAAGAAACAAGTTAAAAAAGAGGCGATTATTCCATCTAGTTCGCGTATTAGACCCCCTAGTATTAAAAGAGGGCAGAACGGTTGCATGATTCAAAGCGGCGAACCCATAGGAAGAACTCGTACCACCAGTAACAAGATTAATTCAGCCAACAGCAGTGCAGGCACCACACGTATTGCAAGGTTGAGCCCTTCTGCCACCATCAGAAACGAACCAGCTGTCGTTGCTGAAAAGAAAAAAACGACGGTCACCCGCGACGCACCTAAAAAACCACCTACTAAAGTGTCCAAAAATTTGCCACGTGTAGCTACGATGGCAGCTGCAAAGCCGGTTACTGCCGTAAAAGAAGAAGAGAACGAAGGCGAGAAAAGGACGAAAAAGCGAGGCTCATCTACTAAAAGCTTTATATCAAGATTGACAGCGCCTACGGTAGCAAGCCAGAATAAGAAAGCAGATAGTGATACAACCGCAGCTACGACAACAGCAACAACAGGTGTTTCACGTCGTACCACCGTGTCCGGAAAGCGAAGTTCTGCTGTACGACCTGCTTCATCCACATCAAAGGTATATTAAAAAAAAAACGGATTGATAAATTACATGGACTGATATCATTATTCTTTTAAAAACCACTAGTAAATAATAGCACGAACTAAGCAAAAGGATAGTCCATGTGGTTGCTATCTTATAAATCGATGTTTTAAGAAAAAAAAATATAATCCCGTTCTTTTTAATAAATGTTGAGTTTACATGACTAAAGGGTATATTTTATTATTCGACTATGCCACGCGTACTATCTACGATAATCAAATCGCCAGAGGGTGTGGTAATCTCAATACATGTTGAATCGTGAAGATCCTTAGGCTTCTGTAATACATGCCCAGGTGGCAAAAATTGTAGAAAATTTTGAATTAAAGAGTGATGTCCCATAAACAATTGCATTGTCCTTTCTAATACTTGCTTTGTTCCAATTCTAAAAAACAAGTTAAAAGTTGTTTCTCATTGTAAAATCAATGACCTTTTTTACTTACTCCTTGTTTCTGAAATCTACCATGATTGCAATAAATTCCTGATAGACCTTGTTGTTATCGTCAGGGAACTCGCTTCTTACGTCGTCCAAAAAGGTAAGGGCGTCTTTTTGTTTAATAACCTTGGTGTGTTCTTCAGTGCTATCCATTGGTTTGTGTTTTGGGTTATGGGAAAAAAAAGAAAACCATTTGGATAAGCCTGAGACCAAGGTTTATGCGATCTCTTACTCTCGTTACACAGCATTGATTGGTTCTTATTCAACAAATCTTTTTGATTGTTGTTAAATTAATGATTATGATTTACGAAGTCTTCTTTTATAATCATGATAAGAGGTCTAGATACAGGGGTTTTGATATATGGGATTAATTTTCTATACTTCAACAAGTTGATGTTTTGATTTAGCAAGTTCTAATAAGCTATCAAATTCACCAGAATTACGACACATTTTGTAAAATGATGACTCGGGATTGTTGATCAATGTCAAAGGATTATCAAATTCAAGAATACGTCCTTGATTCAATAGCAAAATACGATCATATTCAATCACTGTATGTAAACGATGAGCAATACACAAAATTGTACTATCAGAAAACTCGGTGGCAATCGTTTTTTGAATTGCCTTGTCTGTCTCGAAATCGACGCTTGCAGTAGCCTCATCCATCAAGACAACGCGACTACTTTTCAAAAGTGCACGGCCGAGACATAACAATTGACGTTGACCTTGAGAAAAGTTTTTGCCACCTTCGCTGACGTTTGTATCGAGATCTTTGAATACATTGGCATTGACCTCTTCTCCACTGTTGAAACTCTGGATACTACTATTAGCACTGCTTGGAACCAGATGAACTCTTTGGAGCGCCGCAATGATATCTTCGTCCTGGAATTCGTGGAATGGATCCATATTTGAGCGAAGTGTGCCAGAGAACAAGGTAGGATCTTGAGGAATAATGGTCAAATTGGAGCGGAGATCTTCTGTACCAAGATCTTTGATGTCTATATTGTCAATTGTAATAGAACCTTGTGAAGCTTCCACAAAACGGAAAAACGATAATGCAAGTGTAGATTTACCACTACCCGTTCTACCTACAATACCGATTTTTTCCTGAGGCTTGATAGAGAATGTAAGACCTTTCAAGACGGGATCCAAATCGGCAGCGTATCTCACTTCCAAATCCTTCACTTTAATCTCACCTCGAGTAGGCCATTGAGGTGGGGGTCTAAAACTGGAAATAGCAGCAGCTTCTTGATCCATTTCCATAAATTCAACAATACGTTCGACGGCGTTGAAACTCATTTCTAACCCAGTGTATTGGCGGATACTCCAGAACATATTATCAGTAAACAACAGTACAAAACTTAAACCAAAGCCTGCTAAGGCTACGTCTATTTTGTCCGTGTTATAAAGTACAATTGCACAAGCACTAAAGTTAACGACAGCAGAAGTCATATAATACCGGACACTAACCCATCGATTGACTGTCCAAGCATATACAAAGGGACGAACATTGGCATCGATGCACTCCATCATAACCTGTAGAAACTGTTGAGATACACCAAAAGCACGAATAGTAGCAACACCAGAAATTGTCTCTGCAAAATTGGAAAATAAAGGTGATCTTGTTACAGAATCCAAACGTTTAAACTCACGGGAGCTTTTGACGTAATCCAGCCCGACGAATACATTGATTGCAGCAATACAAAACATTGGAACAGACAGAGTCGGCATAATAATACATACTGTAACAGTAGTTGTGATAATCATGAACCATTGAATAACAAAGGCCATAAAATCGTTGGGAATTTTGGAATCAACAGCTTCGAAATCCTTGGAAAATCTGTTTAAAATACGACCCGTGGGGGTTGTATCAAAGAAACGAAGAGGAGCACGGAATACCCGATGAAGAAGAGACCCATATAATTGACGGTTTGCTTTGAGAGCACCCCAGTACATCAAAGCAAATCGTAAGGCGCCAACAATAACGTTTCCACAAGTAATTAGACAGTATATACTCAAATAATAGTTCAGATGATTAACTCCGTCGGAAGATGTGTGAGAGGTTCCATTATTCAAAGCAGTGACCACCGAAGTCTGCGAAAAGTCAGGCATCATCATCATGCCGAGGTCATGAGTACGAGCACCTAAACCAGCGTTAAAAGCAGAAATTGTGGTATTATCATTTGGGTTGTTTGTGTAAGATTGAGCCCAAATCTTGATCCACCAACTCTCTCCAATTTCCAAGGAACGGGCGCCAATGACAAAAAGAGTCATGACAAGCCAAAAGCCAGCATTACCAACCATTGAGAAATAAATTTTGTATAATCTAAATTTAACTGCTCCAGAAGCACGCGTTTCATCTTCAACTAGTACACGGGCTGCCTTCTGATCTTTCTTTGTATTAGTGTCAGTTCCGGAAGCGACGGTAGTGGTTGAAGAGTTGTCAATATTTTCAATGGCGGCTTCTTCAGAAGCATCTTGATCGTCTTCAAATCCATTATCCTCTTCGATGATCTTTTGTAAAGCACCAGATTGACGCAACTCTTCAGGCGACCCAACCACACCAGCACGACCATTATCAATATGAACCAAAAAGCTACAACCTTTAATGCAAAGCTTGATATGATGTGTAACAAGAATTCGAGTACGATTTCTCATGAGAGGTCCCATCAAACAGTTGTCATATAAATGTTTAGCAGTATGTGCATCTACAGCACTCAAAACATCATCCATCAAAACATTTTGGGCACGAGAATAAACTGCTCTGGCCAAAGCGACTCGCGCCTTTTGACCACCAGAGAGAGTGATACCCTTCTCACCAATTTCAGTGCCGTCACCGTCTTCAAAAATACTCAGATCTTTATCAAGAGCACAGGCGGTTAAAGTATCGTTATAACGCGATTCAATGTAGGGTAATCCAAACAAAATGTTGTCACGAATAGATGCGTTTTGTAACCAGGGAGTTTGAGACACATAGGCCAAGGAGCGATCCAAAATCCAGTCATCCGAGTTGATATCTTCAGAAATAGGCCCGAATTCAGAAAAGATAGTATCGGCAAAAGGTACACGAGGGCAAGAAATTTTACCGTCTACCAAGATGGCTTCACCCAGCAGACCAAGAAGCATTAAGGTCTTTCCGGAACCAGTAGAACCACTGACCAAACTAAGCTCGTTGTTAGGGAACTCGGCTACAATATCTTTAAGAATAAAACTTGCTTCTTCGTCAGCAGTGCTTTGATTTGGAAGTGGTTTCTTCCAACCAATAGTAGCATTTTTAAATCCAATCTTAACAGAGGCTTGATTGTCTCCAGGGAGAACGGGATCAATTTCATCCTCGTCCAAGAACTTTGTAATACGTTTTAAACTAGAGAATGCTTGTATACTATCAATTACCGTTTCTGGAATAATGTTGAGGGCAAATCTGAGCTCAGTGAATATACTGATGGCAGTAAATGCAATAGGTGCATTTAATTCATGTCCTTGAATTTTTGTGTAAGCAATAAATGAAACAAGAGTTACTAGTATAGGTGCACTAGAAGCAGAAAAAAGTCAGATTTGAGTATTACTACAAAATTTCAAGTAGAGATTACCCTTGCCAGACAAAAGCAAAAAGCACACCATTAATATAAGTGATACTCAATTGATGGAGTTCGAGATTTCTTGCTTCCATGATACGTTCTTCCCATTTTGTTTCCCAAGCAAAAAACTTAATTTGACGAATGCCCTGAAGAACTTCATTCATAAGCGAAACACGTTTATCACGGGCCTCCATTAAACGATCTTGAGTTTTTGAAAAAATCTTAGCGTTAAAATGGTTAATGGGTAAAATGACAATCATGATCAGTAAGCCATAAAAACAAGAAACGCCCATGAGTTGGTATAGAAAGTAGAATCCCGTGACGAGTTCAAGAGGAGCAGAAACGATACCAAACCAAATGGCAGCGAAATCAGCTATACGACTGGCATCAGTACCCATTAAATTGATAATAGCACCAGTAGAAGCTAATGAATTCTCGTCCTTCTTTTCATTGGTATCTCTAGTTTCCTTATCGTCAGCCTTTTCAGAAGAAGCAACAGAAAGATCGCGACGACGAAGGGATTTTTGGTACACTTCAACATTTAACATGGTTCTCACGCGAATTTGAAGAGAAGAAGAGGCTGATTATCATAATTAGATTACCACAGTAAGTTATATATTTTATTGCTTACCAAAATACCAGAGCTGACCAGCGACAGTACCCAGAATAGCAATCGACGCGCCCATACCAATTACAATCATTGTTCCATATATCATAGCATCTTCATAATACACGCCATTACTAGCGTCTTGAAGGAGTTGGAGCATACGATTCATAAAAAAAGGCGGGGCAAAGAACAAAAATGAAGCAATAACTGCTAATGATAATTGAATGGCTATATCCGCGGCATTGGCCTTAAGTAAGCGATATAAAAGCGAGCCTTTTTCCCGCGAAGCGCCAAAGATATAGAATATATTATGTGCGCGAAACTCAGGGGTCAAAACAGGTAAATCCTGGTCTGTCATTTCGCCTTTCTTCTTGGAGACAACACGAACTACATTTGTAACCCAATTAAAGGACAATTTACCAAAGATTGAATCGACGTTTATGTTACACACCGGACGATCTTTTTCGTCTAAAAATGGCGGGCCTTGTTTCATAGTCGCAGTAACATAAACCAAATCAAATCCTAATAATACAGGTAATAATAGTGACAATGATTCCAACCATGGCATCTGTGGGAACCCGATAATTACATCTAGACAGAATTGATAGACAGAAAAACAAAATGCAATGGTATAGAAGATGCAGAGGTGAACATTCAATACCCAACCCCATTCATTGGGTAGACGATAATGACGAGAGGTTATTGCAAGAACAAAAGCATAAAGCCATGATATGAAGACACCTGTAGAAGAAGTAATCAGGTGAACACTGTCTGGATCCTTCTCGGTGTTAGTAACATAAACATAGAGATCCATTGCAGACAATGTAGCTAGTAGCAAGGTGCAGTACGTAATACGTGTAATACGATTTGTGTCATCAAAGGGATCGCTTAAATCCCTTTTAGAATCGGTTCGAGGAGGCAGCCGTCCGTCAGTCGATAGGGAAATACCACCTTCTTCTTGTTGCTGACGTTTGTGATAAAGGCCACGCTGGATAGACAATGCAATGGCGCTTACACTCGCTACAACTGGTAGACTAACCGAGACCCAGGTTACACTCGGTAGAATTTCCATGGTTGTATGAATTGAAAGTAATTTAGATAAGAGAAAGACAACTTTAACGATTTCCACCTTTTACAATTATTGCTGCGGTTCAGCTAGAAATTAATTTACCGCCTACCACTACTTTGAACACATGAGAAACAACGCTTTGCTTGTAACCAAAAACAATTCTATGTGACTGCCTTGGATCACACTAATATTCAAGAGTCATCATACTCCATACCAGAATAAAAGCTTTGCTTGTAACCTCATAAACCTTCTGTTATGACAGATATACTCAAACTTATATACATAATATTCAGTTCAATGAGTAGAAGAATATTAAAGCTGATGTAAGGCTTAAGTACAGTAGTTACGGCCATAGTTATTGTAAATAGAAAACGGTTTGTAAACCTTTGGGTAGTTAATCAATTATTAAAAAATGTCAGAAGATTCTATTGAGTAGTTTACAATACCGAAAGAGTATGAGTCATGATCAATAGATGTACGGTAATAGCGTATTGTTTGGTTATAAATTGTTTATTTGTATAAATGCTGTTGCGAGTTATTATCATCCCTTTATATAGTTCGTTTGTACCCGGTTAATTTATTCGTCGAACGGAATCAACTGTTAGAAATGCTCTATAATGAGCGTTGAACCATTAAATTTTGGGTAAAGAGTTTTAATACTATTATAGATAGCTTATAGTTACCTTCATCGTCATATTTTGTGTTACAAGCCTTGTATTATGGTGGCAATGCTATAATATTAACGCTTTTCTTAGGGACAGCCAAATTTTCCTTGGGGACAGCCAAAGTGCACGTAGTCGCAACGTAAAATCTGTTAAATTTGGATGTTCTGTAGCCCTGGGAACAAGGATATACAATCAAAACAATGTAAAAATTAGGAATAAATGTATATTAAACTATTTGTACTTATTTTGACAATTCTATCATCACTATTTCGCCTTTGAGCTCGTTTGATCTTAATCTTACGCAGAAATATTAAGTTAAAGTCCAAACAAGAAGCTGAAAGTAAGCTGTATAACACATATACTGGTTTACACTATGTTGGTTGTAATAAATGTGTATATATTTCAAGTTTTTAAGTCATATTGACCTCTTGATGTCTATAAAAGTATCATAGTCCCAACATTACGACTACGCGCACCCTGGCTGTCCCTAAGAAAAATGGCTGTCCCTAAGAGACCTGTAATATTAATAGGGTTTATTGATTAATTCCTACATTAAGTTTTCAAATAACCTCCAGACTAGAATATTGTTACATTACCTTTTTCTTCTTCTTTGGTCCTTTTAACCTCAAATGTCCAAATTTTTGACTGCTTTTTGGTCCTTTTCTCACAAAAGGACCATAAAAATATTGGATTGCGGATTTCCGTTCTCATTTCAATACTAGCTATCAATGAACATGACCATCACGTGTACACAGTACTGCCTTTCTTTCACCGGAAACATGATCACGTATTTAGAGTACGCGACGCCAAGGACGACCATATCAGGGGAAGAAATTAGTTTGTTTCAATACTTAACAATTGTAATTAAATTAATTATTAATAAAGTATTTTTATTATTAACTACTATTCTCTTTATGATAATAGTCCTGGATGCAAGGGGGTTGATAGATAGGGATAATATTCTATACTTCAACAAGTTGATGTTTTGATTTAGCAAGTTCTAATAAGCTATCAAATTCACCAGAATTACGACACATTTTGTAAAATGATGACTCGGGATTGTTGATCAATGTCAAAGGATTATCAAATTCAATAATACGTCCTTGATCCAATAGCAAAATACGATCATATTCAATCACCGTATGTAAACGATGAGCAATACACAAAATTGTACTATCAGAAAACTCGGTGGTAATCGTTTTTTGAATTGCCTTGTCTGTCTCGAAATCGACGCTTGCAGTAGCCTCGTCCATCAAGACAACGCGACTACTTTTCAAAAGTGCACGGCCGAGACATAATAATTGACGTTGACCTTGAGAAAAGTTTTTGCCACCTTCGCTGACGTTTGTATCGAGATCTTTGAATACATTGGCATTGACCTCTTCTCCACTGTTGAAACTCTGGATACTACTATTAGCACTGCTTGGAACCAGATGAACTCGTTGGAGCGCCGCAATAATATCTTCGTCCTGGAATTCCTGGAATGGATCCATATTTGAGCGAAGTGTGCCAGAAAACAAGGTAGGATCTTGAGGAATAATGGTCAAATTGGAACGGAGATCTTCTGTACCAAGATCTTTAATATCTATATTGTCAATAGTAATGGAACCTTGTGAAGCTTCCACAAAACGGAAAAACGATAATGCAAGTGTAGATTTACCACTACCCGTTCTACCTACAATACCAATCTTTTCCTGAGGCTTGACAGAGAATGTAAGACCTTTCAAGACGGGATCCAAATCGGCAGCGTATCTCACTTCCAAATCCTTCACTTCAATCTCACCTTGGGTAGGCCATTGAGGTGGGGGTCTAAAACTAGATATAGCAGCAGCTTCTTGATCCATTTCCATAAATTCAACAATACGTTCGATGGCGTTGAAACTCATTTCCAACCCAGTGTATTGGCGGATACCCCAGAACATATTATCAGTAAACAACAGTACAAAACTCAAAGCAAAGCCTGCTAAGGCTACGTCTATTTTGTCCATGTTATAAAGCACAATTGCGCAAGCACTAAAGTTGACTACAGCAGAAGTCATCGAGTATCGGACACTAACCCATCGATTAACAGTCCAAGAGTATACAAAGGGACGGACATTGGCATCGATGCACTCCATCATAACCTGAAGAAACTGTTGAGATGCACCAAAAGCACGAATGGTAGCAACACCAGAAATGGTCTCAGTGAAATTGGAGAATATAGGTGATCTTGTTACAGAATCCAAACGCTTAAACTCACGGGAGCTTTTAACATACTCCAACCCAACGAATATATTGATTGCTGCAATAACAAACATTGGAATAAAAAGGGCTGGCATAACAACGCATACTGTAATAGCAGTTGTAATAATCATAAACCATTGAACAACAAAGAGCATGAAATCGCTGGGAATCTTGGAGTCGACAGCTTCAAAATCCTTGGCAAATCTGTTCAAAATACGACCTGTGGGGGTTGTATCAAAGAAACGAAGAGGAGCACGGAATACCCGATGAAGAAGAGACCCATATAATTGACGGTTTGCTTTGAGAGCACCCCAGTACATCAAAGCATATCGTAGGGAGCCAACAATAACGTTTCCACAAGTAATTAGACAGTATATACTCAAATAATAGTTCAGATGATTAACTCCGTCGGAAGATGTGTGAGAGGTTCCATTATTCAAAGCAGTGACCACCGAAGTCTGCGAAAAGTCAGGCATCATCATCATGCCGAGGTCATGAGTACGAGCACCTAAACCAGCGTTAAAAGCAGAAATTGTGGTATTATCATTTGGGTTGTTTGTGTAAGATTGAGCCCAAATCTTGATCCACCAACTCTCTCCAATTTCCAAGGAACGGGCGCCAATGACAAAAAGAGTCATGACAAGCCAAAAGCCAGCATTACCAACCATTGAGAAATAAATTTTGTATAATCTAAATTTAACTGCTCCAGAAGCACGCGTTTCATCTTCAACTAGTACACGGGCTGCCTTCTGATCTTTCTTTGTATTAGTGTCAGTTCCGGAAGCGACGGTAGTGGTTGAAGAGTTGTCAATATTTTCAATGGCGGCTTCTTCAGAAGCATCTTGATCGTCTTCAAATTCATTATCCTCTTCGATGATCTTTTGCAAAGCACCAGATTGACGCAACTCTTCAGGCGACCCAACCACACCAGCACGACCATTATCAATATGAACCAAAAAGCTACAACCTTTAATGCAAAGCTTGATATGATGTGTAACAAGAATTCGAGTACGATTTCTCATGAGAGGTCCCATCAAACAGTTGTCATATAAATGTTTAGCAGTATGTGCATCTACAGCACTCAAAACATCATCCATCAAAACATTTTTGGCACGAGAGTAAACAGCTCTGGCTAATGCAACTCGCGCCTTTTGACCACCAGAGAGAGTGATACCCTTCTCACCAATTTCAGTGCCGTCACCGTCTTCAAAAATACTCAGATCTTTATCAAGAGCACAGGCAGTCAAAGTATTGTTATAACGTGATTCAATGTAGGGAAATCCAAACAAAATGTTGTCACGAATGGATGCGTTTTGTAACCAGGGAGTTTGAGACACATAGGCCAAGGAGCGATCCAAAATCCATTCATCCGAGTTGATATCTTCAGAAATAGGCCCGAATTCAGAAAAGATAGTATCGGCAAGAGGTACACGAGGGCAAGAAATCTTACCGTCTAACAAGATAGCTTCACCCAGTAGACCAAGAAGCATTAAGGTCTTTCCGGAACCAGTAGAACCACTGACCAAACTAAGCTCGTTGTTAGGGAACTCGGCTACAATATTTTTAAGAATAAAACTTGCTTCTTCGTCAGCAGTGCTTTGATTTGGAAGTGGTTTCTTCCAACCAATAGTAGCATTTTCAAATCCAATCTTAACAGAGGCTTGATTGTCTCCAGGAAGAACGGGATCAATTTCATCTTCTTCTAAAAACTTTGTAATACGTTTTAAACTGGAGAGCGCTTGTATACTATCGATTAGTGTTTCAGGAATAACATTTAGTGCATAACGAAGCTCAGCAAATATACTAATGGCAGTAAATGCAATAGGTGCATTTAATTCGTATCCTTGAATCTTTGTAAAAGCAAAAAATGAAACAAGTGTTACTAATATAGGTGCGCTAGAAAAAGGAAGAAATGTCAATTTTAAGCTTGTTGCATAATTTATAATAGGGCTTACCCTTGCCAGACCAGAGAGAAAAATACACCATTAACATATGTAATACTCAACTGATGGAGTTCGAGATTTCTTGCTTCCATAATACGCTCTTCCCATTTTTTTTCCCAGGCAAAGAACTTAATTTGACGAATGCCCAAAAGGACTTCATTCATAAGCGAAACACGTTTATCACGGGCTTCCATCAAACGATCTTGAGTTTTTGAAAAAATCTTAGCATTAAAATGGTTAATGGGTAAAATGACAATCATGATCAGTAAGCCATAAAAACAAGAAACGCCCATGAGTTGGTATAGAAAGTAGAATCCCGTGATGAGTTCAAGAGGAGCAGAAATAATAGCAAACCAAACGGCAGCGAAATCAGCAATACGACTGGCATCAGTACCCATTAAATTGATAATAGCACCAGTAGAAGCTAATGAGTCCTCGTCCTCCTTTTTATCAGTATCTTTGGATTCTTTATCATCAGCCTTTTCAGAAGAAGCAACAGAAAGATCGCGACGACGAAGGGATTTTTGGTACACTTCAACGTTTAACATGGTTCTCACGCGAGTTTGAAGAGAGCAGGAAGCTAATTATATTTATTAGACTATCAAATCATAGCAGGTGTTCATTACTTACCATGATACCAGAGTTGACCAGTGATAATACCCAGAATAACAATAGACACGCCCATACCAATCACAATTAAGGTCCCGTACATCATAGCATCTTCATAATACACACCATTACTAACATCTTGAAGGAGTTGGAGCAAGCGATTCATGAAGAAAGCGGGAGCATAGTACAAAAACGAAGCAATAATAGCTAAAGATACTTGAATGACTATATCCGCGGCATTGGCCTTAAGTAAGCGATATAAAAGTGAGCCTTTTCCCCGCGAAGCGCCAAAGATATAGAATATATTATGTGCGCGAAACTCAGGGGTCAAAACAGGTAAATCCTGGTCCGTCATTTCGCCTTTCTTCTTGGAGACAACACGAACTACATTTGTAACCCAATTAAAGGACAATTTACCAAAGATTGAATCAACGTTTATGTTACACACCGGACGATCTTTTTCGTCCAAAAATGGCGGGCCTTGTTTCATAGTCGCAGTAACATAAACCAAATCAAATCCTAATAATACAGGTAATAATAGTGACAATGATTCCAACCATGGCATCTGTGGGGACCCGATAATTACATCTAGACAGAATTGATAGACAGAAAAACAAAATGCAATGGTATAGAAGATGCAGAGGTGAACATTCAATACCCAACCCCATTCATTGGGTAGACGATAATGACGAGAGGTTATTGCAAGAACAAAAGCATAAAGCCATGATATGAAGATACCTGTAGAAGAAGCGATCAGGTGAACATTGTTAGGATCGTTCTTGACATGAGTAACATTAGCATACAGATCCATTGCAGACAATGTAGCTAGTAGCAAGGTGCAGTACGTAATACGTGTAATACGATTTGTGTCATCAAAGGGAACGCTTAAATCCCTTTTAGAATCGGTTCGAAGAGGCAGCCGTCCGTCAGTCGATAGGGAAATACCACCTTCTTCTTGTTGCTGACGTTTGTGATAAAGGCCACGCTGGATAGACAATGCAACGGCGCTTACACTCGCTACAACTGGTAGACTAACCGAGACCCAGGTTACACTCGGTAGAATTTCCATGGTTGTATGAATTGAAAGTAATTTAGTCAAGAGAAAGACAAATCGAGCGATTTCTACCTTTTACAAAGTTTTCGTTTTCAAAGACAGAAGGAACAATAATTGCTGCGGTTTAGTTAGGATTTGAATGACCGCTTACGACCACGTTAAACACAAGAGAAACGCTTTGCTTGTAACCGAATAGATCTTCTTCTATGACAAACATACTAGAAATGTAATACATACTATACAGTTTTTGGTAGAAGAAAATAATAAAGTTGATGTAAAGCATAAGTACGATATTTAGGTTCATTTTTACCATAATTATAAAGCGGTTTGTAAGCCTGGGTAAACAATTAATATAGACTGTCAAAAGATACTATTGCGTACCTTACAATGGCACTTAAACCACAGAACGAATGTGAGTCATATTTCATATATGTGTGGTAATAATGGATTATTTGCTTGTAAATTGTTTATTTGTATATGTTGCTGCGGATTATCCTCATTCCATTTTGGTTTATACCCAGCGTCGTACATATTCAATTATTTGAAACGCTTTTTAGTGAGTGTTGATCAATAAATTATTATGTTTACAAAAGTGCACTCGCAATTACCTTTATCTATCATTTTTTGCGTTACAAGCCTACGGTCTTGTGATACAAGTTACATATCTAAGTAGAGTTCATTGATTTATTCTTACAAGTTTTTAAAGAACCTCGAGACAGCAATAAAACTCTATTACGTTGTAAATTTTCTATTTGTCTTTGTTTTTACAATAAAAATCGATAGCTTTTAAAAATAATTTACAACGTTCTGCCACTGGATTATTGCCATGGTTATTAATCAATGCTTGTAATATTTTATAAGATTCGCTATAAAACAAATCAGTGTCAGCTAATTAAAATTTAGGAAACCACAGAACATCATTTACACGTAAGATTCCGCATTTCCGTTCTCAATTCATTGCTACCTATTAATGAATATGACCATCGTGTGTGCACATTACTGCCTTTCTTTCACCGGAAATATGGCCACGTGATCAGAGTACGCGACGTCACGGACGGCCATATCAGGGAAAAAAAGCAGCTCGTCTCATTACTTATTTATTTTTGTTTTCTTCATTCTTTGGCAATACCAAGACGGAAGATAGAAAGCACAACGATAAATAGCATTATATTTTACAATGTCAATGAAAAAACTACAGGGTAAAAGAAAATTAACACCCTCTTTTTTTTTTCCTGACCTTATTTTATACCAGCCGAGATCGACCGGGTCTTGAAGAAAGTGAGCGAAGGCGTTGATACCTTTGAAACCATTTATGAAAAGATTCAGTCAACGGCCAATCCGAATCAAAAAGAAAAGTATGAGCAAGATTTAAAAAAGGAAATTAAGAAACTCCAACGTTTGCGTGATCAAATAAAGACTTGGCTATCTTCAAATGAGATTAAAGACAAGACGACATTATTAGATAATCGTAAGCTGATAGAAACTGAAATGGAAAGATTCAAAAATGTTGAACGTGAAATGAAGACAAAAGCCTTTTCAAAAGAGGGATTGCTGCAAAGAGAAAGAATGGACCCCAAAGAAAAGGAGAAAGCAAACGCGTGTGATTGGATTTCAAATACAGTCGATGAATTATCACAACAAATCGAAATGGCTGAGGCAGAACTAGAAAATTTACAAGGAACTACCAGAAAGGGAAAGAAAGATCATGCAAAATTGGAGAGAGCAGGTGATTTGGAACATTTTATCGAGAGGGATCGATGGCATATCAATCGATTGGAACTTATCTTACGACTGCTGGAAAATGATCAACTTTCAACTGATCAGGTTAGCTTTATTCAAGTATAAAACCGTGCAGTATAATAACAATTATTAGGTTGTTGCAATCCAAGATGATGTCCAGTATTATATTGACTGCAATCAGGTATTACAAACATTGTCTTATATTTGGTTTCTTCTTTTTTTAACCTCTAAGACGTAATAGGAACCAGATTTTGAGGAGGACGAGCTAGTGTATGACGACCTGAATCTTGAAGAAGAAGAAGAAATGTACAATGTGGGTATAGAGGAGCACTACACGAATGAGGAAGAGAAGTCTAAGAAATCAAAGGAGAAAGATGCTTTGGATGATGTCTCGTCGCTATCATCATCTACAAGGACAAATAACAAAACAGTAACATCAGGCAGTCCAGCTAGCTGTAAGACTTTATTATTTTGTATCGTTCTGGTTGATTAATTTCATTTTATAGCAAAATCAACAATATCAGGTAGTCCAGTGAAAACACTAACAAGTGTGCCGCCGCTTAAATCCCCGGAAAGCTCTAGCAATACAACAGAAACAACACCAAACGCAACACCTATTTCTGTATCAGCAACTTTAAAAAGTTATCAAGCACCAGGGTTGAACAGTCCGACATCCATAAAAGAAAAAGGTAAGAGTAAAGATGTGTATGTATCTCAGTGGCATATTGATTTGTAGTTTTTAGTGCAATCGACGCGAGTTGCTGTGCCATCAGCCTGGGCAGAACCGATCAAAATTGTGGACCAAGCCAAATCGACACCACCGTTAGAAAACGCTTCGATGGAAACCAATAAAGCGCAAAGGGCGATGTCTTCTTCGGCGCCTGGTGCGCAAGTAAACAACCTATCTGGATTTGCTAAAGCCGTAAGAAATGGAATAAATCAATTTATTCGCCACCTAACTAATAGCTCTTTGTATGAATAGCTTCCATTGGATACATCATTATCCCAGCAACAGGGAGCAGAAGCTGAATCAAGACTACCGACATCGTTGGCTGATCTTGCTTCATCGTTCGAAGCAATCAAAAATAAAGGTAGGCAAACAAACGCTGTCGCTTAATATGGTACTGATACAAACATGCGATTAGCTGTCGGTAATGAGGATACCCATTACACTAATCGGATGTTAGATGCAAGTTTGCAATTTGTTCCAGACCTGATAGACTCTGAAAGGTATATTCTAGTATATAATGACTTGAAGATAATTTCTTAAGAATATGTCTGTTTCTTTAGGCCAAAAGTGTATCAAGCCCAAACTCCCCAACTAACACCGGCATACTATCCTCAACAGCCATTGGCAATTTTTGATAATCCAAGTCTTTTTGAAAAGTTTGACATGGATGCATTATTTTTTATATTTTACTACCAACAAGGTACATACCAACAGTATTTGGCTGCAAAAGAATTGAAAAAACAATCTTGGCGATTTCATAAGAAATATTTGACCTGGTTCCAAAGGCATGAAGAACCAAAAACCATCACTGATGAATATGAACAAGGGACCTATATATATTTTGATTATGAAGGTGCTTGGTGTCAAAGAAAAAAGACCGAATTTAGATTTGAATATCGTTATCTGGAAGATGCATAATCATATATTTATTTCATATTGTATTATTTTTTCTTTTTCATAAAAAGAAATCATTCTAATATACAGCTTCTCAGCTTTTATGAGCCTTTTCCGATTTATTTTCCGGTAAAAGATCATTTCTCGTGTTTTGACGCTGTCGATGTTCTTTATTAAAACGCCACCCATTAATATGTTTAATATTGTTCTTTACTAACTAATCATTTTACGAGCGTCGAGACGAGATGCCTGAAATAATATTAAAGAATCCAGTGATATATCAGTGTGAATTGATAAATGTAGGATTTTGTGTAAATATGAAGCAAAAGTTTATACTTCTTTGTATTCTTAACACTTTTTTATGGAACATGGTACATAATAACTTACTACTGAAACACTGGTAAACGATCATTTACCAATTTTGCTATTGCTTGTATATAAATATATGGGCATTTGCGGATGTTTCCACTGCAAGAAAAGACTCAAACATTATGAGTATTAAATTTGCACTTAGTTTAAGGCGATAAGTTATATGTATTGCCTCTTGGTGTCAATTGAGGTATCATATCTTGCATTACCCCTACGCGCAGCCAGGATGTACCTAAAAGACCCATTACACTTGTGGCAATCGACTTCGCAGGTTTGATTTACAACTGTCGCTCTACCCCAGTAAGGCGCTCTTTGATGGGTTGGCTTAATTTATAAATATTGACGATAATTATTTTTATAAAAAAACTAAAAGACATATTTATCCTACTACTCGCGTTTTAGATATCTGGTACCCATACAAAGATTATATCCGTAAAAAAAATATATATGGCAGAGAATAGTTACAATTCATTGAAAATATGTTACTTTCTGATCTGTGATTTTGCATTAATTATGTAGACATAAAAAGTTTAGAATGTCGTAAGTGATTATCGTGGTAAATGACACAAATATACATCTCATTGATGCTTTGGGTTTTTATAAAACTAACTTCATTCAAAGAATTAAAAATGGGCATAAACTTTTTAACAATAACAAATGAAGCATTACTGATATAATCACGTCTGTAATAAAGCTGATTAAAAAAAAATTAAAGTCTACGTTGATTAATAGTGAGCTAGTAAGTAAGTGTATGTCGTCAGCATTGTGCGAAACAGCACTTTTATTTGACTATTTTGAGAATTGTAATAAAGTAAACGCTTTAATGTCAAGATATTCAGCCGAGGTACCAAAAATAACTATTTTGAATTAGGTTGGTAAGTTTGGGTCATAACTTATATAGCAAATCTTTTAATTTTTCATGGCTTGAGATTTTTTAGATAAATTTAGGCTATAACTCTGGGAAAAGACAGAAGGCGCCTCTCCTTGTTATAATGCCTTTGTAGACGTTTCCATCTGTATTAATTTTTAAGAAAATAAGTTTTAGGAACCATACCAGTGATTTTTAGAAAAAATTGGTTCAGGTAAATAAGTTGTATGTTGTTGAGCCTAAGCATACTAATCGGGTCTCTTAGGAACAGCTAGGGTGCGCATAGTTGTAATGTTGGATTATGACACTTTAATAGACACCAAGAGGTCAATATAACATATCATCTTACTTAATTACAATTTATACAACCAGCATATGGTGTGTTATAGCTTACTTTCAGCTTCTCATTTGGCCTTTACCTTAATAATTCTGCGTAAAATTAAGATCAAACGAGCTTAAAGGCGAAAGAGTGACGATATTTATATTCTTGTTTCCAGTTCTAATGACGTATCTTAGGCTGTGGCTACGTACACTTTGGCTGTCCCTAAGAAAAGCGTTCAGTAAATGTTAGTAAAACAAAACAAATCCTACAACTTATTGTATTATACAAAAAGTATACCATTTTTATTGTATCAACAATAATAACATTTCATTGCTCAACCAACATACCTTACTGGTTATTCAACATTATGAAAAAACCCTATTCTAATTTTTTGGAGGAAAGTATGATGATTTGTTAAGTCACTTTGATTTAACCTGTTAACACAGTTATTTTTGGCAGAGCTCTGTTAATTTTGGTAAAGTGACACCCATTTTTTTAATTACGGGTAGTTACTTTTTTGCCATTCTTCATGTACTATCATTCCATATATCCTCACATTGAAAATGGTTTCTCTTAGAGATTTAGATTTTTATGGGTACGGTGTTTAATAATTTGAGTATTGCTTAATATTAATTTAATTCGTCTAAAAAAGACTAAGCTTGTCTGAATTTAAAGTGTTAAACCTGTAGCAATCCCAACATTTGTGTAATCGGAAACGTGTATTTTTTGGAAATCAAGTTCTACCTCAGTAGTACCTCTGCCAAGATGCGATTTATTTAAAGTGGTTTTTAAGCTTGAATACCTTTTGCTTTGCATAAGAGATAATACTTGCTTCTTATCAAGTTCGTTTGAAAGTAATAAATGTGTGACAGCAAATAATTATTGTGACACATGAAACCAAACTTCGCAGTTGGCATATGATAGAACGCTTATTTAGACAGGTGTTTTTATTGTAATAAGCTACTCATATGACTTGCAGTAGATGTATTGTATCTGTATTTGTATTTACATATCTTACAACCCATGGGATTTAATAAAAAAAATCTGGTTTCTAATAAACCATAATATGTTGATTGAAAGGCCTCGCTTTTGTAGCTGTCCTGTAATCCCTTGATATTAAAAAATCCTTTTCGAGGATCATGTTGCTATTTGCATAAGATGCAGCTCCATCTGTACAAACCTTTAAAAATTAAAATAAACCCGATCATATATCAACTACAATCATCTATATATACGTTACACATTGTACACTAAAGTGAATACGAAAGGATGTTTGACAGACATAATACAAAATAAAGATATAAATAAAAAAGATAGGGAGTATTTTTAGGGTCGGTCTTCTTCTTTTTCGGTGGGCTAATTTGAGCACGCGACTTGTATATTTAAGGGACATTGTGATCTTATTTGGTACTTCCAAAGTACACGGCTGAAAATCATCACTTCTGAGAACAAAGTGGGAATATTACTTAAATTATGTAACCTTTGTACGTTACGTTTCCGCAAAGTTTATTGGTAGCTGTATGCACCCTCAAAATACTGATAGGTATGAAGTTGACGATAATCCGCTGCAATACACTGCATACTTATTAATATTTTCCAACAACACTATCGTTACTATGTCGATCACCAGGCTTCCTTTATTGTAACCTTCCTTGAGGTAATAACACACACAAGTCTACTATCCTGGATTCAGCTCCTTTTATTTGTGCTTAGTGTATCCATTGGATATCTAATTTGTACTTGCCTGTCTTTAGTATTTCAGTCAATAGAACACTCTTTGTATCACTGCAATTGTATGCAAATATTATGAGCATAAAGCATTGGTTTAATCCGATGGTATATTATAGAATGTTTTTTTATTTTGATTTAAAGAAAAAAATGGGTGTTTATATGTACATACCAAGATAGAAAAAAATAAAGGAAACAGGCCAAATAGAAAAAAAGTGTGATTACTGTAATAAAATATATATGGGTGAGGGTGAAATGATGAGTCTAGAGTTTATTTGTTTTGTCGTAAAGGTGTACGACGTTTGATATCGGAATTTATTGTAGGTTTGGTGGCCTTGTTTTCTGCTTCGTCGTTATCTCCTTTAGTGGCAACGGGCTCTGTTGTTTTAGCAACATCATTAAGACGACGTTCTTCAGCTTCCATTGCGCGGCGGTATTGACCATCAATAAGAGGTTTGAAAGATTTGGAACGAGTTAAACCAAAGTTGGTGGCACGAGGCTTGCGGATATCAATGTCCATTTCAGGCAACCACCAAGGTAACAAGGGCATACGGCTACGGAAGAAGTAGCAAGCACCATGAAGATACTTGGAGAAACGAGGGACCTCATGCACCAAATGGGAATCAACAAGCTTAGTGAGCCAGTCTGGGGGTTGTTGTCCCAAATGAGTTTGTAACTTTGTCTCCAATACAGCATATGGGAAACGACAAATTTCAGTTTCATCTAATTGGGGGAAGGGATAATCGATAGCTACATCAGGACGACGCCATTCTCCTTTTGCTCTACGCACGGTACCATCTGAGTTGTCTTCACGAATGAAACACAAATCTGTATCCAAACTTACTCTAACACGTTGATCACCAGGAAGTTGGAAAGCAGTACGGTTATAAAAAGCACGACAAACAGGATTGAGATGCTTTTCTTGTAATGATTTTTGAATACCGCTAGCAATGAAATGGGTATCTTCGCACGTCTTTTCATCCACATTCTTTTGGCGCATGCGATCAGTGATTTCATCGGGGGTAAGCTCGCCTTCACAAAACTTGGTAACATCATCGACATCGAGTCTGAAACGATCCTTGACGGAAGCACCATCCAACCAAGAAGCATGATGAGTCTTACGCTCAATAAAGATACTTCTAGATTTCATAGGACCATACCAACGGAAACGAATAGCCTCAGCACCTTCATCACGTTGAAGACGACCAGTGTAGAGATCAAAATCCTCATTATCGTAATAAATACTAGAGATAGCAGAATCAGATACTTCAAACTTCTTATCGTTGTTGAAGATTAAGACGGGGAGATGCAACATAATAATAGATTTAACCTCAGTAACATTATCGGGATGGATCCAATATTTGGCAGTTGCACGTTCAAAAGCATTTTGGTCTCCACCGGCAGCAGAGTTACCTGTACGAGGCTTTCCTTGGAGACGACAAAGATCATGAAGAGCTGAGATGTAGACAATCGCAACATCGAAACGTTGTTTATCGAGAGGTTTGGCACGCAATTGAGGAATGAAGTTCTGTTGAAGACTAAGACCAGTCCATTTATCATGCTTCTTGAGAATCTTTTGGAAACCGATGTAGTTCATACGAGTAAACTTGGCAAGATCATTAACATCAAATAGAACCTCTGTAAGAGCATCATCCATAATATTCCAATTTTGTTCAGAAGACCAAGAGGGGTTGTTCATGAAAGTTTGAAGAGTTCTCTCACAATAGCTAATTCTAGCCTCTACTTCACCAAGCTTAGCGGTAATAAAATCATAGACCTTTTCCAATTCAGTTTCCAATAAACTGACAAAATCCTTTTCGTCTTGGTCAGTCCACCCATGATCAAGCTGTCTAGTCTTAAGTTCGGTCTTTAAGACATCGTAATTGATATACGATAAACGCCAAGGAGCAAAAATACCTTTCTGAAGTTGAGCTGCGAATTTCATTTTGAGGGTCGCCTGATTTTTTTTACAAAAGAGAAAGAGAAAGAGAAGAGAGAAAAATCACGTTTGCAACGAATAAAAAGATGACGAATGGGGGTTAAATGTATTTTTAGGTTTTTTTTCTTTTTAAGCTGAAACCCATTTTTTTCATCCAATCAAACACTTCGTATTCACTACTTGTAATTTTGGTTTAAAAAAACCCAGCCGTGGTTGCAGTTCATAAACACGGATAAACATAGTACATTTCTCCGGCCTTTGCTTATTCACGGTATATTTATAAGTAGATAAAGGAATTGAATTTTGCAATGATTCGAAATAAAAACCCCAAATGATAGGATTCTAATTTATTCTAATAATTCTGGACCCAAAAAAAAAACGCGTACCGTTTAACTCCGAGGGTGTAAAGAGCAGTTAAAGTTTAAACGGGCTGGTGACTATTATTTTGCTGATCTGTTTTATTATTTATTCCCAAGTAAGTGTCACTACTAGGTGGATGTTCCATTCGAAGTATAAAATTTAACTACCAATAATAATAATTATTAGTTTCAAATAAAAAATGTGTTATGATTTTCACCTACAATCATTGCACCGACTATCAACGTACATAATCCAGCAGGGCCATATATGTCATCATATCTCATATGAGGTCTGGTGCTCATTTGGTGAGCACGGTATCTGTATCTAAAAAATGCATACAATGCTATCACAAGTGAAATACAAAAAAATACAATGCCGGATATTGTGCTGATACTATCACCAAAATTTAACAATGTCAATGCTGCTGTCAGAATAATTGCTGAAAATTGTAACCAGTGAATAAATGTACGCTCATTCGCAAAAAACAGCTTCGGTTCCATTGTATGACTAGGTGGTTTTAGCTTCTTCTCCTTTTTCTTTTTCTTTTTTTCCTCCTTCATTTCTATTATAGCAGCCTCTCGTAGATTATCACTTTCCCTTACAGTATTAGCATCTTGCAGCATGTATGCTTGCGATTGATTGTTACGTCCATTGTAATAAGTATCAATAAAAGCGCCATTGTCTTTATTGGGATCTCTTAATCGTGTTCTTGATGATATACTTGGTGTGGTGAATGCACGGTGGAGGGATGAGCTGGAAGCATTTTCGATTTGCTGTGCAAGGTGACATTTTTCTTTTCCATCCATACTGGCGGGCGCCAAAAGTGAACTATCTGTACTATTATTCCAACGATTCCGGTTATATATAGTGTTATGCATGGACAAAGGCTTCTTGGACTGTTTTTGTCTTTTACCCAATTGAGCTTCCAAATATCTAGTACGGTGCTGTCCATCAATCAATGGCTTGTAGCTTTTAGAACGTGTTATACCAGAAAATCCGCTCTTGTGCTCAGCAGTGCGGATGTCTATTTCCATTTGCGGAATCCACCAGGGCAAAAGAGGTAATTGCGGTCCCCAAAATTGTGCTACGCCATGTAGGTATGCAGAAAAGCGGGGTACTTCATATACCAATTTAGAATCAAGAAGACGGGATAGCCACAAGGGGGATTTACCGCCTACAATTTGTGTTTCAAGTACAGCATGAGGAAACAAATGCAAATCATGAGATAATAGCTTTCGGAAGGGGTAATCAATGTTCATATCTTGCCGACGCCATTCCCCGTTTAATTTTAGAGCTCCGTTTTCCCTAGCAAATGCAATGTTTGAGTCGAGTGCCACAGAGAGGGTCCTGTCCTGGGGTGACTCAAACCGAAGCTGATCGAAGTAAATCCGTAGCTTTGGTTCTAGCTTCTTTTTTAAAATTGTGTCTTGAATTGATTGAGCAATAATGTATTTTTTATCAACATATTCTTGATCTGTATTTTCCCGTTGCAAATCATTTGCATAGTCTTTGGCTGTATACTGATGCGAGATAAAATCATAAACATTGTCTTTGCTCATGATTATACTATCTGTTACTGAACTGCCTCCTTGATCTGTTTTCACATATGTTTGCCTTTCAATAAATACTTCGTGTGATAAGTCCATATCTCCATACCAATGGATATCAATTATCTCTGCTCCATCATCACGCTGCAGTCTGGATAAGTATTCACTAAAGCCATTATTGTCCAGGTAAACTGCAGATGTTGAATGTTCGGTTTGCTCGAACTCCTGGGCCGGGTTATTAACGTACATTGGTAAGTTAAATAGCAATAAAGCCTTGACTTCAGTAACATTATCTTGATGAACCCAATACCTTGCAGTTTGTATTCTCTTACTGTCGATTAATACATCATTTGTTGATGATTCTAACCTATTTCTACAAATGTCTAGAAGACAAGATACTTGAATAAGAAGTTCATCAAATCTTTGGTTATCCAAAGGTCGAGCTCTACATACTTGGACTAATAGAGCCTTCCTATTTGTGTTGGTCAGTTGGTCATGATCCTTAATGAGATTTTGGAGTGCTTTGAAATTGATACGTGTGAAACGGCCTAATTCATTGATATCTGCCAAAATGTCTGTCAAAGATTCATCAATTGTGCTGGTATCTTCTTCGCTCCATTTTTTTTGGTTAAGCACCCTTTTACAATACGCTAATCTTGATTCGATCTCGCGTTGTTTTCTGTTAATAAATAAATCTACTTTTCCCGCTTCTAATCTAATAGCTGCTTCGAAATCATTTTCATCTCTTGAAGTCCAATGTCCAGAGTTGCAAATTTCATGTAGCCCCTTGTTTATAACCTCATAGGCAACATATTCAATGTGCCATGGTTCATAGATATTTTCGTTAAACTCTTCCAAAAATGACATTTTTTAAAAAGTTTAAAAATAGAAAAATAAAATCAACTACAGCTTGCACTTCAAATTAAGTATGATTTTAAATCTAAAACTATGCCAATCAATAAAAATGGGTTTCGGTATTTATTTTTAAAACTTTTGAAATATTAAATAAACGGCATGAACAATTGGCACGTAATCATGGTTCACTGTTTCAATATCAATGACATCCTCTTCTTCTTCTTCAACCATCTCAACTTCAACAAAGTCACGTTTCCGGTCTTTCGAATATCCGTCTGGAACAGTGACCACCATCTCCTTCAGCTTTATCGTGTTTCTACCCACTTCCTTTTCAATGTCTTCTAAGATAAGCATCGTCATGGGCCATAACTTGCCGGTGTAAGAATCACGAATGTCTTGAGTACCAACAATAAACATGCCTTTTGGTGCTAGTTTTGACGTCGCTTCTATGGCTAAGTTGACAATACTTCGTCTGTAACTGTTGATTTTATCAGGCAAAAGATCGCTTCGATGGCATGTTATCATCAGTACCAAATCGCCGCCTTCATAAACTGCTTTATTCATCATTGTCTCGTAATGAATTACATCATCTGACTCTTCACTTAGCTCTGAAATTAATCCCTAAACGAGTGTTAAACGAAAAAATAATCTAGCCGAGGCATTTATGATAAAAGCTTACTAGTTTTAATAAAGTTTTGTTGTTCTCTTCAATACGACTCAGTCTTTGCTGTTCGTATTCTGATAAAGGATTATCATCGCCGATGGTAGGAGTTTCTTCCTTTTCGGCTAATGCATTTGTTAATATATTTATAGGTCGATAAATATTTGTAATGACTATTACCTGGGATAGTACAGCTGACTTGTCTCTTGACATAAGGATTGTGAGATTCCTTTAGAGTTTTTTTTTTTTTTTTTGAGAAACGGGTACAAGCATATTCTTTATCAAATAGATTACTTACCTCAAGTAATAATTCAATGTGTTCCCAGTTACCATCATCTTTTCCAAACCGTTCGACCATACGTGATATACACAATTTTTCAAATCGGTACTCCTCCGTTGGCTTAAAAACCCAGACTGTCCCCATTACTACACTTTTTCTCATAATGGCAGACGATGGTACACCATGCATCGTACGATTCATTTCAAGAACATCGGATTCTAAAATATTATAGTCAATAAAAGCTGACATACTCAAAAAAATGAAAAAATAAATTACCATTATCCTTTGAAATAGCCATTTTGTCTGTATTTTCTTTTGGTACCTTTTTAAACGTTGCAATAAATTCATGAGTGAACACCAAAAAATCAAATTGCACGCAAAGATACGTCCCAAGACCAAAAGCTGAACAATATCGCTGTCTTTTTATTACCTATAAAGATAAGATATAAGATTCATGTTCATGATTTATAATGTGTAATGCATACTAATTCTTCGAGTTCGAAACCTTGATCAATGTAAAGACGTATCAAGTGGAACCCAACTGGTATATAAAAGCAATGCTCTCGATTATCTCCGATGCCTAAGGTTAATCTTCTGTCCATTTTTAATAATCTATTAATGGAATTGTGTCAGGTTACACGTATCAGCATATGTCAAATCATTATTACCGCCAACTCTCTTTGACCACTTTTGTGTACTCTTTTTTAAAATCTTCAACGCTTGTAAATCTAATAATGACAATTAATTTCGTTGACCTTAATATATAAATAGCGCAGAGTTTTTTACCTGGAGAGGTCGCCTTCCAAATGTGTAGAGTAGGCTACACAATCTTTATAAGGTGGATGTGATAAGATGTGATGGTAAGATTCATCAGCAAAAAGAGAGCCAGACAAGTTACGAGAGTCTGCTTGTGCTACAATTGGTCGATATTCGGCCGATGTCAAGCCTGGGGGGATCTCGAAGCAACAATTTCGTTGTGACAAAGCCACCGCGGCCTAAATAAATAACATAAGTTGAGTAATTTGTAAGGAAAGGAAATGAAGACTTGAAAAGCTTACAGGGTTTATGTCTACACCACAGCATCTATAAGAGCACACACAAAAATATTAGGGCAGAACTCACCACGTTTGTATCATAATTTACCTTCTTTGTAATAGAAAACATTCAATGGCATCCGTTCCTATTACATATTAGATTGCTTCCGAATATCAGGGTTTAAAAATTTACCTCTTCCTAAAAAGTTTGATAGGACCCTTTCATCCTTACTAGTATATTTCAAAATTGCCCTAGACAATAATGATAATTAAAAATGTGCTCAATAAACCCTTTTTTTTTTTTTTTTTTTTTTTTTTTTTTTTTTTTTTTTTTTTTTTTTTTTTTTTTTTTTTTTTTTTTTTTACCTTCGAACCGTTTGCGGTAACCATGTTCCTAAATAGTTTTTTTAAAACACTCCTCATAGAACTTATATTTTTAAATCTTACCATGATAATCCGTTCCCGAATGAGTTGCCCAACGTGGAGCACGTCCTGGTATATCGAAATAAGTTGAGTCAAATGTCAGTGAAAAAAGCTGGTTAGGTTGGGGCTCATAAGAAGCAAGCCTCTGTCCGGTTGATGAATCACTAAATTTCGTCGCAGATAATGTATCTCTGGTAAGATACGGTTTATGTGAGTAGTCTTCTATAGATGCTACATATTTATGTTGTTGATTTTGTTTTTTATCAAATTCTATAGTATTATTATCTATCACAAGTGGCATGTTTTCCTCGCCTGGTCTTCCATCATTATCAATCAACAACGCCAATTCAAAGCATGGGTTACACATAATTACACCGCCATCGTAACCTTTTCTCCAAGTATCGGCATCATAAGTTCCACAGTAACAACAAGAGACAGGTGTTGAACCATCTGCAAGTTTTCTCCTACGACGAGGAAAAAGTGGTTTTTTCTTCTTCTTTGCATCTAGAAAAAGTTAGATAATGGCAAATGCGGCAACCGAGACTCACTTACTTGCAGCTCTTATATCTTCTTTTGCACGAGCTGCTTCGGTGGCTTTTTGTGCTTCCATTTCTTTTAATATGGCAAATGCTACAGGTATAAGTAAAATTAGTTGCTACATTATTAACAATAAAATTTACGGGATTACATGTTTCTTCAAATTCGTCCTCATTGTGATCATGGTCAGCTGGAAAATTTTCGTAACACTACAATAGTATTAACAAACGGTCTTGGATACTAAATTTAAGAACCTACCTCTGAGCAGAGATCAAATGATGAAAAGTAACTGGATGCGCAAGGCACGCAAGTAAACCATGATTCATCGACTAGTTTTTTATTACAACCATCACAATTAAAAATATTGACATAAGTATCTACAAATCAAAAAATGTCAGTAAGTGTCAAAATAGTGCAAACGCGATCTGACCTTTTTTGTTGTAATAAGCTTCATGTATTCCGCACCAGAATATGACGCCGTTTTGGAAGTAACTTACTGGCTTTTGAGAACATGGTAAATGGAAACTCTTATTACATTTGGATTCGAAGCAACCTATAGTAGCGCCTTTTTCTTTACATCCATGACATCGCTTTTTTTATAATAAATTAAATAAAAAATGTTAAGTAAAACTTAAATGTACACACGTGCATATCTCAATACTTTACCATGCCTCTGCCACGTCTTAACGCTAATGTTACATTATACCACTTCCCTTCAGGCGTACAAAAAACTTCAGGTGAATATCTTGCACAGGAATCATGAGCCCAGAACGATCTCTTTTTTTCAACGCCATTCTTGTTGAATGTTGCAATAACAAAAGGGCCAATAAAACTCCCTAGCTCTTTAGAGGTATCATCGTCATCATTACAGAATGCGCATAATTTACGGCGTTTCCATCTCTTCAAATATTTATAACCTTGATCTGTATCAATTGGGATATTTCCTGTAAAGACTTTACTGGCCTCAACCGCGCCATCCTCGATATCATTTCCTGCAATGATTCGATTGTTAAGCGGTTCAATTTCTTCAATGTGTGCTTGATCGGAACTGCATATATGCAGATTTTCAGATTCTACAGTATTGGCAGTATTATCATTGCCTGATTCAGCTTCCTCTGTTCCTAAAACTCCTGTAGCTGGTTCGTTATTGATACCAATAATTGTCTCATCTTTGTTGGGGAGTATTTCCAAAATATCTTCTTCCCATACAGTGATCAACTCTCCTTTTATTGGTCTTGGCCCAATTTCGGTATCAATAACAGCCTGAATTGCAAAACTGGATCGTGGATGCTCATGCCAAAATGGAAAGTTTTGATCGAAACATCTAATAAATCAAATGTCATTATTCGTGCGTTAAATCTATAAAAATTCGCTCATAATATACCTGAGACAGAGTTCAAAACTTTGGTAATCATGTCCAACGGAAGGGGTCTCGCAATATGTGCAATAATAGCGAAACTGTTTGATAACAACGCTGCATTGGTTGCAGTAAACTTTCCAGGTATCTGTCTCTGATGCTGTATTTACACAAATGTTACTTTTCGACCTTCCAACTTGTAAATAAAAAAAGAAACTTACTTTCTGTATTGGCATCAGTAGGATCTTTATGATATTCAATATCATTTTCCTTAAATTCGGATTCTGAGTCTATGTCATCTAAAGTCAATCTTTTTCGGCTAAATCTATTAATTAAGGGTTGTGTAGATGTAGTGGCAATATTTTCCAGGCTAGTAGTTGCGTCCTCTGAAGTCATTTGAGCTTTCTCCGTAAGTATTTGCTCGTAACGTTGCTGGTAATTGGGTTCAATGCATTGCACTTCGTGATCGTTCTCAATTGCTTGTAACCTTCTACTGCCAAGAGTAATGTATTCATCAAAGGAATCTAGCCATCCGCAATAATGTATTTTCACTTTGTTTTTATGCATAGAGACTAGTCTTCCTTCATAAAGCTTTTTGTCCAAATGTAGTACCGTAACATGCTGCATATAATCGTATCCGTAAACATTGGCAACAAATTTGTAATTCTTTGATGCTTCTGCTTGTGCCAATCGAAGAGAAATTATCTGCTTATTATTTGCTGGACTATCGTCGTTATCAGATTGTAATGGGTTATTGGCACAAGACGTAGTGCAATTACTGGCTACCACTTGATGTTTCTTTTTTGTAGAGAGCCGCTGCGTTTTCTTTTTAAAGTTTTTGGGGGCTGGATTTTGTAGTTCAGGTAAGTATTCACCTTCTTCAGCTTCAGACAATGTGCTGATGTTATCAAGAACATCAGTAGGAATTGGGCCTGCTGTTTCATCTTGGGGATTTTTCTTACCCCGCCGCTCCTTTTTCTGGGCTTCTTTAACGGCTAATTCTTCGATATTTACAAGCATTCCTAGATCTTGATAATCCTGTGGTCTCACAATTTGATGCTTGTGATTTCTTTTCGATTCATCCACTAATTCAGGATTGGATTCTGCAACCAATAGATCGTTACTTTTAAGACCTTTTTTGATATCAAATGCACCATCTTCAGATTGCTTTTCTAGCTCTACACTATTTGAAACGCGGATTCTACGACTTCCCACCATAATCCACTCATCGTAAATATCAGCCCACCCTTCATAATGTACACGAACATGACCTGGTCGCATAGCTACCAATTTTCCGCATTCCCAAAACTTTGTCTTTCCAGAACGAGTATTTAGTACTTCAACAGCTAGACCATTTGTATATCCATAGGGATTGGGTGTAAATCCGTTTTTGTCCTTTAATTGTCGCATAGCCCTTCTCGTTGCAAATGCACCAGTAGTCAAAAATTCATTGTTAGTGGCCACATTATCATCTGATGTGTTTTCCTTTGCTGACTTAACCGCAGAAGCTGGAGTAGTTCCCTTCTCTACGCTGTCAGATGTTGTACATTTGCCTGAAAGTGGAGCAACTTTTTGTATCATACATACCTCTTCATCTTGTATTGCCTTTTTTTGCTTTGCTTTTGCACCTTTTTTGTTGGTAGTTTCAATTATATTAGGCGTTGGTACGTTATCGTTAGTTTTTTTAAGGTAATTGACGCGTGGTATGTTTGCGTTTTTGTTGAGAGGCATTATGGAAGCTGTATCATCTTCTTTTTCTTTTCCTTTGAGCGTATTTACAGTTGGTGGAACTTCTTGAACACTAAAATCAATGCTACTATTCGACAAAATATTCTTCTCCTCTTCTTCGGTCATCACTCTTAATCTACGGCTCCCAACCGGTATCCACTCAGATTGGTGTAAATCAGGATACCAAACTCGAACTTGGTTCTGATGCATCTCTCGAAGATAACCAACAGATTCTTGTCTCATCTTACGGCTTCCGTTTTGCTTTGAGTAAAATGTAATTGAAACTGCACGATTCCGACGGTATCCAAAGGAGTTTGGTTTGAACCCATGTTCATCTACTAGACCACGAGCCATACTGCGAGTCATAAATACTTCGTTATCATTAAATATTTGAGAAGGGTCTTTGTCTAGAGTTGAGTTGACGTAATCATCGTCTGCTTTGGCGCATGTCGTGGGAATAGTTGGAGCTGTTAATCGCATTTCTGCTTCATTAGATGGTGATTGTAACTTGTTTATGTCAGCCCAAGAATTTTCATCGTCTATGACATTTATTTTAAGTCGATAAAACACGCGCTAAATAGACTATTATCCTTACCTCCATCTTCGAAATGGATGACATCAATGGTTTCAGACGCAATCGAATCATTTTTTGTCTTCTGTGATTCTAATGTAGTATTGTCGTTTTGTGTAGAGACACGCAATCTTCTGCTACCCATAATAATCCATTCATCCTGATCGTCCCAATCATCATATACAACTTTGACTTTCCCTTTGTCCATCATTTGTAAGGTCCCTGGATACCAATAGCCATTGATGTTTAAAACCTCTACGTTCTGCCCATAAACAAAACCATGTGTATTAGGATAGAATCCGTGTTCTGGATCTGCTAAGGTCCTAACAGTTTTGCGAGTCATAAATGCACCGGTGGTAAAATGAGACATTTTAACTGACCCGCTTTCAATTTTTTTTTTGGGACTTTCAATAATTGTGGTGTTTGCGATCTTCTTGGAAGCCATAATTTTACAGTTTGTTTTTTGCGAATGGCGTGATTTGGTGGGGGGAATAACTGGTTTGGTATATTTTCTACTTGCTTTCTTTGGTGTTATTACTTTTTTATTGCTGCTTATAGTCCCTTGTACTGATACGGCATCATCGGCTAATTGATGTTCTTTAACGTTGCGACCGATTGTTATTTTACTTTGTTTCTTATATTTTTTCTTAACTGTAGCAACAGGGGCTTCGCTCATTGCTGTTATTAGTTTTTGAATAAGGCACTGCCATTGTAAACTACACCTAGTACAAGAACTTCCAGGCTCCAGAGGCTGCCGATTTTCGTTAATTTTTATACAGTCTTGACAGTCTTGATATTTGACTGGATCTTTCTTTTTAGAATAATCATTAGATTCAACTAAACCAAGTTCAATCCATGGACCAAGAACATCGTCATCTGACTGAAGCGATTCTGAAAAGCTGTGACTATCATCGTCCGACTTATCCATGTCTACATCCTCATTATCAAACTGGACCTCATGTTTGATCCACGGCAGTAATAAATCACCACAGGGGCTCTCGTTAGAAATTTCTGATGTACTATTTATGTCCCACCGGGTTTTTTTGTCTTGGCCGAGACGACAGTCTGACAAATCAATTTTACCATTTGTATCATTACTTCGTTGCTCAGGGGATTGACATGCTGATTTCAAACAAATTTTTATCTCATCTGTTGGTTCCCCGACTTCTTGATGCTGGTCATTTCGGTTTTTCCTAATACGGAAAAGACGTGCAAAAGGTTCCTCTGTCAAAACTTGCTGCTTCAACGTTTTTTCTTTCGTTACTTTTGGGATTGGTTTGTTTACGCTATTGACACTTTGAAGTAATAATTTTCCCATGAAATTTCCAAATTTTTTCTTCTTTTTATTGTTGTCAATTTCTTGTACTGGTACAACTTCGGCATTTCTTCGATATTCTCTGGTTTCTTTATCGAGAAAGTTCAGCTTGATTTATAGAAGAATTAGCGTAACTTTTTTTTTTAAAAAAAAGGAAAAAAAATCACGTACGATTAAGTCTTCTTTTACGTTTGGCCATGGATGCCTTGGTTGTGTGGGTATGTCAGATGACATAGAACAACCTGAATATATCATACCAAAAAATGATTATTAATTTTGACAACTTCGTTTTATATGCGATATATGCCGTTCTTTTTCTTTCGAAAAAGCTGCCAAATAGATGCAATACCTGTCATTTCCGAATTTTGACTATTTCGCGTTATTTTGTATAAAGTGAAGATGATCGAAACCGCAGAGATAACTAAATAGAAGAAAAGGGGATGATTATTAACTGTCTCAGCCCTCCTCTTCTATTAATGATCGTACAAGTGCTAAATTTGATAGGCTCACGTGTCGGATATTTAATCAAGCAAAATAAACAAAATAAATAAACCATCTTTTTCCCGTCAATCTACATTTCTGCTCTCTATGTCAAAAATATTTGGTGATTTAAAGGCCTTCGTTATACCTCTTAAGCTAAGCGAGTATGAAATGGGGTATTACCAACGCTTGATCAATAAACATGGTTAGTTATAGTTTACATGTTACACCAAATAATTCTAAAATAAATGTTTCAAACTATCACCCTCAGGTGGATCAGTTTGTCAGGATCAAAAAGAATCGACCTTTATTTTGACAGCCATAAAATCACGCAGTCGAATTGATAGAATTGTTAAGAATTATAAGGTTTGTATTTCAAGATATGTACAAGTTATTGTACTTAAATATTGACTAATACATAGGCTCCTGTGATTGATATACAATGGGTCAAAGAATGGTAAATTGATTGTTAAATTAGTATCCTTTTAGACTAAAATTATTTATCTAAATTGAAGTGACAAAGCAAAAAAAGCGCTCCCATTCGATAAGTATCTTTTAGTGGAGGGCAGTCAGCAATTGCCACTTACGCATATAGTGACACAAGAGTCTGCAGAAATATTAAATAGGAAATTTAAAAATTTACCCCCAGAAGAGTTACAATTTGAGGATGAAAGGTATACGTCAACTTTTACAGTAATAACCATTTCGATAATAATTGATTTAGCAGTGGTAATGCTAGTGATGATGACGCTAGTGATGATGAAGAAGGTAGAATTGATCGTCTTCCAAAATTATTAAACAACTTAAACCTATTGTAGAAAATACTGAAATCGACCCAACGTTTACTAATACAAAATACGAATGCCTCCGTCCTACACCTTATGTTCCAAAATATAACAAAAGACTCATATCGTTTCTTCTGATACTTGAAAGAAAGCGCCAACTTGATAGTGAGGACAAAAGATCATTAAGTTATAGACATGCAATTTCTGCCTTAAAGGTATTGTATCTAACTGTCTTATCAACTAAGTTAGTTTAACTTAGTATCTAGGCGTATCCGAGAGATATAAAGTCTTCAAAAGAAGCAGAAAAAATTATAGGTTTGAAAGAATGATATTTAAATATTTAGTTGTAGTTAGCTAAAATAGATTACAGGTGTTGGTAAAAAAATGTCAGAAAAAATACGAATGTTTTTAAGTACGGGTACAATTGAAGAGGCAGAACTTCTGAGATCGGATGAACGATTTAGAACAATTAGTCTATTTAACCAAGTATTTGGTAAGCTGCTTTGCTAAGTTTAACAGACTCTTAAAGTAACGTTATTTTGGGCTTTTCGGTTTTCTTTTTTTTTTAGGAGTTGGTGCCGTAACAGCCAATATATGGTGGAAGCTGGGGTATCGTACTTTGCAAGAGGTACTAGACAAAGCAAAACTATCTCCAGTTGTACGCTTAGGTATATTGTTGCTGCCAGATTTTAGCCAGCTGTATGACTTTTCAAATTGTGCTTTAAGTTTCGTATGCTTACTGACACACAATAATTAGAATGAGCCCAGAAGATGTGAAACAGATCGCTAATATAATTAAAAATCAATTACAAACTATCGACAATGACATTATTGTAATACCTGTTGGAGGCTACAGGTACATATATTGAAGTTATTTTCTTCAAAAGTTCTTACATCTTTTAAATTCAGACGTGGTAAGACCAAAAATGGTGATCTAGATTTGTTGATTTCTAGTCATCATGTACCCATAAATGGGCTACTTGATAAAGTAGTTAACATCCTAGTTCAAAGTGGGTATATCAAACATAAGCTATGGAAATCAACAGATAACAACGGTAGCAAGCAACAGAAAAAACTCCATGGAACTTCTGGCAGTAGACAAATTTTTGATGACTTTGAAAAGGTACATTTATAACCAGCAAACGATATAAAAAAATTAAGCATGGTTTAGTGTTTTTGTGCAGTCCTTCAACCATCAACTGGAATACACCGACAGGTTGACCTTATAGTTGTCCCACCAAAGGAACTACCGATGGCAATTTTGGGTTGGACGGGCTCTCGCCAATTTGAAAGGTCCTTAAGAGAATATGCTAAAAAAGTATGTACTATTTTTTTTTTTACTCATAGCATAACTCATATCAAACATTTTAGGAGAAAAGCATGACAGTGAATAGCCATTCAATTCATCATGATATTAATGGCCTTAGAAAAAAAATAGTGGTTAAGAGTGAAGAAGAAGCATTTTCAATATTAGATATTCCATATCTTCATCCTGAAATGAGAAACTGTTAACATACGGAAGCTTTTCTTAATAAAAAATAATATTTTAACTTCACTTAATACTCGTGTTTTGTTTCATGGGTAGCAGCATAAGATTTAAATCAATACTTGACATTATAAATACAAATTTATTTTGGAGGATCCAGTAACCGACTAGATACACCACACAAACAGAAAAACTAAAAAAGATTGCGCGGTCGGGGAATCGAACCCCGGCCCTTCGCGTGGCAGGCGAAGATTATACCACTTAACCAACCGCGCTTTTATATTATTGTAATCCTCAGATGTCTAGTTGACCCTTACGTAATAACCTAACACGTGACTATCACGTGAACCTATTCCTATTGGCTAGAAGAGTACTCTTCAAAGTACAAGTACAAAATAAAGTATGAGATAAAAGATAAAGATTTATTAATTATAATGTGGGGTTATTTATACTATCTAAATTGATTGATGTTTCATATGTATGTAATTGTTTTATGCTAAATTAGTTTATGGCTTTGCTTGTTTGTTCTTATGACATATAGTTTTGATTTCTTGTTTGGTCTTGCTTTCGTGACCTTTGGTTTAAACCTTCGTTTGGGTCTTGTGAGTTCCATTGCGTCATAGTAGTTCTCGGTACCGGGCTGTTGTGCCGGAACTATTTCATTGGCTGGATTGGTTCTGACATTAGCCCCCCCTAGGCTCTGTGCTCGTCCCTGAGCACCTAAAACTGGAGAGCCGATTGAGATAGAGCTAGGAACAGTGGAGTCAACCATAGGGGAATCAACCATAGGAGAGTCAATGTCAGTTATAGATTCAGAGTTTTCGAGAGTAGTGTCCATAGGTACGGGTGCATGTTTAGTGATAGGAGAGGTAGGTAAAGGCTTAAATTGTGGACTTGAGGATTTTTCGGAAGTAGGACTTGGTGGTGTTGGATCGATAGGGTCAATAAAATCGGTGACTTCATTTTCGGTAATAGGTGGAAGAATTATTTTTTGTAAAACCTGGGTTCCAGTTTCTTTTTCGAAATCACGCCAAATTTTTCTTGTCTCAGTCGGATTAAACCATGGTTCTTCGGGTTTCGGACCATTAGCAGCTTTTAAGCGATCAACGTGAACGAGTGATTTCAATGGTTCACCCGCGATTGTTTCCAACTTGTACGTTCCAAAGTCAGGGAAATTTTTCACCACCATGTAGGGACCTTTAAAAGTTGGTTCCAGTCCATACTTGCCTTCGTTTGTTAGCATTACCATGTCACCAATTTCAAAAGATACAGGCTTGATGGCAGCATCCCAGCGAGTCTTGTCCTTTTCACCCATGGCTTTCATTCTAAACTCTGCAGCAGCACGGTCTTGACCTAAGGACGCCAATTCACGTGAGGTGAAATCGGCTACAGTTCGAGGATCTTTAAAAACCGATGAGTCAATGTAAGGACGCATGACATCACCAGGTATGCGAGGTTGTCGGCCGTAGGTTAAATAGTAAGGGCTGAATCCCGTGGTAGAATGTATGCGAATACGACAGGCCCAAAGGGCAGCATGGACGAAATCATCCCAACGATGAATGGCACCATTAGTGTACTTTCGAAGCATTTGTTTTATGACGCCGTTAAACCGTTCAACCTTGGAGTTCGTGCGGGGGTGATAAGCACTGGTAAGTTTGTGGTTAATACCAACACGCTTTTGGTACTCTTTCATTAATAAGCTGCAGAAATTAGATCCACGGTCGGTGATCAACTCAGAGAAGTTTCCAAAATTCATGACAATTTCTTCATACAAGAAATCAGCAACGTTTTCAGCCGAAGCAACTGGCATAGCACGAGCAACGCACCAATTTGTAGCGTAATCAACACCAATTAACAACCAACGATTACCTTTTGTGGACGTGGGCAGATCTAAGAAATCCAAATGCCAACGATCAAATGCGGTGGGAACTTTTAGTGGGTGCATAACATCCTTGTGAGCTAGACCTCGTCGACTATTTAGTTGGCATGCCGGACAGAGTTTCAACCAGTCAATAATATCTTGTTTGATTCCAGGCCACCAAAAACGAGAGAGCATGTAGTACAACGTGGTTTTTATTCCTGCGTGACCTAATGATTCATGATATTTGGCAAGAGTATCCGCCCGTTCTTCGAAAGGTAAATAAGGTACATCATGAACTTGATCGGTATTTGGCAGTTTAACATGTCTATAAATACGATTGGAGATAATACTGAAGTTATTTTGTTCTTTGTTTAACACGTCGTTAATCTCATCTGATTTTACCTTATCCCTTGATAGAAATAGTAATGGCCAGTCCGCACGTACCAGAGGAGGTAGTTTATCCCAAGCAGCATATAACATGTCAGGTTCGAGTGATTCTTCTTCAGGAGCCATCTCTTCTGACGAGTAGTTCATACGCGATAGAACATCAGCAATTTGGTTGTCTTTTCCCGCTTTGTAAACAATGGTTGGAGCCATAGCTTCTATTTCGTTGATCCATCTGACAAGTCGACTGGGAGGATTTTCTTTGGATCGGAAATATTGTAGCGGCATATGGTCAGAATATACGGTATAGCCAGCAGGACAACCATCAACGTAGCAACGCCATTTCCTTAGAGCATAAATTATACCCAACAATTCTTTTTCTTGCGCAGGCATACGAGATTCGCTTAACGTGAATTTTTTGACTCGAAACAGATTGGATGCCAAGGCAATTCGGAATCATCATCAGGTTGGTAGAGTACTGCACCACATCCACGATCGGACGCATCGACTTCAATTTTGAAAGGTTTGTTCATGTTAACGAGTTTAAGAACAGGATTTGAAGTAAGCACCTTTTTTAGTGTATTGAAACTTTGTTGGCAATCTGGGTTCCAAGTAATGGGCCGTTTCTTGTGACCAGTTCCACGAGTGAGATCAGTTAGAGGGGCTGCAATGGAAGCAAAATCTTTAATAAATCTTTTGTAAAACTGTGCAAATCCAATGAATTGTCTGACTTCTTGAACGTTAGTTAGTTTGGGCCAATGTTCTAGAACTTTCACCTTTTCCGGGCTTGGTTTGACGCCATTGCTTGATATATGAAAACCCACAAAAGTTAGTTCCTTTTTTCCAAAATTGCATTTTTTTAAATTCACGATAAGTTTTTCCTTTCGCAACAATTCCAATACATGACGCACATGTTGTTTATGTTGTTCCAACGTATCACTCCAGATAAGAATGTCGTCTAAGTAAACTAACGCAAATTTATCAAGGCAATCTGCAAGGACATTATTCATCAATCGTTGAAACGTAGGTGGTGCATTTGATAGACCAAAGGGAAGTACAAGAAAAGCGAATTTGCCATAGCGTGTATTGAAAGCTGTTTTGTCGATATCTTCATCCGCGATTCGAAGCTGATGATAACCAGACTTGAGATCGATACTAGTAAAATATTTGGCACCGGCTAATCGTTCCAAACATTCATCAGGGCGCGGTATACTCGACGAATCTCTAACGGTAAGTTTATTCAAAGCTCTATAGTCAATACACATTCTTAATTTACCCGGTTCTTTTGATCCTGGATCAGGCTTTTTTCGAACGAATAGAACGGGAGCGCCCCAGGGAGAGCTACTTGGCTTGATCAACCCCAATTTGAGTAACTCTTGAATTTGCATTTTTAACTCGTCCAATTCCAATGGAGACATCTTGAATGGAGGTCTTGATATCGGTCTTGCATCGCCAGTGTTAATAATATGTTGAATCCCACGGTCTGGTGGTAATCCAGGCAGATCAGTCTTAAAAATTTCATCAAATTCTTGAATCAGCTTTTTCCAGTAATCATCATCCGTTGTTTGTGAATATGCGCCGTCAGGTTTTTCAGTGTCTCGGATGCAGAGCAAAAAACTATCCGCCCCTTTCTTCATATATCGGTCAGCTTGTTTATGTGATATTAAATAACTAAGATCGGATATAGAAGTGAGTGACGAATGTTTTGTATGTGCTTTAGGTTTTAATTGTATACTTCCATTATTTATGGACCAGACATCAGTGTCCCAATTTGGAATAGGTTTTTCTTGTTTTAACCACGAGCGTCCTAGAATGAGATCGAATTTCGTTGGAAAAACATAGGCCAATATAGAGGTGGTATAACCATTTAAGTTCACGTTTAAGTTTATCTTGTACTTAATTTCGGATATTTCGCCACCAGCGGTTTCCACTCGTCGATTGAGTACTGGGATTAGTTCTTGACCTGCCGGAATTATGTGGGGTGATACATAATTTTCGCTTGCACCTGAGTCAATCAACACCTGTAAAGATTGTCCATAACAAGTACCATCATATAACGGCAGTACTGTGCCGAGAGTATTTAGTTCATCCAAGTGATTAAATTCCTCAGTCAAATCATTAGTGGGATAGACAATAGGGGTCAATTCGACTACGGATCTATGTGGGCTTTGAACATACGCGATTACATCCTGTTTTGTTTGGGGTTCCAAAATAGGATAGTCTACTGTGTCACTAGGGTCAAAAGCATATGGGTCAAAATCAATAAGTTTATTATTTTTTTGTTTAGCATTATCACCGACATCTTGTTCCATATCAATTAAATTAATGGAGTGTCCATATCGACGGTTACGTAATTCATCCAGCTTTTTAATTTCATTCAATCTTTCCCGACAAAAACGCTTGATGTGACCCGTTTTGTTACAGAAAAAACATACAGCATTGGAGTTTGAATTTCCACCACCACGCGACCTATTGTTGTTGTAGCCACCACGACTATTTCCATTTCGGGAACCACCGTTGTTTCTGTTGTACCTATTATTTTGTTGGCGATTGTCAATCCAATCCAACTCCATTGGGTCGTCAATGTAAGTTTTAACAACAGGATGACGTGCTGGAGGTCTAAACAGTGTTTCTTGATGATGAGCGCTGTCAAATGTAAGTGCTGATTTAGCTGCAGTTCTGAGGGTACCATCGTAGTATTGTCGGACGTAAGCGGCAGTGTTTACGTTTGACAATCCGCGCATGAATTTGTCACATGCCTCATCATCTGTCATGTTTTTGATAGCTAATTTATAATCCATAAAAGTATTGATGTAAGAGTTCAAGTCACCTGTTTGCTGTAGCTTCGCAATTTTGTCTCTTGCTATAAGTTCGGAGTTTTCAGGACAGAAAAAATCGACTAAAGCTCGTTTTAGTTCTAACCAGCCAAGAGGAGCCTCGCCATCTCTTGGTTTTTCAATCGTTCGGTACCAAGTGTCAGCCTTGTCTTTGAGTAGTCCTATAGCATAAGTACCAGTTTCGTCGTCCTTCATTTCTTGAACACGAGCATAGTTTTCAACAGCAGATATCCACCCATCGATTTTTACAGCATCACGGTCACCATAATAGTCATCAGGTTCCTTTGCTTTTATATTTTTGTTCTTGTTCACTTCTCGCATCAGTTTTGCCAAGTTATTAACCAAATCTGCCATGTCATTGTATGACGCCTTAGCCTCTTGATTTTCAGCCATATTAATTCTTGTTTCCCTTTGAACGCCTGGTGCTACCAATTGTAATCCTCAGATGTCTAGTTGACCCTTACGTAATAACCTAACACGTGACTATCACGTGAACCTATTCCTATTGGCTAGAAGAGTACTCTTCAAAGTACAAGTACAAAATAAAGTATGAGATAAAAGATAAAGATTTATTAATTATAATGTGGGGTTATTTATACTATCTAAATTGATTGATGTTTCATATGTATGTAATTGTTTTATGCTAAATTAGTTTATGGCTTTGCTTGTTTGTTCTTATGACATATAGTTTTGATTTCTTGTTTGGTCTTGCTTTCGTGACCTTTGGTTTAAACCTTCGTTTGGGTCTTGTGAGTTCCATTGCGTCATAGTAGTTCTCGGTACCGGGCTGTTGTGCCGGAACTATTTCATTGGCTGGATTGGTTCTGACATTATGACATATGCTGTGAGGTTATAAACGTCGATGATCAACTAAAAGCTTCTAGAACGTTTGTAAAAGGAAATATAGAAGTTTGTTTAACTAAATGAAGATTGGCTCTTTCCTTATCGAGAATAATCCTCTATTATCATTATTTCAAGTCGCGTCAACCACACTCATATAATCGTTTCTCACTTATCAAAAAGAATACACCTTTGCAACATTTATACACCTTTTTATATCACTTTTCAATTCATTACAAGATTACAACACCTTTTTCCAACACCTTATTTTATTTTCAGTACACACATTTCAGTATCAATTTTATTATCGTTTTACACTATTTTATTTATCATCAAGTATTTTATTCAACAAGAAGATATGTAAACAGCTTGTTCCCCAAATATGGTTTTCCAAGTCAAGACATTCTAGTTGGTTTTACAAGTTCTCTCAAATATGTTCATTTCAAGTATCAAGTCAGTTCAGATTGGAATTTACATATGGATTTCTATTATTTTATGCACATATCTTAATTTGGAAAGAAATAATTTATCTCGAGCTCAGACAACATTGAAATGTCTCTAAAAATGCTTCGGTTATAATCACAATTACTCAAGAGAACACTCATATCTCAACACAATTATCTTATTAGATCTTTTAGTATAAATACGCTTTGAATTCTTATATTTTAATAAACTTATCCTTTTCTTACTTTAAAATTTGTTATTGTAACTATTACCTGTGTGGTTTCTTTCTGATTGATCGTCTTGTGTTACTTTAATAAGTACCCGTCAATCTTAACGTAGGTTCCTATTACTGTAAAATGGTTCGATTATTAGAGGTTATTAACATGGCAGTGCCCTTTATTATTGTTTTAGTCTGCACAACCTCTTTGATCTATTCTATTTTATCAATTACTATCACTCCAAATCACTTAACAGAGATTTACCACTTCGTGTACAAATACACCATTTCAATTAAAAAAGTTTTTAGCTTATATATATTCAACATTGTGAAACAATTTTGTCACGTGACTGTCACGTGGAAGAATTTTGATTGGTTTTCAATGCGTGATTTGGTCTTTAATTGGGCATATTTCACCGACTTTTGTTTCGCTTTATGTTTCGCATTGCCTTTACTTGCATGATTACTAGGTTTAATTTAAAGAAAAATCCTCCGAATGATAGAAATGTCAAGCAGATGCTTTGAATAAGACAAAACTATTCGTACATGCAACACTATCAATATTATTGGAGAAAAAGGGTCTATCATTCATGTCACTTTCTATAATCTTCTGTAAACAGTTTAATTATTTGCCAATATGGTTGATGTGATTAATAGCCAACATATTGGTTGCTCTGACTTGCATTGTCAGACTTTTATTACATACTATATTATTGGTTACAACGCCAAATCACACACGCATCGCAATAAATAGTAGACAAGCCGACTCGTGGAATAACAGGAAACAGTAAACTACATATACTTAAATTATAGAAGAGCGATATTATTATAACAAACACGGGTACCGTAACAGCTGAATGCATATACCGATTGAAAGTTGAACTTTTTGTCTATAATTCAATTGCAAAGACATCTATTATTTCTAACTTAAAACTGAATTAATGTGAGAGTTTAAGCCCACTATTGAAGGTTAAATGAATTCGCAGAGAGCCTAACTCTTGATTTATTATTAAAAGTCAATATCTGCTACTAGACACATATGATCAGAGCCAAAGTTCTTATTGGGGAGAGAAGGTCTCAAAAATTCTTCCTTAGGCAGCATCAATATCCGCCTAATAGCAATTGAATCGTCATCCTTTTCTAAAAACATATAGTCCAAAGTTCCTTGAAATTGTGAAGTATAATTCGTAAACTTTGGTTCGCCAAATGATCCCAGCTGACTTCGATCGTTGCTGATTTTTCCAAAGTTACTATATACACTAGTCCAACTGGGTGTGCCTCTATGAATTTCGAGAAGCTGATCTAGAGTTGCAAGTTCGCCTGTAATGGAAACTGATTCTCCTTCCTCATCATCTTCCGCACCCATTTGTGCATTGTCGTCTTTATTCTTATACAGGCGAGATTCATTTAAGTCATCTAATTCTGCTTGGTCTAGTTGATTTTTTGTCAGGATTGAATATCCTGCATCGATAGGTTCTGAATTAAAGTCTACATAAAGTTTAGTATAAGTTAGAAAAATAGTTCCAATATATTACCTCCTAGAAGCAATGATATCCACCGGTGATTATGTTTCAATGTCAAACGAGATTTAAATTCCATAAACCTTTTTTTATAAATTGTAATCTGTCGAAATCTTTCGTAATTTGCACAAGGCTTCCAGTACAAATGAGTATTTCCAACAACAAAACCAACTTTGGGATTTCCTTTTAATTGTAATGCGATAAGCTGCGCTACGTTTCCAGTCATGAACGAGGGTGGACACGTATCGTCTGTATTATAGTCCACTGTGCTGTAATCTATTATGTCAAACTTTTCGATTTTGTAAGCAATGCCACAACCTATTACGGTTATAGTTTAAGTACAGGGTATACATATGATTCATGCTGTTTATACCATGGCGTTTGACTGGATGGTAATAATATTCAACAGCATAGCCTATGCTTGCAAGGACACCCTTATAATAGGAATCAAAATTATCCAACTCTAAAAGTCTAATAATTAGAAACAAGAAGTTCTAGATTGGTTCCGAATATACCTTGAATGCTTATGATATCCGGGTGATACAGTTTTATCTCGTCTACAATCATTTTTCGTCGAAGTTTCTATATTCATATTAGAATAGGCAGCAGCAGTTGAAATTTGACAGTTTCCGTTACCCATTTTAAAATTTCACCAGAATCAGGAAACAATTCACGTTTAATGAGCGATTGTGCTAATAACTACAGAAAATTAAGGAAACATTCCTGGGTAAAAAAAAAAAACTTACATTAAACGTCATGACACGAACATTCCCTTCAATAGTTGACAGCTTATTTTGGTCGGACACTGTCTCAAACACGCGCTCCAAAACTTCTGGAACAACAGACTGGACTTGGGGTTTGGCATTTTGTTTCTTTTTAAGTTCTTTTTTGGCTAATTTAAGTCTTTTTAATTCCTCCACATTTGAAGGCATTTTTGGGTTCATAGGCTTATTTTCTTGACTCATGTTATTTTATAAAAAAAATTACAAAAAGATTATAGGGCGCTATTTATATTGACTTGTGTCTATCCGCAGCAACAGGAGCAAGAACCTTATTTTTTAATTTAGCTGACTGCGGTTTAAAATTATTTTCAGACAAACAGAAGAAATATACTAAAAAAGATTTTCAGACAAATGTAAAAAATAATCAGACAAGATATCCATCCCAGTCAATACAATTTTTTGTATCGATAATGTTACAAGGAATTTAAAGAGGACGGCAGATTATTTTCAACCAACACTTCACGATTTAAGTGAGAAAAAGAAAGTGTGAAGGTACCAACAAAGGTTCCTGCACCTGTGCAGATAATTGACATGGTCTACTTGTAATGTAATGATAGAGAGAATAATCTTCGGGTAGGACATAGCGGAGGAAAAGAAGATAATGATAGAGAGTATGGCGGTGAACATGCTTTTCTGTCATTTCATGGTAACACAGGTATTCGGCGGTTATCATCTGTCGAATATTACAACATGAATGGAAGTACCAATCGTCTGAAGTTGGAACGAGACAGAAAGAAGGGACAAGGTGTGCAAACAATCGAGATAAATATACCTTCTGTGAAGTAAGCAGTTGCAGATAAATATATTACGCATGTGAAATACATGATGCAACATATGGACATACTATTTAGTTTTAACAATTTTCAAACAGCAAGAGTCAAATGATGTAACTACATCGGAAAACAGCGTGCCCTCCAGGATGCTATTAATATCCTAATTAATGGATCAAAGAAGTACAATAAGGGACGACGGAAGAAAACAAGAAAAAACAAGAAAAAACAAGAAAAAACAAGAAAAAACAAGAGAAAAAGAAGCAAGACAGCTGCAAAGTATCAAAGCAACACCCCTCAAGCCAGCTCAAGACGAGGAATGAGCGCTTCTAGGTATTACTAACATACTCATGGATATTGTTCCTCTTCTATTTTTTTTTTTTCCCTTTTTTTTAAAGCAGAAACTATAAGAGGGTGACAAGAGTAAAATGCCATTGATAATTTTTGCGGACAGTCTCAATAATAAAAGTCACGTAAAAATCAGTGTGCATAGGCATGGTGTCTTTGAGATGATATACATACAATTAAGGCTACGGGAAAAACTTGGAGAATAATTGCTGCTTGACATAGATGAATATAAAACATCAAAGGTGAAACATATACGCATCTATAAGATGTAATTACTGATAAAATATCATTTCTTTCTTAGGACCGCAATGGCTGCCTAGAAAGTAGTCTAGAAAATTTAAAGCATATAAGTGGAATGGACAACCGATCAATTCATTAAATATTCTTCTGCAAAAAATGCAATATTCGTTGGCTACGAAAAAACATGTACACCATTGCCACGTCAATTTGGAGAGGCGATGGCCGACCCGATATATTTATAAGACAAAGCGCCACATCCAATGTGGTTGCCACGCCCTCACCGGCGATGGCTTAAAGATGCTTACAGGTAAAAAAAAAATATATATAGTCTAACACTAGATCTGAATTTCTATTTTTATGTCGTCTGAAGAAGGTAAGCGAATGTCTAAAAGTGAATTTTGATTCATATGGAAAAAAAAAACTGACATTGTCTGAACGTGAAGTGTGAACACTGTAGATTCCATAAGCTGAACCTTAGACTGGGATAACATATCTGGGGGTTACTCAGACCTATATTTTTGCTCCAAAGGCTGTTATTAAATACATCGACCAATAGTTTCTGAATCCAAAGGCTACAGTTTAAGTTACTCGACAATTGAATACAGTTGTGTCTTCTCATTTAAACAATGGGATCTTTGAAATTTGCTGTATCAAGATAAAGACTTGTTGAATTTATTGCATCAATAAAAAAAAATCAGGATAAAAATAAACGGAATCAAAAAGGAGAACAATCAAATAAACACAATAAAAAAAGACATAATCACAATCAAAAAAACATAATCAAAAAAACATAATCAAATATTATAGAACAATAAAATACATGTGTAGATATGATATTTATTTTTAGAAAATGAACCGTTTTTAAAAATACCAAGAACCTGTTGGCTCTTTAGAAAACTATTTAAGAACAACGTTACGGAGGTAAACATCCCTTTCCAGTTTTACATACTTTTTTTGTCTTGAATAGACTGACTTTTTGCTTATTATGATGGAGAATTCGAATCGTTCTGCCCTTTCTGTTTGTCGTGCTTTCGCTTCCCAGAATCACATGAGTAAGTACAGAGGATGGGGATCTTTGAATGGCACTGAGCAATGGACAATGCTTAAATCAATGCAAGAGGAAGTAGTGGAAATCGATCCAAAGAGGAGGATAACGAAGGAGAATACGAAGGTATTACATGTCTCAAAAGGCAAAGCAGAAACAGAATATACCAAGAAAAAAAATGGAGAAGCAAGCGGGAAGACTTCAAAAGATATCTAAAGTTGTTGCTGGTGATGACGCAAAGAAGTGTAAACGATGCACAGAGGCAGGCGTTTATAATGAGGAATGAGCTCATACCACGACTCGATCCCCATTGTGTCCTTTTCATCAGAATACGAAGCAAGAGGCAATAACTGCTGCGTTAGAGACAAGTTTCATGCAACAAAACAACAACTTACGTCCAATTAGATTCTAAAGACCTGCAACAGACCCCCAATCATCCATATCGTAAACATATGTTAATAGTTCCGTAAGTCAATATATTAAATTATAATATTTACGATTTATTCCCCCCTAGACATGTCCCCCGTGTCGAACCTGAAAATAAATAAAAATGCACAAGTGATTACCAATTTCAGTTCAAAAGACTGTACGTCTAGTTTTGTATTGTAATGGTTTAGATACTTTTAATATGGTTTTAATTCATTTTTATAGTTGTCCAAATTCATTGTACAGTTGTCTGTATGCTTTACGAATTTAAATTGTTCACACTGCATGTCGCGATTTTTTTTAAAAAAAGCCACAAATATTTAAACTTTTTAAACTCATAATTACATGAAAGAGCATCGCTTGTCTTTTTTTATTTTTATTTTTAAAAAAATATATATCTGCACTATGCAAATTCAAATACTTGTACCTAGTCAAGGTCAAAGACGATTCTTATTACAAGTTGAGAAAACCGATACTGTCGCGAAACTTCGAAATACGATAGCTCAAACTATCGGTGTACCTGAAAAGGGGTTTCTTTTAATTGCGCTCGGCAAAATTGTAAAGTTATTGACGCGAAGTTGAACCTGTACTCATTTTTATGTAGATGTTAAACCAAAATGCAGACAAAACGGCTGCGACATTATCTTTAACTTACCGTTTACGAGACCAGACCAGTGTCTTTGTTCACCTTATTGAAAATTGTATACCGCCCAGCAAAGTAACTACTGAAGTAACGCATAGTGAGTCAGTTGCTGTCCCAAGACATAATATTATTCGCGATAACAATATTGTGTCCACTCCTTTTGATGGGGCCCAATGTTCGTTATGCCTCAACAATAAGCGATTAAAAAAATGTCAAGAATGTGGATGTGCTAAATGTCATTATAAGACCGGCGATCCCCTCGTACGTGCTTTATTAGGATAAAAACCAATGATTTTTCTGACGTTTTTTCTCTCTCTAAGATTTGCGATCAGTGTGAGAACTACTGGCATACACACTGTGCTGGTTTAAGCAGAATCCCCACAGATCAATACTGGTAACTTAATTGCATATGGTAATACAGATCGATTCTTAACCAATGAAATAGGTTTTGCCCAGATTGCATTAATGAAGATGGTAAATTAATTGTCGGAAAAGGAGAGGCTGTCAAAGATAGTACAAATCAAAAAAGTCTTATTGTTATTCGGGACATGGACTGTGTATTAGGTATACCATAAAAAATTGAAGTATGAATTGATGCTAACTTCAATCATCAGTACCTGTGTATCACGTAGGAAAAATTCCAGGTATATATTGCGGTCAGTCCTGGGAGAATAGAAGTCTGGTTTATGACTGGGGCATTCACAGGTAAGATATAAGGAATAAACTATTGACGTCGATTATTGACATCGTAACGGCAGAGCTTCGAGGGCAAATGTTACAGGAACATCCTTAACTGGAGCAGTATCGATTGTCTTGTCAAAAGGATTGAGAGAGGATCGAGATCTTGGATATGAGTTTGTATTTTCGGGCGTTGGAGGAGAGATAAGAACCAGGAAGCATTCTGATTTCTTGAACTTGGTTAAGGATCAAACTCTTACAAAGTATAATAAAGCCTTGGCTGTTACTTGCAACGCTCCCTTTAATGGAGAAACTGGTGCCAAAGCGCATAATTGGAGAAAGAGTAGACCGATCAGAGTATGTCGGGCCGCAAGCAGGAAACATACGCATCCAACATATGCTCCTACAGAGGGTATTCGATATGATGGATTGTACAAAATTGTAAAATATTGGCCGCAAAAAGGTAAAGCTACTTTGATAGAAAAATATCTTGTTATTGACTCTTAAAACACAGATAAAGCAAGTGGATTTATTATTTGGAAGTTTCTGTTTAGAAGAGATGATCAAGAACCTCCACCATGGATGTCCTTCGCTAAAGAATTTATGTCAACGAGAGGGTTACGAACAATTAAGATTAAAGAGGGATCTACGACCAAGTTGTCTAGATATGTAATACCAGCTCATATCCAAAGATTAATGGAAGCTGATACGAAAAACAAACGATTATGGCGCGAAATTAGCGAGATGGAATTTTGGTCAGAGTACGAATTTTTACATTACTTATTTGATACAGCCACAGTATGTTCTAGTTTTGTTTGCTCAAAGCCAATTAAGGTAAGTAGGAGCACTGGTGCGAGTTTTTTTAGATTTTAATTTGTTTATGTAAAGGATCCTGTTACTACGCCCTGTGGTCATATATGTTGTGTAAACTGCCTGACTCAGAGTAACACCGACACATGCTTTACTTGCCGAACTCCGTTACCAAAGGACTCTATTCAAGTAAACGACAAACTCAAACGAATCTTGCAATCTTTAAATTGGGCTTATGATATTGAAAACAGCACAAAGCCAATAAGAACAACATTATCACCGTCTTTGGACCTTGATAAAAATAGTGAAAATATGGTTAAACAGGAAGTAACAGAGGAATACAATAATGAACTTATGTCAGTGGAAACGGAAGACTACATCGAATGTGGAATTAAACAAGAGTACGAGTATCCTACTCTCACTGCAAGTGTTCAGAATACAGAACGTGTAAAAGAAAAAGCTAAAAAAGCTAAAAAAGCTAAAAAAGCTAAAAAAGTTCGAATTTTTATCGAATATTTGGGCAATGTATCAGCAGAACAGAACAAGAGGAGAAAGTTAGGAAATTAGTAATTATTTATTATGGGATATGTTACCCCATAAAACGGGGATGTAAAAAGTCGAATAAAATGGTTTGTAATTAATTAAGTGATTTGTCGTAAAAGGGTTTCATTTGTGATGTAATTAGTACTCGTTTTAGATCTTTTCTTGTGATTTGATTCCAATAGTCTCGTCAACATCTGATACATGATCTCTCTTGGCTTTAAGTGGGGCTAACCAAGCAAATAAGCAGCCAAAGAAAGAAGGCGATGCAGGTTTGCTAACGGGAGCGGCCCTACTTGTGGATGGCAGGGTCTTCTTAGCTGGAATTGCCTTTTTGGTTGAGGCCCTGAATAAAATTATATTTAGCATGCAACCCTTATAAATAATTGTGACACGTTACTTTTTCTTTTCTTCTTTTTCGGCCAACATGGCAATTAAAGCACCACCAATACTTCCACCATCTGTAGCTACTTCTAATTGGATACGCTCACTCACCTGAGGACCAAACCAGGTTTTGAGAGATGATAGAATACGATCATGCATGTTAGGGTATTTTTCATAGGTAGATCCATTCACACCAATAACAATAGGTCCAATGCCATTAATCAAGTCATCCTGCTGTTCGATTAAAGAAGCCATGGCAGCAGCAGCTAATCTTGCTGCACGATCAGATACAATTTGACATAATCCTGTAAAGATTTCAAGGTCGTTCAATTCAATTGTATAGCCATCTTCAAAAGTAAAATGTTCTTTGAAATGTTCAAAACGTGCTTCGGCCGAACTATCGAGGCGACTACAAATTATGTATTAGGTTTCACCAGGTGTAACGAATTTGCTAATAATGTAACAGCAAAAGAACGGGGGACGTACGCACAAAAATAAAAATAAAAAAATAAAAATAAATATTTACCCTTCAATAGCACTTGTCACTGAAGTGCCAAATTCCAAGGCAACCGCAAATTGGGTTGGGCAATGACCACTAAACAATTGACTTTTTTCAATTAATTCTAAAGCAGCTAATCGAACCAATTCACCAATGCATGCGCCTGACATCATCTTTTCATAAAGCTGAAAGTCCGGTTGGGAATGATTAGCATCAAGTTGACGATCGAACTTGTTTAAAGGCAAATACGCATCACTTCCAAAGATGTCAATCTCGGTATTGACCAGCATTGTGGTACCTTCTTCATAACTGGACTGTTGATCTTTTAACTTAACCATACGAGACACTAGCTCGGGATATGCAGCATTAACGCCAGTGCCATAGATAAACCCAACTCGGGTATCAGGATTAGTGTAAGCGTGAGCTACTAATGTACCGACAGTATCATTCAATAAAGCAGTGACTTTAACATTGACGTTCTAAGAATAAACATTTTTAAAATCCAGTGGTTTAATAAAACGTGTACGTTAATTACTTTGCGTTGAAAGGCTTCCAAAAATAAAGCGGCAAGGTCATAGCCTTCGACACCTTCTATAGTAAATCCTTTGCCCATACGAAGAATTTTGCCTGCGGATACACTTGTTTGACTATTATAAAGCGAGTATTTTTTTTTTAGCAAAAATATATATTGATTTAATATTAAATATTTACTCAACAGGAAAACTCCAACATACACCAAGAGAGAGTGGCTCATCTGCATGAGCTGTATCGTAGCCAATTTTTAAAATCAACTCGGCAATAGTGTCAACAATCCAGTCAAAAAAAGTGGTGGCTCCACTTGTACGTAAAGGATCATGTGGAGCGATATCACGGCGAATTTCTGTGACTTTGACGTTACAGTCACCTAAAAGTTCCACAGCTGAAACACGAAGCGTGCTTCCGCCTAAATCCAATGCAAGGTAAGTGCCTTTTTCTTTTCCTGTTGGCAATGTGGTAACATAGGAAGGAATCATCGTAGCAAGTCCAGCGGCTGATGCTGTGTTCAAGCCACTTTCATACTCCGCTTTAAAACCATCCACAATAGCTTTGAAAGTATCAAGGTTTAAATCGAATAATTGTCGGATGTCTTGGAGGGGATCAGACATTTTTTAAAGGAGTGAAGTAAGTAAAAATAATAATGTTCGGTAAGTGAGGTAAAGGGCTGTTTATATATAGAGAAAACAAAAAGAGAAAAAAAAGACGGGAAAAAAGGGATAAACCACCATAAAAAAGATGGGGTCTTTTTATATAATTATTAATATATCCATCAGGTGGTACGTTGTGTATAGTAATACAACTAAATCGCACGCCTTTTCCCTGAGACCCTGAACTTGATTATGTATAGGTTCAGCTCACCAATCATTTGTTAAATAGTGTATGTGAATTTTTTTGAAGAAATTAAACATGTGGACTTAGTCCGGGTTAAATAAGCGTCACGCTATTTTATCGTTTGATACACAGGTTTTTTTTTTTAAATGTAAAGTTTTTCTTCTTTATTGTGTGATAAAATGAAAACTTGAGAAATGTATCATGGGAAAAGGTTATGTATGTAAAGGCAATAATAAAAAAAGGAAAGATAAGGAATCGTTTGTGAAACTACATATTATGTAACAAGTTAGATGATTTGGAATAAAAGAAATTGAATGGTCTTATTCGTCATAAGGGCCATTCAAAGGAGTCTGGGATCTGGAGCTATTAGCTAACTTTCTAAGTTGCTTAACACCACCTTGAAGAGACAAGTTCTCGGGACCGATCAGGGATTGATGAACATGTTCAATAGATTTAAAGTATTTGACGGTCTACAGTTAAAAGATTTAATTAACGTAATCTCTAGATTGGCCTATCGTGGCTTACCTTAACATGTAATTCAAGGGTCGCGTCTTCATCACACACGATCAGGCCCTTAGGGTGCATTTGAATGGCCGAAACAGTCCACATGTGGTTTACTCCACCTTCAATACAGTTAGCTAAGGCAATGGCCTGAGATAGTAAATCATTTTTGTGTTAGTCATGGTCTTACAAAACTCTATTACATAATTATTACCTTGTGTGCACCAGTGATAATGACGAGCACTTCACGAGCATCCATAACAGTACTAATAAAGAAAGTCACATCAGTTTGTCATACTTGTCTCTATAGTATAAAAACTTACGCTACACCGACGGTTAAAGCAAGTTTAGGAACCTTGGAGACATCGTCATCAAAGAAACGAGCGTTAGCAATGATGGTTTCATAAGCCAAAGTCTTGACACGAGTGCGAGAGGTGAGAGAAGAGCCGGGTTCGTTGAAAGCAATGTGACCATCAGGGCCAATACCACCTAAAAAGAGTTCAATGCCACCAACACGAGCGATTTCGGCCTCAAATTTTTTGCACTCCTCATCCAAGTCGGGAGCATTACCGTCGAGAATATGAACATTTTCAGGCTTGATGTTGACGTGCATGAAGAGATTTTTCCACATGAAAGAGTGATAAGATTCAGGATGGTCGCGGGGTAAGCCAACATATTCATCCATGTTGAAGGTAACAACATGCTCAAAACTGATTTCACCAGCCTTGTACATTTCAACCAAGACCTTGTATACACTTACAGGTGAAGAACCTGTGGGAAGACCGATAACGAAAGGACGTTCAAGAGTAGGCTTGAATTGCTTAACACGTTCCTTGACATAGTTGGCTATAACAAACGATTAGTTGAGTCCTAGCCTCTACTTCAACCTGTGTACTTACCAACATAGCTAGTGACTTCATCATAATCGTCGCGAATAACTAATCTCATTATTAATTTATGTGTGTGTGTGTAAAATGCTTACTTTGTATGAAGAAAAAAAAAGGGATTAAGGAAATTGAGACAACTTATTTTATACAAAATTTTCATTACCCGAGCTAAAAAAAAAAGGGTCTTTTCCGTGACCAATCACACACAAAGATATGGTTTCTGGGGCAACACAGGGAGCGGTTCTTTATTTTAATCAGCCTTGACTTCTATTCAGGGTCTCCCCATTTTTCCCAGCTCAAGTATATTTTTGTTTATCGGCAAGGTGATAAACCTTTTCCACTTGTATTTTATATGGTTCAAGTTGAAACAGAACGCTTGTAATTATGAGATACAGAAATAAAGAAAAGTAAAATGGCTTCAAAAGATAACGATATGAAGTTTCCCAGATGGATGATTTGATAATCAAACATATGATTGGTTCAAAATTGATTACATAAAATCAAATTAGACCCTGGCGACCTTTCCACTTATTAGATCATAAGTAACCCCAGGCTTTTAATTGCAAAACAACCCTAATATTCTATAAATTTTATTCCCGCTTGCACCCTTTGAAAGACCCTCCTTTCCCTTTCAAACGTAAACAATACAAATCCCGATTTAAGTTTGCCTCGGTTATATTTGTTTTTTTAAAGAAAACAAATATCCAAAAAATGACATATTATCTTTGTGGCTTATTTCCAAGATAAATAGTAGCTTTTCCGCTTAATTTTGGCTGGTCACTGTATAAATTGCATTATAAACAATGCATTAGTGCGCGCTGCTCTGTATACAGGAGATACTTTTGTGTGACAATGAACTCAAGCAAACATCAATCTAAAATAGGGATGCATTTTTTCGTTATTTCTATTTGACCTGACCATACCCCCCACTTTTCCCCTTTTTTTTAAACGATTTAATATCGTTTTTTTTTTTTTTTTGCTATTTCTTTCTCTTTTTTCTTTTTCTTTTTCTTTTTTAATTTATTTTTGTTTGCATGTCCAAGTGGCAAAAAGGCGAAATCAAGGTCAATTTAAGGCCAGGTAAACTTTATAAAAGACGTGACGGGAATATTTAGTGACAACTTTCTGTAGATGACGAAGAGGAAAGAGAAGAAGATTTTCGTTTACTAGGGGATCATCACCATAATACGGAAATACCAAGCGCTGCAATACCACAGGCGCCTTACATGTTCTCCGACTACTCACTTTCATCATTAAACTCACAAGTCCCTTTTGAGTCAACCGAAATGTTGGATCGATGCAAAAAACCACCAGCGGAAAAAAAGAAACCTCATTTCCTTTCAAATTTCCTGAATCGTGATAGGAAAAACCAGCAGAATGACGTGCCTCGTGTTATCCACATACAGCATTTACCAAATCCAAAGTTTTTAGGCAATGAAATATCAACTGCCAAATACAACCCCTTTTCATTTCTCCCAAAGTTTTTATATGTCGAGTTTAGTAAATCTGCGAATCTTTTCTTCTTGTTTATATCCGGTATTCAGGTAAAACAGTAATAATAATATCGTTCGTTTTTAACTCTACTCAAATATGGCATGTAGCAAATCCCTAATATTTCGCCTACCTCACGTTATACCACTCTCATTCCACTTATAATTGTATTACTCATCACAGCTATTAAAGAAATCATTGAAGATTATGTAGGGTAAAAGTTGTATAAAATTGTTCAACTTTATTTATAACGAACTAAACTTTCCTTTCTTTCCACAGGGCGTACATAAATCAGATCATCAATTAAATGCGAGCCAGTGTAAGATATACGACGGAAGCCAGTTTGTAATCAAACAATGGAAAGATGTAAAAGTTGGTGACGTCTGTCGTATCGAAAGTAAAGAGTTTTTTCCTGCTGATCTGATTCTGCTTAGTTCTTCTGAACCGGAAGGACTTTGTTACACAGAGACAAGTAACTTGGATGGGTAATAACCATATATTTTTCTGATATTATTTTGTTGACAATTAATTGTAGAGAGGTGAATTTGAAGATAAAGCAAGCTCTCCCAGAAACAGCATCCTATCTTTCTCCATCTGATATAACCAACTTGTCAGGAACCATTCGGTGTGAACAACCAAATAACAGGTTATACAACTATGATGGCACTTTGACCTTGAATTTAGCAGATGGGAAACAAAAAGACTTTCCATTGGATCCATCGAAATTGTTATTAAGAGGTGCTCAGCTACGAAATACAAGCTGGATATATGCTATTGTTGTGTTTACAGGTCATGAAACCAAACTAATGTTAAACTCGAGGTAAATGTTTATGTATTAATTTTTTTAGTAACTTTTGTTGATCTGGTTTATTTTTAGTAAAAAACCGACCAAAGCTTCTAATGTCACACGTATAACTAACCGAAACATCTTGTATCTTTTTACGATGCTTGTAATTATGAGTGTTCTATGTTCTGTGGGAAACCTAGTAACATCTGTAAAGTGAATCTTTTTAAAAAAGAAAGAATACCGTTCCTTCATACTAACCTGCTCTATAGACAAAAGCAGGAGAGCAGTGGTCATATCTACAGATACCTGCTACAGAGAGAGCAAGAGAATTCGGATTCTGTATTCTTACATTTATGATTCTATTCAACAGTTTTATTCCAATCAGGTATGAGTTTATTGTCTGCGCTTAAAATGAAAAGCTAAACATTATGTACCAGTTTAATGGTGACTATGGAAATCGTTAAATTTGTCCAATCTATCATGATTGACAACGATCTCGATATCTATTACGCAAAAACTGATACACCAGCAGTAGCCCGAAGCAGTAGCCTAATCGAAGAATTGGGTCAAGTGGAATATGTGTTTTCAGACAAGACGGGAACATTAACTTGTAACGAAATGGAATTTCGAGAATGTTCAATTGCTGGACTATCCTATGCCTCTACTGCTGACCCAGAAAGACGAGCATCTACAGAGAATGATTCCCAAGGCCAATACTCGTTTAAGAAGTTGGAGGAACATCTTAATACTTCTGAAAATTCTCATATTATTCAAGAATTTATGACTTCTTTAATGACATGCCATACAGTGATTCCTGAGGTAATTAAGGATACAGAAGAAATTGTTTATCAAGCTTCATCACCCGACGAGGCTGCATTAGTCCAAGGAGCAAGTGACATATTTGGTTACCAATTTTATGCAAGGAGACCCCATTCAATCAATTGTAAAATTAAAGGCCAAGACATTCAATTTGAGATATTAAATGTCTGCGAATTTAATTCAACCAGAAAACGAATGTCACTTGTATTAAAAGATCCTGAAGGCAAAATAAAATTGTATTGCAAAGGTGCCGATTCTGTGATATTGGAGCGATTGGCTTCTGATGACGTATTTGAAGAGGCAACCTTGCATCATTTAGAGGTTCGTAAATTGGATGGGTGTATGTATGTGCGCTTTTATCTTTACTTAAGTGTATTTTTAGGAATTCGCATCAGAAGGGCTTCGAACTTTATGCTATGCAATGCGAGAGATTCCTCCAGAAGAATACAAACGGTGGTCAACTGTTTACGAAACCGCAGCTACAACTTTAACAAACCGATCTGACGAACTGGATAAAGCTGCCGAGATGATTGAAAAAGATATGTTTTTGTTAGGAGCTACTGCAATAGAGGATAAACTTCAAGATGGCGTACCAGACACTATTCATACATTGCAGCAAGCAAACATTAAAGTTTGGGTTTTGACTGGAGATCGACAGGAGACGGCAATTAATATTGGTTACAGCTGTAAATTATTAACAGAAGATATGGAACTATTTGTTTGTAACAAGGATGACCGTAAATCAACAGAGACATTTTTAGCTCGCAGACTATCTGAATTGGATCAAGATGCTAATAAAGAAACCGATGTTCCATTTGTAAAGGAGCCATATTATATTGGGATAATGTTCTCAAGACTAACCTGCTTGTAAATATTTATAGGCACATGCATTAATTATAGAAGGAAAGTGCTTAACGTTTGCGCTCGAGAAAGACATGGAGCGATTATTTTACGACGTTGCTACACGGTGTAAGGCTGTCATTTGTTGTCGTGTATCTCCTCTTCAAAAGGCTCTAGTTGTCAAATTAGTTAAGAAATTTTCAAACTCTATCCTTTTAGCTATTGGAGATGGGGCGAACGATGTTTCAATGATACAAGCAGCTCACGTAGGTATTGGTATAAGTGGCGTAGAAGGATTGCAGGCAGCTCGGAGCGCTGATTTTGCAATCTCGCAATTTCGCTTTTTGAAAAAATTATTACTGGTGCATGGATCTTGGGCTTACCAAAGGCTTAGTAAAATGATCTTTTATTACTTCTATAAGAATGTGGCGTTGTATCTCACACAGTTTTGGGTAATTTCATGGCAAAAAAATGAAAAAAGATAAAAAGAAAAAAAAAAAAAACTAGAATAAATCTCAACTAATAATCAAATAGTACGCAATCTTTAATGGATTTTCAGGCCAGACATTATACGAGTCTTGGACTATGTCTTGCTTTAACGTTTTTTTCACTATTTTACCACCCATGGCTATCGGTATATTCGATCAATTTGCATCAGCAAGATTACTAGACAAGTATCCCCAGCTTTATATGCTCGGACAAAAGAACGAATTTTTCAATCAAAAAAGATTTTGGGGATGGATTATGAATGCAGTCTATCATTCTGCGGTAGGTACCAAAAATATAAACATTTATATGTATAAACGTTCGATACTCATTGCGGTAATCAGTTACTGTTTTTTTTGGGTATGGCTGCGTTTCGACAAGATGAAGTGTTTGGTCCTGACGGGTGGTCGGGAGGACAATGGTGGGTTGGCACAACAATTTTTACAGCCACATTGGCAACCATTTTATGGAAAGCTGCGCTCATTACTGAGTAGGTTACATTCATTTCAGGAAAAAAAAAAAAAAAAAAAAAAAAGAAAAAAAAAAACTGGGTGGGCCTAATATTTTTTATAGTATTTGGACCAAGTACACTTTTATCGCGATTCCCGGGTCAATGGTGATTTGGTTTCTCTTCATGCCGTTAGTTTCCTATGTAGGACCTTTATTACCTTGGGGGATATTCATGGAGTACGTTGGAATTGTCCCAAGACTGTTCGGAAACGTCAACTATTGGCTGTTCGTAATCCTTGTCCCCTTTGCTTGCAACTTACGAGATTATCTTTGGAAATAGTAAGCTTTAATGTATCTTCTTTCTAAAAAAAACTAATTTGACCACTAAATAATTTTAGCTACAAACGGATGTATCGAACAAAAAGTTATCATTACATTCAAGAGATCCAAAAAATGAATCTTCCAGATTATAGACCTCGCATGGACAGATTTAGACAAGCAGTAAATAAGGTCAGAAAGATCCAGCGATTGAAGCTTTCGAGAGGTTATGCGTTTTCACAGAACGATTCGGATCAATCAAAAATTATTCGGATGTATGATACCACTCAACAAAAGCCTACCGGCTGATAAAAGCAAAGAAAAAATAATTATATATAATTTTTTTCTTTCTATACAACATTAAACCTATTAAATATTACATTATCAGTTGATAGTGGTATAATTTTACTTCGATTTTTATCTTTATTTTCAATCAATAATCCAAAGCAGACTACTTTTAAGTTAATCAAAAAGATAAACCAGAATAAGATGGAGGAGGAGGATGGGGATATAGAAAAAAATGCTGTAATAATGGCAGTGTCATCCCCATCAGACAGGACCAACATACAGGTTGTTATTGAAGGGTGCAAACCAAAACTGACATAGTAAATAACTTGATTAGTAAAGTGAACCATCTCTTAAAAATGCATGGATTGCTTGAAATAAAGTGTCGATCGTATTAATTTTATTTGTTTATTGGTCTAATAAGGGAATATATTTTTTTTAAATAAAGAATGCGTAAATAAGAGCAGGTATTAAAGCAAAGCCAATCTTCTTAGAAAGCATTGTTGAAGCATCACTTTTCTCTAAAAACTCGTCATCAACAGCAAGTACTCGAAGCTCTTGTTCGGCAGTTGTGTTTGCAATAATGCTCTTAACTTGTTGTCCTGATTTGTAACCAGAAGATCCAAACGAAAACTTATCAGCTACATACTCAAGACCTGCGGCGCTTGCTTTGTAAGGTCTAGCGTCGTTTAAGCAGCCATCCATTCGAACAGCTGTATATCCTTGAGATTCAATTGTTTCTAGAATGCTAGGCACCGCATCCATACTTGTGGTCTCTGGAATATCATATTGAATTGCGACAAAAGAACCTTTGGAATCGTGTGCATCTCTATACTCTTTGAAAGTGCGCTCATATTCATTTGCGACTAATTCAGGAGTTTTATGAACATAATCTTTACCATCCAAGTTGTACCCTACTATAATGAATCCGAGGTCACGTAAGATCTGCTCAGTTCTACCATCACTTTGTGCACTGAAATGAAGTCGAACGTATTTAGGGGATACTTGAATTAGAGTTTCGATCATTCGCGCACTATTAATAATATCAGTCTTGATTTCTTCGTCACTCATTGCTTCAGGGTCTTCATTGGGAAGGCGGTATGTCATTCCTATTAAGTGGCCTGCATTGTAAATATTTTGAAGGACCATGGCATATTTTTGTTGGTTTAACCTGACATACAAATTAGTCACTGCTGAAATAATATTATTTCTGTATTACCATGTGGTATTAACAAAAAAGTTTCCTGGAGTGGTTCCGTTGTTTAAATGGCGAGCAATACGAGCGGTTGCATCACTAGGGCCTTCACTCTATTGAAAGTGGGTATTAGATAACTATTGTCGATATATTTTCAAATGTCTTACGTAAGTGATGGCAACTTGACCATCTGCTCTACAGGCAACTACCTGAGGAACAGGTGGTAGGTTATCTCCAGCTCTAACTCGACCTTGTCTATATACAGGTAAATCTAAAAGAAATGGTCTCAATTTTAACTTTCTCTTGCTGCCGAGGTTCTTGAATTTATGACTTACCAATTGCTTTGTTATAAACAAGACCTGCAGAAGCAAATACATTTTCATCTACTTCTTTGTCGACGACGGAAGACTCTTTTTTCTCGCTTTCTTCCGATTCCTCATTTTCTTCTTGCTCTTCCTGCTCTTCATGAGCAGCTACAACTATAGCAAGAGCTGGTGAATTTTCTTGATCTTCATCTTTGTCGTCTGAATCAACCTTGATAGAATACCCTGCACCAGATAGCGGATCCAAAGATGACATCGAAGCAGTGACAGAAGAACCTGTATTTTTAGACGAAGAAGAAGCAGGGCTTGCTTCCACAAAAAGTAGACAAGATAGGACTAACGGAAAGCGTTAAATTATTTTGACTATCAAAGCATAGATTGTAATTTACCTGCAGCGGCGGCAATATATTTCATATGTTGTGTAAGAGATATACGTTTAAAAAAAAAGTCTGTTTAAAAGTACTAGGAAATATACAAGTTTATATATGAATATATGCAGGAAAGTAGTATATTCCCGTAGCCTATGTTGAACATGTAAACAAATTTTACTTGGTAGTATATATAATATTAGTGCTTTTATTGTTTGTTTGATAAAGTAGTTAACACATGCTCAGATTGAGAACAGACCTGCTGATATTTTTGCCATAAGGGTAAATCATTGTCTTTCTCATCATCGACAGAGTTATCAACAGGGGATTCACCTCGACTTGGAATTCCAATAGACCCTCCACCTTGTCCCTCTAGATAGGTCATCACCAGCGTATTTAATAGCTCGACCTGTGTATCCGTCAATGAGGAACCCACGTTTTGCTGTTCTGTAAATGTCAACCAGAGCTCACCAAGCGACTGATATATCTGATCGGTTTGGATATTATCAGGTCCAATGATAGTTTGCGCTTGATATGCAATCCGGATAGCGTCTTCTAATCCACGAGTTCTATACGATTCATTTGAAGCTTTTTTATATGCAGCCTTATTCAAAATCTAAACAAACGTTAATATTTCTGACTTCTATAACTTTTATCAGATCTTTTACCTTCAAACATTCTTTGCCATACTTTTCTACGATATTATTAAATGAAATAGTAGTTAAACCAGAAAACGCGCTAGAAACGTCTAAATCTAATAAGAGACCATCTTTCCATGATGCTTCATGACGCTTTGCATCCAATAGAGATTGCAAAGCACTTGAAAAATCTTGATTCGCAAAGTAGCTTAGAGCCTGTGTTACCATTCCAGCAATATTTATGAAAGTTTCGTATTCGTGCCATATAATTTTAAGTTCATCATCTGTTTTTGATGCTTCTTCATCCACTAATTGGTTTTTCTTAAAAAAAATTAATAAACATGGTTCAATTTTCAAAATACTATCCAGCTCACCTCATCGGAAGAATACAACAAGTACAAGTGTTCTAATAACAACTGATTTTGTGTTCGTGCTAAAAAGTTTTCGAAGCTAATATATTTGTTGGTTTCGAAAAAAGAATGTATATATATATATATCCTTTTACCTCATCAGTAATCGATAGTCATCACTGTCAAAATCGACAACCTGCATGATCTTGCTATTCACACGCTCTTTTAATTTACTAAATCCTTGTCCTGTAAATGAATATTGCTGGGGTTCGCTGTATTCATTGGTTGTATGTCCAACAGCTGTTCCAACAGATATATTATCATCAAAAGTAGCCGAAGAAGATTCTAGGTCTAAACAATTCGCTGAGTCCTGCTTTTCTGCGAATTCCACATCATCATCTGACGTAGAAATAAGTGATGCAGTTCCTTGATCATTTGTGCGCTCTTTCGCTTGAATTTCTTGGTATAAGAAATCGTTGTCTGCTGATATAAATCCCTATTACACATGTTAGCAAATCGTCCAAAGTTAACATAGATGTCCGTTTTTTTTTTACTTTGAGAGATTCAGGTATACATTCAGAAAGTTGGTCTTGTGTATACTTGGGTATCGTTTCATTCGCATACATTAATGCAAAAGGGGGATAAGGATCGTTGTAAAGTTCCGTTTCACTTGAAGCAATAACATAAGCATCGCAAAACCTGAACCATCCGCCCTCTGATGGGATGTCTTGCAGAAGGTTTGGTTCCATTGGTTCAACCCAAATGTATGCCCAGTAATGTCCAGTACCGTCCTTACCATCGTGATGAAATGATGCACGTAACTCGTACCCATTTTCCTTCATATCATCTTTATCGAAAACTTGATGCATTTTATCTGCTTGGTCTAAAATGATGTTTTCCAGATCAGCTAGTCTTGCATCAATTTTATCCTTGACAGAATTCAAGACGTATTTTAAAGATTCTAAACCCTCTTCATTTCCTTCTTCTTGCTCTTTTTGTTCAAAATAGTCCAGCGTACGACGTAATACATCTCGTTTATCCATTCCCAAGGCATTACTTGCTTTTAGTCTCTCTATCTCCGCTTTGGCATTTTTGATTTCTTGACGACAAAGATCCATCTGTTTGAATCCCTCCAAAGCTTGATCTCTTTTTTCAATCATGTACCTATCCATGTAAATATTCTTTTCGACTATGTACTTGACGCCGGTCTTCTTGTAATATGACCTGTTATCAAACGCGACCATTAATATTGGTGGAATTTGCTTAAATGTTGTGAATTTAAATGACGGTTCGTCTTCGTCGTCCGACGATATACTAGGGTCAGCTTCTTCATCCACTTGATTTTCAGCTTGATACGATTCGAACACGAGAGGATCTAGACAGTCGTGAAATGAGCACATATTTTTATCGACATTTAATGTCAGATAGTGCACTTCTTCCTCGTCAAAATCGATTCCATCTTCGATTATAGCTTTAATTAAAAACAAACTGATTTATGTGTTAATCTTAGCATACAAATGTCGGCCAATGTTCAAGTATTACCTTCTAAAAATAGGAATATAAGAGGCTTCCGCAGCGTTATCAGCATGTTCATCCGCCTGGACTAAACTTTTAATCATCATGTCAAGAAATGCTAAAGACATGTACGTGAGTAGTCAAGTCTATTTATGATACACCACGTATTATTTCTACCATCGAATGTCTTGTCACTGAACTCCCAATTGTTTGTCGCTAATTTTGTATTTAATGCTCTTACATAATGAGAGACACTACCATATAGTCTTTTTGAGTTGCTCAAAAATGCAAATATCTTTTGCATTTCGGCTAAAGTTTGCACGCATTTTGGCATGAGTTGAAGTTCATTGTCAACAAATTCCACAAATTCTACCGTTTCGTCTATCGGCGTTTCAACGATACGAGGTGGTAGATCAGCCTCTACAATACTTTCATTTATATCAGTACTTTTATCTCCTTCGTCAGTATTCTCTTTGGATGAATCCTCAAATGAGATCAAATCCTCTTCTTTTGATGACGAATTTAGTACCACTGGCGCAGAGGATGGTCTCCTCGTTACAATTTCCCTTTTCGTTACCACATCCCTCATAATGTAACCGGGAACAGGCTCTCCAAATCCCTTCCAGTAATTTGCGGGAGTTCCCCAGCTATATGGAATTGGTCTGAATGAAAGTACCGCATATCGAAATGCAGAGACGTGGAATAGCGCTTGTATTAAAATGGGTGAATATGCGAAGTTGTATGATGGTGGTCGAAGCCCTATAGGTCTATAGTTAACTTAAAGTAAGTATATATTATATTCATTGTTCCCATATACAATATCCATTTACACATCATCCAACGCTATTCTATCATTCGGATCCTCCGGATCTTTCCACCAAGTAAGTGATGACTCTTTGGAAATGATGGCTTCTGGAGTAACGGGTCTAGTATAACTTGGGCTTTGGAAAGGTACGACGCTCCATGAGTCTGAGTCGTCTGCAAGTGGCTGTATTTTTTTTGCGGGTTCAGGCTCTTTTTTTTTTCATGCAGAAAAAACTATTAATGCTTGTTTGTTGGCATAGAATCTGAAACTTACGTTCGTCTATTACTGTTTCTGTAATAGTCTCTTTAAAAGGGTTGCTCTCGACGTATACTTTTGCTGCTGCTGCTTCCTCCTCGGCGTTTAGTCTAAGAGCAAGAGCTTCGTCACTTTCGGTAGGAGTCTATCAAATATATCGTTGAATACAGAAAATATCGTGTACTTCGTGTATATCCTAACCTCCTCAGCTTCGTCATCACTAATAGTATTTCCAGAAAAAATAAAATCGGCTGCACGAGCAACATCATTATTGTATCTCTTCATAATTCCGAGTTTAGATTGTCGTTTTTTAAAAATTTAGCTCATGACTTACGGCTAATGCTTTTTTCGCTTGACCTCTCGTCACTCCCTAGATAAAGCTTTAATTTCGTAGCACGACTGTATTCCTTACTCAATCAATTACCAAATCTTGTAATTGGTTAATGGCGTCTTCCATACTAAAATATTATAAACCAGAAAGAAAGAGAGTTTTCAGGAATTTCGGGTTCTTGGAACTTATTTGTAACGTCACAGAGGCGTTTTAAAAAAAACATGATGTATGAGGTGACACGATTTAGCAAACATTTATAAATGATAAACAAAGCAAATGTTCTACATCACATAGTTTCTTGGGTGCATTCAATTAAAATTTACTTTTTACATATACGATTCTTTAATATAAGGGTTTCAAAAAATTTCACTACACTAGCATACAATCATTGATACTTCTTTCCTTGGACTACATTTTGACAATTTAGACCCTGATCATATCCTGCTTCTAGAATAACAATACAGCCTATATCTTCTTCTGCATTTTCATCTAGAATTTGAAAAAGTGTCCCTTTGTAAGATTTCACCAATCCGAGCCCTGATAAATAACTTAGGCGATTTTTTGCAATATACTGACTTAGCAACCATTCCACTGAAACAACTCTACTTTCTGGTGTAAACCACATAGTGGCCAGGCATATTAACCATAAAATAAACAAGAATACACTCAACAACCAAAAAGGCCATTTCCAGAGAACATGGTACGAATAATGAATATCTGTATCAAACACCGATTCAAAAGTGGTGGTAGCGTTGTACTCCTTTCCAGTATTCTGATCACATAATATACGGGCAACTACAGTAGCCAGTGTTTCTGCTCGATTTTGCACCATTTCTAAACTTTCGCCACTAATAGCTGTATCCAATTCGTAATAATCAGATAAATCGGCCCCTAAAAGCCATATGTAAGCCGAATTTCGAGTATTTGAGCCATAGGGAGTCGTCAATTCAAAAATCAAATTGATAAATTCTCCAAGGACTAAACCAGACTGATTGAAAGGTGTTATACTAGTGGTTCTCATCGTATGACATAGAGTCTCGTTGCAGGTCGTAATCGCATTAGCGTATCCTATTGACATTGTACAGTTCACCCACTGCCACAATTTTTCATTTGTCTTGTCTGTATACATCGCCAGTGTCATCATTGTCTTAAGGCTCCCAAAAGGATCTGATTTATTTGGAGAAGGAAGCTCTGACATGAGTGGCCGCAACCTAGTAAAATCGGCCTTTAAAGGCACTTTGGCGCAAGATACATTAGCGAAAGGCAACACTCGTTCGGATCGAGATTGACCTTTAATATCGGCTGGTATGCCTCTGTCATAATATTCGTTTGTAAATGTATGGTTCGGATGTCGTAAGCTGTCAAGAGTGTTCAAATTTATTACTGGAAACATGCGAGAAAGCGATGAAGCATTGTACACTGGACTACATGTTGAATAATCGCGTGTATGAAACAGCATACTATCTTTCTGAGAGACCAAGCTTACACTCATGGATACCACAGCTAGTTGCTTAGTGATTGAACTAATAATGACCGCCAAAATAATTACTATAATGCTAAACCATGCTTTTCCCGCTGTTAGCATTGGAATATGCGATGGTGAAAATCCGCCAATCATAGTAACTAATTGAGAAAAACCAGCCTTTCGATGTCGAACAAATGTATACGAAACACCGGAAACAGTTTTCATAAATGTTGCAGCGATACTTCCACCAATAACAGTTGAAATAACGGATACAACAGTTTTTGCTTTTAGAGATTGAGCATCTGCTACCGTATCTCCTGTCCATTGCCAAAAATGATCTTGGTGTGCATGAAGTAAGCAGAACAAAATCCCAACGGTCGGTATAAACGTCCAAATATAAAAATCGAATGTGCCGATCGATCCAGTTTCTTGGTATTCTTCATTATCCGTTGAAAATTTTGAATCAGTTTTATACAGATCGACTATGCGATCATTTTGTTTATCATTCATCATAGTTGGAAAAGACAAAGAAGATTTAAAAAGAAGTACTCTTACTTTATATGTAAAATTAAAAATATTTTTTTCTGTAGTACAATTTGGTGTTGCTATGCTGCTTAATAAGCTCTTCCATTTGTAAATTAAAATGTTTTGAGTTTAGTCAAATGTCTTTGTTTAAGCGCTGTGCTTTGTCCCATTGTTTCCATTTTAGATTCTGGTATGTCATACAATACTTTCTTTGTAATTTCTTTGTCATCATTCCTCTAAAAAAATGGGGTTACAGTGGCACCGAACACAAGGTCCCCTTTTTTAATCGCGTGTGTTACCAAATTGTTCGATTTGATGACAGTAAAACCAATAAGTATTTCTACATTTGATAAAACTGTATTAGTATTTTGACGTTGTATCGTAGAAGACATACTCATTTTATAGCCCTCGCAGGCACATCAAACTGTTTTTTAAAGAACCCAATTAAGGTCTTTTTAAATATAGATTTTCTTTCGTGAAATGTTACGTTTTTCCAAATGGAATCATTAAAATATAATCGTCTGTATATAGACGATTAAAAAGACCTTAATCGGGTTCTTTAAAAAAATAGTTTGATGTGCTCGCGAGGGCCCTTAATCTTACATACTTTTTCAAGAAGCAAAAAGAAAAAAGAAAAATATCGGACGAATTATTTTTATTTAACAATCTACCATGATTGATTGTTCTGACGCAAACACCAATCTTTTACTATTTTTTTTTAATTAAGACTTGCAATGCTTTTATTTCAAGTCTATTGAATGCTCCAACAAACTCGAAACAAGATTTTATAGGAATGTCTAAGGAACACAAGGTTCGATGACAAGTGTATTAGAATAGCATAACTGTAATTTCTTTATTTTTGATTTCTTTATTTCGAAACTTTTAAAACAAAATAATAAGTAGAAAAAAAAATTCCTAAAAAAAAGATAAAACAGCCAGTGCAATCGATAAAAATCGTCGAATCAAAGTTAGCACGTATAAAAAAAGTGCATTATACACCAGTGGTTGACTTGGGCATACTTTTTAACTTACTATACTTAGGGTTTTAAAAACCTAAATATATATAATGCACCTGATAGATCAGAGTTTGACGTCAGTGTTACCATCATTCAAGTATTGCTCGCTATTGAACACAGCAGCCTTGTATCACCTTGGTGTTTACATTACGCTATCGAAAGATTCAAATCCTATTGTTCTTGGCATTAAAATTAATATGATATTTGTTAAAGTTTAAGAAAACAGAAAAAAGTTGCCCCCAATAGCGAAAAACGTGCATTGTATGCAAAAAGATCCTCTCATCCATTCATGACTAATTAATAAGGCTCACGGGCAGTTGAGTAATTATACTATGGTTGAAAAGTCAGAATGGTCATATCAATAATATACCAAAATACTTGTTTAGCATAAATTTAATCATGATTGGCTAACTAGTATTGTAGAGGGCCAAACGGCATAATAAAAGATATGGGAAATAATGAGTAGTACCGACTTCGACCGACTCATATATTAGGCAATTCATCCAGTCTTTCTTCACGCTTAGTATCTTAAAAACATAAATTATGCCAAATGTAGTTGTTACACAAAGCCCTCCTTGTCGTATCTACATTAAAAAGATCTTTTCAATTACCTCACTTATAAATAATAGTTGTTTTTTTCTGTTTTTGTTGTCTTACAAAAAATATTTGCAGTGCAAGTTTTCGATCTTTTATTGGCGAGCAAAATAAGCCATACAGTGCCTTAAAGAACCCGAAGGACCAGTACAAGGATGCAAAAACTAATAATATGAAGTACCTATTCTTGATGATAACGATATACGCATTGGGCTTATGGCCTCCGGTGAATCAGATACCGGTTCAAACATGATATCTATATCTCAACTATCATATCTCGGTACACTATTTTCAGAAAATATTAGATCAAAATGTAAAAAAAAAATTCGTTCACAAATAAAAAAAAAAATCGTTCACAACGTAAAAAAAAATACGTTCATCTTCCCGAAAAAAGATTGGGTCAAAGACCGAAAAAAAAATTGAGCTTACCACTTAAGTGTATCTATGGTTGACCTGCGATAACAGGCCTGGAAAATTTTAGTTGCGACATTGACGAACATTTCTAATGTTTGCTTGTTCATTTTGGGTTCTTGCTCTTCTCCGTTGGTTCTGGGGAACCTCTCCACGTCTAAATATTGGGGGAATACCATTTCCAGCACGAAGTGATCGAACAATATCAACCATGCTCAAGCAAGCAGCCATAACACAATTCCATAGACGAGGAACAATCCTATTTGTGTTATTAGTCATGGCTCTACAATTTTGATTTGTACATCTGTCACAAGAACAAAAAAAAATTATTAGATAAAAAATTATTAACAAGTAAAATCAACATACCTTAAGAGACCATGTCTAATTACACCAAGATTTGCTCTTCGTCTATGAGGGCGCGGGTTATCAATCATCCGAAACGTTTCAAGACTTCTACGTTCACAAGCTGGGCAGCACTGACTTGTTCTAAATTCATCAATCAAGTACACCCTTTTACCAGCTTTTTGAAGCAACCAACGGAATCCAAGGCCTCGGACCGGCTCATGAAATCTTGTATTAGGAGAAGACCAGTTACCCATAACATAAACAGCTTCGACACCAAACTGTTCATATATTTTTGAAATAAGATCCTCGTTTTCTTGCTGTCTTCTAATATAGGCAGATAGCCGCAATTTTCTGTGCAAGGAATGAGCAGTACGATGGTTGGTTCGGAAGTTGACATAGTGGATTTGGATGATGCCTGTCATATTGGACCTGTTTTCAAGATACTGTTCAAATTCATCTCTATTCAAGGAATCATAATTAACCAAAAGCCTTTCAGCGGCTGCTACTCTAGCGGGTTTCACAGCTTCACGGATTCTACGGTATTTGTTAATTTTTTCAAACTTGTCTTGGTATTGTTTGGTAAATCGAAACTTGTTTGGATTGTTTGCGGTTGAGTTTTCATGCACACAGAATAGCAAATCTCTTCGCCCAGGATCAATTGTAACACATCTTCCAACAGTTTCTTGAGCAATCTCTTGTGAAATGTACTGAGTTGATTCAACCACAACAGCAAAACGAGCAGTATATCTGCTTTCACGATCCATTCTTTTCTTGATCACAGTTACACCTACTCCATCCGTTTGAATAGTTCCTTTAAACTGGAGCTCGCCATTTTCTTGGTGTTTGAGTGCATCCGAGTTTAGGTTAATTAATTCACGCCAAAGTGCTATCTTATCTTGACGATTAGTCCACCGACGACCAAGAATATTTTGACAAAGAATTTTTGAATCGATGGTTGTGTAGCAAGGAATCCAAGAGCGGCGTAATGGGAAGCAATTAAACACAGGTAATTCTATATCAATAAATGATAAAGCCAGTTCGTAAAAAGCCCGCATATGTTCAACTGGTCTTGCTTTGGAATCGTAATAAATGCTATTTCCACGAAACCGGTAGTCAACGGGATAACTGGTGAGGACAGGGCGAAGAATTTCAAGAGCGTTATTGTAGATAGGGTCCACGAACTGCTCTCCGTCCAATACAAAATCTTAAGGTAACCTTCTAGTTATAAGTTTCTTAAATCTTGTCGCCGGCTCAGTTATCTCTCTGTATATTTCAGATTTTATCAGTGCATCAATTAATCCTCCACGTCTTCTATAAGCAATTAATTCGGCTTTTCTTTGTCTGATACGGAGTAGATGATTAACAGCTTGTCTAAGATGACTTCCCAAACGCATCTGAACATTGTTGCTATAAGATGTAAAGATCTTTGCTCCTTCGATTAAAAATGCTTGCTGACCATAACGGAAATCTGGTGGAACAAAACCAGTGACCTCCAAATAGTCATCAAGATAAGTGTCAATGAATGCACGAGTCACCGCAGTTCTTCCATTAGCCCTTCCTCGTGCATACCGAGTCAGTTTGAGCCACACCTCTGCAAAAAAATCACAATTGATACATTGCCTGATATCAAAGTTCTCATCTTCTTGAATGGCACGCAAAAAAATGTACTTTGAGAGTGAGTATGCGTGTGTAGTGATGTTGTGGACTGTCACTACATATTCTTCGAGCCTTTCACGTCGCTCTGGGTCCCAACCAATACCATCAATAGAGGATTTAACAGACATAATACGATTACCAGGAGCCAAAGAGCTAGATGTGCTCATATTGCTTCCAGGTGTACCCGGCGTACCAGACAAGGATCTATCAGAGTCCATGCTGGTAAAAAAGGGCAGTTATTTGAACTTACGCATTTTGTTTTATTATTTTATTTGCATAAAAATACTTATTTTGTTTTTCCCGTGAAAAAAAGTAAACAATCTGTACAGCACATACTATACTCAATACTGAGCTTGTTATAGCTTGGTACTCAGTGAGCTTGGTACAGCTTGGTACCAAAAAGACTAAAAACCTGTAATATGGCGGAGGTGACTGTGTTCCTCTATATAAAGAACGCGCCCTCACCCCTTTTTTTTCTCACTTTAATTTTTTTCTTTTTGTTACCGCGTTTAATACCTTTTTGTTTTATAAGAATGTATTCACCAAAACGAACAGAACGCAACGACACTTCACATAATGCACTTACACCGATTGTTCATGTGTTGAAGAGTGCACAATCCACTGCAACAAAAGAATTCGATCGATTTTATGATAACTTGTGGTCCAGATTAACTCCCAGCAACGTAACTCTCTCTCTCTCTTACAAAGGACCTTCTTTCATCTGACCCCTTTCTTTTTTTTATTGTAGTCTCGTACGAAAAAAGTTATACAAGAAGAACGTACCTCATTAACACCACTTATTGAACGCCATACCCTACGTGAAGGTAAACGTGGACAAGAAAATAAAACTTTTTATCTTCTTACTCAGTTATTTTTTTTTAGACGCTAGATATGGAGATTCTTTTTACTTGGATAACGAATCAATTGTAGCGGAAACACCTATGTTGGAAAGAACAGAAACTCCCATGAGTTATGATAGTCCTCATAGACGCTCTCAGCATCATTATAGCTCACAAACATTAGCTAGCCCACAGACAGTAGCTAGCCCACAACATAGATCTACCATCGATAGCCCACACATTTACAGTCCTCTCAGGCCTATGGCCAGCCCAAGAAGATCTACCTTGCATCAAGGCTCATCTGTCATGATACAACGTCTAACTGAAGAAAGAAAACGCATGGACAGATTACAAGCCAGTGTCACCAAAATCAAGAGACAGGTAATTTATACATAAATATCCCCATTGTTTGTTATTCTATTGTTAAAAAATGTTATTTTATAGTCTTCCTATTTAGCTGAGGAACCCCATACATCGATTCGTCACGAAAAAGAAGCTCATACATCAGTCCGTCAAGAAAGAGAACCCCGTCATATTCGTCAAGAAAAGGAACCTCATCATATTCGTCACGAAAAGGAAAAAGAAACCCCAACCCCAATCCGTCAAGAAAAGCCCACTACCATGGACTTGAGTAAACATCATTCATCACGCCTATCGTCACACCAATTAGCAACTCCTCCTCAATCCATTGAGGTAAGTCATATGTGTCTGTGTGTTTGTGATTGTGTATGTATTAACCTTTTGTTACATGTAGAGTATTAAAACGTCGTGGAATAAGCGTCAACGATCTCCTTCAGTAGATCATTCAGTAAAGCGTATGGCAGTTTCTCCTACACCCACTAAACGTATGGCAGCATCCCCTAGTGCATCTTTCACACCCTATAGACGTGAGGATGTTACACCTACCCTATCTAGAAAGCGTCTTGCTGTATCACCCAAACGTATCCCCATAGAGAATCTTCCCAAGTTGCGATCCACAGAGATGATTAGGTAAATTCATGTGTGTGTGTGTGCGAGTGTGTATATGTGAATAGGAACTAAATAAGGACTCCTTTTATAAAGTACGCCGGGTGGAAGTATAGTCAGTAATCGCTTCTGGAAAGAGATCCACGGACTCAATGCCAGCCCCAGGAGACGAGAGATGACACCTAAGCGCGAAACCAACACAAGCTCATGGGCCAACGACGATGGATTTTGGTCTGCGGAGAGTGCGCCTATGCCTGGTAGCACTTTCAACAATAAATTGATGCAGGTGGCACAACAAGAGAAGAAACAAAAGAGGCAGCGAGAGGAGCAAGTGGCAAACGATATGCAATGGAGTCATGAGGCACCGGTGACGAGTAAATTGGATATGTTTGGTGATTCCAGTCCTTTATCACAGGAAATAGAGGCAGCACAAAAACGAGAAGCAATTCTTAAACGAAATCATATACCCGCCATGAATCCTGATTTACTTGCTCAATTGAAATCCGTGCATCGTGATCGACTAATTGATGATAGTGATTCTTATAAATTTGCATAAAATAATTAACAATGAAAAATAATAATAATAATGAAAAAAAAACAAATAATAAATAATAATGTTTTTATTGTAATCATTTACTGATGGACATGCGACTTAATCCACCACTGGCATCTTGTAGATTAAATGTGCCTGATTTGGGTTTGGCCGCTGCATTGCTCGTATTACCGTACGGGAAAAAATTGGTGGGTGGACTGGACATGTTGGACAGCACAGGTGATCCGTTGAGCGAGACAGAAGGTGACACAGCTCGCCGTTTTAAGCTCATCGATGTGGGATAAGGCTCAAATCGATCTTCTGACGCTAAAACAATGGAGACTCTTCGTTAGGATCTTCTCTTGTTCATCTCTACTGAGGCTTACCTTTTCGCTTAATGCTCTTGTAGCCGTTGGATATATTTTCAAGCTGAAAGTTCTAGTCATAACATGTTATTTCTCCTGTGTAATAACACACACAAATGTTTATTTACCGTCATTTCGATTTCCGGATTTAGTTTGGAACAGGTATAGAGTGGCATCGTTGTGTCGAGTAATTTTGTCCATGAGGGAGCCGGTATTTCCTGCTGTGGTTTCTACGGATACAAACAGTTAAAAAAAAAGTCTTTTGTGTGTGTGTGTGTGTGTTTACATACGGTGCCATCCTCTATCCGGCCTAATTGGGCGGTTGTTCCGTGCTCCCTTCGCATCTCTAAATCCGCTAAATGTGTATCCTCCTAACAAATAAAGCCATTGTTATATTCTATCTCTATTGATTGTTTTTTTTTTGTTCTTACATCAGCTTGATCAATGACTCTCAGTAATGCTTTTGATTTTGGCTGTGAAGCTGTTAGATATACAAGAAAAAAAAAAAAAAAAAAAAAAGTCTTACGAGCAGTGAGCTTCTTCTGTTGACAGTACGTCTTTCTGGATCCCGCCTGCTACTGGTACGTCTTGGTTCTTCCTCTCGGACATTATTTCGCTCCACTGTGTTGGCCCAGTTACTCACGGCCATATCTCGTAGTGAAGACTTGTACGAACTTGAATCGTCCGAATCAATGCTCATTTTATATGTAGAAGATTGTCGACTATGTTGACTATCTAAATCCGACATTTCGTCTGCTGTGGTCATATTGAAGAAAAAGAAAGAAAGTGAAAGAGAAAGGGAGAGGGAGAGAGAGGGAAAAAACAATTTAATTCTCCCCTCTCACGCACACAAATACACACTTTTTTTCTTTTATTTACTCCCTTTTTGTAGTCGTGACGGTGTGTATTTTATCTTTTTAAAGAGACAATGTCAAGAGAGAATCAAAAGTCAGTAACATTATGGTATTTGGGAGGCTGCAGTGCTACATTTTATGAATTACGAGATGACGGAAAGATCCCCATCAGCACTGTGGAGTTTCGAGATAAGGCCTTTCTTGCCTTTCGACAGGTGGATATCTTGGTAGAAAATGATCTTCTTTTATCTCCTTTTACTGGAACTAAAGTCTTATATCTTTTGTAGACAATTGCTCCACCTGCTGTACAGTTTCTTCGAAATTTGACGTCGTTACAAATACAGAATAATCATCTATGCACTTTACCGTCCGAAATTTGGCGCCTTACCAATCTACAGTTATTGAATGTGGGTCATAATCGTCTTAGTGACTTGCCTATCGAGATAGGATTACTATCCAATCTAAAGGAACTCTACGTGCATCATAATGAGATCAAGGTGATCCCTTCACAGGTGTCTAACATGACTGATTTGACCGTGTTGGATCTGACAGATAACCAGCTAAACTATTTACCGGCAGAAGTGACTCGAATGGAGCTAAAAAATCTTTGGATCGATAACAACCCATTTCAACTTGTGGAAAGCAAAAAAAACGAATTCATATCACTCAAGACAATCTGCCTACAGATCATTGGCACGATTTGTCTACAGGACGAAGTATCAAGGCAGACCATCCAACAGGAAGTCGATCTATTACAACCTTTTCCCGAATTATCCATACAGGACCCTCAATTATTAGCGAAATGCTTTGATTGCGATCAGTATCTATTCCACTCGAATTTAAACTATTTCAAACCTGGTAAAATACCTCTTTTATACAAGGCCTGCAGCCAACAATGTTTAATAAACATCATCGGTCGGGATTAAACCATGTGCCATGACGCTTTTTTTTTTTAGACTAAAACATTTTCTTTATTTCCTTTCTTTTTAACTTTCTTCATCAGCATCATTTCAAAAAAAAAGTATATATACCCCCCACACACATATTCATGACAAAATCAACACTTCATTCATCAACCGTAAGCATACTCTCATAAGGAAGAAAAGAAAGGCTAATCACAAATATAAAACTAACACAGTTATAGGATGATCCAGCCGCATTTGCATTCTTTCAACAAATGACACAGAACCACCAACACCATTTATTCATACAACAGCTGCATCAACAACAGAATTTGCATCACCAAATACAACAGCAACAACAACACTACCACCACCAACAGCAGCAGCAGCAGCAGCAACAACAGCAACAACAGCAGCAGATACGACAACATCATGGTCTACCTTCTATTATGGTACCACCGCAATCCCCCACTCTATCCAGTTACTATTTCGAAAATGGCTGGGTGAATCACTACTATGATCCAAAGCGACGCTATCTTTCCACTACAGGACAAGAGAATATGGCCACCGCCCATCCTGCTGTTCGCAAACCCTCCATGAACACAGAGACCACGGCCGGTCTCATGGAAGCCACTTCAATTGCAGCAGCAGCAGCAGCAGCAGCCGTCAGCAGTAGTAATACGAACAGTTCATTAACCATGATTCAACCTTGTAGCAATCACGATACATGGCGAGAAAACCTCTTGAAATTTGCCCATACGATCTACTCCATGTCACCGCAAAACCCATTTTTATTAGACCTGCTGCATAAATTACACGCCATTGCACCGACCGATTTACCGACCTTGTTATTGTTGGCATGTGTGTATTATTCCTTCCAGGACTACCAGCAATCCTTACGCTACAATCACTTGATTCTGAAATACGACGCTAATTATGTGGAGGCCATGAGCAACATTGGAACCACTTTGAAGAGTATTGGAAAGACAACCGAGGCGGAACGTTGGTGGTATCAGGCCGTACAATTAAGACCGGGTTATTGGGACGCCGTTGAGAACTTGGTCGGCGTACTCTGTTGTTCTACCAGTGCGCGATACAAGGAAGCTCTGTCCGTGTGTGAATTCGTCGAACTCTTCTTCTTTTCGAAAAAACCGACACAGCATCTTCAGATTCATCAATTGCCTCGTCTCTTAAACCTGTTTTATGCGAAAGGCAATCTAAAATATGCATTGGGGGATATTCTAGGTGCTCAAAAGGAGTATGAAAAGGGTTTAGAATTAGCCTTTGGTGGAATTCGATTGAATTCCATTTGGGACCTCTTGATCTTTGCTTGTTCTCCTTTACCTACCCCCCTTCCTCCTTCCGCTGCCGAAAATAGAGACACTTTGGTCTTGTTATTGCCCGAACAAGCAGCAGGTATCCTTCATATCTTGTTTCCTAACACCGAGGGGGTCCTGCCCGGTCTGACCACCACTACCGCCGAAACCGTACAGCAAACTAACCAAACGACTTCCACACTCTTATTAACCTTGGCTAAATTGTATCAGGACATGATGACCCCAACCACGGCGGCTTTGACGTTAGCTGCTTCGACAGCGGGTACACCCACTTTATCCACACTCTTGCCCCTGTATTATCTCAGCCTGGCTTTACAACCCAGCCCTTCCACAGCCAATAATCTGGGTATCATCCTCAGTAACATCTCTGTCTCAGTCGCTTCCTCCGCATTGACATTGGGCACACATCAATTCACCGGCACCATGTTGGCCATGAAGTATTATATGTACGGATTACAATTGGATCCACGTCACCCTCATCTCTACACCAATTTGGGCTCACTCTTAAAAGATATGGGCCATCTAAATGAAGCTGTCAATATGTACGAGAAGGCAGTAGAATACAACCCTCGGTTTGATGTGGCGTTGGCGAATTTGGGAAACGCCATTAAGGATTTGGGTCGTGTGCAGGATTCGGTACAATGGTATCGACGTGCCGTGGAAGTCAACCCGAATTTTGTGGATGCTGTATGTGGATTAGTGAATTCCCTAAGCGGTGTATGTGATTGGCGTGGACGGGGTGCGGTGGGTGATGAAGCCAGTGTGGATCAATTTGGAAATTATTTCGCTGCGACGGGCGAGTTTCAAAAATCAGGTTGGATTGGTCGTGTTGTGGAGATTGTCGAGAAACAATTAAATGAAGGTGCCATGTGGGGTGCGGGTGTATTAAAAAGTCCCTCCGTCTCGCAAGGTAAGACTGTAGGAGAGTATCTGGTAGAACACATGTTACAATGGCATGAGAATGCCTCGGTGTGGAAATCGCGTTTAAATTGTTTTGGCTTGATCAGTCATGTTAAACGCAATGAAGGAGGCTGGCTCATTCGATGGATGGAAAGATTCATGCGCCGTTTACAACATGCTTGGTACATCCAGACTTATGGTAACACCATTCAAGCAAACATGTTACATGCAAGACTGGTGGTCACACCGGAATTGGCTCAAAGGTACAAGCGGCCCTTGATTCCGGCTTCCTTAACGACTCCACCTGTACCTACCGTCCTACCCTTTCATACATTCACTTATCCGCTATCTGCAAGACAAATAAGACTGATCTCACATCGTAACGCCTTACGTATCTCACATACCGCGTTGAATTCACCTTGGTTACCCTCTCATGTGTACCCACCCCCTCCACCTCCTACACAACGACTGAAATTAGGCTATGTCTCTTCTGATTTTAACAATCACCCGTTATCCCATCTGATGCAATCGGTATTTGGATTTCATGATAAGACCCAATTTGATGTCTATTGCTATGCGACCACAGTCAGTGATGGATCACCCTACCGACAAAAGATCGAAGCGGAATCGGAGCATTTTTACAACGTTTCAAGCTGGAGCAATGCACAAGTGGTGGAGAAGATTGTGGAGGATGGGATCCATATTCTGGTGAATTTAAACGGATACACTAAGGGAGCACGAAACGAGATTTTCGCGGCAAGACCGTGTCCTGTGCAATGTTCGTTTATGGGTTTTGCAGGTACGTTGGGTGGCGGGTGGTGTGATTGGATTATTGCAGATCCCATTGTCTGTCCACCCAATATGGTCAGTGGAGAGATCTGGCGGCAACGTGGTATCACACATCCCTCGGATTTCGAAGGCGATCTGGATCCGGAAGAACTGACCGATGATTTCGTCTATACCGAGAAATTCATCTACATGCCCCACTCCTATTTCGTCAATGATCATAAACAGGGCTTTCGCGAGCATCAGGATACGCTCTGTGACACCAAAGAATCCGCCTGGCTGGCCGAAGAAGAAAAGCGTTGGACTATGCGACGTCAAGTCTTCCCGCATTTACCTGACAATGTCATCATCTTTGCCAATTTTAATCAACTGTATAAATTAGAACCGGGTACCTTTCGTTTATGGTTGCGCGTACTGGAACGTGTGCCCAATTCTATCTTGTGGCTATTGCGTTTCCCGCCGGCGGGAGAACAGCATTTGAAACGTTGCGCTGTGGACTGGGCTGGACCTCAAGTGGCACAGCGTGTCGTATTTACCGATGTTGCACCCAAACACGTTCATATTCATCGTGGTCGCGTGGCCGATATCTTTCTGGATACTCCCGAATGCAATGCACATACAACCGCGGCGGATATCCTATGGTCCGGTACACCCATTGTCACGTATCCCAAATATATCCACAAGATGTGTTCACGCGTGGGTGCTAGTATCGCCATGGCTACGGGGTTTGGCGATGAAATGGTCGTGATGAATGAAAAACAATACTTGGATCGTGCTGTGGAGTTGGCTCATAGTCTCACTTACACGTACCATACATCCATACATGGTACGCCCAGTCGACGCGGTCATGGGACTCTGATGGATTTAAGGAAACGCTTGTTTCTATCACGGGATCAAAGTCGATTGTTCGATACGCAACGATGGACAAGAAATCTGGAAAGAGGGTATACAGAAGCATGGAAACGTTGGGTCACAACGGAAGAATTTGAAGATCGTGTTGGAATGGAAAAATCCGGTTGTATTTGGGTTATTGATCCAGATGATCTCTAGGATTTATTATATATATTTTTTTTCTACACCACTTTACACCACTCTACACCAACCCTCTATATTTTTATTTTTCTTTTTTTAAAAAAAAAAAAATTGATTGATCGGGTCCGCTTTATTATGTGTGTTTGCTTGTGTGTATATGTATAGATGAGATTTAAAATGGAGGGTGTGTATATTCTAAGTTACTAACACATCACAAGTACGTCTCCTTTTCTCCTAGCATCATCGTGAAAATGGCTATTGAAAAACCGCTTGCACTCCTTGTACCCTTTGGCTTCCAAATACTCGTCCAAATGCAACTGTTCAAACATCACAAGATGACTCGGCCAATCGTTTAATCGATCCAGATACGCCACAGGATCCTTGTAGAACATATCTGCTTCATCCACGCTGGTCTCGTTTAAAGGTGGTTCACATGTCAGAAACCACATGGGAAGATCCTGATGCAGTACAGAGGCCCATGGCGTGGAATGACAGGGCATCAATACACCGAGGGACTTCACAGGTTGTGTACGTAGCCAAAGCATCACATCCATCACACCGCGTTGATGCCAAAGTGAAAGGTACAAGGCCAAAGGCATTTGTGTCAGTACCAGGAAGCATAAGATACGTTTACGCCAACGTGTACCGGTACGTTGAAGTCCAAAGGCTGCCACCATTAATAAAATGGGTACAAGTGGGAATAAAAATCGGAATTCCTTGTGTGGTAAAAGACTGTAGATGATGATCACCCAAAGGCTTAGATACAGCAAGGATTTGCATCGTGGGTAGACAATTTTGTCGTTGTAGATACACCAGGATCCGTAGGCCAGAAGAGGTAAGAAGGTAGTAAAGATGACGGGAATACCCTGAGAGAGGTACCAATGCCAGGTATGCACACCGTAAAACAAGGAAATGTTATTGACTACATTGACCTTGAAAAATAAGAAGGGTGTGAAAATAAGTTGATCAAAGTCCCAACTAGTGTTGTAAAGACGTGTATCCAAGACGGCATTCGCCAATAGAATCAAAGAACTATATTTTGTGTTTTGAGTTTTTAGAGTATTTTAATTTTTTTTTCTTTTTTTACCATGTAATGCCTGCATTAAAAATCACCTTGATTCGATTGTTTTTGGCAGCACGGATAAGGTCCAGGCCTAGAAATAACCAGATCAATCCATTGGTGGGTCTCATCACACAAGCAATGGAGGCCAATACCAAAGAAATTCGATAACGCTTTAACCAACTCCTCTCTCCGAAATTCACTACGCCAGGTAAAGGCCAATAATTTAATGCAACAATGGTAAATACCATTTCCATACTATTGGATAGCGTACGAGCTGCCATTAAAAAATTAAACCAAGAACATAAAGTAGTAAAAAGCTGAATACAATAAATGTTAGACAGTTTTGTTTTTTTTTTGTTTTTTTCTTTACCATGGGTAGGGCAATGCTGTTGCCAAAGATCTTTTTGGCCAAGGTAAAGGTGCACATATCAGCCCAGGCCGCCAAGGTGGCTTGAAAATAACGCGGTGCAGCCACCAGTAATTGGGTATGCTCTAATCCAGCCATTTGAATCAACTTGTAAATAAGGCCTAGTGTCATGGGATGCGCAAAACTTCGAATCTTTTCTCGCCATTCCCAAGTTAAGTAACCATACCCGAATACCATGTGATGCGCTACTTCTTGGCCTTGCCAGTACTCATCTGGATTGTCGTATGTTCGTGTCAGGTACGCATTGAAAAACCGGAAGCATAGACAAAGTCCAAATATAAATAATTGGGACGATGGGGTCGATCGTTGTTGGATCGCTAGTGTCATTCTCTCTCTTATTAGCAAAGAAAAAGGAGCAACAAAAAATGTGTGGGTGTCGTTAAGTCAATAAAAAACGTGAATAATGTAGTCACGTCAAATCATGCAAAGTATACAGGCTGCTTGTTCAGGAGGGATACAGTGACCATTAGAAATTAAAAAAAAAAAAAATGATACTTGTGGATTCAGCAAGTATCTCTGAAACAATCCAATATAATCAAGCTTATAGGAGCAATGTTCTTTTAAAAATTGCAACCAACTCTTCCAGAGTTGGGGGGGGGGGGAGAGGGGCTGGAGAATATCTTTCTTTCTACGTGCTTTTTCAAATCACGTGTTTTTAAGGTCAAAATTATCATGCGACCTTAGTCTTCAATTGACATCTATATCATACTTCACTATTGATACATGCTGTTACTGAAATGCTGATAGACAATTAACAAGTTCCGAATTGCTTGTATTTAAGATTGGGTGGGATATAAAATTTTTCTTCTATTATATGCAGAGGCTCAAACATATGGATGATTAAATAGACAATTGAATCATCCTGACATAAGTCAGCTCTTGTTTATCATTTTACAAACAGAGCTCATTCACATGTTTTTCCCCCTTTTTCTTTTCCTTTAAAATACTTCTCAAATGAAAGTAATTTATATGGTAAAAAGGTTAGCTTGTAATGACTATTGTTTTTTCAGGAAACACTAAACTATTAGATCTCTTTTTTAGAAAAAAAAGATTCATTGCTATTCTTGCACTATTACGGCTACAGCTAGTCGTTACTATAGGATGGTGATCTTCTAGATTGGTTTTTGACGCTCAATCGATAGGGTGGACTGCAAATAGCAGCGTTTACACTGTAAAGGGTTGTGATCAGACTGGCCTGCTAGTCTTGAATAAGATTGTGGTAAGTCATATAATTTCTCTGCAAAAGTGGCTCTAAAAGAGACGTAGAAAAATTCAAAAGGACGTAGGTGTAAACACTGTCTTTGGCTGGACAACGCGAAATCAATTGCGCGATTCTAAAAATACGGTTGTAAAATATATGGTAGTCTAGACATTTCCGATTTGGAGCAGCTTGTTAGGTAAAATATAATATAAGATAAAACAACGAAGTAGAAACAACGTTCTAATATTTAGAACTAGTGATAATGAGTGCTTACAAAACATGATCGTAGATACATCACCCTTCAACAATAAAGTAACAATATATGAATGCCAAAAAACCGCTGGATGAACAGCAAACTCAATGAGGGCATTTGAGTGCAGGAACAGGCCTCTGCAACGTTTAAAAAAATTTAAAAGAAAAAAAAATTAAATCAGTCTGATGAATGACTTAAATGTCAAGACTTCGACTAAGCTGATCCAGCTTTGGTTTTTAGTGGAAGATGGTGGAGAAAATTCTGTTTCTATTTGAGCTGCGTCGCTTTGCTGTAAAGTTTCGACTCTCGAAAAATAAATGGCGCCAAAAGAAGAGATACAACCAACGATGCTAACGCTCACGCCTTTTGGAGTGTTTACTCTCGCCGAGCTGTACCAAGCTTGTACCAATGCTAGTTATCCCTTTTTGACCAGGCACAACTCCTTACTAAACCCAACTTTATCAACAAAGACACAGTTTTTACTAAAATTGACACCTGCGGTTTTCCACTGAGATACAATGATGAAACGAAGCTCGATAGTTCTTGGATCATCGCGTTTCATAGTATACTTTGTTTCTTGGTTTGATGTAATACAGCATTTATCTGCAGTATGTTTATAGAGATATTTCAAGGCCGATAAACTTTTCGCACAACTTTTTACCGTGCCTCTCTAAGAACAAGAGGAGGGTTGGCATCAAGCAACTCGATCTGAAAAGCGGTGTGCTCGGGATACAATGTCTTTCGCATCTTCTTTGAATTTTTAAGGCACTGCCAGGAATTATTGGTTCATTTCCGGCATTGAATCCGTCTAAGAACTTATATGTGCTACATTGAGGATTGCCCCCATTGTTTGGCAGCCTTAGGTACTGTGAAGCCCTCTTCTTGAAATCGTCTTAATTTTAAGTTAAATATTGTACTCGAATCTACTGCTCATCAATGACGTAAATATTTAGGGGAAATACTTTATTTACAAACAGGTTTGTCTCAAACTTTGAAATAGCCTGGCTTTTTGTCTTGGCTGGTTGCATTTCTTATTTTATTTTATTTTTAGCGCTCCCAATAATAAAGAAAATGATATCGCAACGCATTTTTTTTTTTCCAGGAAATTGTCACTACAGTAAAGCGTAGTCTCATTAGATTTACAGCAACAACTTTATTTAAATGGTTTAATTAATTTTCTTTATTTGATAAACAGAAATCACATTTATGCAATGCATAGTATGATTTCCCATTAAAAATCTTTTTGGGGAGTCTAATAAATGCATTTTTTTTTTTTTTTTTTTAATTTATTTGTCAAGTGAATGAGTGAGTAAGTGTGTGTGTGTATGTATATGTAAATGGGATTTTTTTTTTTTTAGAAATAATCATTGATAACAGCAGTAATAGCGACTTGCTCTTCAACAGCAACGAATTCTACGAGAGCCTTTTTAAAGCCTGTGCCTTGAAGTTGGGTCAAGATGGGGTGAGCGATTTCACGCAGCTTTGATTTCTCATCGGAGCCCAAACTTTCGCTCGATATCACCTTGATGGCAAATGCCAGCCCACGTGCTTGATCTGAAAGTATTTCACGCATCGTGTCTCCGTTTTCCAAGGCCTCTAAAAGACAGGCTCTCGCCTTCAGATCTAAGTCTTGGTTGATTAATTTTAAAAGGATTTGCGTACCCAATTTATGCGTAGCAATTTGGGTCAGATGAGGTGCGAGACGAGCTGCTAAAAGCGAATATCGGTTCTCGATTTGAGAAGATTCTATAAACCAAGAAATTAATAGAGCTCCGTTTGCATGAATTGAAAGAGAAACCGAGTTTTGTAATAAGGCTGCAGCAATAAAGAGCTAATGGAGGGGAAAGGGAGTCGTTAGTTACAAATAAAGGGGGGCGTGTGTAGTTCAGTTATTTGGTAAAATGACGTACTTGTTGTGCAGAAGTAATTAATGTTCCTTCTAAAATACCACGCATGGCCCTTGCTCCAAATCTACCTTGAGCAATATGTACAAATTTTTCTACAATGGCATTCATGATGAACTGTGTATCACCATGCATTCTTAAACAACATTGGACTACGTAGTTGCCAAACTGATCCAATAGTAAAGGTGGTATAAAGGGTTGAATATGAGTACATACAATTTGAATTTGATGAGGTAATTTTAAAGAGTCAATGATCTTTTGTGCTGCCCATGTACCGTTTTTATGAACTCCCATAGCTGCTAAATGTGGTGCAACCGACTTTAGCATCATTGTCTTCATATCTTCAGAACACTTCTCGAACAATCTTTGTACAACTGTGTTTCCGATATAATCTACCCATTTAATGAATTAAAGAGATGTTTAGTTGCTCATTCCTGCTTCCTTTTTTTTTTTATATACAAAAACTCTTACCGCTACATATCTCTGCTAATTCGTCCATACAATCGAGCGCAATGGAATCAGACTCGGCAATATCGGTAGTAGCATCTAATCTCTTTCTGATATCTCTCAAATTAGCAGCGTCATGTCTTCTATGAACTCCATATTCTGGCACGGGAGGAATAGACTCAAAATAAGAAGAGGACTGGAGTGATTTTACCAGTTCAATTGTATTTTCTGGCGCTCCTAACTGTTTCATAATGGTCCACAATTCCATATTAATGTGTGTCTCATCGTTTAATGCCTGCTTGGACGTTGCCTTGTTTAAGAGTGGTACTTTGGCGAAACCGATCCTGACACCCCAAAGGTCCTGTACTCTTGTGTCATTCTGTAAAAGTGCATCACGCGCATCTGAGGCACTTTCAACTGTATCATAATTGATAAATGCACAATTCTTGTGTGATAAAACTCGGATAGATTCAATAGCTCCAAATAACGAAAACACTCGTTCTAGAGTAGCTTGCGTTGTATTGGCAGGCATATTTCCCAGCCCTTAATCGAAAAAAAAGAAAGTTAGACAAACCATATATGAAAATCATAAAAGTACTTACAAAGAGCTCTGGTAGGTTGTGAGACAACGGGTATCTCAATAGGAGTTGTAACAGTCAATGTCTCAGCTCTGCCGTATCCAATACGCACAATACAGGTACCAATACGACCTCCGTGATTACTCAAGACATCATCCTTTGCATGTACGGCATCTTCCAAGTGATAGAAATTAATAAATGCACATTCCTTTTCCATTAATAGCCTAACACTTTCAATAGGGCCATAAGTAGAAAATAATCGAGTCAGACCATCCACTGTGATGGATGCATCAATATTGCCAATCCACAATGAACGTGAAGTGACCGAATTTTGCTGTTGTTGTTGATTATTTGAGTTATTAATTACAGGTGGTACGAAGCTATTTCTGTTGTTGTTATTCTAAGTACAGGGTGAGTTAGATGGGACAGTAAAATGATGTAAAAGTTTTCTTTACCTCAGTGAGTGAAATATTATCGATGGATATCATATTTGCTAACAGTTCAGAATCTCCTAAAGATAACGAGGTATCATATTCTTCATCGTGAAGGGTACCGAGTTGCATTTTCCATAAAGAAGACAACCCAGGAGGAGTTAATCGTGTATAATCCATGCGACCCATACTTGAAGCTCTTGGTCGATTCCCAACCGACGGTTGATTATCTAAGGATGGAGGAGGAGTATGAAAAGAGTTATTGATTCGGGACCTTGAGTCTGGTGGTTGCTGCTGATACATGACAGTGTTATTCACTGAATAAGATCGACTTCTTGCATTGATTCTAGGTTTATCGTCATTTTCTTCATCCAATCCAATAGATCTTAGCGTGCGGGCAATCGAGAAATCATCATCACCTTGTAACAGCTGTTCAGTGGAAGGAGAGATAGGCTCTTGCCCCCAAGTGTTATACATGGTTGACATTTGTAAATTAGCAGGTGCTGGAAGTGTTAATGAACCGGAACGATGTCTGTTATTTAAAAAAGCAGTTTGTGGTATAATGGTCGGTTGTTCCATGTAGGCTAAAGATGGCATAGTACCAGCTCGAGAACGACGTACTTGCTGATTACCGCTTAAATAAGAAGATGACTTTTGTGGTAAATAATTATTATCTAATATACTGTCAAGATAGCTGTATCCCTCATTAGAATCTGTTTCTTCTAAAACTACATCTAAATCTCTAAAATAATATACACACTTTGAGTCCTTATTCTTCGACCCCGTTTTCTTTTTTTATTATTTATCTTTACCTTGACGAAGAAGGGAAAGCGCTAGAAGAATGTCGGTCTTTAGTAGTGTTGTGTTGCATAAAGAGAAAAAGAGAGGAGAAGACGATATTTGGGATAGATGTTGTATATATATATATATATATTTATATAGAAAAGAGATGAAGAAAGTGGGAAAAAATAAATAAATAAAAAAATAAAAAAGAGGGAGGATGAAAAGGGGTTGTTTATGTCTACATCTAAACTTTATTTTATTATTTATAAGTGTATATTCCCTTTCCGCTCTTCTTGCCCATCCATCCGGCATCAACGTATTTCTGAAGTAAAACGCTGGGACGGTACTTGGAATCACCGGTGTTCTCATGAAGCACCTTCATAATAGCAAGACAAGTATCTAAACCAATAAAATCGGCTAACGTCAAAGGTCCCATTGGCATATTGGTACCTAATTTCATCGTAGTATCAATATCTTCGGCAGAAGCAGCGCCCTAATTAAAAAAAAAAAAAAAAAATCAGTAACAGAAATAGCATGATATATAAATTGTGATTTTTTTACGCATTCTAAAAGCATGACTGCTTCATTGATATAGGGCATCAAAAGTCGATTAGCGACAAACCCAGGGATATCTTGAACAACAGTGGTTGTCTTTCCCATAGCAGCCGCTAAATCACGGGTCTCTTGAAGCACATCAGCACTTGTAGCTAATCCAGGAATAATCTCTACTAACTTCATGACTGGAACAGGGTTCATAAAATGCATACCAATCACTTGTTCGGCTCTCTTGGTAACAGCAGCAATCTTGGTGATACTGATGGAGCTGGTGTTGGTGGCCAAAATACTGGAAGGTTTGCAAATAGCATCCAAATCACGGAAAATGGCAGACTTGATGTTCAAATTTTCAGAGGCTGCTTCAATAACAAAATCAACATCGCTTAAACCAGACATAGAATTGGTGGTAGATACTAATTCTCTAGTCAATTTAGCATGCTCTGCCGTGATTTTGTTTTTGGCGACGTCCTTTTGTAAAAGCTTGTCTACACATAACGTTGTTAAAAGGTTTTATCTTTGTTTTGTCATGGTTTCTTTTTACCCATGAAGACCATTCCCTTGTCAGTTTGAGCTTGGCTGACATCCATCAAGACAACAGGAAGACGAGTGACATTAGCTGCAACATACGCAATGCCAAGACCCATTTGACCTGAACCGATTACGCCAACACGTTTAACATTGCCTACCTAAAATAAGTTTAGTTATTCTGTGCACATGAAACTTTTTATCATTCACTTACAGCTGAGGACATACCCCTAACCTGCCCCTAAAAATTTTGTTCTATTAATACATCATTCCTTGTCTTTTTTTTTTTTTTTTTTTATCAAGTGCTTTACCTTGAGACTACTTAAAACTTTAATGGTGTTCATTATTTGGTAACGAGAAATAATAGGAAAATAAAAAAAGGCCTAAAACTTCAGCCTTTTCTTTCTTTTTTTTTGAACGACAATGACAGTTCTCACGTGCTCGTGGGAATTACTGCTCTTGATCCCAACTTCACATATTCTACGAATAGACTTCCTTCTCCCGTAACACCAAAAACACATGTCGTTTAATTGACATAATTTTTTTTTAAAAAAAGGAATCGACATTACATGGCTGGATGCATTTTAGATGCATACGCATGCGCTACGTACTTTTTGTCTGGGATATCGTGTAGTGCGGATGTCGAAATGGGTCGACAACAAAAAGCGCAAATAAAATCCAACTCGATCGACCGTGCGTTAATTGCTGTAGCCAATAGATCAATAGGATAGTCAGACAAAGGGAACGCTTAGACCAGGTCTTAAAATCGAGAATTAATATTTAAAGAATACATTTTTTGAGGCTACGTAGACTTCTTTTAAAACCAAAATAAGCCCGCGTTTTCATAGTTTTTATATCTTGTAAATCATCCGTCTTTATTTCCACGACATAGCCGAGCTGGTACCGCGTAATAAACCAATGATCAAATGGTCAAATGAGTCTGTTGCTTGTATAGCAATCAAATGAGACTTATATTGCTCAAGCCAGGTTGGAATTAGCAATGTAACATGTTGTAAGCAAGTTTTATGGCAATTAACCAGAGACAAAGGGTGGCATCACAATTAATACATACGGTACCGGACCAAAAGTGTTTCAAGCAACTACCAAGAATGGGCTTGCAACATAAAAGGCAGTTATTTTCCCAAGCTGGCTGGAAATGAAAGAGCAATTTACGTACTAGCATATAAATCATCAAATAGCTCTTTTAATAACAGCCATAAAATTAATCTTGAGGCTCATTTAGCATTATGAAGGATATTTTACCAAATTTTGAGATAATCATGTTTCGAGAAAAGAGTAAGCTGGTATGAGTACAGCTTACACTATTAAACCCTTCCCTTAATATGAAAAAAAGAAAAGTCTCTTGGCAAGAACGATTTGCATCCCTTGGGGCTATTCTAGAGATTGATTTTGAAAGGATACTACGTGTCATACTACCATTGATACTTTGGTAATTCAATGGACCATCTAACGTATACGTTAATTTACCCTAAGGAAAAAGAGATGAGAGAAATCGTTTATCATTTCAGCAATATGTGCGATGATTGCATTACTTGATTACTCATTTAGTAGAAGATTATGGGAACTAGTACTGTGTCTGTTATAATACCTGAAGTATAATATAACTCAAGACAGATCAAATAGTAATCGTATTCGATTTATTTAGGCGGCAAATACGACAACATACGCATGCAATAGGACACCTATCTGTGCCCTTCAATATGATGATAAATCTTCTAATAATAGGTTTTCCTCTTGATTTAGCCGTATGGGTACGGGTACGGGTACGGGTACAGGTACGGGTACGGTTTACAAAAAATAAATATTTAAAGCTCAACTTTTTACATTTTTGTCTTAAAAGGCGGGGCTGACAAGCCTGGGGGAAACTCCGGTGTTAAATAGAAGTGTGATTGGACAATATTATCCAATAAAACTCTGATTTAACACCGGTCTTTAAAATCTAACTTCAGATTTTCTAGTTTTTGCCATTTCTGAGAGAAGAGAGAAAAAAGCTTTTTTCTTCTTTGTAGTGCTTAACATATATCTCTATGACAAACGACAAAAGTAAAGCTGGTTCAACTGGAAGATTTTTAGCTACCAGAGACTTTGACCCTAAACAGCAGTCTATTAGAAATTCCTTCAACCTTCTTCGCGCCAAGGCTAATCCGCAACCCACTTCGTCAGATTCAGGTACATTACCACCTGCTGTCGAAGAACAAGTAACAGTAATAAATCTCGGCATGAAGTTATTCCTGAACTAATGTTTTTGTTTTAATTTAGGCCGAGGATTTAAATACGAATACTGAAGCTGCTGTTGATCGTATAAATATTGAAGAAACTGAACAGGACATTTTACTCGACGACCATGTTGATTCAGTTGAAACAGAGGAAGTCGAAGAAAACGAGGTTGAAGACCTCATAACCGACATTCTTCCTCGAGGAAAGTTATTTGGCATCTTGCTTTGAAAAGATTCAAGCCAGATTATCTGCTGAAGAGTATCCCTCTGAATACGAAAGAGGGACTTTCTGGATCGAGCCGATGATGTGTTACTTCATCCATAAAAACAATAAGAAGATCGAAGATATTTACCAACCTCGAGTTTTTTTATGGATTCCTCATCTTTTGATTGACGAAAAGCTTGCAGGTCTTTGCTGCCCTACTTGTGATTTAAAGATCGAAACAAAAGGATACAACAAGCTACCTCACGCTAGAAGAATTGTTGATCTCCAAAGGTAAAAAAAAAAACAATATAAATAATTTATCAATAATTTATCAATAAAGTGATCAATCTAATATGTTCTTATAGCTGCTTTTATCTTATGTCAATAAGATACCGTTGTCTTTCTCCCAGATGTGGGAAAACCTTCAATGGTCATAGTGATTCGATTATAAGCCAACTTCCTTCAAATTTCAGAAAAAGAAATGGTGTTGCTAGATACTTCTCTCGATCTTCCCACTGATCGCATGAGCAAAGCAGTCGCTAGTCGTCGTCAAGTCATAGACTCAATAGTATCATCAATCTTTAATGTTGAAGCTGGAATTTATCGCGTAGACGAGACTGAATGGGCTAATGGTACGCGTTCTGATTTGGTCTTAACTCCTGATGTAATTGATAATGAACAACGCCCTCTCATTGTTGAATTTCAAAAGACTGTTGATAGAAAATTTATAAAGAGAGCAATGAGCTATTGCCTTCAAGCTAGTATTCGATATGATATTGACCCTGTAATTCTGATAGTATGTACTGGTACAATAACTGAATCACTTAAAGAAAAATTTCAAAAAAACAAACGCTTACCGTTTTGTGTTACGATCCCCTGCGATCTTTGGGCTGCCGAGTGCTTAATTCTTAGCAAGGAAACTATTGAAGGATATATAAACGTAGAAGAATCACTCCATCCCTTGGTTGCTTTTGGAATGTTTTTAACTTACCAAGCAAGCACAATCACCCTATTACCAAGAAGTGAGGATCCAACTCTCGTTTTATTGTATGAGATTGCAGAAAAATCTTTCCAAAAAATGTACTATAAAGACATTTCGCTCTTAGAAGAGCTTAAAAATATGTGTGACACCCAACTTCATGACTACAAAAATATGATGACTACTCTTCAAAACAAGGTACAACCGCTTGATACAATTCTAACGAGTAGTATCCATTTAACCCAAGGCGGGAAACAAAGTATCACCAGAAAGGCTGACTCATCATTAAAACTATTATGTTCTATTGCCAATTACACTTGACAAACAAGTATGCATCTTTTACAGTAACCGTTGCATGATCTGATAAATAAGTGTCTCGTAATACTAAAGATTTATTAGAATACTCATGCTCCCGATCCACTGATATGGGACAACGTTATCCGGAAACCATCAGTCAACAAATACAAGAAAAAATTACACAAGTTAACCAAAAGAAGCGAATTTATGATGATATGATAGCTGATGAAAACATACTTACAACTATACCTATTACCGCTCCATCAAGAGATATGCATAAAGAAGCAATGGAGTTTGTTAATAAATTCAAAAATGAAAGAGCTGAAAATGGAAAAAGAATGGACTGGAAATCATGCCTTTCTCAAGGATTGAAGGAGGGATTGTTATTTGGATATAAAAGCTCAGAAAGTCTTCGAGCCCAATTCTCCAAATATAAAAATAAGAAAAGCAGTACTTGAATAAAAATATCTATTTTTTAAAAATTTGTCTCTACATGTGGTATTGGACAAAATATTACAATAGAAAAGTAATAAGATAAAAGTATATCTTTATTCGAGGTAAAAATAGACTGCTGCTATGAAATAATTGATCCTTTTTATATTGCACAACTCTCCTGAGTTCCGATTCTGTTCTTTGCTATTACTAGCAAGGTACCAAGTAAGTGCCACTAGAGGATCAAAATATTGTTCATCTTCGACGAAATTATTTTTAAAAATGAAAAAGCACTTTTCAGCCCACTAAATATCACGTAGCTGTTGCCATTGAGGATTATCTAGATTGGTTGATAAAAGATTCTTTACAGACAATGAGATCTTATCGGTGCAAAGAAGAGCAAGAATTGGCTCTATATTATATATATGATTTACTTGTAGGCAAAAATCAATCGATCTTTTCATCGACTCTTCAGTAACATCCCTTTCAATCCCCAAGATAATTGCAAATTATTCAACCTGAGCTGATGACTGAGGCAAATAGAGAACGTGGTAGGATTCTCTACTCAGAATTTCTGTCTTTGCATGTGTATATCGATTGCTATTCTCACCTAATACTGATTTAGTTACAAGATCAATTACTCGAGGATCCAGAAGAAGATCTATCACTGAAATACAATAATAAATAAGGTTTTTGTTAGCATTTAAGTGACTTTACTTACTAATATTGTACTGTTTTGATTTCTGACGATGAGTTGTTCTATTGCAAATTAAACAAATTGATTCACTTTAACCGTTGTGGAATTACCGCGTGGCGTAGTTACAGTTAAGGTGTTGGGAGCATTACGGGTGGGTACAGGTACGGGTATGGGTAAACACAGTCATGGGTACGGGTACGTGTAAGGGTATACTCATTTAATAATAATTAATAAATTTATCTCTCTTTTGTTCATTTCGTCTTATTCCATCCGTCTTATTTTTGAATAAAAATTATAAGGGATGCTGCCCTCTGCATGTATTTTTATGAGGGACACACGAACGAGAGTATCCAAAAATGCAAAGAACGTATTGAAAAGTGGGGCAATGTCGAGATGTGCTACAATACCTCCCCAAAGGAAGCAATTGTTGTTTTGAAACAACAAATTCTTGGTGATCGCTATACATTCAGAAGAAGTCGGAAAAAGAAAGAGATTTGAATTACGTACGTTGAGTACGTTAAAAAGAATGACTTACTTTTGATTTTCAACCTTTTAATTTTCTTTAAAAAACAGATGCACAACTAAAGCATTTTTTAAATGAAGCGTTTTGCTATGAAGACCCTAATAATTCCAAGGTCTACAAAATTAAATCCGTTGCAACCAAGGTGTCGTATTTGAGATGATACAAACACTTGATAGTCTTCTCTCTTAAACAGAGATTATAATCAGTACAAATATGATTAATTGTATTGATGACGTTCATCTCGAGATCGTTCAGTACACACTATATAAAGCATCCGCAATAATTACAAAGAAGCTATCCCGGTCAATTAAGATCCTTCTTCGCTTTTTATCAAATTAATAAAGATCCTTTATTTGTGTCTCATCGACTTTATAAGACTTTATTTAAAATTAGCCAGTGAATACCGCTTTTGCCACACAATTTGTTAAGCTTACCATGTTTCCACGACCATAAATGATCGGTTTTACTGCACTACAGCTTCACAGTATTCGCAATACACCTTTACAAAATTCTAAATGGTCTTTTCATTTGTTTAATTATTGCCAGGTTATGTTTATATTATGGTATGTGAGACCCCACGAGTTCTTTCTCTGTATTTTGGGAGTTAGCCTAGTGACAATTTCCAATGGTTTGGAGTAAACTAGAAGATGATCACTTTGTATTTGGCGCCCAATTAATCCGCATTATTTTAAGCCTTTGTTTCTCGACATTATTACCCTTTGATCAGACTCTCACTTACCCACATTGTCTTACATAAAAGCATAAAGCTTGAAACGTAACCCAAATTCGCACTATCACATACCACTTTCCATTAGATTCTAGTCATACAGTGATATTAAAGAACAATTCATTACTAAGATTCCAGGTAATACTTAAGTGAGCCAGAAATTACACTGAACATGAAGCCTAACAAATAGGTAAAAAGTGATCCAAAAATACACTGTACATGAGCTTAAAAAGTAGGTAATACGTGATCCAAAATGAGCCTGTTGATTTCCAACTCAACAACATTTACTGCATTGATCTCCATGCAAGCCAAGAGCTTTTGTCTAATAAGTAAGCAACTAAAAAAACAAAAGACTTTCTTTATTGCTATCTCTTTTTTTTTCCCTTTCTCTCTTTCTTCATCGACCTCTTCCTCTACACCTGTCGCTGCTTTCTTTCTACTTTTTAGCTCGACGGCATCAGATTTTCTTTTCCCAAAAAGTATTTAAATAGTAATCGTCAAGTGCCTTTAAAATAAGGTGTAGTCGGTAAGTTCTCTCATAAAAAAATATGAAAAGCAAAGTTCTGTAAAACCTTATACTCCTCTTTTGAAAAACGTTCAGCTAATGACTTTAACTGGCGGTTTTTGGAGCGAACTTGGCTTCAGCTTGAGGTTTGAAAGCATTGAAAGAAAAGTTTCTGGGACGGATTTGCGCGAAAGGCTATTTATTGCCTTTTTAAACGCGCTTTCCCCGTCGCTTCTTGAAGGAAAGTTGTACTATTCATAAAAACAAGCAATCTGAGGTTGTTGTAATTTTGAATTATATGTTGACGGCAAGTCAAACTGCATTTAGGCATTGTTGAGGCTATAAAAACAAAGTGAACAAGCAAACAAAAAAATGCTTTTCAAGATCCAATGAAAGTCACACGTCGTGATGCGTGATGTACAATCAGGGTGAATCTTCAACTAAAATTATTATTATTATTTTTCATTTTCATTAATATTAAAAACCAAATCGTTGCTCAAGGGGTCGGGAACACTCAATGAGGCGACTTGAAAAAAAAACCTAACCGTCGACTGCGACCTGGTGTGGGGATCGGTCACATAGCAGATTGAATGCTGTCATCAGAGAATGATTTTTTTTACAGAAGAAAAAAAAATATTCAACCTGGAAATGAGCCCTTTTTATACCTTTATGTTTCCCCCTTCAAAAAAATTTTTTGGCTAAGAAATCACAAGACCCTTTCGTGACGGGGACTTTTTGATTCATGCAAAATTATTTCATGTGATAGTAACAAAAAAAAGTCACTGTGGCTGTTGTATGCTACGTTTATGAGATAAGCTGTGTGTCTCTGCCCGTGACCAAAACAGTATTCTGGGTGAACAGGTGTATAGGACAAAAAAATAATGGGGGTGGGGTCATATCGTGCCTTGTTTTTCTTAAAAAAACGACTTGACCGATGATCAGCATGAAAATAAACTAGAGTCAGTCAGCTACTAGGAAATGAACCTTGAACTGAAATCCCTTTGCCGTACAGCATGTAAAGAAAAGCATCCGCGATAATTTTGAGAAAGTAGCAAAGTGATTATGCCAGAGCCATTTAGTCAAAGTCATTCTAACTTTTGCTGTGTGTAACAAAGAAGGATGCAAGATCATCTACTACCTAATCTGGCATGAGAATTAAAAAAAAAAATCTTGGAATATTGATGACTGCGGATAGAAACCTGACGGGAATAATAAGGGTCCATGTTGACTACCCAGCACGTCAATTGACCAAGCAGAAATCATAATTAAACTGTGAAAGTGGATGGTGTTACACTGTGCGTCTTTTTTTTTTCTATTTATTTTTTGTGCTATTTCATTTAATAGGGTGCACATCTGAATAGACATTAACTTCTATGTGCTGTCTGTCATACTTACGGATGTAATTAATATTGTATGTATGCATAAATATCTCGAGCAGCTTATCTTGATTACCATATCTAAACTAAAGTTATATATATATATTTAAAAAAAAAAACGTCAGGTCCACATCTTTAGCTCGACATTAGCTTTTAATATGTAGACATATATTAATTCTAACGAGCATAGAGGTAATGTGCTACATGCTTTTTTTTTTACTGGAGAATATTTAATGTGGTAAATACAAGAATTTGGAATTAAAAATGTACACATAAATGCAAGCTATGTAATTGTACTGGTGTAATCAGTTGTTGATTCTGCATTGGAATTTCATAGACTAAGACTCAGGCCACTCAGAATGTTATCTGTCTATTTCATGCACATTTGAACAGGAACCAAAAAAAGTCACGTGGTCCTAAAAAAAAAGTGACGTGTATGTAAATGTAAGTGGGTGTTGCGCGCCTAATTCTTTTTTTTTTTTTTTTTTTTTTTTGGAGCACATAACAAACAAATTGAAAAAATAGATGATTCCTCGGTTACCTCCCTTAATATTAGCTTTATTAGGAGGCGCATCTATCTATGGTATCAAATATGCACTTGACCGGTTTGAACCTAAAGCGATTGGACCTGGTAAAGATTTCGAACGGCTAATGTACCGACGCAATGTCAAACGAGTGGGAGTGGCAGCAGGTATAGCTAGTCTAGCGTATGCTGGATACACAGGTTAGTTATTCAAAAGAAAGAAGAGTATAAGCGGAGAGATTGAACTGAATTGACAGTGTATGGACATATGAACAAAAAGGAGGAAGAGTTTTATGAAGATCAATATTCTGTGCGAGAGAAACAATTTGTAATGGATAAGGCACAATTGGATGCTGAACGTAAAGAAAAAGAGAGTCAAAGGCAACAAGAATTGGAACAAGAAGTCGTTGCTATGAATGAAATTCTTAAAAAGAAACCTTCTGAGATTATAACACAATAAAAAAAATGTGTAACTTTTTTTTTTTTGTACCTTTTTGATAAACCGAAGAAAAAAAATCATCACTTGGTTTCAATCACCATAAAAAAAAAAAAAAATACGGGGCAAGTGTGTGTAAAGCGCGGAAATGTTGTAAACACCCGTTCGGGAAAACCATCGATCGGAGTGATGAGAACATAATTTTTTTTTTTTTTCTTTCTTACTTTCTTTTCTTCTTCTTTCCCTCTTTCTTTCAAAATATAAACTATGCAAGGTTGGTTGGCATCTTTTTGCTTCTCTTAAATTAAAATGATTTCTAAATACAATAGGGAAAAAGGTGTTGAACAATTACCTCACAAGTATGTTACCTTTTCTATTTTATTATTTATAAACTATTACTCATTTTTTTTTTTGCAACAGTTCATTCAAACTCGTCATTCGACAACAACCTGTACATTCACGCATGTGTGGCATTGGCGAAAGAGGTAACCCATAGCAACCTATTCTACATCACTCACTAACTCAATACAGTCGACAGAAGACCCATCGATCCACCTCCAGTTGTCCAAATAAAAATGAATGCCAGTAACGACGATAGGTAAAATACATAACCACCTTTTATATTTAGTGGACAAAAAAAAAAACTTATTTTTTTTTTTTTTTTGACAGATTATCGACCCTGTCGTCTTATTTATTCCTGATTGCAGTATTGGTGCCTGCAGATGGCAAAGAAGACGAAGAGCAGTTAAACATACTCTTACATAGTAAATTAACAGTGGGCCGTACAGTCTCATCCTTGTATATCCTTCGAGACCTGGATGGTTCTGATGGCGCCTTCTTTGTTTTCTCTGACATATCCGTCAGAGCAGAAGGAAACTATCGTCTAAGAATGTGTTTATTCAACATCAAAGAGACAACTGTCAATTATAACCTGTCCGTCTTGACAGACCCATTTACTGTCTATTCTGCGAAAACTGTAAGTTTTTTTTTTTTTTTTTTTTTTTCATCTCTCCCTTTTTTGTTATTATTTATATTAAATTTAATCTTTTATTTATTCCAGTTTCCTGGCATGTATCGTTCATGTCCGTTAGTACAAAATTTTGCTAAACAAGGTCTGAAAATTAGAATTCGAAAGGAATCAGGCCCAAGGCCATCGAGATATACCCAAACAAAGAGGAAAAGCCTAATAAAGCCGTCCACTACATCGGAGGAAGACGAAGAATTCGATGACACACAACACCCATCTGCATTTAAAAGAGTCATGACCGCTCCAGGTAACACTTATTTGTTTGTTTTTATTATTATTTTATTCCTTCTAAAATATCCTGGATATAGAAGAGACTTCACCCACAATATCCAATAAACGTCGATTGAGCTTGTCCTATTTATTAGACCTACCAGAAGAAAATATTAAATCAGTCGATACCTGTCAATTAGCCCCCATCAATGCATCTATGTCTCCTTCATCGTCACCTCTACACCAGTCATCCACAACAACAGATTTACCGCCAATACAACAACATTTCATGTATATGCCCCAACCCTCGCCCAGTACTACTAAAATAAAATATTTATAACAAAACCCAGACTTCTGGTTTTGGGTATGCTAATTTGCCAATACATCCCAAAAAAGATAAATACATCCCTGCTAAAAAAAATAATCGCATCTCATCGTTATCTTGTAAAAAACTTCGATTCCGATCCAAAATTAAGTGCTCCTAAATGTAATATTAAAAAAAAAAGATGCATGTTTTCAAAGAGACCTATCTATCAATAAAAATGGTTGATTTACTAAATCTGAGAGATGCAGAAATTATTTATATACATATATACAAATGTACATGTGTGCAAAAAAAAAAAAAGCCCCATCATCGGTATTATGTAACAAACAAAGAGGACATCTCCGATTTGGTTACATGCTTCCCTTTATTTAAACTTCTCGCCCCTTACAATGTGTCCGACTTTTTTTCATCTGTTTAACTTTTTTTTTTGTCTCATGTGAAGCATTTAGCTTGATCCGTGACACGCACATGTATATTCATATGGAAATGTAGGCTTGTTTTATTTATATGATCAGCATAATAATAACAAAGCCTCATTTAGAATGTCAAGACCACTTTAAAGGAGCTCCTTTCTTCTTTTTCCGCATTCGTATTCTGTTTCAAAGCATAAAAAGGAGTTCTTACTCCCTTCTCCATCATCTGTAAGCGCACACATGCATGTATTTGTATGTGTGTGGGACTTCCTTGGTTCGTTTTTAATTGTCAATTGTCATATCGAAAAAAAAAAAAAAAAAAATTCGTTGGTCACAATTTACCAAACTCCTGGATGAGGTATCATCACCATGGAAACGGGTGTGAAAAAAAAAATTAAGTACTGTTTCCACACCCAATGTTCGTTTCTCCTCAGTGAATTAAATTTATTATAGGTCTTCCGGCCAATGTTCATTCAATTGATTAAGTCGTCTTGTTGTACGATTCTATTTTCTTGACAGGGATCCTGTTCACCGGATCTTTATTGTACTCCGTAACACATTTCCGAAATTGCGCAACTACAGACAACAACATTTTTCAACTTCTGCTGGGAAAAAAAAGTTGCCTCCTTCGATTTTTGTCTGAGCACAGGCTGTAGTTCATTCTGTCATATTGGGGGCAATACTTTTTTTTTTTTTTTTTTTTTTTTTTACATGTCCTTCATGGGGTACTTCAATTTTGTTGTAGGACCAACATTTCGCCTAGAAATTTTGACAAGCCTCCTTGCTACTAGAGGTTTAAACAAGAAGAGATATCAGTATATAATTGTGCCTAAACAGAAAGGCGGAATGAAATAAGCTTTGTTACTGAGCATTTATGTTTTTTCTCTCATTGAAAAAAAGAGTATTATGGTAAGTAACATTCAATCTTAGGGGCCCCTTTATTTGTCTAGAGTGGGGGATGAACTTTCATTTGAACCTCTTTTAAACGATGTGGGTGAAGGTAATAAATATTATCGTGCTGGCATTGATACCGACGCCGTTAATTGTAACGCACTTGTTCAAAGCACGATATTCTTATCATTTATTAGTTCTTTGGTCACAAAAGAGTTACACGCCGAATTCAGTTGCTATTATTTAAAAGGCATTAGAAAAATTTAAAATAGGAGATTTACGACGGTACACTTCTTAAAAGAAGTTTAGCAAGGATTTGAGTCTAAAACTGATGGTACGATTGTCAATTTATGGCAGGCTTTAAACGTACATCATTTAAAACATAATTGTTTAAAAATCGTACAAGATTTTCCCAGTGATAGAGGTTTATATATATATATATAAACAATTTCTTTCAAAACATCTAAAACTTCCAGTCCTTTTGCGTGGTTCTTTTCTAAATATTTTTTTATTATATACAGTGTTCAATTCTTTATCGCCTTTAAAATACAACATCAGTGTGAGGCTATTATATTTAAATAACCGTGTATATTTTCACCAGAAATTATCCTTGTAGTCTTGAGCACCCTAGATGATCGACAGATTGAGTGTTCAAAAATTGCCATCAGAATGGAAATTGATACACCATAGGCCATATTAAAACGCCACTTCGAGACTTTAAAGTCACTTTGCTTGATATGCCATCTTTTTGTATGGACTATCACAACAGGCTGTTAGTGCTTATATCGTTCGAGATTGTCTCCCTTCAAGACAGGTCATTATAAGTGTACGAGAACTGTTCCAGTCCATCCATAGGCTAAATTTTCAAGAGTGTAAGATAACACGGAACATTTACGTCATGCATATTTTTTTTTAAAAAAAAAAAAAAAAAAAAAAAAAAAGATCCGGCCACACTCAAGGCTAATCAGCCTTCCCGGGGGCATTTTTTCTATCCGACGTGACAACTTTTAAGCCAATTATATGACATAGTTCTTTATTACATAAGCATACGTATTAAATATAAATCATAAGTGTATAATAATAGTTGATAAACGCATAATTGCTGATAAGCGGAATATTTCATAGTTTGTTAAAATGTAATATAAAGAGGATCATGGTAGCTTGTAAATAATATGTATCTGCCGCCGTCTTGAGTAGTAAAGTTGGTATATATATTATCAATGAAGGTCCCATTGTTTGTCGTCGATTGCATATCATATGACATAGCCGAACGGAGAACATATTTATTGAGAAGTTGAATAAATTTGGTTCTTTTAGTTGATTCGATGTTAAAATTGATATTAAAATCACCACCAATTATTATTTTGTCGTTCCCAGTAATATCCAATTCTATAATAGGGAGAGCTTCATCTATTATTTTTCTTCATTTCTGAACTTAACGGTTTTCCTTTGCTTCTCTTTTCGTAATCTACGACGTTCTCGTTTTTCTTCTGCCGTTAATAGTGTTCGCTTTCTTTTTGACCTACGCTTGTTTTCTCTGTCTTCTAGTTCCGCACTTGTTAATCGTGGTCTACCCATTGAGATTAATCGATTAAAAAAAAAGTAAAAGGATTTTAATTTGCTTGGGAATCTCATTTCAGTGCTGTCAATGCAATTTAAACTCCGGAGTAAATTGAAAAAAAAGTGAGACGCGAAACGTCACAAAAAAAAGAAAAACAATAAAGGAGGTTTACAGTGCTATTGCCCTATACCACTTTTTTTTTTGTGTTCGAAACTCCCCTCCCTACAGCAAATTTTTTTTCCAACTCCGGAGTTTTTTTACAAAAAAGTGAGACACGAAATTTATTGGAGGAGAAAACCTTAAGGCCATTTTTTAAAAAATGCCCTAAAAAAAAAAAAAAACTCTTTGAACATCACGGCTTAATCCATATTTCCGGATTATATCACACCCAATCGCAAGTGTCAGTGTAAATGTATTCAAGCAATTTCAAGAGAGAATAGATTCATAGCACCCATCTTACAGCATTAAACAATAGCCGGTCATTTATTTCAGTTTATTAATGACACGTTGGAAATTATAACTTGATCAGTTTTATGTAAAAGGGGGTGGGGGGAAGGAGTCGCAGTACTTTATTCGATGATGACAATGCAGGGTACTTTTTCTTCTTTTTACGTTCTTTAAAGAACATAGAATAATGACACTTGTTGCATCCTAGTTGACTGACAAAAGCCCCTTTTGTTGGGTCGTCAATTATGGGATTTTATGTACATGTTCACCTTACGATAAAGGGAGCTCGGTCTAACTTATTTTATTGACTCATAACACCACCAAATGCTTTAAAATATCACAGCAATTGTTCCTTTGTATTAAATGGATGTGTTGAGTTTATTTACATAAAAAAAGTATATATATTAAGTAGTAATGAGGGTAAATAGAAAAGGAGAAAGGAGGGGGGTGATGAAGGGATAATTGTAATATAATGTCTAAACGGTTTGCTTCTTTTCGGAATCATCATCATAACCCACTTCGATATCTTGTTTGGGATCAGAGACACCATAGCGTACATCTTTAAAGAAGAGAGATAAGATTAAACCAATGGAGGCTACTGCGATGGGGAGAATAAAGACTTTGTGTAAAGCATCGGAATAAGCTTGAATAACCGGTGTTTGAAGTTCAAGAGGCATAGTACGAATAAATAAGAAATTCTTGAGTGAACCATAACTATTGGCTTGTGTTAAGACATCAAGGGGGAGTTTAGCAAATTCTTCCTTCAAGATGGAACCGTACATAGTTTGATAAATAGCAATACCGATAGCAGAAGCCAACATCATGAAGAAGTTATTACAACTGGTAGCAATAGCCAAATCCTTCTTTTCAACAGCGGATTGTACAGTTAAAATAGCATTTTGTTGAGAAAGACCAAAGGAGAAACCACAAAAGGCAAGATAACCTGCTTGTTGACCCCAACTACTCTTTACATTGACAGTATAAAACAAACCGTAACCAAGTAAATTACATGCTGCACCAATGATCAAGTAAATCTTGACACGAGGTAAAGAACGGACTAAGAAACCGCCACCGAGAGAACCAGCAATAAGACACACCATGAAGGGAATCAAACGAAGACCAGACTCGGTACTACTGGCACCAAATACAGCTTGGTATAAAACAGGGCCGAAATACAAGGTACCCACAAAGGTAAGACCCAAACAGAACATGTAAGCATATACAATGACAACGGCTGGGTTGAGCAAGACACTGGCAGGTAAAAGAGGATCGGTGGCAACATAACCTTCAACATAGATTAAAGCAATCAATGAAACACCAGCTGCAACAAAGGGACCCACACAATGCGCACTGCCCCAGCCATAGGTGGTACCCCAATTAAGAGCCAAGAGTAAACACACAATAAAACTTGAAGAAAAGAGAGTACCGAGCCAATCTACACGCTTTATCTTGGAGACAAATGAAGTCTTTTCAGTGTCCTTGGGGTCGTGTAAGAAGAAGACCATAATAATGAATGAAATAGCAGCAAGAATCACATTAAGCCAGAAATCCCAATGCCATGAAGCATGATCAACAAAGGCACCACCTAATAAAATTAAAGTTAGTAAAGCATGTTTATGGTGGCGGGGGGAGGTACATACCTAAAAGAGGACCAGCAACACTGGCAATACCATATACAACAGCAAGTAAAGATTGGAAACGAGGACGAAGATGAATAGGTGCAACGTCAGTGACAATAATAAAAGTCATGGACATGACACCACCACCACCAAAACCTTGGATAGCACGACCTGCAATCAACATATTGATATTGATTGATAAAGCATTGATCAAGGAACCGATAAAGAAAAGAACGATACCAAACATGAATACAGATTTTCTATTTTTTTACATGTTAGTTCAGATGATGTGAATAAATTTTCTTTTTCAGTGAGTTACCTTCCAAAAATATCAGAAAACTTTTTTGTAAAAAAAAAAAAAAAAAAAAATGGTTAGTAACACATTATGTATACAGAAAATATGATTTTGTAAAACTTACTCGGCCAGATAAAGGTTGGAATGCGTTCAAGGCAACAAGATAAGCAGTAGCAATCCAAGTTTGTGATTCAAGGCCGTTTAAATCGGTAGCGATGATACTCATGGCGGGAGCCACGACGGTAGAATTTAACGACATCATGAACATGGCAAAGACAACACCCACCATCAGGACGGAGAAATTGATCAATTCCCGCTTAGTTTTGAACTCCAATTTTTGAATGGGTTGTTCAGTTGCTTCTAAAGTAGCCACATTGTCTTCTTGTGAACCGTTGGTGGTAGAAGAGGTTCTTCCTTGATATAATTCCTCTCTTGATTTACTAGTTTCAATCACATGATGTGTTGATTCTATCGTTTCCTGGTACTTTTCTTGACCAGTGATTGTCGACATTTTTTCTATGTTATGTTTTTTTTTGTATAAAGTGTGTGTGTGTGAATTAATAATACAGAAAAAAAAAAGAGAGAGATCAAAATAAAATCATCCATTTTTATATTGTTAAACCCAAATGGTGATACGGTTACACCGGATCAAGTAACCACCGTTGAACGATACGAAATCATTGGTGGAGTAATCGGCTGTTTTTAAAAGCATCTGCCAAACTCGCGGTGTAAACATTCAACCGCCAATCAAATCTCTAAAGACATATCATCCACTCACACACACGAGTCCCCCGATGAAATAAAGAAGGTTTCTTTTTTTTTTTTTAAAGGAAAAATTGATTTCCTCGAATGATCCCGGCTAGGAATAAGACCGTAAATGTATATATTACGTGTCTATTGCTGACTCTACCCCCATAGATCCCCGGCGTCCCGAGAACCCCATTTATATAATTTTACTGTTTGTAGTCGTATTTCTTCTCTTTTCAGGACAATATCTAATTTTTTTCTTTCTTCCTTTGGGCGGAAAAACATTAATCCCTAATAGATGGTACCACACAAAACGACTATTAATATTGATTTTGCTATGAACCCCCCTTGATCTGGAAAAGAGGAGCTTCAAAACTATAGTAGTAAATTAAATGGAGATCTTTTTTTTAAAAAAGGAATGGATTTGATTGGATGTGTTCTATTTTTAATTTCTGCTTCTTTTTGTTTGTTTTGTTCTTTTAACTCAAATACACATGTGTGTGTGTGCAACAATTCTTTTGTTTGTGGGTAACCTATCAAAAATTCTAATGCAGTACCGTTGGTCTAACTATATTGTTGATAGGACTTTAGCTTACTTCAAAAGAAAGAAAAAAATGGGGTCCACGTATTGTTAAAGAGCCTGTGAAACATCGAACCGAGTTTTTGTCGCTTTTAACAAAAAAAAAAAAAAAAAAAAAAAAAAAAAATCACACACACACCTCACATACATGAATATCCTGGAATCAATGATAAATACACGAGTATTTTTTTTTTTTTTTATCATTGGGTGGGTTTTTATTTTTTTTTTAAAAAAAAAAAAAGCTTGTTACTGTCAAGATTTCTTTTCCAGAACGTGGCATTTCATAGCACATACATGTGCCGCACCCCAAAGTAATTTCTTTTTTCTTTTAGAACATTATCATGTTCTTGGCAGAACGTATAGAATAAATGACACGCTTTTTTTTTTTCAGAAAAAAAAAAAAAAAAGGCTTGGCTTGATTGTACCATTTTTTGTACAATAAAAATATTGTCTGAATTCAAAATGTGCCACTTGTAACTGTCATGTTACACCCCACCTGAATTAAATTAGGTATTTATAAAAAAGAAAAAAATTAGCGAGGATCCATCCTTTTTGCGGGAATGGTCTTCATGTAAATAGTTACTAACATTTTATGTAATGTGGTCAATGCTTATCTATCTACAACAACAACAACAAAAAAGGCTAATGTTACAAGAATAACAGAAGTTTATATTACAATATTCTAATTGTGGGACAGAAGATAATTTAATAAAATTCTTTTATTCTATTGCTAATATTTGATAACGCTGGTTTTTGTGCTAACTATTATATTGTTCGCCACTTTTCTGGTGTATGTAACATATCTGGGGTGACAAGGCACAGAGAAAAATCAGTTGCCCCAAGGTTGAATGTAGTTTTTGCTCTTTCATCATTCTTTAAATAGTAATCATTTGTCGCTTTAGGTCGAGATTTGTATGCAGTTCGCAATGTGTTTTCTGGCTTCTGTAAACGGTATAAAATTTTTGCAAAGACTGGATAAAGTGCTCTACTGTTTACTTTTATAGAGATTTTTTCAGCTAAATGTTGGATCCAAGCTTTGGTATCCCATTTTATTTCTTATATAGTGTTTTTTGTGAATAATTCGAATTAAGAATGATGTAATAAATTTTAAAAAGTAAAATTATCAAACTGCAAAAATAAATTAAATTATTTATTGTACAAGAATTTGTGTTATCATATATATGCAGGGTAGCTGGACATCAACCATTGAAGTACCAGATTATACTGATTCAATCAATATTTATATTGCTTGAGATAAGCCTTGTATATATAAGCTGCATTTGTTTTGTAATTCTTTGATATGGTGCAAAAAGCTGTTGTAATCGAAGTCTTTGTGAACAACCCTCCTTACGCTTCTGCTTACCGTACGATGATCTTTCTGCTGAGTCTTCATTGTAAATTAATACTTCTGCATAGGTTTGATCAGAATCAAAAGAGATAAAAGAGGTGCTATTATTGTTTTCAGTTGTTGAATCTAATAATTGTTAATGTTTCGTTATTTCATCAATGAAATTATTTATAAATCCATCGATGGTAAAATCTTTCTGTTTAAGTCGATTTTTTTTTTGTTGAACCCATACACCTGATGCTGGAATGACAGCTTCTGTAAGGGAAGCAAAGTGATTACTTCTTATTTTTTTGCTCATAGTCTTTTTGGATTACATTTGCAGTGCCTGTTATATGTGTTTTCTTCAGAGGCTTTTAGTAAAAAATTTAATCATCTTTGATTTATCTTTTCGCCTTACTTGAGTTTTATGCCCATTTCTTTTGGTACAGAAACTTGACTTCTTCCTCAGCATAACTAGGTGAGAACGAAGCCAATTATTGCTGTTCGAGCAATAGAGCTTCGAGGGCGCTTTCTCATTCACGGAGCCTATTTGTAGCAAATATGTTAATATTTTGTGGCACACAAATGGAGTAAAAGTCAATGTTGTTTGTGCACATTATGTAATATTACTTTCCCAGCATGGCTATCTTCCAAAAAGTAAAGGTATCGGCTTATGTCTTACACCTTCTGCTGATTGTAGTAAATATTTAGTGTTTGACAACAAGTATAAAAAACTGTGTGTACATACTTATTTTATCATCCCCTTGTGCTTTGCCCGAAAACGGGCAAATAAAAAATGAAAAATCGAATTCAACGACATATAATTGATACACATCATATATATATAGTAAATATTCTATTAAAGTTGCCTGTTCAAAACAGTTTGTATCTGTATGTCGCAATTTATTTTACGAATCATGATATATCACCAACTGATTTGTAACCTCTCATATATTCTTGATTAAAACATGTTCAAAACATATTTGATGACAACTTCTCAACTATCACTCAATCGTTGGCCATCTAAATTACTTACAACCTATAAATACTGATTATTTAGCTCAAGAACCAGAGGTCTGTGTTAACCCTAACTAATATGTCACGCTAGCCAATACCCCTTTTTATTGTAACTGATAGTTTTACTGTGTACTAATGTTTTTTTTTCTTTTCCTTTTTCTTTAACATAAGGTCATCGGCTTCGATATATAACCCTTCATATACACAAGTAAAGACTTGAAGAAAATGGCCATAAAGTTATGCTAGAATGAGAATCCCATACAACACTATCGACGTTACAGTTTTTCATCACCATAATACAAATACAAAAGCCAAGTAGTTCGTAATCACTGTTCAAATTTGCTCACAAATATTGATATAGTATTATAATTTACAATTCCATCGATAATGCATTTTTATAACCCGTGAATATCATACCTTCTTTATTGCAACAAATCAGGAACAACAACAACCCACTCATCCATTTAGTTATTTTCATAAAACGGTACTGTCCCGAAAAGTGTTTTCCATTGACTACATTTGCACGAGAATATATTTATAACTTTTATCAATAATATTATGTTTTTTCTTTATTATCCATTTTTACATGTCATTTTTCATTCTACCCTTATCTTTTGTCATTTGTTCGCGTTTCGGGATTGGAACATACAATAATTGAGTTGCAATCGCCACAATTTTGCATGAAAACTATAAAATATAGCCAATCAAATTAATTTCACGTGGTTATCACGTGATTTATTTATCTCTAAAACAATGTGGGTTTATAATAAATTACAAATAAATTTAACATGAAGCCTAGCTAGCTCAATCGGTAGAGCGTGAGACTCTTAATCTCAAGGTTGGGGGTTCGACCCCCCCGTTGGGCTTTCATTTTTGTTTTCCCCCATCGATTGTGGTGCGCCTAGACGTCACGATATATTTTTATTGATCATACTGTTGTTCGTGTAATGAAAGTATTAAACAACTGTTAATTACGACATGAGCCGATGAAAAAAAAAAAATTGTAATTATCATTCTCTCATGTTGTAGTCGCGCGATATGAGAACGTATTTTTTGAGAATTTCGGATAGTAGTAGCGCTGGAGCGCGCCTCTACAAGAAGATATAGTTCCCCCTTGTATCTCACGGCTATTACTGTATAAAGAACGAGTTCAGGTCAAAAAAAAAATGTCAAAATGATTTGATCAGAGCGAATTGAGACCTCACACTTTATTAAACTTGTTTAATTTCAAGCCATCGAGGTCCACTATCAAGGGTCACGACTCCAAGAAACCTTCCCTGCTCTTCTCTTTCAAAACGGTCTTATATATCCCTGAACAGAATGAGTATTTTATCAATTAAAAATATTTGTGAATGGTTTGTTGAATGATGTCGAGGTCCTTATTTCTCATTTAATTACTATCACGACACGTCCTTTTTTCATTTTTCAATCCACAGTTATACGAATTTGAAATTTCTCCAAGTCAGTTAACAATACTCGAAAAGACTCTGGGATAAGGACAGGAACCAATTATCAATAGCTTCCATTCTATTACCATCTCTTAAACACCTCTTATACTCTTTTTATATGTACCACTTAGGTTACCGGTAGATTGCAGTAGGGATCTATCTAAGCTTATTGTTGTATAAAACTTTATCCTACATAAGAAAGGCCGGAATTGACTGATACCGAAAACCCAGCAAACCAATTTAAACTAATTTCACTCGCAGTTATTGATAAACTGCACACAAGTATTATATGGATTCATTTGAAAATAAGAGAATTTCTTATGTTGATAGCAGATTCTGCCACAATCAATAGCGGCTCAATATTGACCATGTAAAGCTTTTTATCATTTACAAGATTTTAGCGATAAAACAAAGAACAACATCAAAGGTTACAGCCTCTAATTGTAATGTCAGCTCAGTTCGACTCGATTGATCCAGTTTTAAGAATGAATAAAACTGTCTCCTTTACTTGGCAACCGGTAAAAAATTAACTTCGATTAAAAGGTATGTATAGATCTTCGATTGTATCATCTGTCAAAAAAATGGAATTTATACCAAGTAGGACGATTTTCATAAACATGTTTGTACGAGGTGAATGTTTTCCACGAGGTCCTCCTGTTTATCCGACGATTTCAACAAATGGCAGTCGTTGATTTATAGAAGTATGAGATGAAGCACAGTGTATAACATTAAAAATCAATCCTACTTTTTTAATTTTTATTTAGACTCATGAATCTAATGCGTGTTTAATAGGGACCTTGGTTAGAAAAATGGCATATTCTCGGTTGTATGGTAGGGCCGTGAAATCCATTGGCAATGGTGCGTTGGACGGATGATCAAATCAATATGTAGCAGGGCCAATTGTTATTTATTCGCACAATTCAATCAATTTTTTTTTTCTTCTTTAACCTCCCCCCACTCTAAAAAAAAACCTAAAAGATGGCCGCCACATATACACAAGCCGAAGTTGATAAGCACAACACCAAAGGTGATACTTGGATGATCATTCACGAAAAAGTTTATGATGTCTCCACTTTTGCTGAAGACGTAAGTAATTTTGTCCCTGTAATTATTTGAACTTTGTTAATTAAGCCTCCCCCCCTTTTTTTTTTCATTTGTTGCCAGCATCCCGGAGGTAAATCCAACATGTGACAGACCGATGGATAGAACCAGACATACTAAATCATTGTTTTATTTTGACGATAGGAGAGGAAGCTATCTATGATGAAGCTGGTAAGACAAATGAGCGAGATAAATGAGGCTGAAATGGTCATACTGACACATCATTAGGTAAGGATGCCACTGAGTCTTTCGAAGATATTGGTCATTCCGACGAGGCCCGTGAACTTTTGCAAAAGTTTTACATTGGTGAATTAGACACCACTTCTCCTGGTGTAAGTACCATTTTAACTGTTTTGACATGTTTGTTAACTTTTTTTTTTTGGCACATTTTCATAGGCTGTTAAGCCAACCCCAGTTCCTGTCACCCGCATTCCCGAAGAAAAGCCTAAGGGATCGTAAGTTTTTTTTTTTTTTTTTTTTTTTTTTTTTCTCTTCAGGATGTTTAACCAGTTTTTTTTAGCGTTCTCCGTGTTCTTATCCCTGCCGTTGTTGTTGCTGGTATCCTTTTATACAAATATGTCATTGCTCCTCAACAAAAGCATTAATTTTTTTAAATCATTATTATATTACATTAAAAAAAAAATGGCCCATTGTTTTGTAAAAAAAAAAAGAAAAGAAAAAAAAAAGCCTTAAAATAGATTTATTATGCAAACGAAGAAAGAGAAAGAGAGAGAGATAAGCGTTGTGGGGTCATGTTTTATGATTGATTGGCCACATGTTGCTCATCAAAATGTTGATAGGACTAAGGCGTTCCCATAGAAACCGTATCCATGACGTGAAGTTGTGCACACAAACAAGAATGCCGATTCAGAAAAAAAAAAAAAGAGCCTATTTTATTGTGTTTTCTATCATACGAAAAGATTACATCATGCAGCCTACTCATAATCGAGGGAAACATATTAAGGAGCTAATCTTTTCCCATAATATAAAAATTCCTATATTGGTGATCTACAGAAAAAAGTTCACGCATTGTTTAATGCACTAACCCAAATAAAATCCAAAGTATCACAAGTTAACAGGCCTTTTCTCTGGCTTCTTTTCTCAATTAAAGTATGTCCGACAACAATTGACTCAACTGATAATAATCAACGTGTATGAATTGCCCCCCCCCCCCCAAAGCAACGAGAGATTCTTATTTGTAAAATACGAAAAAGCTAGAATCATTATGAATGAAAATTCTAAAAAAGTCTAGATATTTTTCTATGGGTTGAGGATGATGATCCAACAGGACGATCTGGAGCCAGCAGAGCCTAAATGCCGCGAATATCCGATACCCATACCCCTTCACTAACAGACAATCTACATAGACGTATAGCTCAAATGCCCCCACATTCGAGTAACCAAAAAAAAAAAAACATTGTTACAAAAGTGAACACTGTACCACTAACTATTAGCAACAAGAAGTTTCAACTTTTAACATTTGGCTTATAAAATATGCTCTAGTAGCTGACAAGATATTCCCAAATGAGTGAAACGAAGCATCCGCTGCTTTTTTTTATCAAATCCAGTGATTTATTAGACAGTTTACTAAAAAACTACGAGAAAACAGTCTGATTTACACGACCACAAGACTTTGCGTCACTTGTCACAGAAATGTGAAAAACAATTACAGTACCCATAACACAAAAGGATAACAAAATATAGCTGACAGGTCTTGTGGGAAATTTTGATGAAGAATAACTCAGCTGGTTAAAATATATGACGATGATTAATCATTCGAGCAAAAAAAGTAATACTGTCATTGACCCAAAAAAAAAAAAAAAGGTGTGGTCAATAGATGAACGTACAAGCAAAAATGTCATGAGATGAAGGGATTCTTGTTGTTCCAATGAAGGGCGCGCAAAAATGCAAAAAAGGTAGTTTGTTTGTTGTTTGATATGGCATACCCATCAATTCTTCTAACATACACACAATACAAAGAAGACTTGTGATATAAGGTTCCATTTGTACCAAACTATTGATTCTACCACCACAGATCAAACCAGCTTACCAGTAATAAGATGAGCATTTACATAAGCTAAATACTAATCACGAAGACTGCTTTGTAGAACTGATTGGTCAAAAACCCGGATAAAACGAAGGATGGTATTGTTAGTTGATTATTAAATCTTTAGATATTAAGAAGCGCGCTGCATGGATTTAATTTAACAAGGGCAATACTAATTAGAATCCATGTACGATCGAGTAATGATATCTTGTAGACTGACATAGAATATACGATTAAATGTACTCTTATTGCCGAGTCAAGGCTGTTTCATCAACTTTAAGCACAGTATGGCGTGGTCGTAGAAAGGAGACACCCCTTAAGTTGTAATTTCAAAGACATTAACAAAACTCCAAATTTTTTTATAGATGCTATATTTGGTCCTAGCGTGACCAAGGCAATATTGGAAATTTCCCAAGGTAACAGCGCCATCGGAAAAGAGAAAGGGCCCAGGTGAAGCCAAAATACCAAACACAGGAAAAGGAGTGTCACCTTTACCGACCATTACTTTAACTTTATTATGCCTAGCACTTTATGCAATATGAATAGTTTAAAGAGTTTACAAAAAGGCATTAGGCCATTGTCTATTTCCAGTTTACTGCTTAGAAAAAAATAATACTACAAGGTCCATTTCACTGTAAAAGATTATCATTGCTTTGTATTTATAAAAAAATCAATATAAAGTTTTGACAGAGAGGAATTAATGAATAATGTGAACGACTTGACATTATTCAGCTGTTGTCCTAATTACAAACAGCGAAGGCAAATCGACTAAAGTTAGAATGACTGCTCTCGGTGTCAATAAATTCATACTCTTATTTTCAATTTAAGAGTTTTCTATCGAAAATGAGCCAATACCATATTTCCTGTATCTTAACGATTCAAGTCAATTCTTTCGTTACATATTACTATAGGTTACAGTGGATTACTGTCGTAGCAAATGCCGATTCACTTTAGATTCAGTGTATTTATAGCCTGTCCTCTAGTAGTTAGCAACCAGCGTTGGTTGGTGTTATAAAAAAGAAACACCGGCACAATTTTTTTTTTCTAGGCAGTGAAATGGAAACGGATCGGTGGAAAGGAGCTCGTCTAAATTTAGCCAATAAAAAAAAATCGTATATTAGAAATGGATGACTTTGATTGTGTTTATCCTCCCTGAGATCAATCCTACTGTACAAGTCTGGTCTGTTTGCAAAAGATGAAAGTAAAGAAAGGAGTCACTTTTACATAAAGAAATTCTATCAGCGAAGATAAGGGAAGATAAGAGAAGGGAGGCTTGCAAGGCTTTTGCAGATAATTAGTAACAAACATTTTATGACTACCTGAACAAGAAACTAATACCGTGTAGTATTTATTTATTGGTACTTTAAAAAAAAGAGAGATTGCTTATATTCTATCTAGGCTAGTGCATGATAATATTATAAAAGCAGTGCTAATATTTTCGGGAAGTCCTGTAGCAGGATAGAATAGATGCAATAGACAAAAAGCGAACATGGTATAGTATGTTATTTCAATGGAATAAATTCAAACCTTAAATTTTTAATCAATAATATTTATTTCTGATTGACCTGATTTGTATCCTTCCCTATTTTTTTTTTTTTTTTTTTTTTTTTTGCATGTCTTGCATAATTAAATAGTTACATGTGGTAGCATATTCCGTTCATGTTTTTTTTTTGAAAATACACAAGTAAAAAAAAAAAAAAAAAAAAAAAAAAAAAAAAAAAAAAAAAGGGAACGAAAAAAAGGATAAGAAGGGTTTTCCGTAAATGTTAATCACCGCATGACCCCAGAAGAAAAAAAAAAATCTAGCGTAACACCAGATAAAGAAGATACTGGTATTAGGTGACACCCGGTTATATTCTCTTTTTAGACAAGTGAGGGTAAGGAGAAGATTTACTAGAGATAGTGGGGTGTACGTGTCAAATAGAACGAGTGTCCGTGTACGTATATAGCTCTGCCCTTTCCCATGACTATTATACAATAATGTACACAAATCGATAACCTCACATGGCCCATAATCCCCTTTCATTAGCAATATATGTTAACACATGCAGATTCTACCCAATAAGAGCCGTTTGATCATCCAAGGCTATATAAATCTTTTTTTTTATTTCCAATTCCTTTATCTTTCTATCTTTTTTCTTTATATTTTTTTTTTTTTTACTCTTTATTTACATTTACCTCGGTTTAACCTCGAAGCTTATTTTATCTTAACAATGTTATTTGAGTCACACCAATTTGGTAAGAAAAAAAAAACAACTCTTTTTTTTTCTTATTGTAATAATCTAATATAAAATAAAAGATACAAATACCATGCTTAATACCAAAGACAAGTCGGATAATATGCCAGCTTCCATGAAACATTACTATGATAGCGAAGACGATGACGAAACATTGGCTACAGCTATTGATGATTTATCAAGTCTACTTTTATACCCATCGCATCCTTTGATCGATACCGAACTATTCTTAGATCAAATGCAAGATCCTACAAACCCTCATATCTCTCAATGTCAAAATACTTACTTTATGGATGGCGGTGTGCGATTCATATCTGTAGGTTTCATTTACTATCTCATTATTACGTAATGTACTCATCTTTTTTTTTTACTCAGCTGCCTACATTAGGTAGCAGTAATACAAAAGCAACGTCACCTCTATCTCGTATATTCGAAGAATGGCTAGCAAATAAACTCTACAGTCATCCTAATAAGATGGTCAATTTAAATAACTATCAGCAAGATGACGATATGATGGCGATAGATGAACCCGAAGATATTTACAATGACCAATTACCAATATTAGAAGATAACATTGAATTATTATCCGAAGATATTATAAATATATTCAAATCAAGAAAAAGAGCACTAAAAGGTCTCTCCAACATTCTAATCAAGATTAGAACAGGACATGTATATACCTATCATCAATTGGAAAATGGCCAACCATTAATAACTGAAGATATGGAAGACTTTTTCCAACAGTTTCCGCTCTTTGTGGAAATCCTTATATACGCAACACAAGAAGAACACATGAACAATGAAGAAGACGATATTAACTTTTTACTGGTTGTTGAAAATACCACTTTGAATCCTGGAGATCCTTATAAAGCAATGGAAAATATTCAATTTTAATTATTAAAAAGTAGTTTATTAAGACTTGTCTTGTTTATTGAATATTTCCCAATCAGTAGCCTAGTGGCGTCCCAAAATGTCTAACTAATCTACTGAATCAAGCTAGCTCTTTTTTTTTTCTAAAAGAAAAATGACAAGAGCCCCATTCCCGACAAAAAAAAAAAGTCATGCACGGTTTTATATTATACTTTTTACAAGTCTCATCTTTATGCTACATCCGGTTTATAGTTGAGATTTGTATATGACAAGATTTTTTTTTTTTTTTAGACGACGAATTACATCATTCACTTATTTTGACATATCTTTACGACAGTTGGTACGCTAAGTTCCGATAAGATTAAATATTGAAGCACGTCATAACGTACTTTTCTTTAACATTTTCTTTTTTGTTATAAATCCAAAGGATTACTGCTTGCAAGCTGCACATGTATGCACCGCATTATCACTGGAATTTATAAGCTTTTTGATAAAGTATTATAGATGGATAATGGGCGTGTCTAATTATAGTAGTAGATAATGCGGTTACTTTGGCGTAATTAATTTATACATATATGCAAGGAGCACCCGTTGAATATCTTTCCCAAATAATACACAAGGTCCCATTTTTTTTTATCTCGTCCCTCTAAAATGGATCATGGCTCGATTGAGTAAACAGGCGTAACCTATATTCTAAGAATACTTTCACAACAATAAGTTTATCATGTAACGATCGACCTGTCTCTATGTCTCTTATCTAATGTACATATTAAGCTTAAAAGATAGTAAACACATTTTCCAAAAAGAATATGAAGCTCAAGATTGTTTTCATCTAAAAAAGCACACAGAAAAGAAAAGAAAAATCTTATCGAGAATACAATACGTTTTTTTATATGAGCGTATCTACAACAGAACAACATGTGAAGATCACTTAAGGTACCGTGCTCAACTTCATTGTATGCATTTTTTTCTCTCTCTCTTAACCACAACTAACACTAAGCCGACCATTCAAGCGCAGTGATACACACTGTCATTTGATTTAAACCAGGTGGCTTATGGAGAGATCAAAATGGATAAGAAAGACCGGGTAAAAAAAAAAAAAAAAAAAAAAAAAAAGAAAAAGAAAAGGACTAAATATTTACTTTAGAGAGCTGATAGCTTAGTGTAATGCACTTCTGACGCTTTTGACTAAAATGTCCCTTGTTTACAGGAACGGTTTTATCGCACACAAATTATGACGCTTCTAACAAATAAACAGGGTACGTCCTTGAAATCACGGTGCACGTCTTAAATACCTGACGAGCGACTGATGGGACTAAAACACGGTGCCTCCCAAACAACCGGTTCACCTCTACTTAGCAACCCAAGCCATAAACAATAATAATAAAAAAGCTGTTTTGAAATCATCCGTAGAGATATCACATTGGCTCGATTCGAATCAAGATAAACAAAATCATGTGAGTTAAGGAGACAAAAAAAAAAAAAAAAGGGAGGGAAAAACGCACTGTTGTCTTCCAGGCCAATAAAAACCCGAGGCTTTATAATATCCCTTTACATGACACGCTCCTTAATTCGGAATATCTAGTTGTACAAGAACTTCTTGGAGGGCATAAGAAAATGATACGAACTAGTGATAAAATGTGTTGTGCTGTGGAATGGTATGTGGATGCCAATCCAAATGATATATTTAGGTTATCTACGAGCATCATATTACTCTTTTTGGTATAATGCATTATTTGGATATCTGATCCACACACATTCATGATTATCGACAGGTAGCAATAATGAAAATTTGGTTGGCGGCCCAAATTACTAGCAACACAGATGTTCCAATCAAATGACCTTATTGATACCTCTGATCGCAATCTTTTAATACTTTGTAATATATTACTAAACATTCATGCTCCTTTTAATACTGATTTCAGTTTATGATTAGAAGCTAAAAGCTAGTTTCCTTTTTTTTTTTTTTTTTTTTTGATAATCGTTTCATTAAAGGAATAGCACTTCCTTAATTAAATTATGTTGTCATAGGTTGCAATTCACATCATCATGTACATGGATCTCCTTTTAGTTTTTTTCCCATTGGTACTATACTTAGTTCTTGAACCGTGCGGATATCTTAATACACTAAATAAAGGAAACTTGTGGATGGGTAATACCATAGTGTGCATAATAAGAGTAATCCTGTAAATTTAGCACAACAGACATAGTTTAAATTTTCAAGGTAAATGAAGTGTGTTACTTATAATAATAAATTTTGTACCCTACAATGCCTAATAAATGCGCTGATATGAGCCTGAAGTTTGTTATCTCTCACAAGATCGAAACTTGATTTTTTCATTTTTCTTTTTAATGTAGAACATGTTTTTGTATTAGATATAATGTTAATATATTCTCCACAATATTATTCCCTTTAAAATTTTTTAGCACAACGAATAACAGTAAAACACGCCTTTTATAAATCGGTTACTGTCAAATGATCCTAAGACCCTATTTTGTCTTAGGATAGACCCCCTTAATATCTGACCAAATATTAACTTCCTTTCATTGTAATAGTAAATTGACCATCTGGAACCTCATCAGGACTTGATAAATTAACGTGTACCATGTAGCCAAAAAAAAAATATGCATCCAATACAGTTCTTTGTCTAAATATGAACGTGAGCTTCTTTCTATTGATTACAGTGGTAAAAGTAACTTGTCCAGATCGGAGTTCAATTCTCCTCCTATTATAACCAACAAGACTGTTTATTGAATGAGTGGCGGCAATGACCCTAATGGTTGAATATATATATATGGTGTAATCATAGGCCGTACCATGTCCTACAGGGACGATGTACCTGTATACAATACTTGCCAATCGTGCGCGGGGAGTTATATAGTCAAGAAATATACTGGATATGGTAATTTATTAGAATAACAAGTAATTCAGATCCTTCTACAACATTACATTAAGCTTTGTGATAACATGTCATTTTTGGCAGATGGTAATAGTCGACATGTGGGACATGTGGTGTGGGTAGCACTATATTTGTAAGTCCCGCCACCAATTATTTAAAGAGGCCAATTCTTGATTTTTACTGTTTTTCTTTTTTATTCATTCATACACAGCAAACAGAATTATAATGACAACTTCACATTATATCACATTAGGAGTTACTGAAAAAGCAACTTCCTCTGAAATTCGTAAGGTATGAACGCGTCTTAATATTTTTATTTTATCAATGTAACTCATTTATTTTTCTTTTCTTAATAACAGGCATATTATAAATTGGTAAATACATTTTCATTCAAATAAACCGACTGCGTAGCTAACTTGTTTATAGGCTCAAACTTATCACCCTGATAAAAACCCCAATGGAGCCGAAAAGGTAAAACTTTTTTTTTTTTTTTTTTTTTATCTGTCTCCTTTCATGACATTGACTTGCCGTAGTTCAAAGAAATTTCGAACGCGTATGAGATTTTATCTGATCAGGACCAAAAAGTGGCTTATGATTTAAAAAGAAAACGCGCAACGGATTTCGATTTCGAAAGTTTTTATGCAAGTACTCCTCCTTATACCTCAAGACCACGACGCAGGACGCCAACTCCACCAGCTCCACCAACTCCACCAACTCCACCACGACCACCCAGCCCTCCACCACCACCTCCTAAGAGTAAGGCGTTGTTGATATAAAATGTGGAAACTCCGCTAACAATTTTTTTTTTATAGGATCAGACTACCACATCCACACTACTGCGGAAATCTCTTTAAAACAATCATATCTCGGCGTGAGCGCCCTCAAGGTTTACTACAACCTAAAGGTGAATTGCCAAACATGCCATGGGTAAGCAAAATGATATATATATATAAAAAAAATTAGCATGATAATAATTTTGAAATAATAGTAATGAGAATACTGCTCTCTTTACTGAGGGTTGTGTGACTTGCAAGGGTGTTGGATATGTTCAAACCCGCTTGAGTGATAATAGAAAGAAAGTATCTGTTTTATGCTCTAGCTGTGATGGAGCAGGTGTAAAAAGTTACAAAAAGAAATGCCAGACCTGTCTTGGGGCTAAAGCGACTCGTGTCAGTGTGTTGATTCCGATTGCGAAAGGCATCCATTCCGGCCACACGATCAAAGTGGAGAACTATGGCAATGTCATGCCCGACAACGTTACAAAGGGCGACTTGCTTATCAAAGTGACGGTCGAAGATAAATGGGGCTGTTTCTCGCGTCAGGGAGACACCTTACTTGCTTCCATCGATATTAAACTACGAGATGCTCTCATGGGAGTGAATCGAAAGAGAGATTTTATTAAACATATGGATGGCCGCCCATTGAATATTCAACAAACCCCCGGCACAGTGATCACACCCGGCATGGCCTTCTTTCAGAAAGGTGAAGGTATGCCCCTATTCTCTGATACAAAGGACAACAAGGGTGATCTTATCATTAAATTTAATGTTATCTTTCCTGCACACATCAACATTCCCAAGGATTCATACGTTCGAGATGAAATTGATATTATGTTCGAAACGGAGGAAGAACGTGCGATCCGAGAGAACACGATTGTTATCGAAGATGACGAAGACCAAGATGATGATATTAGTTCACGAGACGGAGATACCAATGAAGAAGGGGATATATCTGTAGATAGTACCGATGGCGCTCAGAACGAGGCCCATAGTTTAGGAGACGACAGTGAAGATGAACTGGTATCAGATTCTGTAAACGATCCTTATGACGATACAGAAGCCCAGTTTTATGATTGTGATGATCGTAGCCACTCGGATTCAGGAAGCTCATACTCTCATTACAACGTACACGAAATCGTTGATAGTGACAATTAAGATACTTGAAAAAAGTCCATCAGTATTGAATATGATATGTATATATGAAACGAAGAAATGTTTTTGGTAATTCAACAAACCATACCCATACATGAGCGTCATGCCTCGTATGGAAAGTATTGTGATTTCTAATGGCATTAGTAACACACAGTAGTCAATCAACAACAATTGATTGACGATTAATTAAAAATAGTTTGTGCATTGGGGACAGTCTTGGGAATAAGTGAGTGGGGGGGGATGGGATACGCTTAATTTTTCATTGTCTTTGTTTTGAGTTCCATATATCAGACTTTTCGTTCACTATTTTGCCTTACTTGTACCAACTATGCATTTTTATTGTTACTACGTAACTACTCAGATGTTTGCGTTAAAGAGAGTATATATGTTTAATACGATTACACTTCAGTTATTGAGCGGACCAATTCATTCCTTGATACGACTGAGATTTTAATTATTTGAGGGACAATACAGTTTTTACACTTAAACTTACTTTTTTTTTTAGATCCGTATATAAGCCATTTGAGAACATTTTACTTTATTGGATTGTCATATTTTGAAGCCCTTGCAAGCTATTTTTTATCATTATTAATAATACAGTGCAATGTCAGATTTACTATTATCTACTTTCTTATTTTAAATTCTGATTACTGTCAATAATGCAAGTTTTTTTAAATACTGTGGCCATCTATGATCTGTGTTAACCACACAGAAAAAACATGAATGTGAGTTATGGACAGTCTCGTATAGGGTACTAGGGTTGGAAGCGGTTTTGAGCTTCCCCCAAGGCGCGGGCAATGTAATGTAATCTTTTTTCAAGTCAATTTCCTACCTAGTAATGTTTATCTTAATTTTTTTTCAGTCTGGGATCACTCCTCCGAGGTTTTTTTTTTTCAATGCTAAATGAAAAATGAAAGACCAAGTTATTTTTTTACCTTGTTCATGCATCATGCAAGCTAGAGGGCGGTTATTTGAAGGATCGTAACTCATTTTGGTAAAACCTTTATTTTTGTGATAAAATAATCTTTATGACCTCAATATACCTACAAGACCTCCTCCTATATTTTATGGACAATCCTTTTGGTATACCATAGCTTCTTAACGAATCCCACCCCAACTTTTACACTTAAAGCTATCTAGAATAAGGTCTGAATAATACATACTTGCTGTCTCTCCTTACAATCGGGGTTTTTTCTTCTAGTGACCACCTTTTTCGAAGTTACTTTAAGTTTGGTAGAAATTCAGTTATTTCACTTTCTTTTTATTTTCTTTGCTGAAATAAGAAATCAAAAATGGTAGTCGTTTCACATTACACTACCTTAGGAGTACCCATATACGCAACCAAAAGGGAAATCCGTAAGGTATGAAGACTTATATTTGAAAAGAAAAATCTATATTGATAGCTTGTCTTTTTTGTTGTTGAATTGAATAGGCTTATCATAAATTGGTAAATGTGGTTTCCTTTTTATCAATAAAAGATGGGACACTTAAGCACACTTGAATAGGCACTCATTTACCACCCAGATAAAAATACGGAAGGCACCGAAAAGGTAGTCATATACACATCATAAAGTCTTTTTGGATAGCAATACTGACTTTTTGTTGTTTAAATGATAGTTCCAAGAAATTACTAATGCGTTCGAGGTCCTCTCTGATCCTGAAAAGAGATTTATTTATGACTGCAAAAATAACCCTCCAAATCCAACAACAGACGGTAAATTAAAATATAAATATGTAAGACTGAATACTAAAAAAAAAAAAAAAAAAAAAAAATGCGTAGAATCGGAATATGACATTCATACATCAGCCAATATAACACTGGCCCAAGCTTATACAGGTGTATATGGGTTGACAGTCTCTTACACTATGAAAACGAATTGTTTGAAATGTTACGGGTAAAAAGAAAAAAAAATTACTTTACTAATTGATGACGAGTATATTAATTCTTAAAGCCTTTTAGTATTAAAATTAATGTAAAGATGCCCCAAGTCTGCAAAGCATGCGACAATACGGGTCGCTTTGCGACAAGTACAAACAAAAAAAAAAAAAGAAAGTATGTATCGATTGTGTTGAATGCAATGGTACGGGTTCCATAAACTGCTTTGCCGAATGCCCTTACTGTCAGGGACTCGAAATGACTAAAACCAGTGCTTTTATACAAATCCCAAAAGGCATAGCGAACAAACATCAATTAAAATACTACAACCTTGGTAACTATCTACCCGATAATACAACTAGAGGATCCTTATATGTCACAGCAATTGTTGAAAACGAAAGTGGTTATTTTAGGCGTATAGGTGATGATCTATACGCACTTGTCAATGTTTACCTGAGAGATGCTTTGATGGGGGTGGATTTGAATAAAACAATTAAACATCTTGATGGCAGTCCCCTCATTATCGGTCTAGAAGAGGGTGTGGTGATAACGCCTGGAATGACATTAGTAAAAAAAAACGAAGGCATGCCAATTTACAGTGAAACCAACAGCCAAAGAGGAGATCTATATATCACCTTTGAAGTCAAATTCCCCACAACGATCAACATCCCCAAGAGTAAAAAAGTGAGAGAGGGTATCGATCTCATGTTTGAAGCAGGAGAAAAAGAGGCAATGCAATCAATGTAGTCGGAGATGCAAAAGAAAGAGAAATACACAATTTGAACTCGACGATCATACACAAAAAAAAAAAAAAAAAAAAAATTAGTTCAATGCCTAACATTTGATTAATAAAGTAAATCTCAATAGTTATCTCTCCATTTTTAAAAAAAATGTAGCAGAAAATTGCAGTGTTGATCACACATCATAGGTATTTAAATAGGTATCGCGATATCTCATCCTCACAACAATGGGCATATTGCTTCTTTTCTCTTTTTTTAAGCCCATCATTACCCTTACTTGCCATTATAAATAAAACAAATACCTTGTTTATACTCTTTTTTCCATCTTTATTACGCTTCCATTAAATTGGGCGTTATACTTTCAAATTGTCCAATAAAGGTTCATTTAATTGCAAAAAGGGTCTTACTTAAAACGTGATACAGTGCGCAGTTCAAATCCCGAGACTGTGTTTTAAAAAAAATAAAAAGAGGTCAATTTGATTTTTACTGTTTTTATCTTTCAAACATTCAAAAAAACAGCATTAACACCATGTTTGTCTCCCATTATACAACCTTAGGTATAAACAAGTCAGCTACTTCCTCTGAAATCCGCAAGGTAAATACGCGTTTTTATTATTTGACATTTCAAACCCTCCCTTTTTTTTCTTCTGGAGAGGCATAAATAGAACGCGATTCTAACCGTATATTGTTTCTTTGAAATAAAATTAGGCTTATCACAAATTGGTAACTATAGAAATTGTTTCTTGAACGAAAAAAAAGATGTATAATTATTAATTTGATAAATTTTTTTTTTGTATAGGCGCAAACTTATCACCCGGATAAAAACCCTAACGGGCTTGAAAAGGTAATTCCCACACCTCGATAACAGTAACAAATATTTTAACCCTCATGCATAGTTTAAGGAAATCGTCAACGCTTATGATATTCTTTCTGATGCTGCAAAGAAGCTTGCTTACGACCAGACGAGAGAAGCGTCGTCGTTTTTTAGGGCACCCAAAGCTCCTGAAGCGCCTAAATATCCTCCGCCTCCACCAGCATCCGCAGTAAAAAGTAAGACACAATATATATATATAAATAATATAAAAGAGTAAATCTGACAATTTCTCTATACAGAGTCGGATTTCAATATTCGCACTTCCACCAAGATTTCGTTAAAGCAAGCTTACATTGGTGTTACAGTCGATGTTTGGTACAACATGAGGGTGAGCTGTCAAGCTTGTCATGGGTAAAGTATTTAAAAATAAAAATAAAAATAAACACCCATATTCATATTTCTTTTTCTTCTTTAGTCAAACAAATAAGTACCAATCAATTAAAATATGCGGAGGTTGCCGTGGTACAGGCCGAATGAACTTGTTTACATCGGTGCCAAATTGTCCTGACTGTGACGGAAAGGGTACTAAAGTCAGTTTAATTAAATGCCCCATATGTAAGGAAGCCACAACACGATCAAAATTAAGCATCCAAATTCCAAAGGGAGTCCGTCATAATCAATCTCTCACTTACTTTAGCAATGGTGACTATTTGCCTGACAGAACAGCCAGAGGTGATTTAATCGTTCAAATAATTATGGAAGACGGGGACGGTATCTTCAAACGTCAAGGCGATGATTTATATGCAACGGTAGAAATTACTTTGAAGGATGCAATGATGGGTATTCAACCTGGTCATTGTAACTTAAATCATTTGGATGGTCGTCCACTCCATATGAAACAAGCCCCAGGTATGGTGATTTCGCCTGGCACAAAAATCATACATAAATATGAGGGTATGCCGGTCTATATGAAACCCGACTTCAAAAAGGGAGACCTTCATATTACATTCAAAGTGGTGTTCCCAACTACGATTCATTTACCCCAGTCACAGTATGATATTGACTGTGTAAATCGTCTCTTTGAAACGGACGCCGAACGTAGAAAGAGAGAAGAAAATACAGCAAAAAAAGTCGATAAAGATCTCAGTCGGGACGATGAAAGGGCTAATTTACAAGAATTATTGTCAAATGCATTGAATATTCTCAAACTTCAAGATCAAAACGAAAAAGGAAGCGAAGAGTGGAAAGAGAAGCAAAGATTAGCAGAGAAAGAAAAACAAATTAAGGAACAGAAAGAAAGAGAGATCAAGGCAGATCTAGAAAGACAATTAAAAGAAGAGAAGGAACGACATTTAAAAGAAGAAAAAGAATGGCGATTAAAAGCAGAGAAAGAACGACAATCGTTAGAAGAGAAAGAAAGACGAATCAAGGAGGAGAGAGAGCAATACATTAAAGCTGAACAAGAGCAAAGAGCAAGAGCTGAACAAGAGCAAAGAGCAAGAGCTGAACAAGAGCAAAGAGCAAGAGCAGAACAAGAGCAAAGTTTAAGATCAGAACTAGAGCAACGTTTAAAAGCAGAAAGAGACCGAAGAATAAAAGCAGAATATGAGCACAGAATCAACGCTGAACAAGGGCAAAGATTGAAAGCAAAACTCGAGCAAAAGATCAAGGCGGAAAGAGACCTTCGACTAAAGGCAGAACGAGAGCACAGAATAAAAGCAGAACGGGAGCAAATATTAAGAGCAGAACAAGAACAAATAATAAAGGCAGCAAAAGACCAAATATTAAGGGTAAAGCAAGAGCAAAGAATAAAGGCAGAAAGAGACAAGATATTAAGGCATGAACACGAGCAGCAGATCAGAGCTGAAGTAGCGCGACAAATATATGCTGAGATAGAACGACAAAGGAGAGCAGAGGAGAAAAGAATGATGGAAGAAATGGCTAGGCATGATTTATGTAAACGCAAGCGTTGTATGGAGCCTGAGTCTGAAGGGGATGATTACAGAAGGAAAAAATGAAAACTTTGTTACACGCATTAGGGCTGATTTTTAAATTTTATTCACAATACGTTTATGTCAAATAAACTTTACTATTTTTCGAGCATCACCGTGATGGACTGAGCGATAACCATTAAACGGTAACACACAGTAAAAAAAGAAAAGAAAGGTAAAACGTCATAATGTCCTGTTACAGAAAAATAAGCCATAAAGTGTTTTTCATTGGTGTTCCTAGCTTCATCAGATACATGATTGGTTCACGGTCGCTCCCCGCATTTTGAAGTCCCGGATTACCTATAAAAAGATTTGGCATGTTGACTTTTTTGGATTTCCTCATTTTGTTTTACTCTACAACTAAATGACCAACTCACTTTACTCAACATTAGGTGTTAATGAAAAAGCTAATCCTCCTCAGATTCGTCAGGTAAGAGCCACATGTACTTTGAAAAAGAGTTTTTATAACGAAAATAACACACCAATCTGTCGGTTCAAAAAATAGGCTTTTCTTGCGTTGGTAACAGACAATTTAATATTTTTTTTATCCAAACATGATGATTGTTTACTAATTTAAAGACATAGACCCAGTCTTATAATTCTGACAATTCCGAAAAGGTAACACGTTTTTTTTTTTGTGATTGATGTGGCGGAAATAGTCATAGTAATCTGTCTTGTAAAATATCAAGTTCAAGGAAATCAGTGATGCGTATTGCATTCTTTCGGATACTCACAAAAGATCAGCCTATGATTTAGAAAGAAAAAAAGCCATTGCTAACACCTCTGAACACTCACAATCAACATCCACCGAAAATGCTACACAAGTAGGCGCTCCTGTATCCAAAGCAGCCGCAGTAGCAAATGCAGCCGCAGCAGCAGCAGCGGCAGAGGCAGCAGCAGCTATAGCGGAATCCAAAGCAGCAGAAGCGGCAGCAGCCGTATCAAAAGCAGTAGCAGCAGAAGCAGCAGCAAAAGCAAAAGCAGCAGCGGCAGCGGCTATTAACAGTATGCAATTTTTATGATGTTCATTTACGTATATCTGACATGCGACTCACTCATTTGATTTTTTTTTCTTATAAAAAAAAAGGATCTGATTACCGAATTTTTACTTCGGTTAAGATTACCTTAGCTCAAGCATTTACGGGTGTTGCATCTTTTTCAATTTCGTACGACCAAAAGATAGTCTGCCAATCTTGTCAAGGGTAAGTTAACAACAACAATACAAAAAGTAAGAAATAGGGATTCGTATTCATGCTACTTTTTTTTCTAATACAAGACAAACATGTGCCTCAAAACCTATCTGTGAACCTTGCGAGGGATTAGGCCGTGTTTCAGCTCTTGAAAAACATATCACGCTTTGTCCAAAATGTAATGGCACAGGCTATAAAAAGGGAGCTCCGAAATGTCAGACATGTAAAGGAGTAGTCACTACGCGTGCTATCCACCAAAATGTGACGATTCCAAAAGGCTTGGTTGATAATCAAGAATATATTATCGCTAACAAAGGTGAGTTTTTACCGGATGGAACACAAGGTGATTTAATACTACAAATGCAAGTGGAACAAGCAAGTGGAAACTTCCAGATATTCGCTAAAGGCTTGCATGTTAATTACGAAGTCAGCTTAAAGGATGCCATTATGGGTATTCCTAGGGAACATGCACTTATTCACTTGGATGGTCATCCTTTATATTATAAGCAAGCTCCTGGGGCGGTCATTGCTCCTAATAGTCACCGTTTATTCCCCAATTGGGGAATGCCTATATATAATGATCCAAATGGCGCTCGTGGGGATCTTTTTGTCACATTTAAAGTGATCTTTCCTGCCAACATTTGTCTTCCAAATTCTCAGTATGTCATTGACGGTATCCATCAAATGTTTGAGACCGAAGCGGAGCGTAAATCCAGAGAAACAGTTCTTACTCGCCATCAAGAAAGAACTAACGTAAAAGAACTATTATCAAAGGCCCTTGATATTCTCGGTCAAGATTGTAGTAATAAAAGAAAAAGATGATAATAAATAAATTAATTTGTAGAATAAAGTTTCATTGTCACATATGTAACAGTGTTGGGATGATAAATTTATGCCTATTATTGCCTATGCATTGCGTTACACAACAAATGCAATAAGCTGGTTTTTAAATGCAAGCAGTAAGAAAAAAAGTGTCAGTAGAGTGGCACAGCCACACGAGGGAGCCACTGTATGGAGATTATATAAACACATCCCCCTCCTTTGCACAGTCACGCAGAAAACGTGGGAGAGAAGGGGAGCCGTACCAAAAAAAATTAAGCAGTGCATTGGGTGGTTGGGGGCTGATCCTTTTTTTTTTCGTTCTCTTCCCCTTTTCATACACTCTCTTTCTCTCTCTTTTTTTTCTATATATAGTTAATGACCAATGCACTAGATGAGACTTCACATCAGGTGTTGTATACCAATGCTCAACCTATAAAGATTAACGTAAGTCTGGAGGCTGTTTCAAATATAAAGAAATAAACTAAAAATAATTTGTTGTTTGTAGCCGAAACAAACTCGTAAAACACAAAAAAATGTCAATAGAGAAGAGAGTAAATCTGGATTAATTTGTTATTATTTGAATAGAGCATGGACCATCCTCACCTGAATTCAATAAAGGCATGCTAAGGGAAAAATTAAATTGAATTGCATGAATAATATCTTTTTCTTTATAGAATCCATGTTTATATGTGACGATAGTGTATCTCAATATTCGATCGAAGGCTACCATGGTGACATGAATGATGATTCAACCGAAAAATCTCATAGGTAAAGTAAAATAATAGAGGGGATTCCTCATTTGGGGATTTATATAAATTAATCTATTTTTGGTGGGGTTACAGGAAACAAAAAAAGGGCTTTTTCGAGCGTATGGGGCTCAAGAAAAAGACCCCACAATATACGACCACCGTCTTGGAAGAACAACCTCAATTATCCGACGAAGAAGAAGAAGATGACGATGAAGAAGAAAGTTGTTCTTCTATTTCATCTGTAGAAGAAGATATTGCCCCACCCGTCAGTATATCATCTGCTCCCACTGTCATATCACATCATGATGGCAAATATATCAAGACAAAGACCAAACACAAGAAATACAGTCAGGAGTTTGCTCGTCTCATGCTGGCACAAACCATCAATACTTCATACAACGAACAGACGGATCATCAACATCGTCGTATGTCGTCCGATTCATCAGCAGAGCCTAACCCTAATCATCCTTATGGTGCTATCTGGGCATTACGCTTTAGTAAAGATGGAAAATACTTGGCTTCTGCTGGTCAGAGTTGTGTTGTTCTTCTCTGGAAATTACTGTTGAATGGAGAGGAATCCATCAAAGTATTGGATGAAGCACCCCATATGGAATATAAGGGTCATACAGCAGATATCCTCGATCTTGCGTGGTCTAAGGTAAATTGTGCTTTTAAAGCAAGAGAGAAAGAGATATTGATGAAATGTAGAACAATTTTTTACTTTCTAGTTCCATGGATAATACAGTGAGGTACATAATGAAAATGACTTTTTTTTTATGTGGGAATAAGATGATTGAACAAGCACTATAGATTGTGGCACACCACACAAAAAGATTGTCTCTGTGTATTCCAACATTTGAATTTCGTTACTGCCATTGATTTCCATCCTAAGGTAAGCAATTAAGAGAAACCTAGGTAACTTTAATATCCATGCTCAACACACATGTAAAAAAAAAAAAAAAAAAGGACGATCGATTTTTCTTGTCAGGCTCGATGGATGGAAGAATTCGTATATGGAGTATTCCCGAAAAACGAGTGGCGTTTTGGAACGAAATTCCCGACAACAAATTAGCCACAGCAGTTGCTTTTACGCTCGATGGTAAAACCGTCATTGCAGGTTCGCACGACGGTCATTGTTATTTCTTTGAAACCCAAAGCTTAAAATATAACACACAAATTTCCGTCATGAACGATACTTCCAGTAACAGAAACGCATCATCTAAGAAAGGCCCGAAAATCACAGGAATTGAAGTCATGCCCGGTTTACCACCTGGCGATGAAAAAATATTGATCACCAGTAATGATTCTCGTGTACGATTGTATAATATGAAGGATAAGAGTTTGATGTTTAAGTATAAGGGCGTGGAAAATACCGCGTTACAGATCAAGGCCACGTTTAGTGATGACGGAAGATACATCATTAGTGGATCTGAGGATTGTCATACTTATATTTGGCGAACGGAACAATCCAGTGTCAACTCTCCTTTACATCATTTACAAGAAACCAGAAATAAAGCCATGTCAGCGTTGGGACATGTAGGCGAATCCACCCTAAGTGGCTTTGGTAGCTTCGATAGCCCATCACCGCAACAACAAACACGGATATCCAAATGGCTTAAAAGACGAGGAGGAGGGGATGATCATCATCATCATGCCAGCAACAAGATTCGTAGTCGAACCGAGTACTTTGAATCACATGACCACGTGGTCACCAGTAGTATTTTTGCCCCAACAAAGACACGACAATGGGTGGCGAAATCACGACAAGATACCATTTATAATAACACACCCATTAATTTGCGTCGCATGTCTACAGCCAGTAGTGGGGGATCGCTTTTATTTAATGAAGAAGAGGTCTATCCGGATGGACATATCATCATCACTGCAGATTACCGTGGTTTGATTAAAGTATGGCGTATTGATTCGGGGTCCTATACCAATCATGCAACCATTGATACCCAGACATCATTACTTTCTGAATCTGCCACTTTTAAACCTTCCTCTCCCAAAGTGAAAAGAAACTTTGGTGGTTTATTTGGTGCACGAAATAATAAAAATTGATATATCAAACACCAATCCACAGATAGATAATGTGCATGTATATATATATCTCGTATCTATACTTGTTGACAATAGACTATTTTGATCGGTAGCTTCATACATGCGGCTTGTCTATGATACATAATGTGGACCTTAAAGTCTATTTGAGGAGACTTATAATGCTGGCGTGGAATAAATACTGTCCTTTCTTAATTAAGTCTTGTCGATGATTTTCCTAGTCTTGTAAGAAATGATTTAAGTTTTTTTAAAGCTGATCCCAGTGTTTTTGAAGCTGATCCAAATTTAGTTTAAGGTGATTCCACTCTTGTTGAAGGTAAAGTCATTTTGTAAGTATAATTTGATGGTAAACCCAATCAAAACATAAAGTCGACCCTTAGATCCTAAATCAAAAAGCCAGAAAAAAGATGATATGTCAACGTGTGTTTAAGTGACACTTTTATATTAAAATGTGGTACTGCTAATAAACAATTAGGTGGTCAAAAAATAGGGCAAAGAAAGAAAGTACGGATGTGTAGACATTTCCCTCATTAACAGTGACATCTTATTATCTTTCTAATAAAACATCCACTTTATACAGTTGTCGTTCTTCATCCTTTTTTTTTTGTTTATGTTTTTTTTTTAGTTTATGAAAAAAATAATATATATGTATATAGATACAGGGGTTCTTCTATTTGCACAACATAGCAATCAAAGCACCACCAACACTTCCTCCTTCAGAAGCCACCTCTAATGTGATCTTGCTACTGAATTCTTTACCGTACCATTCCTCCAGTGCACGTCGCACGCGTCTGTCCATACCAGGGTAGAATTCATAGGTGGATCCATTGATACCCACGACGATATTGTCCTTGAGGTTTTGTTGATCCAATAAAGAGATGATAGAGACAGCGGCTAAATAAGCGGACCGTGTAGCGACGATACGACAGATACGCTTCAGGATGGCGATATCGTTTGAGGTGGGGGTATTAACACAATTAAAGTTAGACATGACCTCGAGCGATTTAATGGGATCATCACTTTCCAAGGTACTCATGTAAATGGTAGGGAAAGACCAAGCTTCATTAAATCCTTCGGGTACATGGCCCTCGAATAATTCACCAGCCAAGATAAAGTCCATAGCAATCAAACGCGTGAGTTCACCCATGTAAGCACCGGATAACATCTTTTCATAGAGTTGGAATAAAGGCTGGCTGTGAGAGAGATCAAGGGTTAAATCATACCCGGTTAAAGGTAAATAAGCCTCTGTACCAAAGATATCAATCTCGGTATTGATTAACATTTCGGTACCGGCGGGGTATTTGGCTCGGATGCTGGGGTCTAACTTTGTAATCTTACTGATATCTTCAGGGTAAGCAGCATTGATACCTGTGGCAAAGATCAAACCAATACGACATTTTGGGTTGGTATACGCGTGAGCCACCAATGTGCCCACTGTATCATTCAAGATGGCAGTCACTTTGACATTCAAGCTCTATGTAGGAAATTAGTATGCATGTTTCCCACACTATTTTTTTTTTTTTTTAAAAAAAAAACTCTTACTTTGCGCTTGAAGGCTTCATGAAACATATCTGCAAGATCACGACCTTCAGTATTTGATAGAGTGAATCCCTTTCCCATTCTAAGAATTGTACCACGATCTACCGCTGTTTGACTTAATAAAGAGAAGATATTAGTAAGGAGGACAGCTATGAAAATAAAAATGATGTTTACGTTACTCAACAGGGAAACTCCAACAGACACCTAAAGCAAGTGTTTCCTTTCCAGAGACTTGGTCTTGAGAAAAGAGATGTTTTGCCTGCACAGTAATGAGATGGTGAATGGCGTCTGCGATCCAGTCAAAGAAGAGAGCGCCTTCACCTGTTTTAAGCTCGGTAGTGGGTTTACGCTTTAATTCGAGTACAGTGGATTTACCAGCACCTTTTAATTCAACAGCAGCGATACGTAAATTAGTGCCTCCCAAATCCAACGAAAGAAAAGTTCCGGTCTCATGGCCCGTTGGCATCTTTGTGACGAATGAAGGAATCATGGTAGCCAAACCTTTAGAAGGTGTCTTTAAACCCGTTTTGTACTCTTGGTTAAACCCTTCCACAATAGGCGCAAGTTGTTGCTTTGTCAGTAAAAAATCCTTTTCAATTGATTGGAAAATCGTATCCGTCGTCATATTTGCGTTTAAGAGAAGAAAAAAAAAAGGGAAAAGAAAAGAAAAATAAAGGGCCCTTTTTTTTTTTTTTTTTTGTGCGTGATATGTGTGTGTGTAAAAGGACCCCGTTTTATAAGAGCCAATGAAGTTGCTTCGGGGAAATAACCCAATGTTATTTGTTCCACCCTGGACCCTGACCCTGAATAACGATTGGTCTGCTACCCTTCTTATGTAAGGAAAAAAGGTCCTCTTTTTCGGCTGAGCACCAACCTTAATTGTTTTTTCCTTTTGTACTTTCAATTTCAGACCAATGAAAGCAATTGTTATCCGGGTAAAAAAGAGGTTCCTGTCCACAGAGTAGCCTATTCAGTCAAAGCTACTGTTTGGTGCTAGTCATAGACCGAGAAGACGTCCTGTGGATAAAGTGTCCAAGCGATGGTTTTTTTTTCTGGTTCATTACTTTAAGGGTACTATAGTGATGGCGGCATGAAACCATAATAATCTTATCATGAGCAATGATGGATTTATTAATTCTAAAATTAGGCTTATTTCTATTTAGAGAGCGCTCCCATAAGGGTATCATATAAAAAGCATGATCGGGCAGTCCGCTCGTAAGCTAAAAATCATCAAAATAGCCTTCATTCTATGTGATTACATGTAATACATACAAGTAGTTATAATAAAACTTTTTATATAACTTGTTTATGCGAATAATGGAAAAAAAAAATGAAAGAAGTCCCGTGTGCTACTGATGACGATTTAACAAACAGGGTCATTAAACAAAAGGGTTCGAATTCCAATATTCCCCGGTATTCGCATTAAATACCATCGCTGACCCTTCCTCACGAATTAATACTCATCCGATTAGCCATACGTCGTTGCATGTTCGTACTCAATTTCAATATCGTCGGAATCAATTATTTCATTACTATCAAAGATGATGGACGAAGGAGCTCTTGAAACGGAACAGTCCCCTCGAGGAGGGTGTAATTGACGCGGGCTTGAGTTTCTCATTTGTAGATCGATTTATCACTGGACGTTTGAGTTTAAGCGGGAGAAAAAGAGAACTTTAATTTACTCAAATTTCAAGACTAGAACCTCACTTTTTGAGTCGAAATGTAATACCTTGTACTTTTAAAATCTTTGTCCAAGGGACTTCACCGAATAACGATCGTCGACTTTCGTCGGCTTCATCGGAGTTGGTATCCATTTTACTCGAGAGCCCCGCAGACCATCGTCTTGAGCTGTGGTAAGCCCATAATTGTTCCTCAATGACACAGTTAAATGCATCCCGTTGAAGATTTTCCCGCCAACACAGTAAAACAAGCAATAAGCACGAGCGAAAAGATTTGGTCAACTACTATTTAAATTGTATACTCACCTATTGCTAAGCGACAGAAATTGAACGACAGAACAACTTTTGGCAAAAGGAAAAAATGAGGCACAAAATTGGGGACACTTATGTATAAGCCAACATGGATATTAAAGCAATTTTTGGTAAGACAAGAAACTATTTACTCTACCCATTTTATTTTACCTGCAATAAGCAGCCATTCATCTGTGAGTGTCTAGTCTGTACTTCAAATACATTACTTTTGGTCATACCAAAGAATACGCTTTCCTTGGGGACAGCCAATTTTTTACTTAATTTGCGACAACCAAAGTGCATGTAGTCACAACGTAAGATATAAGGTATTTCACCCTAATTCTTAAGGCTCGGAAGCAAAAATGTAGAACAAAAAAAAACAATGTAAAAACTACGGGTAAACATATATTTTGATCTACTTATGCTTCTCATGACATTTAAGTTACTACATGTTTATTGTGTGCTCGTTTGATCTTAACTTTCGGCAGAAATATTAGGATAAAGTCCAAACGAGACGTTGAAAGTAAACATTAAGTTATATAGACTTCTTTACCTCAGCTAAAATATCTAATCCTACATTATGACTACGAGGTAACGCTACCGTTGACGCTCAGCAAAAAAATAGATTCCATAACACCTTGGTTGCCCTTGAGAAAAAATTGGCTTGGATACCTGTTTATTATTACTAAAGCCAATATGATAAAGCATATCTTTGAAGACCACATTTAGGTTCTTTTATAGAGTTGAAAAGACGCAAACGAGACGAATTGGTTGAAATAGTATGGATAAATTGATTTAGTGATAATGTATAAACAATTCTCTGAGTCTCTATCTTTATCACAAATGATTTATATTTAGTACGGGTGGTATACTTTGAATACACATGCGAGTGCAAGCCTAACTTTAGAAGGAAAAAAAAAATTATGACCAGAATATTTTATCCGACTATTTACAAAGCTAAGCTTGTGTATCTTTCGGTTTACAAAAGAAAAAAGAAGTGACACGGAACAAAAAATGTTTGTTCTTACAAAATATTTCTAATACAGATATATTTAACTTTTTTTTTGTAAATAATGCTACCATGCTACAAATTTTGCTACTCCACCAGACTTCCGATGGAAGGGTATGCACGTGATACAAAGACTTCCTCGTACCATTTTGTTTGTCATCAGGTTTTTATTTTTTTATTATGTGAGGTTTGCTTTGCAATTGTGCATGTAAAGGCAATTATTGCAATGTTTGTTAATAATACACATCATTACCAGCTTTATATTTTTTTTCAGCGATTCACATCATATTATAAGTAAACATGCACCTAAATACTTAATAGCATACAGCTTAGCATTTCTCTCTGTTACGCACAGCTAGCTTTGTATCCAAACGCTTCGAGGCCGGAATTTTATTTATTTAAGTTATACGCCGCAGCTTGTTACGGTAACATTTATAATATTCTGATAATTGCTATATTTGTGTGTCAAAGGATAAAAACTCCAGTTTTAATAGTATGTAGTGTAACAACATCTTTGTTCATAAGAGGTCGTACTGATTTCCAACTTGTTTTTTTTTGTATAAGTTTTAATTGTTCACCTGTTTTGTATTTCAATGGTAGCTGTTTAAAAGTAGCATAAAAATATGACTGCTTCGGTTCTTTAAAGTTACATCAACAAGACCCAAAAGCAAAGTTGGTCAGTACTTTCGTGTTGTAATCCATGCATTTATAAAATCTACACAATAGTGAGGATATAGCATCAAAAAGTATCACCACATGAAAAAAATTTAGATGCTGCGCTATTGTCTAATACTGTAACAGTCATCTTGACTCAGACAATGTTACTCCAGGCCGCACCACAAAAGTAGGCGTGGTATTGTTCCCAACAAGAAAGGCAACGAATCAATTTTTATGATTATGGTAATTTGGGTGCTTGACTGTGTTCAATTTGGAAGATTATGTGGCACTGGGGTGACACCTAACATTTATTTTTCACATGAATGGACAGTCATGTATGCGTGCTATTGTTTACAACTGCTATTTAATACATCTTAAAGTGACAGATCATAGCATTTTATATTTGAGTGCTTTTTTTTAACACATAGGCCAATTTATTCTACTTTAGAATTACGTGATCATTAGCTTGTATGCTGATACCGATTCCTTGTTGTAAGACAATCTAAATATCTGTATTCATTTGTATAACAGTTACTCATTAGTGAAACTAGGGATACAAATAGAATTCTTTGATTGAATTCTTTGATTTGATCCTTGCTTTTCTATAAATACAGCGATTTATTATTCTCCATTTTTTTTTTTGAGTATCCTCTATTACCTATTTACACAATGCTTAAATATATCACATTATTAATGCTCTTGGCTACAACGGTGCTTGCTGACTTGTCACTGAAACCTACTTCAGAGACGGAGCTTTCCAGCTGTTTCCAATGTCCTGGTGAAAACAACCGCTGTTATCTTTTCAATGCAGACAAGAAGCAAGCATGTTTAAAAGAGAGTAATGGAAGCACCATCACCGATTCATGCACTTCAGAAAATACTTTCTTCGACTATAAAAATAACAATTATACTATGAAGCCGGAATTCGTTAATGGAAACTGTCAAATCACATTAGGTGTACCTATTACTGGTCAAGGCCTATCTGGAACATTTTGCCAATCGACTGATAATAAGATGGTTACGCTCTGTTTGGTTCACTTGGAAAAGAATAGCGCATCAACGCCTGTTATCCCTAGCTTGGAAAGCGGCTCTCCCCCTTCTATCAATTCTGTTGCTGCATCCAGTGCTACTGCCTTGGAATTCTTCTTGCCCTGTGTGTTCTTAACATTATTGGCAGCTTTGTCATTTATTTAATTTATAATAAAAAGTATCTAATTTAATGCTCTCTGATAAAGTTCAAGTGGCGGGAAAAGAGAACAAAAAAAAAAAAAAAAAAAAAAATAGGTGGGTTGGGCTTTTATTTGCAAATGAAAGCTATGTTATGTCAGGATGAATGGATATAATAGAAATTTAGCAGTGATATTCTTTTTTCATTTGGTGATTGATTTAACTTTGAATCATACATTATTACACAAACTGTTTATATCAGAAATCACTACCAATAATGTTAAAGCATGCCAATGGTGGTAAGGCCAAAGATTTATGAAAATGAATCATGCTCGAAAATGCTTACAAGGTATCAAATCTGAAAGTTTCCTCTTACAATAATCACCCGATTTAAGGGTGACAGATTTTTTTTTTTTTGGAAATTGCACCCTTATATCACGAAAATACCCTTAAATTGAAAAGCAAGACTACTTGATAACAAATATCACAAAGGCACAATCATTTATAAAACATGATCATTACTGCGAAAAAAAAACAAATGTTCGGATGTTTAATACAAAACAGAAATCACGGTAAGATCTGCAAACATTGAGGATGTTTATATTATCGGGTCTCTTAGGGACAGCCAAATTTTCTTAGGGACAGCCAGGGTGCACGTAGTCGTAATGTTGGGATTATGATACTTTAATAGATATCAAGAGGTCAATAGAACTTAATAACTTGAAATATATACACATTTATCACAACTAACATAGTTTAAACCAGTATATGTATTTTAAAGCTAACTTTCAGCTTCTCGTTTGGACTTAACATTAATATTTCTGCGTAAGATTTAATTCAAACGAGCTCAAAGGCGAAAGAGTGATAATAGAATTGTCAAACTAAGTATAAATCGTTTGATGTACATTTATTTGTGATTTTTACATTGTTTTTGGATTATATATCCTTGTTCCCATGTCTACATAACATCCAAACTATAGATCTTACGTTGCGACTACGTGCACTTTGGCTGTCCCGAAGGAAAAATTGGCTGTCCCTAAGAAAAGCGAACAATTATGTATAAGCCAACATGGATATTGAGGCAATTTTTGGTAAGACAAGAAACTATTTACTCTACCCATTTTATTTTACCTGCAATAAGCAGCCATTCATCTGTGAGTGTCTAGTCTGTACTTCAAATACATTACTTTTGGTCATACCAAAGAATACGCTTTCCTTGGGGACAGCCAATTTTTTACTTAATTTGCGACAACCAAAGTGCATGTAGTCACAACGTAAGGTATAAGGTATTTCACCCTAATTCTTAAGGCTCGGAAGTAAAAATGTAGAACAAAAAAAAAAAAAAACAATGTAAAAACTACGGGTAAACATATTTATTGATCTACTTATGCTTCTCATGACATAAGTTACTACATGTTTATTGTGTGCTCGTTTGATCTTAACTTTCGGCAGAAATATTAGGATAAAGTCCAAACGAGACGTTGAAAGTAAGCACTAAGTTATATAGACTTCTTTATATCAGCTAAAATATCTAATCCTACATTATGACTACAAGGTGACGCTACCGTTGACGCTCAGCAAAAAAAAAAAAAAAAAAAAATAGATTCCATAACACCTTGGTTGTCCTTGAAAAAGATTGGCTTGGATACCTGTTTATTATTACTAAAGCCATAATGATAAAGCATATCTTTGAAGACCACATTTAGGTTCTTTTATAGAGTTGAAAAGACGCAAACGAGACGAATTGGTTGAAATAGTATGGATACATTGATTTAGTGATAATGTATAAACAATTTTCTGAGTCTCTATCTTTATCACAAATGATTTATATTTAGTATGGGTGGTATACTTTGAATACACATGCGAGTGCAAGCCTAACTTTAGAAGGAAAAAAAAAAAATTATGACCAGAATATTTTATCCGACTATTTACAAAGCTAAGCTTGTGTATCTTTCGGTTTACAAAAGAAAAAAGAAGTGACACGGAACAAAAAATGTTTGTTCTTACAAAATATTTCTACTACAGATATATTTAACTTTTTTTTTGTAAATAATGCTACCATGCTACAAATTTTGCTACTCCACCAGACTTCCGATGAAAGGGTATGCACGTGATACAAAGACTTCCTCGTACCATTTTGTTTGTCATCAGGTTTTTATTTTTTTATTATGTGAGGGTTGCTTTGCAGCAATTGTGCATGTAAAGGCAATTATTGCAATGTTTGTTAATGATACACATCTTTACCAGCTATATATATATATATATTCAGCGATTCATATCATATTATAAGTAAACATGCACCTAATTACTTAATAGCATACAGCTAAGCATTTCTCTCTGTTACGCACAGCTAGCTTTGTATCCAAACGCTTCGAGGCTGGAATTTTATTTATTTAAGTTATACGCCGCAGCTTCTTACGGTAACATTTATAATATTCTGATAATTGCAATATTTGTGTGTCAAAGGATAAAAACTCCAGTTTTAATAGTATGTAGTGTAACAACATCTTTGTTCATAAGAGGTCGTACTGATTTCCAACTTGTTTTTTTTTTTGTATAAGTTTTAATTGTTCACCTGTTTTGTATTTCAATGGTAGCTGTTTAAAAGTAGCATAAAAATATGACTGCTTCGGTTCTTTAAAGTTACATCAACAAGATCCAAAAGCAAAGTTGGTCAGTACTTTCGTGTTGTAATCCATGCATTTATAAAATCTACACAATAGTGAGGATATAGCATCAAAAAGTATCACCAAATGAAAAAAATTAAGATGCTGCGCCATTGTCTAATACTGTAACAGTCATCATGGCTCAGACAATGTTACTCCAGGCCGCACCACAAAAGTAGGCGTGGTATTGTTCCCAACAAGAAAGGCAACGAATCAATTTTTATGATTATGGTAATTTGGGTGCTTGACTGTGTTCAATTTGGAAGATTATGTGGCACTGGGGTGACACCTAACATTTATTTTTCACATGATTGGACAGTAATGTATGCGTGCTATTGTTTACAACTGTTATTTAATACATCTTAAAGTGACAGATCATAGCATTTTATATTTGAGTGCTTTTTAAAACACATAGGCTAATTTATTCTACTTTAGAATTACGTGATCATTAGCTTGTATGCTGATACAAATTCCTTGTTGTAAGACAATCTAAATATCTGAATTCATTTGTATAACAGTTACTCATTAGTGAAACTAGGCATACAAATAGAATTCTTTGAATTCTTTGATTTGATCCTTGCTTTTCTATAAATACAGCGATTTATTATTCTCCATTTTTTTTTTTTTTTTTTTTTTTTTTTTTTTTTTTTTTTTTTTTTTTGACTATCCTATAATACCTATTTTACACAATGCTTAAATGTATCACATTATTAATGCTCTTAGCTACAACGGTGCTTGCTGACTTGTCACTGAAACCTACTTCAGAGACCGAGCTTTCCACTTGTTTCCAATGTCCTGGTGAAAACAACCGCTGTTATCTTTTCAGTGTAGACAAGAAGCAAACGTGTTTAAAAGAGAGTAACGGAAGCACCATCATCAATTCATGCGTTTCAGAAAATACTTTCTTCGACCATAAAAATAACAATTATACTATGAAGCCGGAATTCGTTAATGGAAACTGTCAAATCACATTAGGTGTACCTATTCCTGGTCAAGGCCTATATGAAACATTTTGCAAACCGACTGATAATGAGATGGTTAGGCTCTGTTTGGTTCACTTGGGAAAGAATAGCGCATCAACGCCTGTTATCCCTAGCTTGGAAAGCGGCTCTCCCCCTTCTATCAATTCTGTTGCTGCATCCAGTGCTACTGCCTTGGAATTCTTCTTGCCCTGTGTGTTCTTAACATTATTGGCAGCTTTGTCATTTATTTAATTTATAATAAAAAGTATCTAATTTAATGCTCTCTGATAAAGTTCAAAAGGCGGGAAAAGAGAACAAAAAAAAAAAAAAAAAAAAAAAAAAAAAAAAAAAAAAAAAATAGGTGGGTTGGGCTTTTATTTGCAAATGAAAGCTATGTTATGCCAGGATGAATGGATGTAATAGGAATTTAGCAGTGATATTCTTTTTTCATTTGGTAATTGATTTAACTTTGAATTATACATTATTACACAAATTGTTTATATCAGTAATCACTACCAATAATGTTAAATCATGTTAATGGTGGTAAAGCCATAAAGATTTATGAAAATGAATTATGCTCGAAAATGGTTACAAGGCATCAAATCTGAAAGGTTCCTCTTACAATAATCACCCGATTTAAGGGTGACAGAAAAAAAAAATCTTGGAAATTGCACCCTTTTATCACGAAAATACCCTTAAATTGAAAAAGCAAGACTACTTGATAACAAATATCACAAAGGCACAATCATGATCATTACTGCGAAAAAAACAAATGTTCGGATGTTAAATACAAAGCAGATATCACGGTAAGATTTGCAAACATTGAGGTTGTTTATATTATTGCATTATTTACATATTGTGTAATTCTTTAGATAATAGTTGTTTTTGGTTTGAAAGTTTATAGTTATCTGTTTATTCGTCGGAGTTGGATGGTCATATTACTATCTTGTCTTTACAATCACTGTATGCGTCTACTACTGGACTTACAGTATTTTGGATTGTAATGATACCAATAGGTACCTTTTCCCTGGCCTTCAATGGCTCTACATTCATACTTCATCTCCTCTAAAAATCTGTTTGTATTTAAACACATTATTGACCTCTTGATTTAGACCATCTTGACTAGCAACAAAAAAATTTTTTTTTTTTTCTTTTTGTTGTATACAATTTAATGTGAGTCTGTTTTTATTTTAGAGATCAAGTATGAATGATACTTGAACACCATTTGCTTTTTTAAAAATGAATCCATTGTGTGCTAACAGTAGACTGAATGTATAAAGATATGAATAAACCTCTTGTCAGCAAAAACAATAGTACAGACTAGGCCAAACATTTTTTATATGTATACATTTTTTTTATTAGAGAAAAAAAAAAAGGTAGTGTTATAAAAAAGAAGATTGAAAAATAGGGATACAAAAAAATTAAATGCGTTAAAATATAAAAATTATAAAAAAAAAAGTGGAAAAAAGAGTTGGGGAGTTATATAAAAAGAACCATTTGTTTTAAAAAAGACGGTTGTGAAAAAAAGAAAAAATACAATTAATATCTAAATGGGGATTTGGGTTTTTAAAGAGAAAAAAGGAAAATAAAATAATTATAATAGGTAAATAGTGATTGAATGAGGGAGAAGAAGAAAAAAAGAAACTTTCTTTTCTTTTTTTTTTACAACTTGGCAGCCTTGGCTTCAGCAATAGCACGAGCTTCCTTAAGAGGATCGACTTGAGAGTAGGCAACGATAGCCAACATACCAAGTAAAGCAGCAAGACAACAACCTGCCATAGCACCCTTACCAGCAGCAGTGAAACCATCATAGAGTAAATAGACACCACTGGGTGCACCTTCAAGATCAAGACCTTGCTTACCAGCAGCATTACCATTGTATTCCATACCAACAGCCTTACAGGTGTTCTCGAATTGTTCGGGTAACTTCATACGTTGTTGAGCTACATCAGGAGCTTCAACAAAGGTAGCAGCAAGACCTGATTCCAAATGCCATTCAATATGACAATGGAAGAACCAGACACCAGGGTTATCAGCTCTGAAACGGAGGAGAACAAAGGACTCTTCAGGTACTTGAATGGTATCACGACGAGCAGGGTTATCTAAATGCCATTCAACAACAGAGTCATCACCGGAATAAACACCGTCACCACGACCTACCAATTGGAAGACGTGACCGTGAAGATGGAAAGGATGTGCACCAGCATCAAGATTGTTCAAGACAATTTCAACCATATCCAAATGCTTCAAGACAAAGGCTTGAGTTTGAGGACCATAGACTTCTTCAGATAAGGAGTAGTTACCTTGAGTAAGCAAAGTGTTGAGAGAGGGAACCTTGGGAGAGAGATAAGGAAGTTCGTTAAACATACCACGGTTAATACCGTTGGTAGTGACTTCGAAAGCAAAAGTTAAGTTGACTTGGTGATCAAAGGGAACAGCATGTTGAACTTCAAGAGGGACAAGAGGGAAATCATCAAATTCACCATCCATACCAAGATCTTCACTTTCAGCAAACTTGGTATCAGAGTTATTATTGTAGAGAAGAGGAATGGTCAAGTTCACCTTGAGATCTTCAGGAACGATATCGAACATGTCAATGTTCATATCAGCATGCATGTAATAGTTAACATCGGTGGTATTTTTGGCAGTGACAAGAACAGAGACACGTTGAGCAGCAGTTAAAGAAACAGCCTTGGTAGTTTGACGAGCAACATCAATACCATCCACTTCGATAATATCCATATCGTGACCATCAATACTAAAGAAGAACATGGAGAAACCAGACATATTGATCAAACGAAGACGGTAAGTCTTACCAGCCTCAAAGGAGAGAGTATCATTGACGTTGTTAAAGATGAAACCAGATTCGGGAACAGGTTCAGCACCAGTTGGGTTATCTTCGTTTAAGAAAATAGCGAGATTCTCTTCACTTTGCTTGTGGTACCAATCTATGGTAATAATATTAAGGTTTAGTAAATACACACAAAAAATGAGCTATAAAGGGTTATATTTACCTTGGAAAGGAATGGTTACATCGTGATCGTATTTGTAAGTTTCGTTTTTGGCATGTACAACAAAGGGTGTACGAAGACCATCCATATATTGACCCATGAAATGGGAATGGATCCAGTAAGAACCGTGTTGAGCAACAACGAACTCGTAAGTGAACTTTTCTCCAGGAGCAATAGGACTACAAGGGGGGGAGAGGGGTAAAATATAAGTAAATAGTATATAGAAAGATATTTTTCTGAAGAATTTACCATTGAGTGACACCGACGGGACCATCCATATAACCAGTGTTATTTTGGAACATACCATGAGTGTGAAGAGCAGTGTTAATGTTCAACTTGTTATTGACATTAATGACAAGAGTATCATCTTCAGTACACTCGACGGGAGGTGGAGGCCAGACACCGTTGACACCAACTACTTGACGTTCAAAGAGACCATCAGGGTTTGCAGTAGCATATGTGATATCCCAATCATAAACGACACGAGCAGCTTGAGCTAACCCGGTTGAACCAGCAACGAAAAGACAAGCAGCTAAAAGACGCATATTTTTTTTCTTTTTTTTTGTGAATGAAGAAGAAAAAAAAAAAAAAAAGAGACACATCAAAATTAAAAAAAAAAGATCAAGATTATATAAAAAAAAAAATTATAAAAAAAAAAAAAAAGGAACCCGAGTCAAAGAAAGTATTATCTGATCGGAGATTTGTTTATTTTAGTGTTTCCCCCAATCTGATAAAAAAAGAAGAGTTAAACCAAATTGTGTTTGTATAACGGTTTCCCGCGTCTCTCCGGTACCCGTTGCACAAACACACTGTGATGCGTGCCACAGCTTTTTTTATCAGATGTAAAAAAAAAGAAGAGAGAGAGAAAGGACCGATCTAAACTCCATTTCAATCAAAGAAAAAATCCCATCTTTATATAATCCCTAACTTTTTCGTTTTTTTTTCTATTCTTTTTTTTTTTTTTTTTTCTTAACACAAAAAAGTAAATTAAAAAAATGGCTGAAGATCTTTTTAATGTGCCAATTTTCTTTATTCTCTTTCGTGAGACGACAGAGGCAGCCATTATTGTGTCTGTTCTCTTGTCATTTTTAAAGAAAATGTTCCCTACTGAATCACCAGTTTACAAGCGTCTTCGTAAGCAAATTTGGCTCGGATCTGCTGCTGGTCTGTTTATTTGTATATGTATTGGTGCTGCTTTCATTGCTGTTTATTACACTGTCTTGAACGATCTTTGGGGTAATTCCGAAGATATTTGGGAAGGTGTCTTTTCTCTGGTTGCTGTCATCATGATTACTGTAATGGGTCTTGCTATGCTTAAGACTGAACGTATGCAAGAAAAGTGGAAAGTCAAGTTAGCTCTTGCCATGGCCAAGAAGGATGATGGAACCAAATCTACCTGGAAGGAAAAAGTTCAAAAGTATGCCTTCTTCTTCTTGCCCTTCATTACTGTCTTAAGAGAAGGTCTTGAAGCTGTTGTCTTTATTGGTGGTGTCTCCTTGGGTATCCAAGGTAAATCTATTCCCATTGCTGCTATTATGGGTATCGTCTGTGGTGTCTTGGTAGGTTTCATTATCTACCGTGGTGGTTCTTTGATTCAACTTCGCTGGTTCTTTGTTGCCTCAACCATCATTCTCTATCTCGTCGCTGCTGGTTTAATGTCCAAGGGTGTTGGTTATCTTGAACAAAACGCTTGGAATGTTGTCATTGGTGGTGAAGCTGCCGATGTCATTGGTTACAGAGTCACTACTTCTATCTGGCACGTCTCTTGGGGAGACCCAGAGAACAATGTCAGCTCTAACGGTGGTTGGCAAATCTTTAATGCCATTCTTGGTTGGAACAACACCGCCACCTATGGTACCATCATTAGTTACTGTCTCTATTGGTTGTTTGTCATTGGTTACCTTGCCTACAGTTACTTTAAGGAGAAGCGTGATGCTATCCGTAAGGCCGAAGCTGGTGAATTCGATATGGGTGATGCTGCTTTGGAACACGCTAAGCAATTCATTGATGAAACTGGTGAGATCCGTACCGATTACGTTGATGTCGAGAGCAAGGAGCATCATGTTGAAACCATTGATACCAACGGTGTCAAGCACTAATACCAACATCACTCGCTTTCACATCTTAAAAAAAAAATCAAAAAAAAAACCCTCACTTTATCTCTATAGAAACTTATTTACTACTACACACCCCCACACACACACTTTTTACATACTTGTTATATTCGTGGTAATGCCACACATTATTCTTATTTTTTTTCCCCACTCCTCTTTTTTATCATATTTTTTTTTCTTCTCTGTAATGTTATTAATATCATTTTGATTCTCATGTCAAATTTTCCAAACATAAAAAAAAAAATCTTTATTTCATTTATCTTTGTCTATGTTTGAGTTTGTCTTTTTTTTTATCTCTGAATATTATGTTTGAGTTAGTCTTTTTGTCATGGAATTTTTTTTTTCTTTATCTCCAATTCCAAATTAAAAAAAAAAAAAAATATATATATATATTTTTTAATCTTAGATCATATCCCCTGCGATAATAAATTTTTTTTTTTCTTTTTTTTACATTTGATTTTTTTGATTATCAGATTCAGATATGTGTAACGTGTAATCAGTGAAACAAAAAGATTTTATGGGCGGGGGATAGATTACTTTTTTGACCTGCCGAAAATCAATTTGTGTAACTTAAAACCCACACTCTCTCTTTTTTTTTCTTTCGGATAGCCAGAGTGTATATATTATTATGAAATGATGCAGCAGTAAAAATTATGATCTTTTTACTATTTTTTTTTTATAAAAAAATAAAAAAATTCTTATCAGATTTTATTTTTAACATGTTTTCTTTGTTATTCATTTGTCTTTTTTTTTTCAGGAGATCCATTGTTGTAAAAATGACATTATAGATTCGGCAGTGCCACTATTAGCGGATGCGGACTACAACATCTGATAAAAAAAAAAAAACTTTTTTCACATCTTTACCAATTTAGGAAGAATACAACGCTAAGCTACCCTAGGACAATTTACCCTATAAAGATTTTTTTTTTATAAATCGTCTGATTTTAGAAAATATAGTTCCAATAATTTCAACTGGGCCGGGTAGATCCATATGTGTACAACCCAACTGACAAAAAAAATTTTTTTTTCTATTGTAATCAGCATAAATCCTTGTTACAATTCATTGTATTCTTTTTTTTAAAAAAAAGAAGAATAATAATCATGCCATAATCTTTTTTATTTCTTTAGATTTCACACACAAAAAAAGATCTGATAAAGTCAGACAAGATGAAAAGGTCTTTCTACCCCCAAATCCAGGGGGGGAGGGGGTGTGCATTAGTATTATTTCCTCCGATTGGGAATCAAAAAGGCGGGGAGACAATTGGCGAACTCATCCACCGTGGTTCGGGATTAGATATAAGCGAAAAAACGTCAATTCAATTTCTTTTAACGTTACATTGCATATTCTTGGGATCCTTGCAGATATCGGATCAATCTTCATCTTTTTTTTTTCACATTCGGATGCATGTGATGCATTGGCCTCTAAAAGATTGTATGTGTGTGTGTGTGTGAATTGCTCTTTAGTGTACGATTAAGAACGTCTGAGTAATACATGCTTGATCTCTCTCTCTCTCTCTCTCTCGTTAATCGTATGTTTCATGATGGTTGGATTACCGATACATTATAAAAAAAAAATATTTAGGTTATACAAAAAAAAAAAAAAAAAAAAACGAAGCACATAGTGGGGGTAAAAGACATTGTTTTCCCCCATTTTACCAAAGTTTTTGATCTATTGTTTATTAAGTTTTCTGTCTTTGTTTGTTTAATACACTTGAATGTCAGATTGATCATCCAAAAAAAAAAAAAGGGTCCATTGTTCATTTGTTTTGATCTCACACCACTTTTTTTGTTTACCTTCTTTTTTCACAAGGAAAGGAATAAATAAACTAAATTTTGTCCAACATGTGCACCAAGTATTATTAGGGCCAATTCTCTCTCTTTTCCCGTTTCTATCTGATAATTTCTAATCAGATCTTTTTTTTTGATGGATCATAAAAAAGTCTTTTTTTTTTTTGTGACCTGGTTGTACTTGATCCCTTTATTAGTGTCATTTCGCCTTCTTTAATTTTTTTTTTTTTTTTTTTTTTTTGCTAGAATTTGAAGAAGGAATTATAAAATAATTCTACCCTAAATTAAAAGTCCTTTTTTTTTTTAATCTTGGGGGAATGAAACCGTAAACATTCGGTCGCGCTCTTGTAGGTGCAACACAAACACTCTTGTGTAGCCTCAATACCCAAAAAATGATACACACACAAAAAAAACCAAAAATGGTATATTGCCTCTCCCCCATACTTGATTGGTCAATTCGTCTTCTTCTTACCATGATCCTATCCTAGTCATAAAAGGTTTAGAAGAGGCCTCTTATAAGTTATCATGTATTCATGCTGAGAGAGGTGGGCCTCAGAGTTATCCTTATCAAGTTTTAAGCCGGATAAATTTAGAGACATTTTTTTTCTTTTTTAATTCCCTCAAACAAATCGACTACAACAGGTACAATTCTTGTTTTTAATGTCATTAGGTGGGGCTATCAGAGTTGCTATGACACTTTTTTTGAAGGAAAAGAGAAGCAGTATGATTTCTCTGGGCAGGTCCTGGCCTTTTTTTTTCTCTTTCAGTAGAATAAATGCACGCCCAGAAGTTGATGAACGCCGTCTTACAAGTTATATTCTTGGTCCTTAGCTTTTGACTTGGCATGACTTTGTGTAGTCTTGAAGTTTCTCCTCCATTTGTGAGCGTGGAGGAAGGCCACACCATAAGACGCAAATGGAAGACATTAATTGCAACTCGACAAATATCATTTCAAAGGCTGTGAAAAAAAAAAACTGTTTCAAATTCTGCTGCACTTACGCTCTAGGCGATTCATTTATTAATGATAGACAAACTATTAAATACACGCGATCAAACTGTAGAGACATATCTTCTCTCTCTGTCCCTCCATACCATTTAAATGGTATCCACTACTAAATAAGACTGTCAACTAAAATAAATCAATTCGGTTTCCATATAGAAGAAACTTCTTTTAAACCAAATCGTCCTTTACCCTGTGATAAAATAACACAAGCTGATAGAAATGAAAAAAGAGACTTATAACCTACCTAAAAATATTTTTCTTCTTCTTTTGATTAGATTCTTACGTGACAGGGGAAATCTTAATTCATGCAAAATTATTTAATGCGAAAAAACCTTTTCGAAGGCAAAAAAAAAAAAAAAAAAAAAAAACTGTGGCTGCACACACACACTCGTTTCTATATAACAGCTTGTTTTCTTTTTTCTTTTTTTTTTTTTTGATAAGAAGGGATCGTCACGTAAACAAGGGAGTTATTCTGCTGTTTGGACAATTATTGTAGTAGAATAATTGTTTCAAGTCAGACAATCATACGAATTGAAATGACAAGCATGGATATCTGAATAAATCTGCTTTGACGAGCTACAGCTAATTGCTATATGAGAAGTGTTATAACGCTTGTGTAGGAATCCACTACCTATTGATAGTGTCAAAAATAACACATCTTTTTTTTAGGACAGCTGCTCTTTTCTAGTGTTAAGAGCCTGACAAATATATTGACAGACAGCAGTACGTGATTTTGTAAAAAATGTACAACTTTTGATCAAAACTTGCTTCATGTGCTCATACGTGAGAAAGCTGACAGTTGCTATGGGTATGTTTTTTAGTGTAAATAATCCTTTTATTTAATCCTTTCACTCGCGTATATATCAAGGATGAACCACTTTAAACACGGTGACTTATTATCTGGCTCTAAACAAATGCCCAACCTGCATTTTTTTTAAGCGGATGATTAAAAAAATATATTTGTGTAAATCAGTGAATTTTCGTACTCAATATGCGTCCTTCCTTCATACATGAGTATATATATATATACATACGCATTGAGTGTGTGCCTTTCAAAAGCGGTTCAAGACACATTTGTCATGACTAGACTTTAGTTTCAAGTCATATATACAGTATATAAAAAATGCACAAGGTAGGTGTACTATAAACATAATCAAGACATCCTCTTGTGAGTGTGTTTCCCTTTTTTTAATTATAGCAAATATCGATTTTTTTTATTTTATTTCATTTGGACCAAAACTCCTTCAAATCGAAATTCATTGACAGCACGACATTTTACAGATGTAAAACCAAAAGGTATGTCGAATTTCCAGTTCTTTTTGGGTTCGTATTGAAGTCTAACACCTGCAAATGCAACTGTCTCCCATAATTCTTTTGTCCCTTTTGTCTCCTTTAAATTTTGTACGCTATGCAGTCGCTGTAACGTTGGACATGGACTGTGACCATGTTTCGCTTTAGGTTGATACAAGTGGTACCAACGTTCGCCAGCAGAGCGCGCCTTCTCCTCCTCCTCTAAGGAACAAATGGTGGAAGAGCAATTTGATTGAAAGCCAGCATCCTCCATTCTTAGCCCCATGTTTAGTCCACGAAGATGAATGAATTCGAATACGTGATTGGGCATATGGATCTTCACGGCAATTTCCCCGTCGTACGGCTTGGTCATATGATCCAACGAGAGTCTGGTCAATTGAGGACATCGGATAGAGAGATAATCAAACAATGCATTGTTCACCATCGAATGTTCCAAAGAGAACGCTTTTAGACCGTGTCTTTTGGTCACATCATGGCAATGAACAAATAAATTATAAGTATTTTTTAAAGTCAGACTATCTAACCCTGGGCAATAATCCAAAATCACGTCCAAATCAAACTCGGTCAATGTCCCAGGTTGAGGCGAGAGCACGAGTGTTCTTAATCCCGTCAGTTTACCCATGGGTACCAAAATATCTTGTTCGTAATCCCAGCTCCTATCCCAGTTCACAATCTCCAACTCTTTCAAGGTCTCTATCGACCTGTTCATCAAGATTTTAAAGTTACGTGCGCTTCTTCGTAGATAATCAAAGTTGTAAAAATGAAGAGAGAGTGATTCCATCGGTCGACTATTCATACCGCGTAAAAACACATCGCAGGGGAAATACTTTTCATCAAACTGGCCAGAGAGTTTCACCAGCTGCTTAAATTGGCTTGCCATATGCGTAAATGAGGCCTTCATAAGGGCATGCTCACCTTCTACTGGTTCATGGAAATATTCGGGTTCCAGAATTTTTAATTGGAGATGGAGTGTCTGTAGTTCCGGGTATTTGTGACCCCAATAATCTAAAAAGGATTCATGATTGATGCATAAATCTAACCGCAATTGTCTTGTTCCACGAGCGATCGGTAATGTTTCCATGTCGACCAGATAACCGTCCTTTGAAAATAAGCGTGCATGAAATCCAGATAGCTCCAATTGTCTTAGGCGCGGACAGAGGGTATGGATCGATTCAAAATCAGATATCGAAATGGTTGTACCTACCTTGATCCCACTCTCCAATTGAAGACAGGTCAAGTTGGGTGATAAACCCAATAAGGACACCACCACAGAAAGATCGGTCTGTGAATCATCCACTTTCATTTCCAAATACGTCAAATGTTGGCCTGTGTCACGTAAAATCGGAACTGTCAATTGGAGTCGCTGCATGCATGGAAATCGAGAGAGATAAGTCCAGCGTTTGATTTCGTTGGTATAACTAAAATAGTTCCAAAGTTGTGGGTTGAAATCAAGGTATTCGAGAAACGGGCAGTACAAGGGTAATTGTTGAAATTCGGCATTGCTCATGCCTACACGAGGTGCCAAGCTCAATCGACGCATGAGAAGACCCAACGGTACAGACTGTGTTTTTTCCCACTCCTTTAGTTTTAAAAAGAGTGCCTTAAACTCTTTACGGCTGCGAATAGACAGGCTTTTTAAAACCACAGACTGGAATCGGTCATGCCAAGCATGACAGATGAGCATGCAAGTCTTTTTGTCTTGGAAAGGAATCAGGTCTAATATTTGAGAGAATACTTCATTGGGTAAATTAGATAATGACATTGGTTGATACATAATTTCTTGATAGGTAGTAGAGTAAAAAGCTTCTTTTTTTTTTTATGTAGTTTTCATGCAAAATAAGCAAAAAGTTTTTTTTTTTTTTTTTGACAGCTGAAACAAAATGTTTTATGAAATAATAATTTCAACATTTTTATCTTTTAGTTCGTTTTGAATCGACTCTAGAAATGGCTCTTCTTTAAAAAATGGATTTATTTCAACTTCAGCAGCCAAACTGGGATCAAGCCGGATCACTAGTTTTCTTGTCTTGTCACAAGCATTTGAAAATACCACAGCTACAAAGTCTTTAATGGGCCCTACCAATAACCAAATATCTGATGGCTCTGTGAAATGACTAGGAAAAGCCCTTGTATATTCAATCTCCAAATATTGAATTGATTTTGGCATATGCTCACCCAACAATCCAGGTCCTATACTGAAATCCACAAGCTGTAATTGTTCCAACTGTGACATCATGGCAAAGCATTCAGATATAGCTGCTTCTGCATCTGCTCGCACTGGTTGTAACACAGAGCATCGATGACCCACCTTTGATAATTTTCCCAACTGATCCCATCCATGCAAACTCAAATGTGAAAGTCCTGCATTATGTTGCATCACAGTGCCAAAAGTCTCCCTCCAAACAAGTGGTGTCCATGCAAAGCAAAACCCAAAATGAAGTCTTTCCAAATGTCGTAAACTTTTCATAAACTCGTACTTGTGATTCAATTCATAACTAATATTATCCCATGACTGTAGTAGGATTTGAATCCCCTGATCATATCTCTCGATATCTGCGAGATAATAAAGTTCGTCGCGTGTTTCTTCGGTATCCTCCAGAATCGTTAGTATATTGCGTTGATCGAACAATTCCTCATCACGTATACTTGTCAACCTGAATGACTTGACTAGTGTCAATTCACCATTTAATTTGCTTACAGTATGTATGGGTGCGAACCCTGAATGCCCATCTTCTTTAAATTCAAATTGGACACGTTCCAAACATGTGTGTTTCTGTATCAAATCCGCGCTAAATCGTCTAGAGTCACACCAAGTCTCGATCTCTGTGCACACAAGCCAACCTAGTTTATCTGATTTAGTTACAAGCTGCTGCGATACGTGGTCGATTTCTGCCAGACAGAGATTCGAGGTATGTAAGTGTTCAATCTGAGTCAGGTGTTGAAACGGCAATGGTCTTAAATGGGCATGACGACTCTCGATCGGTTTGGATAAATAAAGGGACCGGACCGCTTGGACAAGCGAAGAGGATAAAAGTCGTGTGTAGGCTGCATGAAAATTCGGTTTATCTATCACAAGCTTTCGCCACTTGTAAAAAAAAAGTTATGGTGTTTTTTTTTTTTTAACATTCATGTTTTAAAATTGCTCATGACAGACTAAGACTTACAACAGAAGGTCGGTGCGAGATGGCGTACCATTGACGACACACTTGAGATAATGTACATAATGTCCAAGGACACCCATCACACGCTATAAATATGAGCTCCAGGCAATCATCGCTTAATCTGTTGATGAGTGTCATTATGTTGTTAAATAGTAAAAAAGAAGAAAATAAAAATACAGGTTGATTGCACACGCGTATTAATCACCGATTATTTGGTTTCACAATTTCAACAGTGATGTTAATTTTTTTTAGCACCTACAAGATCCTTTTTCGGAAATGTCTAGACCTCCGTATTTTTTTCAAACGTATTTTTTTTGTACCACTTACAGGAATTCTGGCCAGAAGACCAGCAGACCAGTATGATTGCACCTATTTACAGTCCAATCCCAGCTATTCACGGTTCGTGAGTTCCAAAAACTCAAGAACTCTGCCTAGGAGGTCGCCCTCCTATTGCAAAGATTAGCCGCAGCCGCAATATCACAATTATATATCTTTTTCGATTTAGCTTCTTTTCAAAGAAACAAGAGTCACTACTAAACTAACCTTTTTATGTGATCGGTTACTTTCATACGATAAAAGAAGTATGTTAAGGAAAAAGAAAAGGAGAAGAACAAAGTGTGTGAACCAGCTTTATTTATTGATAAACAAGCTTATGTCAGGATGATTTCATTTGTCTATTTTATCATTCATAATGTTTAAGCCTTTACTTAAAATAGAAACAGTTGCAAAAACCTCCCAAGCAAGTCAGAGCTTGGTAATTGTCTATCTGCATTCCAGTAGTAGCTTGTAATGGCAGTAAAGCAGATTTTATGGAAAACAGAAAACGATCATCCAATGAAGTTTAGATGATATGGCATGTCAATCGACGTGTAGACCATCACGTTTGAAAAAATACGTTTGAAAAAATACGTTTGAAAAAATACGTTTGAAAAAATACGTTTGAAAAAAATACGGAGTTCTAGACATTTCCTCCTTTTTCTTTAGTTCATTTTCAGTCTTTTCGTACCTTTCCATGTCAAATATTAATCACTTTTTTGATGATTATATAAATCGTATCAGGTTGATTTTACTTGAATTATAAATCGCTTGTTCTCGTCATACCACTGAAAGTCTATTCACAAGGTGAAAACTCATGGCGAGTAAATATATGCTTCAGATCTATCAATATATTACCAGTCTATTGGAATGTAATGCTTTAAGCAGCATAAACCTCAATGGTTTATCCACTCTGACTACTATGTAGATACTCAGTATGGAAGGACTAAATTTAAAGTAATATGCTTCACTACAATTCATTGGTACTTCAAAAATTAGGATTATCCCACCTATCTTTTAAGTTTTTTTTTTTTTTCAAGTACATGGCTGTCAGAAAAAAAAAAAAACTTGTCTGACACCTAAACACTTTTTAGCTGCGTAGCTTGGTGCAAGCCGAAAAACAAAAAAGAGTCAATTTACGTCGTCCGACTCAGGGATTTATTCTATTTACGCATTAATAAACTGCAAAACCACAAATTCAACGATGGTTGTTTATGTCCTATAGAGTCATAAATCTGATTTTCTTTGAGTAAAAACACATTATTTGAGAAGTAGGTATTCTATGATTTAAAGTTGCAACACTCTCATTATTAATGAATGGAAGCCCATTAACACTGCCCAAGAGCATTAAAAATCCGCTTCATGCATTGGATTGAAGCAAAATCCAGCCAATGGAATTGCTCGTCCACGAAGAAACGGAGCGCGCGTTCTGGATCAATCTTGAAACTATACAGCTGATAGATTTGTTTATTACGGTTAAAAGTTGCAAGTGGGGTACAGTATTTGTAAAATATTTTGCTCGAAAAACTAACTGGTCAAAACAACTTCAAATACAGTCTAATCCTGAACTTGTCTTTATGGACTTGGCTCGTCTGGGTGTCTTTTGCCCCAAACGTTGATGTTTAGAAAGATTAACCATAAAGTAATAGTGGTGCAGTGTGTAGGTTACCGAGTTTTTTTTATAACTGGGTACTCGAACTCATTGATGGAATTTAGTCACATGGCTTACCTATTAAGCCTAGAAGTTCCCAAAGAAATCGGGCGACGTATCTTGTCTTTTACATAAGCTAGACAAACTTAAACGCGTAATTTTGTTGTATGAGCATGGATATTCTATAAAATACAAGGACTCAAGAGCACGCCAGGAAGATTCTGCTTTACCATTTAGGATTATCAATCTAAAGCGTCGCAAGCAAAAAATCGCCCTTGGCCTCTTTGTTATGGTGCTTCTCTTTCCTTTCACACAGAAATTTAAAAAAAGCATCATAGAAACTCTGGTAGTACATCAATTTTTTTTTTCTGTGGACAAGCACTCAAAACTTCTTCCCACCTTCTTTGACTACAACACAACAGAGTCTGGCTAGATCAACATGTGATTTGTCTCTCCTATCGGTGCAACCTTCTTCAGCTCAACGCGTATCGACTTTGGGGGTATTTATCTCGCCTCCTAAACACCCTGTTGTATCTAAGAGCAAGAAAAAGAATAGCCGGCTGACCAAATTGGTAAACAACCGGAATACAAACAAGTTCATTGATAGCCGTCCTATCATTCTTCCCTGTGCATGATCGAGCCCCCAACTGCTGAAGAAAGGATGACCAAGAAAACTAAATTGGGCAAGCAGTAGGCTCTGTAGTTGGGAAGTAAAATAACTAGAATACAAATATCAAAGTCTGATTGCAAAGAAATAAAAAGTTTTGATACATGAATAAAACTAAAATGGCTATAAGCGTGTGTTCAAAAGAGCATCACATTAATATTCAGTGAAATAATAAATACAAAACATTTTATTGTAATTGTAACGGTTTAAGAAAGATAAATTATCAATAATCGATACCAGTGAGTAGGACAGACCAGAGGCATTTGAGGAGTTTATTTGAGTATTTAACAGATGCCATTAACAAGAACAGGACAGATTTTAGTTTATAAAGCATTGCAAGGGAACTTGTGTCCGTAATCATCATAGCAATATTTGATACCGACTCTCTTTTCAACGTTTGCAGCATAGGTGGTAGCAACGAAAGCTAAGACGACAAGAAGGGTACTTTTGAGCATTGTTGTAAATAAAAGATGTTTATGATAATGCTTAAACTAAAGATGAAAAAGATCGTCTTTTATAACAATTCTATGTGTTTGTACAATAGCGATAAGTGTGACTTTTAATGGTCATCTAAAACTAATGTTACAGTAAGCATGATAAGTAAGGTGTAGCTTTGTTTGTAATCTAAGGAAGACATTCCACAATAAATTACAGCCATTTTGAAGGTTATTTCATCTTGATTCCGCTGGAGGTAGTGCAACGGCATTATTTTTTGTTGTTGTTGTATATGTGATATCTTTAACCCGATTCAAAGACTCATTATGACTATAAAGGTAACTTTATCTATTTTGGGCAATAAAGATTTTTACAGCGGGACTTGTCTAACCATGATTGTTTACAATGATACAAAAAGAGTGATGCACAACTATCACATTGCGATAGATAGCGAGTTCTTAAAATAGATGGTAACCAAGACAACGTTTTTTATCAGCTCATGATATACGTGTTTCCATCCAGTTTACTTGGTGAGAGATACACCAGCAGTGTAATATAATGATATCTATGCACATACACTGTGAAGAAAGGTAATTTTCACTTAAAACACAAACTTATTTTTCTGGAAAGTCATATCCGCGGGTGTTACAATAATTTTTATATAACACATTTATTTTCTCTTTCTTTCAGTAAGAAAATAAGACAGCGGTTATCAATCTATTTGTATACAGAAGAACTTTTCAATATTCAAGGTTTCATTATTGACAGAACGTAACAATATGTGATAGTTGGTATAATAAATACTGATTACAATCACCAATAATGAGAACATTTTAGCATAAATGAGAAGTAGTTTAAAGTAACCACAGGGATATGATTGGTCCACAAGAGTGCACACACTTTATTTTTTCTTACAACATGCTACAACAGTCTCTGTATCACAATTGTACGCTCCATGTTATTCCTTCTGATATGCTTCTTTTTTTGTAGAAAACGCCATGAGCCACTTTGTTTCTTTAATGATACACTTCAGAATACAGATAACAAGAACACCAAACCCTTCCTGATACTGATAGCTTATTACAACCATGATAAAAAATTGTTATGCCTCATAATTAAATGTACAATGTCACGGTTTCGTCATAATTTAGGTAAATTAGACCTTATCATTCGAACCAAAGAAGAAATATATGCTGCATGTCAACGCAAACAAACCAATGCTCAATTCTTATTATGACAGTGGTACATAGTAAAGATAAAAACGATGAGAAACCCCCACCAACATCAATAGATAGAAAAATAACAAGTAACAATTGATCAAGTCTACAATGCTCGCTGAAATATTAGGATTATTGGTATAACTATTTTAAAACCTATTATCTATTTTATTTCGGCAGACGATGTATCACCAAGGATCTTCATACATGGCAAAAGAAGAAGAATGATTTTTTAGCCATGATCCCGTTACACAAATACACGGTCACTTTTTGTCGGCCTATTTTGACATGGCCCTGAATAAGAAAAAAAAAAAAGAGACTCTTCCTAAGATTATGAGTGAAAAGATTCCAAAGCTTGGTCAAGATCTCATTGCGGGTACAGTGGGAGGATGGGCTCAAGTGATTGTGGGCCAACCCCTCGACACGATTAAAGTGCGTTTACAAACTCAACCTTCACCTGCCATTTACAAGAATGCCACCGATTGTTTCCGTCAGCTGGTCCGACAGGAAGGAGTAAGGAATGAACCCCTCGAGAGAAGAATAAAAAGGTTACTAAATAACATTTTTTTCTCTACAGTTGAAGGGTTTATATCGTGGTGTTATGCCTCCTTTGGCGGGTATTGGATTCTGGTAAGCCGCACGCAACAATAAAAAAAAAAAAATCGATTTTATGCTTACTTTTTCTTCAAGTAATGCAGTCATGTTTACATCCAATGGATATTTTAGACGTTTATTACAGCATGATGGAAAAGCATTATCAATCGGTAAAAGATACAGTGATACAGTTATCTGATTAATATATTAATTGTCTTTATACTAGTCGAAATTGGATTGGCAGGATCAATGGCAGGCTCTGTCATGGCATTTCTCAATTGCCCTATCGAGCTTTTAAAAGTCAAGTTACAAACTCAAGATCCCAAGGGAGTGATAGGCCTTTCTGGAAAGCTGGAGCCACCCGTAAGTCTAACTTAATTTGGTGTAATTTATGGTACTTAATCCGTCATTTGATAGTTCAAAGGAGTGATTGATTGTGGTATCCGTAGTGTACGTGCACAGGGATTTATGGGCATATATCGTGGTATGAACATGACATTATTGAGAGATGTACCCGGATATTTTGCATACTTTGGTAAGTTACACGGAAGAACAGGAAAGTTATAGAAAAACTAAAACGTATTAAAAATAGTCGGTTATGAGAGTTTCAAATTACTTTTTAAATCCATGAGAGAAGATGGTGAGCTAACCACGTTTGATTTATTGATGGCGGGTGGATTATCTGGATTTGCTGCTTGGGTGCCATCCTACCCTCAAGACGTAATTAAAAGTTGTTACCAAAACGACCTTAGATATAAATCGTATGGAGAAGTGATAAAGACACTCATGAAGACTACAGGTCCTAAAGCTTTCTTTAACGGTATTGCTCCTGCTATGGCAAGAGCATTCCCAGCAAATGCAGCGACTTTCTTTGCCTATGAAATGGCCATGAAAGCCATGCAATAGCCATTTTTTTTTGTATACCTATAGAAGCAGAAAAAAACAAAATAAAAACAATTAGAAGTCAATGTTGTACCTACTGTCAAATATAAAACTTGACAGCTTCGGGTCATTGAGAGGAGATTATGCATTTAGGCATTTTGGCAGGTGATGTGTGTGACGGTTTAACAGAGACGGTTTTTTTTAAACAAAAAAAAAAAGAAAAAAAAAAAAGGGAAAAAAAAAAAGTTTCTACTTTACACAATACAACCATGGCGAAAGGAACCGAAGCACAAGCTGTTCAGAAAGTGAATGCTCGAGATTTAAAAAGAAGCCAGGACAAGGAAGATTTAGAGACTTTGGAGAAAAATGCCTGTCAACCTGTAAGTTAATTTTGTCAATCGATCCAATAAAAGAAAGCGATTAACATTCTTCGAAAAAATAATAATAGGAAAACTACAGTACCGCCAAATACTTTACTGATTTACCACTTTCAGCAAAGACCCAAAAAGGTCTCTCTCAATGTAACTTTAAGCAAATGACTGAGATTCAACGTAAGGGTATTCCCCTTGCTTTGGCCAAGCGTGATGTTTTAGGTGCTGCCAAAACCGGTAGTGGTAAAACCTTGACCTTCCTTATTCCCGTAAGTGCATTGTTGTGCTAAATATAGGCCCCGATGTCTAACCCATTACATAGCTTCTCGAGATCTTGTACAGACAATCATGGAATGCAGCTGATGGATTAGGTGCCTTAGTTATTTCACCTACTCGTGAATTAGCTGTGCAAATTTTCGAAGTATTAAAAAAAATTGGTAAAGCACATACCTTTTCAGCAGGTTTGATTATTGGAGGTAAAGAATTCAAGGTGGAGCAAGAGCGTATTGCCCGCATGAACATTTTGGTGTGTACACCCGGCCGTCTTTTACAACACATGGATCAATCTGTTGGATTTTCTTGCGACAATCTTCAAGTCTTAGTATTGGATGAAGCCGATCGTTGTATGGATATGGGTTTCCAAAACACCATGAACGCCATTATTGACAATTTGCCTCGTCAACGACAAACCTTGTTATTTTCCGCTACCCAAACACGATCCGTCAAAGATTTAGCTCGATTATCACTCAAGGATCCCGAATACGTTGCCGTTCACGAAAAGGCAGAACACAGTACACCAAAGACCCTCAGTCAACATTATGTCGTAGCCGAACTTCCCAAGAAATTAGACGTACTTTACTCATTTGTCAAATCTCACTTGAAGAACAAGACAATTGTTTTCCTTTCCAGTTGTAAGCAAACACGATTTGTGTTTGAATCCTTCTGTAAGTTACAACCGGGTGTGCCCATCATGCATTTGCACGGTAAACAAAAGCAAACGAAACGTGTGGATATTTTCAGAAAGTTTACTTCGAGTCAACATGCTGTTCTTTTGTGTACGGATATTGCTGCTCGTGGTTTAGATTTCCCTGCAGTGGATTGGGTACTTCAATTGGATTGCCCTGAAGATGCTGATACCTATATTCATCGTGTGGGTCGTACTGCTCGATTTGCTGCTGATGGTCATGCCTTGATGATCTTGAACCCCTCTGAAGTCGAGGGCATGTTGGAAGAATTAAAAAAGAAGCGTGTACCTATTGAGGAAATCAAGATCAGAACCAGTAAACAACAAAGTATTCAAAAACAACTTCAAAGTTTCTGTTTCCAAGATCCCGAGATCAAATACCTTGCACAAAGAGCCTTTGTCGCTTATATGCGATCCATTTATCTCCAACGCAACAAAAAGGTGTTTGATGTTACGGCTTTACCTGCAGAAGAATTCGCTCTTTCTCTTGGTTTAGCTGGTGCTCCCAAGATCAAATTTGTCAAGAAGGCAGAAAAGAAGATCATGGGTGCTCAAGAAAAGAAGGAAGCATCGGATGAATCTGAAGAAGAAGAAGAGGAGGAGGTCGCAGCACCAGTCAAGGAACAAAAGACCAAGATTGACCGTATGTTTGGCAGAAAGAATCAAGATATTTTATCAGAGCATTATAGCAAGCTTGTTGATTTCGAAGGAGATAAGATCAAATTGGAAGGAGGAGCTGATGATGAAGACGATGATGATTTCCTTACACTTCAACGTGCTGATCATGCTTTGGAAAGTGAAGAGGAAGACGATATGAACGAAGTTGAAGGAGAAAATATATCCAAGAGAAAGTTGAAGATGAGTAAAAAAGAAAGAGCAAAGAACATGCCTCGTGGTGACAAAACCATCTTTGATGATGAAGGTGTTGCTCATGCCATGTATGAACTTGTGGATGAAAAGGATTTCTTGAAGGATGGTGATGCAAAGTCCCAGATTAAGGCTTTCATTGATGAAAAGGGTGAGCTTATGCAAACTGCTGATAAAGAAGATAAAGAAACTGTCAAGCAAAAGAAACTCGCAAAGAAGATCAAGAGAAAGGAAAGAGAGAGAGCTGCTTTGAAGGAAGGTGAGAGTGGTTCTTCTTCAGAAGAAGAGGGAAGCGGTGATGAAGGTTCTGCCATGTCTGAAGATGAGGAAGAGCCTGAGAGAAAGAGAAAGTGGTTCGAGGATGAAAGCTCAGACGAAGACTCCAACAAGAAGAGAGTGATTGATGTCGCTGCACCCGAGACATTGGAAGACCAAGAAGCACTTGCACTGAAGCTTTTGGGCGCTTAAATTATAATAAAAAAGTGTGCTGTATCATATAAGTAATTAGAAATAAAAAGAAATAACAGTAAATGTGTTCCTGTATAGTGTGTGTGTGGCTTAAAAATAAAGTGGATGGCTTTTAAAAAGGCACATAAAATTTAGTGTTTTGCTTTCCCGTATAAATAAATATCTTTTTTTTTTTTTTTTTTTTTTATTTTCTATTTGCGGAAATGTCAAACGATGAAGTTATAGCTTTGAAGCAGCATTGTTTAGCCCTAGAGTTAAGGAGTGACCCTATTAAAGGAAGAGGAGTGTTTACAAGGGAAAGACTAGTCCGAAATACGCTTGTAGAGATTTCACCTATATTGTTGTTTAATGAAGAAGAATACGCAAGTCATGGGAAATACACTGTACTGGATCAATACACGTATTGCTGGCAAGGTGGATTTGCACTTGCGCTTGGATTAGGCTCTATGTTTAACCATGATAGCTCACCGAATGTTGGTTTTATTCGAGATATTCCTAATAAATTAATCAGATACGTTACTTTAAGGGACATTGAGAAAGAGGAGGAGTTATGTATATCCTATGGCAATCATTTGTGGTTCGAGGATGATTCCAATGATCAAACACAAGTCTCTTCTGATGAAGATGAACCTTTTCCCTTTGCTGCCGATGATGATTAACTCCTTAACTAAATAATAATTTCTCCCTAATATTAATCATCATCATAATAAAATAAACAGACACACACACACACACACACACATACACACACACAAACTTTATTTTTTTTTCCCTCTGTGTGGGTGTTATGCATCAAAATCATCATGTGATGGATTAAAGTTGCGTTTTCAATATTATCCCCTTCTTTTTTTCTCATTTTCTTTTTTCGCCCTTTTTCCTTCTCTTTTCCAATTCTTTAAAGTATGACAACAACAGTGACAACAGCCAGTTCTATTATAGGCTATAAAGTTGGAAACATTTATAAAATAGGTGCCAAGATTGGTTCAGGCTCATTTGGAGAGATTCACAGAGGTAAAAAAAAAGAAAATTATCGTATTGCAAGGAAGCAACTAAAAAGCGTGATAAAATATATATAAATAGGCATTGACGAAAAATCAGGAGAAGAAATCGCTATAAAATTAGAAAAAGTAACGGCCAAACACCCTCAATTGGAATATGAATATCGTGTATATAAGGCAATCGGTAGTGCCACAGGCATACCCAGAGTTCGACATTTTTCGACAGAGTACAATTACAACAGCATGGTTATGGATAAACTAGGACGTAAGTACTCTAATGTATCTTATGTATTATGTTCTAAATCATGTGTAATCTTTACAGCATCACTTGAGGATTTGTTTAATTTCTGCAAGAGAAAGTTCTCACTTCCGACAGTAATTATGTTGGCAGATCAAATGATTACAAGAATCGAATATTTACACTCGAAAAAGTTTATTCACCGTGATATTAAACCAGATAACTTCCTGATGGGTTTAGATGGTCATAACTACCTTGTTAATTTGATAGATTTTGGATTGGCCAAAAGATATAGAGACTCCAAGACAAATGCACATATACCATGGAGAGAAGGAAAAAACCTGACAGGAACAGCAAGATATGCCAGTATACACACCCATCTTGGACGAGGTATGGATACATTTCTACCAGCTATTACTTACCTGTATACTAACACTTAAGCAGAGCAATCTCGCAGAGATGACTTGGAGTCACTCGGCTATGTGCTTGTCTATTTTTATCGAGGCTCTTTACCTTGGCAAGGTTTGAAAGCCAAGACAAAAAAGCAAAAGTATGACATGATCAGTAACAGAAAAGTAACAACGCCACTTGATAAACTATGCAAAGGAATGCCGTTTGAATTCATGACGTATCTTGACTACACTCGCAAGTTAACCTTTGAAGGACAGCCAGACTATAACTTTTTGCGTGATTTATTTAGAAAGGTTGCCATTCGTGAAGGCATCGTCCTTGATTTCCAGTTTGACTGGTTAATATTTATGATGGAAAAGGATAACAAGATTAAAGGCATAAGTACAATGGATACAAACAAGCTTGTCGTTCCTCAACAGCAAGTTATTTAATACACGTGATCTCTGCTTGAATTTTTACTTTTTTTTTTCTTCTCTCTCTTTCTCTTCTCTTTTCTTCTTTCATAAACACAAACATGTCTGACCAAGGTAGCATTGGCCATATTAATTAATAAAGCCCTTCTTTTTTTGCTAACAATAAACGTTAAAGGCTCTACCTATGCCGTACTTCAAAGTGTACCAGTCATGATATCTCCCCAATATAGATTACCAAAGAAGGTTTGTCTCTTTTTTTTTCAAACAGCATGGTTTTAAACACGGTATTCACACGCAACTAGATTATGGTTTCGTCTGAATTAAAAATGGTGCCTGACGACATAAAGAAACTAGTAAGATGACCTTTTTCTTAATGTACAATCTAGACTTAATCTCTCTCTTTCTCCGTAAGCCAGCATACCCATTTGCAGTAGAACGAGATGTTATCGCTCAAGTAGAAGCGGCCCGAAAACAAACGTTTGAAGCAGAAGAGGCTTTTAAGCTCTTGAAGAAACAATACCAAGAAGAAAAGCTCAACCAGAGAAAAGCTGCTGCCCGAAAAATCGCTCCCGGTTTTCTCGACACAGATACTCGTATTTTGAAGCCAGAGCAAACCTACGTGCAAGAATTCCCTATGCACCCCAATAATACGTCAACGGAAGATGAAGCAGCGAGTTCAAACACATCACCTCATACTTTACAACCGTACGTTAATTATGACAAGGCATTTACCGCAGAGTCTGGTCCAGATAAAGTAAAAACAACGTGTATATTTTATATGTGTTCGTATTTTGCATATTTAACTATTTTTTCTCATGGTATAGCAATTCGATTATCACAAGTTCGAACAAGGATTGGCTCCAGCAGACCCTTGGGATACACCAGAGAATGATATGGTGGCCTTAAGATCCATTCTTAGTAGTCCCAAGACGGATTATAATGCAAACCGTGCATCCACACCAGCTTCTTACCCACCTCAACAATACCAAGCCCAACCACAACAGCAACAACAACATCATCAACAACAACATCAACAACAACATCAACACCAACAACAGCCAACTCAAGCTGCACGACCTTATCAAAAGAATGAAGGAGGTAAAATGGACATTGAATAATAATAATAATAATAATAAACTAACATTCATGATAATAGTTTACTGGAATTTCCAAGGAAATAACAACGGAAACATGTATCCACCTCAACAAAGACAGATGCATTCGACGAGCTCTGTACCTGCATTACCGCCCAAATTATTTGGCAATTCTTCGAATTCTTCCTCACCAGTGATTTCACCACCACCACCCGTACTTCCGCCACCCAGTGACTATCATAAATCCAATACGACACCTACACCCCCTCCTTTGCCTCCATTACCAATTACACCGAACGAGAATTTAATCACAGAGTTGGGTAATATGGGATTCTCAAGAGCTCAAGCGATCGATGCATTAGAAAAGAACGATCATGACTTAATCAAGGCAACCAACTTTCTTTTGGATCAAGCATAAGGATTTTTTTTTAAAAAAATAAAAAAATAAAAGAGAGAATAGTTTATAAAACAAAAAAGAAGAAAAAAAAAACAAAGGAGAAAGATCAAAGTGTATTGTTTACGTGTATAAAAAAGTGTGTGGTGACGGGATTATGAACCCCACCATGAAAGAAGACCCAAACCATCCTCTGAAATTGCGCACTATATATATATATACAAAATTAATTTGTTTCCATGGCGACTAATTTTAAAAGAGAGTTAATACTTACAGTGATGGAGTAAGGTGGTATCTTGGTTGAGTTAGCAGCAAGGTCGCTATTTGCTGCAATATCAGCAACAGATTGACGTCTCCCAGAAGTTGAGATGGGATGATTTGTCGGTGTAGTATCTGTAAATTGTTCACGCAACACTCTAAATCGAATTGATTCTTCTATATCCATGAACATTTTTTCACCCTCATAATTCCATACCCAAACTTGTTCTGCTGGGTCACTGATAATAAAAGGACGGATGAGTATATGTGGTTCGTCTTTTTTTTTTTTGTCCCTTTTCTCTCTTACAATTTGGATCCAGGTTGAAGTGCTCCGCCAGGAATTAAAATATCGTCAAAAAATCCCATTGAAACTTAAAATAAACGTTTAACACTCTTTCTTGCAAACATGGACACACAAAGCTTACCTCGTACACCACTGGGCGAACAACTCTTGATTTTACCGGTCAAAATCTCACCTACAAAAGGTCTGAAAACGACCACTCTAAAGGTCACTATTTTATCTTGTGAGAAAGAGAAAAAAAGGGAAAAAAAAGGACAGACAGAACAAAGCAAAGGAAGAGGGGGAATCGAGGAAAGGCTTTTATTTACCTTTAATGTAACTGCAGCCATCGCCATAAAGAATGAATCCTTCAGAAGTGTGTAAAATATCGTGGACGCATATACAAAGACCTACTTCTTGCACAACCTTATTGGCAAATTTTTCGTTCAATACATCGGTAATCGCACCATTGTCTTCCTTTTTAAAGTCATTAGGTACAATTTTAACTGTGTCTTCAATTTCAGAAAGAATGAACATTTCAATGAGTGCCAAAAAAAAAAATATGTACAAAAGAAGGACACAAAAAATTCTTTTTTTGATAGGCCAAAATGTGACTTTGGATCGCCCTCTTAAAAAAAAGTGACAACCCACCATCATGTTGGATTCCCTCCCATCAATACACTGGTTGTTTTCTTGGTATTGGGCCTTGTTTTTTTTTCTGGCGCTCCAACAAAATGAGCTAAAAAGTTAGTTTCGCATACGATTGGACCCAAAATAGTACAGGAAGGCTGGCTTGCTCAATCTCAAGACTTGTATCCTCACGTTTTAAATGGTTGTTCTATTCCAATTTACATCTTTACACATCTACATCATGGCAACAGCCATGAAGGGTCCAGATTATAAAAGAAAATTTCCTAGAACAAACTACTGATACGCCTACCCATGTAGAATTCATGTAGTGGATTAACCTCTGGTTCAATTGAATGAAACAATTGTTCGAAGTCACTTTTTTGAGTGACAAACAAATAAATGCTTATATTTGTTGTTAAGGATTTATATATATCTCTCTCTCTCTCTCTATTTCTCTCTCTCCTTTTTTCTTTTTTTTTTAAAATACAAAAATAGGAACCATGTCTACGGGAAAGAAAAAACAGGAAGAAGTAGTAGTTGAAGAAGAACCCAAGTCAAGATTCTTTCCTGAAAAAGGTAAATGCATTATCTTTTATTTCACGCGTTTTTTTTGGAGGTCTCAATTTATGGTGATCTTTACTTGTAGAAGGCACAAATCTTCAGATATACATCGCATCCGTAGATGACTCCAAAAAATTTGAGGTGGATACAACCTGCTTGTTTTCCAAGTGGTACGACATTACACCCAAGAAAATAAGCAGCCTGGTGGTACGAAAAACAGTGTAAAAACGGATTCTATATTTCACTTTTGTTACTAAAAAAAGGGGGCTTTACTTGTCAATAGAACACATTACGTACAACTGAGATCCTAAAAGAATGTAATCAAAAAGAAAAAGATACCGCAGAAGAATTGGCACAAAGTCTATTAGAAGAAAGGTACCGCCCATATCTTAAACTTAAATACCCTTTCACTAAATGCACCCTCTCACACTCCCCATTCTTTTTTTATTATTTCAGCAAAAAAATAGACATTGTTAAAAAAGACAACTTCTTTAATGAAGAGGTGACAGTGGAGGAACGGGAAATTATAGCTCAGCGTGTGGCACTTCAGCAAAGACAATTTGCAGCTTATGAAAGACGTGAGAATATCAGAAAATCTGCCAAGATCAGAAAAATGTTTGATTACGTATGTGACGAAGAGATTTTAGAGTGTCTCAAAGACTGCAATGGAGACGAAGTAAGATCATAACTGAAAAAAGATAAGAAGAAAACTATCATTCAATGCCAAAGTAATCTTTATTTATAACAGGATGAGGTTATTTATCGTCTAACAAAACCGGCGTATTTGTGTGACATTCGTAAAGCTATTTCATTGAAATACGCCAAAGAAGAAGAAAGTTATGCACCTTTGATGACTTCTGAACAGCGGACCGCTTACGAACAGCTCTTAAAAAAGAGATCAGTTACTTTAAAGAAAACAACCAATGATCAAGCCAAAAAGTGAGTTATTATCTTGTTTTTTTAGTACAAACATATATGTTAAACAATGGCTTTTTTTTTTACAGACAATATCGTATGTGTGGCAGATTAGGTCTAGATGAGGCTTTGGAGCAATTCCAAAATAATCAAATTGATCCTGAAAAGGCCTTTGAAGGATGGTCACAGGCCCGTATTAAGGCTTACCAAATGATTGATCAAAATCCTAACAGTTACTATTATCGATTCAATGCGCCTGGTGAAGTACAACGTAAAGGACAGTGGGACGAGGTAAAAGTAGTTCTACAAACGCCTAGGAGCTATCGACTAAACATTAAGTTTCTTTTTCTTTTCTTTTTTAGCCTGAGAAAAAAATGTTCTTTGACAGATTAGCTGATGTCGGTGCAAATGGTCAATGGGGATTATTTTCTATGACTATTCCTGGAAGAGTTGGCTACCAGGTACATCTTGCATGATTAGAATAGCTGTATCAGAAACTCACGTCTTTTCTTTTCTAAAGTGTTCCAACTTTTATAGACTTTTAGTCGAGACACAAACCATCAATGATCCTAATTATGTGCTTGATGAGCGTGGTAAAGCGCATTACTTGTTTGATAAAAAAAGCGCTGATGGACAAATCAAAAAAACGTTTCGTACCCATTCCAAACACGCTTCCAACTCAGATCCTGCGGACGAGAGCGGACCTTCCACAGCCTCACCACGTCGAATCAAGAAGGAACCTATGGAGGTCAAACCTGAGCTTTTAATTGATGCTCAGGAAGAGAAACCTACTGCAACGAGCACTGCTAGTGCTACAAACACACCAACAATAACAACCGGCAAAGGCAAAGGACGACGACAACCCGCCAAAGCAGGTACACGAAAACGTCGATCACGTTTCGCAGACAGTGATAGTGACGAGGACTCCAACTTGTTTGATGATGATTTCTCTGGAAACTATTCAACACGAGCTGCTCGAGATGAAGAAGATGAAAATGGTCAAAGAAAGAGCAAACGAGCACGAAGACCGACGGCAGCGGCCATTGAGTCTGGATTGGCTACAAGTGGATCATGGCACAATGAAACGGAAGAGACAGATCCGATGTGTCCTTTACCTGGCTTTGTAGACCCAATCACATTAGAGCAGGTGATCAAACCCGCCATTTCAAAATATGGACATGTGATGGGATATGACAGCTGGACTCGATGTCTAACAAATTGGGAAGGAAAAAGAAATATCTGTCCGCTGACTAAAAAGGCTCTTACAAAACGGGATTTAGGTAAGATAAATTCAATCTATAACATGTCTTAACAGGTAATTAAATTTGTTTTTTGTAGTCATACTAACATTTGATAATCTCGACGAATACAAGTAAGTATTTCGTTGCATTTAATTGCAAAAAGCAGCACCTTTTAACCGTCTATTATTAATGTAGAGACAAGATTGTAAATATGTGAATAGCAATCATCCCCATACTCCCCTTTTTTTATATATCATTTTGATTACCGCTTCTCTTTTCTCATATAAAAAAAAGGGTGACGGCAAAAGCTTTGTGTTGATTAAAAAAATGGCCTTTTGATAAATACAATTTTTGTGGTTCATAAGACAATGACACAAAGGACAATACCCCCATATCTTGCTTAGTCAACCTTGGACTTATTGATGAACAATTTAGACCTGCAGCATTGTTCTACATATATATAAATCAATCAATAGTCAAAGGATTCTCTCTTTCCATAACCTAGTTATATATCTGATTCTTAGTACAACCTCAATTTTTTTAAAATACTGCTCCATTTAAAGTCTGAACTCAATAAGACAGATCTCTCCTTTACGCACAGTTTTGTATTTAAATCCTGGTCTTAATACCTTAAAGGAATTATTTTATTGTTAGTTTTTACGATTTATAAATTTAACCTTGTAAGGAGATGGCAGAATAGATATACCACCATTTTCAGCTTTGTTGATGTCAGGCATACCATCCTCACCAGGTTCAATAAAGCATCGAGACATCAATTCAACAAATCCAATAAACGTTTCTACTTCAGCCATATGAATTGCAGGGCAAATACGTCTGTTTTTTTTTAGAAAAAAAGCATGGTCAGCATTTGTATTTTGCATAAGACGAATAAAATTACCTTCCCCATCCAAAATTGAAATGATCACGGTCTTCTACTTTACCCTTGGATGCAGCAGAAGACGTTTCCAAAGCATTCATAAATCTCTCAGGAACGAATTCATTGGGTCTGTCTGGGTAAGCCTCTGGATTTTTGTGCATACTCATCATGTTGGAGATAATAGTGGCACCCTTGGGAATGATATAGCCATCCACCTCAACTAGAATCAAGAGTATAAAAAAGTTATTACATATGCCAAGGAGATAAATAAATAAACCTACTGTCGTCATTAGCTAAATGAGGGATGCCAAAAGCCGTGATTGGCTTATATCTCATGCATTCTTTCATGGTAGAGACACAAAAGGGTAATTCTAATCTGTCACTGAAAGAAGGAAGACGACCATGACGCTCGATAAAGTTATCAATTTCAGCAGCAATTTTCACCTGAACCTCTGGATAATGACACATAATGCCAATTGTCCAACATAGATACACAGAATTCGTGTCTGTTCCAGCGCCAATTATATCCGCTAATTTAGCAAAAAAAAAAAAAGTAAGAATAAAATACTTTTTATCAGATGGCAATGTTAATATTTGTTTTGTCTGAAATCTTACAAAGGATAACCATAGTTTCTTCCTCAGATAAATCATAGTTATTTTCCTTTAGATACTTGACAAGGTTAGGTCCTTCGGCATCGTATGCTTCTTTAATTAAGGCATCAAACATAGGGTCGCGTATTTCCGTTACAAAATGCTTAAATGTTTGTCGAACACCTTTAAAGTAATCATAGATAATAAAAATTGGCAAATAGCTAGCCAAATCAAAATCCACACCACTAAGTCTAAAAGCTTCGTCAATTGTATGTGCTAACTCGATAAACTTTGGATCGTCTTTATTAGGAAAGCTCTTTCCTAACCCAATCAATGTGACAGTGTTCATAATGTACAGTTGCAAATCTTGAAACGGAAAGATACCTGCCTTAGTCTTATCAGAGGTATCTATAAGTATATCTACCAACTTTCTGGCCTCATTCTGAATAGAAGACATGTGAAGATCAATCTGTGAAGGAGCAATAGCTGCAGCGACTATGTATACAATGTATAACGTTAATCAATTTTTTTAAAGTCGATCAATGTTACGTGTTACCTGCACCTCTGGCTTTCTTCCAGGCAGCGTTCGGCTGTGAGTGCACAATACCTCTGGGGCAATAAATTTTTGTTTTAAATTAGTTATGCGATCTCCTTTGTGTTTTATTTATTATTTTTGGGTACCGTTGTGTGTTTAACTTACTTTCCTCCAAAACTGTACAAATTAAAACCAAACTCACTTTCATTTCTTTGTGAACTTTTGCTTCCGTTAGTCACCATAACTTTGTGTGCCAAATCTGGACTATCGATGGAAACCCAAGTTTGAACACCCATATGAAATTGGATGATTGGGCCAAGATTTTTATGCCATTGGGAGACTGTCTCAAAAGGCATATTTCCTAAAGAGAACATGTGGCCCACATAAGGCAAAGAAGAGCCAGGGACTGGAATTTCTTTAGTAAACTTCTTTTTGTCATGAAGTAAAGACTGTATGATCTTGTAAGATAAGTACAAAGCTACAGTTGTACTGGCAACAACCGGAGCCAAAGTTTTGGCCTGTTCGACTTGAATCATAATGTAACTAAGAGAGAGAAAGAAGGATAAACAAAAAAAAAAGCAAAAAATAAATTCTGGGTTTTATGCTTTTTTGTGAAACTGATCGATTAACATTTGTGTAGTACAAGATAAACATTATACAAATCTCCAAGCTGGGTATACATCATCTATTAAACTACCTGTTTTGCACAAAACATTGATCAGAATAAACTGTAGATAGAATATAGCTTCGATAGTCAGTAACTATTATATTCGTAATCAAACACGCATCACACTGTAGCAACAACAACAATTTTAGATTAGCGGGTACTAAAGTATGTGTCCTACCTTCAGCAGCATTATGGTAACATTAACTACACTTCTGTGCGAGGAGGTAAATTTACATTCATGGGGACTGTTTTTCATGCATATACTCTTCATGTGATGATCATGTATTTCAGATTTAGCTGTTGGTGGATCTACTTAATAAAAAAAAAGCTCGAACAATCTTCGAAAGCATTAAGTGCAATGATGCTCTTACAACATTTATGGGTATGCTTGATCCCTGATTTTTAAGAGTTTTAAATTAAGGTCAGAACGATTTGGCTATGGCTACAGAATCGAGTTTTGATTAACTTTAGCGTAGCTGCGTAACACATCCAGGAATAGACACTTATTTATCATGTTCAAATATACATTTTTTGGGGCTGGATAAACCGTCCCAGTTCAGACATTGACCCCCCTAACATAACATTACCTGACATCTATACTGAGATTTCTATACCCGACAGACGTAAAAGGACATATATCATACGGTGCTGTGAGGAATATTCATCACTGATCTTTGAGGATAAATATGCGATTAAAGATCCCGCTGCTTGTTTTTCTAAAAGAGTATGAGACACTCCATCTATCCACCTAAATAATAATGTAAAATAACTACGATCTTTCTATAAAAAAACGTTGCATGAAGGAACTTGAAATGTTGAAGTGGGACTGTAACATTTGTTTAATAAGTCTGTTCACGACCCAATAAATGAATATGTAAAGAAGACACAACACAGAAAAAATGACTATGAATGAGCTTGAATAACAGCATTGGCTATATCTTTTAATTGGGTTGTTTTCCCAAACCAATATATAGTGCCTTGTATTCTTGGAGGAAAAACAATGTTGACAAAACTACATGATACCTTTACTTTATTATAATATACGACTCTCATTACTCTCTCTTAATTGAATATCCTTAAAATGAAAAGCAGTTTGAGGGTCTTGTTCACTCCACATCCCTTGACTGTGTCATGGTGAAACGTCACTGACCCAAGCCGTATAGTGAGTTCATAACGTTTCTACTCATGGTGCCTATCAAAAAAGTCCGACTGAGTGAAAAATGGCAATAAACACGTTTACTTGAATGCTTTAGTTATGCTATGAGCTTTTGTGGCATAAAAATAACGATTTTCGTGTTTATAGCTGTGCAAGCACTGATAAAATATGTATCTTTTATAACAGCTAGTGCTTCTTTAAACAAGAGCAAATATTCACGTGAGTAATGAGGTTGTACTGCTGCCATCATTGAGACGCTGCGCGTAATAGAAGAGAGAGAAAAAATTAATTAATCTTCTATGCATAGTCTTTAAACGAAATGAACTAAAGAGAAATATATCTGTTGTCATATAATTCTTTATTTAACACATAAGTTGCTCTGGTATTTATACCATTTGGTAATCTTTAGTTATGAATGTTCCGTATTATGTAGTTGAGACGTTAGCATAATGACTAGTTAGTGATACGATATATGTAACATTGAGATGATTGCTAGACAAAGATATGATAGTTGAGACCATGATATCATGGTTAAACTGGTATGTGACACGCCATAGAGGAGTTGAGGAATAATATTAATACCTGGGCGGCAGCATTTAACAGTCAGGTTTGTTGGAAATAAGAATCCTGAAGAATAGTGGGGCTGTCGGAGCTCTTGGGACCAGCTCGCAAGCCCAGCGATTTCTGTATTAAGCTTGCGGGAGCTTTTCATTTTAAACTCGTTCACAAAAGAGATCCCTACACGTTGCAAGTGTCCGCTGGTTGTCCCATCATTCTACGGTTGAATGTAGCACAATAGGAGCAAGCCTGGCAAAATGAGTGTAGATTCAAAGAGGTGGAAAAAAACCCAAAAACTGTGAAACCGATTTAAGGTAAATGTCTAGACCTCTCTGTATGTGTAGACCATCACTTGATTCAAAAAATACATAAGTCTTTACGTCGATTGACATGCTATACCGTCTAAACTTCATAAGACGATCGATTTTTGTTTCCCATAAAATATGCTTCACTGTCATTACAAGCTAATACTGGAACGCAGATAGACAATTACCAAATTCTGTGTATTTAAATTTGCTAAATTTAAGTCAGCATATGCTATTCTTGAGGATAAAGAATTAACTAAATCCCAAAGAAATGCACAAATCGAAGCTCTATTATTGATTAAACCTGATGAATCTTATATTTCTCCGGCTTAAAATAAAATTACTTTACCTATTGCTATCTCATGCGACCGTCTTGTCTCTTCATACAAAAGGTGTTTTTGGACGCATGATTGATGCCTATGGTTTACCCATGAAATTGAGATACGATTGTCCTCCTTCTTATAAGCCCGGTGATTAATAACTAATGATGACATAAAACCAAGCTAATCTGGTATAGTATTTTCTAACGATTGCACATGATGTTACCCAAAAAGAATGAGTTGAGCCAGATGTTTTTTTTTTGTAAAGCACTTAGTACATCTAAAAAATGAAGCTACAGAGAAAAATAAAGCATAATTTTGGAATTTAAGAGCTATTATTCTTTACATCTTCTAAAATAGTGTGAAATCTAATCAAGACAGGTTATACAAAACCATAGATATACACAGTTACTGTTAAACGAAAGCCAGGTTTGAGATTAACCCTTAATCGTTTTTCTTTGAAACATTTTTGAGATAAATAATCATTAGTTTTTTTAATTTTGTGTTGGGTCAATCAATGAGCGATCTGTAAATTTGACTTTATAAGGAGATGGTAATATGGAGACACCACCATTTTCAGCTATGTCAATGTTAGGCATACCATCCTCACCAGGTTCAATAAAGCATCGAGACATCAATTCAACAAATCCAATAAACGTTTCTACTTCAGCCATATGGATTGCAGGACAAATACGTCTATTTTTTTAAAAAATAATAGCATGGTCAGCATTTGTATTTTGCATAAGACGAATTAAATTACCTTCCCCATCCGAAGTTGAAATGATCGCGGTCCTCTACTTTACCCTTCGATGAGGCGGACGATGTTTCTAACTTTTCCAGAAATCTTTCAGGAACATATTCGTTGGGTCTGTCTGTATAAAATTCCGAATTTTGATGCATACTTATCATGTTCGAAATAATAGTAGCACCTTTAGGAATAATATATCCATCAACTTCAACTAAAAACCAAATGGAAAAGGTAATTAGTCATATAGAAAAGGAGCTAAATATATACACTTACTATCGTCAATAGCCAAATGAGGAATACCGAATGCCGTAATTGGCTTGTATCTCATACATTCCTTCATAGCAGAGATACAAAATGGCAACTCCAATCTTTCACTGAAAAGAGGCAAGCGACCATTTCGTTTAACAAAGTCATCGATTTCTGCAGCAATCTTCAACTGAACCTCTGGATGACGGCACATGATAGCTATCGTCCAGCACAAATACAATGAATTTGTATCTGTTCCTGCGGAAATTAAATCCGCTAACACAACCAAAATAAAACAGGTCAGATATGAAAGTGTTGATTTTTTAATTTGATTGCTTTGTAACTTACAAAAGATAACCATTGTTTCTTCCTCAGACAAATCATAGCCATTTTCTTTCAAATATTTGACAAGATTTGGTCCATCGGTATGATATGCATCGTCAATCAATCCACGGAAGAGAGGGTCGCGTCTTTCTTTCAAAAATCGTTTGAGAATACTTCGAACACCTTTAAAATAATCGTAGATGGCAAAAATAGGTAAGTAGTTTGCCAAATCATAGTCTACACCACTGAGTTTAAAGCCCTCGTCGATTGTTTCCGATATCTCGATGAATTTAGGGTCGTCTCTAGTAGGAAAGGTTCTTCCAAATGCAATCAATGTGACAGTGTTCATTACGTAAAGCTGTAAATCTTTGAATGGGAAAGAACCGGCTTTGGTTTTTTTAGATGTTTCTATAAGTGTATCCACCAATTTTTTGGCTTGCTTCTGGATAGAAGCCATGTGAAGCTCTATTTGCGAAGGCGCAATAGCAGCAGTGACTGCGCAATATATACAGTTAGTCGACTTTGGTGAAAAAAAAAGTTTGATATTTTGTGGTACCTGCTGCTCGTGCTTTTTTCCAAGCAGGATTTGGTTGTGAGTTCACAATCCCCCTAATGCGATAGAAATTATTTAGATTTCTTGTGCGACCTTCATATATATATATATTACTTACTTCCCTCCAAAGCTGGACAATTTGTACGAAAATTCGTTTTCATTTCTATGTGAAGCTTTGCTACCATTTGTCACCATTACTTTATGGGCTAATTCTGGACTATCAATGGAAACCCAAGTTTGAACACCCATACGAAATTGGATAATTGGACCAAGCTCCTTATGCCATTGGGAAATTGTCTCGGCTGGCATATCCCCCAAAGAGGACATGTGGCCTACATAAGGATAAGAAGAGCCAGGCACTGGGATTTTTTTGGCGTACTTATTTTTTTTGTGAAGCAAGGAGAGAAAAATCTTATAAGAGAGGTATAAGGCTACAGTTGTACCAGCAATAACAGGAGCTAAAGCCTTGCCTTGTTCCACTTTAATCATAATGTAACAAAACAAACGGGAGGTGAGTGAAAGGAAGAGAGAGAGACGAACAAAGTGAAGAAAAAAGATTAGGTTTTTATACTATCGTTGTGGAACATATCAAATGTATACATATGTTGCACAATGTAAACATTGCACAAACCTTAAAGTCGATTGGCCCTTGTGAAGATTTTACTTCGTTTGAGAGATTGACAAAAACACGTTTTGAGTAAAGTGGCACATCAATAATCAGGCGTTTTTAGATCCCTAGTATAGGGCCGATAAATAATAACAAAAAAAAAAAAAAAAAAAAAAAAAAAAATAGGTAAGCGGACGGTCAAAGTCTGTTACACTTTTTCAATAATTTTGGTAACATTGTCGGAACCTTTGTGGGCGGAAAGTAAGATTTGACCAATGCCAATACTAATCCTGCTGTATCTAAGGTTAGTGTGTGATGACTAACAGTTTCAAAGTTAGACATTGTTTGATAAGGTGTGATTCGCTCCAAAAAGAAATCTGGGTAGACTTGCACTAACATTTACGTTCAACTTGGTAACCGTACGGGTACGTTGACATCAGATCTCAACAAAGAATCCTGATGTTTTATTAAAGAATTTAAATATTCAAAAGGTCGATGAAGGTCCACTTTAGACATAGTTTTGTATTTAGTCTTAAACATTATTACGTTTTCCATGGGTAGATTATAATTTGCAGGTTTGGATTCGAATAGAAATATTTTGAAGTTGTTTTTAACTTAAGCGACAGAAGTAAAGCTTCAATCACTTTTTAGTTTTATTGTTTCATTGAAAAGTAGTAGTTGTTGCTTCTTTGATTATACTTTAGTAAATTCCGTTAGAAGTGATCAAAGTTTAATTTTTGCGATTTGTAAATTTGACTTTGTAAGGAAGTGGTAAAATAGCAATGCCTCCATTGTCTGCTTTGTTGATGTTAGGCATGCCATCCTCACCAGGTTCAATAAAGCATCGAGACATCAATTCAATAAATCCAATAAACGTTTCTACTTCAGCCATATGGATTGCAGGACAAATACGTCTTTGTATTTTTATGTATATATATATAAAGCATGGTCAACATTTATATCTCATACAAAAAAAAACTTTTTTACCTTCCCCATCCAAAGTTAAAATGATCTCGGTTTTCCAGTTTACCCTTAGATGCAGCAGACGATGTTTCGAGTGCATTCATAAATCTTTCGGGCACAAATTCGTCAGGTCTGTCTGGATAAAATTCTGAATTCTTATGCATACTCATCATGTTTGGAATAATGGTAGCGCCCTTGGGAATTATATAGCCATCGACTTCAACTACAATAAAAATACATAAATCAGTCATGAAAGAAATAGGTAGTTGCATAAGCTTACTATCGTCAATAGCCAAATGAGGAATACCGAATGCCGTAACCGGTTTAAATCTCATGCATTCCTTCATAGCTGAGATACAGAAAGGCAACTGCAACCTTTCGCTGAAAAGAGGAAGACGATCATTTCTTTCAATAAAGTCGTCAATTTCAGCCGCTATTTTTTTCTGAACCTCTGGGTGGTGGCACATGATTGCGATAGTCCAACATAAATACACCGAGTTTGTATCTGTACCTGCTCCTGTTAAATCAGCTAATTTAATGAAAACGAAACATGTTAGATGCTAATGCTGAATTTTTTTATACATAACTTACAAAAGATAACCATTGTTTCTTCTTTAGATAAACCATAACCATGATCATCCAAATACTTTACAAGATTTGGCCCATCAGTATAATGTGCATCTTTAATCAAGCTGCCATAGACAGGATTGCGTTTTTCTATCAAGTGTCGGTTGAGAATTTTTCGAACGCCTTTAAAATAATCGTAAATGGTGAAAACAGGCAAATAATTTGCCAAATCATAGTCTACACCACTGAGCTTAAAACCCTCGTCAATTGTTTCCGATATCTCAATAAATTTACGGTCATCTCTAGTAGGAAAGGTTCTTCCAAATGCAATCAACGTGACAGTATTCATAACATACAATTGTAAATCTTTGAATGGAAATATACCAGCTTTCGTCTTGTCAGATGAATCCATAAGTGTATCTACCAGTTGTTTTGCTTGATTCTGGATAGAGGTCATATAAAGCTCAATTTCAGAAGGCGCAATAGCTGCGGCAACTATATGAATTATAAAGTTAATTAACAGTATAAAAATAATTTAGTATTTTGTTTATATACCTGCTGCTCTTGCTTTCTTCCATGCAGCGTTTGGTTGTGAGTTGACAATACCTCTAATACAATAGAATAAGTAATCAGATTAATCGTGTGAGCTTTTTTTTCTTGTGTTTTGCTATTATCGTTTTCTACTTACTTTCCTCCAAAGCTATACATATGAAACATGAATTCATTTTCAGTTCTATGTGATGTTTTGCTGCCGTTTGTTACCATGACTTTGTGCGCCAATTCTGGACTGTCAATCGAAACCCAAGTTTGAACACCCATACGAAATTTGATAATTGGACCAAGCTCCTTATGCCATTGTGAAATCTTCTCGGCTGGCATATCTCCCAAAGAAAACATATGTCCTACATAAGGATAAGAAGAGCCAGGCACTGGGATTTCTTTGATATACTTATTGTTTTTGTAAAGTAGGGAGTGAAAAATCTTATAAGAGAGATATAAGGCTGCGGCTGTACCAACAACAACAGGAGCCAAAGCTTTACCTTGTTCAGCTTTATTCATAATGTAATAATGAGTGAAAGAGTGTTAAACTAGATAAATGAAAATCAGAAATTAACAGATACATATATATATTAGTTTGAAACACAAACCAAGGCCTATGTGGGTAGCACACGAGAACTGCGCAAACTTTAAAAATTACAGCTCCCATCGTACGAAAAAAAAAAACGTTTCTTTAAACGTCATGTAAAACTCTGAACTCCCATTTTCGTATCACTGACTGCTTACTGCGTCGTCAAGACCGCGGTACTCTATAAGTATCTTCGCTTACACTAACACGTATAATTATTTCATCTGTAGCGGTTATTCATAGACTATAAATACTCCAAACAATCATTATAAAATAAAGTATCTTATTTTCATCATCTTAACCTACGTCACTAGAGTAAAGCCCGAATACTAAGCCTTGTTTAAATCCATGATCTCGTGCCCGATGCATATATAATTAAATATTTTAGTTTCTCTTCCGCCATGGCTGAAATCCCTATGTATAGAAATTGTATTCTATTTGCGGTAACTGCTGCTTATCATATATAATTTATACGTAACAGCCCATGTTACTAAAAACTAGAGATCCAATAGTGTGTGAATTACGCCAAATAAAAACTTAATTGTACGGTTTTTATGCCCGAAAGCTATCATGTCAATTCTCTGACACCGTCGAAGGGAACATGGGTGAATTCCAAAATATGTTTAACTCGAAAGGAAAAAAATACAGCTATTAAATATCATTAAGTAATAGAAGTTTGCAACTATAATTTTGGTTAATAAATTTGCGCTTCATATTATAAATCAAAAAATTGATGGAGGTTATTCCTACCGCCAGATGTATTTGATCCCCACTAAGGTTTGAGTTACTTATATAATTAAGCATAAAACAAAAAACACTTGAAAAATTCTAAAAAATTTGTGTTATTCAGTTGTACTTAGAAGGTAATTGGATAAGATAACAGATTTATTGATACACGCTTATAGGAATTTAATGCTAGAAAATAATGAGTTTAGCGTAATTTTTCACTAATTTTGCGCTTACACTAATATAGATTCCCGCAATAATAATAAAATACGCTCTTTATTTATGCTTTAGTAATTTTTCTTTAGACTGATCAAATTTGATTTTTGCGCTTCGTAAATTTGACTTTGTAGGGAGATGGTATAATGGTAAGACCCCCGTTTTCAGCTTTGTCAATCCTAGGCATACCATCCTCTCCAGTTTCAATAAAACATTGAGACATAAGTTCAACAAATCCAATAAACGTTTCTACTTCAGCCATATGGATTGCAGGGCAAATACGTCTTTTTTTAGAAAAAAAAAAATTAAGGAGTACGGTTAGCATTTCTTTTTTGTACAAAAAATATTTTTTTACCTTTCCCATCCAAAATTAAAATGATCACGGTCTTCTACTTTACCCTTAGAAGCAGCATCTGTCATTTCTAGAGCATTCATAAATCTTTCAGGGACAAATTCGTCAGGCCTATCGGGGTAGAATTCCGAATTCTTGTGCATACTCATCATGTTGGAGGTTATAGTAACGCCCTTAGGAATAATGTACCCATCAACTTCAACTAAAAATCGAAAAAAAATGAGATTAAATAGAGACTAGGTAAATAAATGAACTTACTCTCTTCGATTGAGAAGTGAGGAATACCAAATGTTGTGATAGGCTTGTATCTCATACATTCCTTCATAGCAGAGATACAAAAAGGTAACTCCAGTCTTTCACTATAAAGAGGCAGACGACCATTCCGTGCAATAAAGTCATCAATTTCAGCAGCTATTTTTTTCTGAACCTCACGATGGTTGCACATGATGGCGATTGTCCAGCATAAATATACTGAATTTGTGTCTGTTCCTGATGATGTTAAATCCGCTATAAAGCAGTAGACATAAAAAAATTAGATTGAAATCTTGGAGCTTTCTTTTTTTTTGAACTTACAAAAGACAACTAGAGTCTCTTTCTCAGATAACTCGTAGCCATTTTCTTTTAAATATTTAACAAGGTTTGGTCCATTGGCATGATGTGCTTTTTTAATCAAGTTTCCAAAGACAGGATCGCGTCTTTCGGTCAAATGTCGACTGGGAATTTTCCGAGCACCTTTAAAATAATCGAAAATAGTAAAAACTGGCCAAATCATAGTCTACACCACTAAGCTTAAATCCTTCATCAATTGTTCCAGATACCTCGATGAACGTTGGGTCGTCTTTAGTAGAAAAAGTTCTTCCAAATGCAATTGATGTGACAGTGTTCATTACATACAATTGCAAATCCTTAAAAGGAAAGATACCTCCTTTAGTCTTGTCAGATGTATCCATAAGTGTATCGACCAATTGTTTTGCTTGGTATCTGATGGAATCCATGTAAAGCTCAATTTGCGAAGGCGCAATAGCTGCAGAAACTATATATTATACGGCATTAAATACTTAAATATAAATGCATCGCTTGGTTTTGTTACCTGCTGCTCTTACCTTCTTCCAGGAAGCATTTGGTTGTGAGTGCACAACTCCCCTGGAGGAATCAAAAACAATCAGAATTTAACAAAAATGTCGAGCTTTGTGTTCATGTTTTTTATTTCTTACATTCCCCCAAAACTATACATTTCAAATAAGAATCCATTTTCAGTTCTATGCGAGGTTTTACTGCCGTTTGTCACCATGACTTTGTGCGCCAATTCCGGACTGTCAATCGAGACTCAAGTTTGAACACCCATATGAAATTTAATAATTGGACCAAGCTCTTTATGCCATTCCGAAACTTTTTCAGCCGGCATATCTCCCAGAGAAAACATATGTCCTACATAAGGATAAGCAGAGCTAGGTACTGGAATTTCTTTAATATACGTATTTGTTTTGTGAAGTAAGGTATATAAAATCTTGTAAGAGAGGTATAAGGCTGCGGTTGTTCCAACAACAACAGGAGCCAAATATTTCCCCTGTTCAACTCTATTCATTACGTGACAACAAAAGAAGGAGGAAAAATAAAATAAAAAAGCACTTTTTCGCTCGAAATTTTGACAAAAATAGATTCTGAATCAAGTAAATCTTTGATTCTCAGCCATGTGAGAGTTCGTGCTTCAGTACCCATCACACAATAAATGTGAATTAGGTTAGCGCGTAGTTAACTGCTTGTCCCACCATTGCTTAACTTATTATGTATGTCCCACAGAATGCAAAAGGCGACCCGTTTAATTCGGTACTTATTGCTATTCAGGAAAAAGTCGACCATGCTTCAATGTTAGAAACTAATGAATACTGTACGCGGATTTATGAAGAATTTAGGCTATTGCTTCCTGTTTTGATCATCTCTATCAAAGGATGGTCTATTCTAGAGGACAACTCATTTTTGGTGTAATTAACATGTAGCTTCTGGGGACAGAAGAGTTTTTTTTCCTGATTCAGTTAGCACAACAGATGCAACTAATGTATCCGTACCTGCACTTATTAAACTATGCCAATTTATGTCTGATGCAAACAAAACGCTTTGTTTTTCATACAATTTGAGACTTAAACTAATTGTTTGGCCTGTGAAGTTACAATAGGCAAAGACAGATTACAATAAAAAAAAATATGTATAATTTCATTTTAGTTTTTTTTTCTGTTTCTTTCGTCGTTGGATATGATAATATGACAATTCTAAACTGTATGACGATTTTAAACTATATGATGACTTATACAACTTGAAACAACCTTTTGGTTTCCCTTTGTTGAAAATATCTTTTCAGTTCTTGTTTTTGCGAGGAACGGTTAAACTTTCGATAAATTGGGCATCTTCAAGGGTATGTTGTAGTATGGTATTATTGTCTTCCATTGTGTTACCACCGCCTTCCAATGCGTACAATGGTAGCGGGGAATTAGGGTTCGACTCCGGAGAGGGGGCCTTAAAAACGGCTACTACATCCAAGGAAGGCAGCAGGCCGATCCCGACACGAGGAGGTAGTGACAATAAATAACAATGCAGGGCATTTGCATTCTTAGAATTTAGGATCAGATTGACACTTATAATCAGTTTCCCATAAATTAGGCTATTCCTTCATAGCACGCTTCTGATAAAGATTAACAGTTGGGAATACACATTTTACTGTTCGGCTACTTTGTTTTCACCAAACTGCTTTTAAACTAAGAAAATGTCATCGCTATTTAGTTTTGATCTGACAGTAACAAATACCATGTTATGCTTTCTTCCATACTTATCGGCAGTGGAACGCGAATGCACTAAAGCAACAAAAGTACTTACGATTCCAAAGGTTTCGACCATTCGCGATGACTTTATTCTGTAACTTCAAAAATGTTCATTTTTTAATAGGTGAAAGTAGGACTGAAATTTAAAGAAGGTAACTCTTTGAGCAAGCTCTTTGAGCAAAGTACTGTTGCTTATAAAATAAAGTACAAATACGTTGTCCCCGATTTCGGTGCACCAGCAGGTGAACAACCCGGACTTTGACCGGACCAAAAAAATACGTAGTTCTAGACATTTCCATAAAATTCAGATTGGATACTCTCATGCAGGTTTTTTTTTTATAATCTTCTTAAAACATGCACTTTTAAATCTCTTACTCAATCATAAACTAGGTATACAAAGAGTCACCTACAAGTCAACAACTAAAATTAAGTTGTTTCTTTTCTACCTTAAAACATTTCTAGATGGAAGGAAATAAGAACAAGTCCTGTATATGTTTAATGTTGTAACGTAAGAAGAATTCCAATACTCATTATTGTCTTGCCTAGCGCTCGCAATCAGGTAAAAAAGAAAAGAAAAAATTGCTCACATCTAGTTTTGAATGCGGTGCTTTGAATACAGTGAAAAACGAACTACTTTGTGCTTCATTGGGTTTGACTACGTTATTCTTGCACTACATTTTGATAGACTTTAGCGTCCTTGTGACTTGGGTCTCTTTGTTATTTCATTGGGGTCGACAACTACTGTACTGTCAGCTACATCACTTTTACACTAGATGGCTTGACAGTCTTTAGCGTCCTTGTGACTTGGGTCTCTTTGTTATTTCATTGGGGTCGACAACTACTGTACTGTCATCTACATCACTTTTGCATTAAATGGTTTGATAGTCTTAAGCGTTCTTGTGACTTGGGTCTCTTTGTTATTTCATTGGGGTCGACAACTACTGTACTGTCAGCTACATCACTTTTACATTAGATGGTTTGATAGTCTTTAGCGTTCTTGTGACTTGGGTCCCTTTGTTATTTCATTGAGGTCGACAACTACTGTACTGTCAGCTACATCACTTTTGCACTAGATGATTTGATAGTCTTTAGCGTTCTCGTGACTTGGGTCCCTTTGTTATTTCATTGAGGTCGACAACTACTGTACTGTTAGCTACATCACTTTTACACTAGATGGCTTGACAGTCTTTAGCGTCCTTGTGACTTGGGTCTCTTTGTTATTTCCGGGAGGTCAATAACTACTGTTCTGTACCCTTTTTAAAACAAGATAGGTGCTTGCGTCCTCGTGACTTGGGTCCTTCTGTAACGTCTTTGCTCTAATGAGACCGATATTTACTCGATTATTGTGCTTGGTAGGTGTGATCTACATAAATAAACTTCACGTCTAACATTTTATCTTGTTAAACCTCGCTAGATCATTTCGATAATTGTTGGACGAAGGAAAAGCATTGTGCTCGGAGTATTAAAGAATTTCAAGACGTGCAGCGATATCCAAATATATGCAAAGAGCGATCATGAGAAGCTTTGGTGTCGCAAAAATCGGTGTTTTGCATTATGCAGGAAATACACAACAAGAACTTAGACGGAGAGAAGAGTTGCAAGCATTAACTAGGTTTAGAGCTGGCTATTTCTGTTGTAATAAAATAACTACCGCGTTATATAAGAATGGATAACCATATAAAATAGCCACGAATCGCGCATCATTCTACTAGCTATTATCACAGCCGCTGATGGTTGTGTGTAAGATTCTTAACCTCATGTTTAGTAAAATATTTAAAAAAATTAGTCATATCGTGTATGTCGAGAGCAAATTAAGCATTTAATAAAGGATTATCTTAGAGTATTTTTTTTTCTAAAAGTTTCTCGACTATTAGTTGAATGTAGATTAAATTTCGTTTGCTTATTAGTGAAACATACGAAGGATGGATGATTCAATGGTAATAGAACTATTTGAAGTATATAACTACGAACAGGGAACTTGAAAAACCTGAAAAGCCTCAAAGTAGAAGGATTCGAGTGAAAAAGACTCAGCCTTGTAGAATAACTTCGTGCCATGAAGCACCAATTGGCGTTGGCAACGCTGTATTATTCCTGTTTCTCCAAATAAAATCTTTTTGTAAAAATCACTAAAATCCCAGACAGTCGGTACGGATAAATTTCCATTCCATAAACATATGTTATCAATTAGCACAGGAACGGTTGTGTAAATATGATATACCGTATTACATAACAAATCGCTTTCTTGCTAACTGATACGAAAGAAAGAACTATTTTGACTTAAACTTGTTTTCTCATGAAACGTGAGGCAATTTTCAAGTTATAAGCCAATTTTCAGTTCTCAATATCTATGACAAGGGAAGTACCTCCAGCAGATCCGTTTACTAGCAGAATAACAGATATTTCATGTTTTAAATAAGAAAGCAACGCAGTATTGTCCGCACACAATGTCCATGTAATGGGAATGCTTGCCCTCCCAGCTGAGTATAAAGTCCGTGATGCTAAATTACAGTAAAGGGCCTTTCTGCATACAGATATATTGGGCACCAGCTAAAACAGTCACTCAGTGCGTAATCTTTTTTACTTTGCAGGTAATTTCATTATAGCGTTTCTCTTATTTAATTCATATACAGAAATGGTATGGAAAACCAAGGGAATTTTTATCTTAAAGTGACTATTTGAATTTTTTAACCATTAAATCTTACAAGTAGTTCAACAATTACAACGATGACGATGGGTTTTCAGGTGCATTTTTTGGAGGTTTGCGTCCTAGTCTCGGAGGCTTCGTGAACCCAAACAGAGGGTTTTCAGAAAACTACCGTTGCTTTCCGATTGCCATGATGCAAAATGGAAGTGAAAGAGAGAATGTCAACTATGGCGGCAAAAGTAAGTGAAATCCTTACAATGTATTGACCATTTTAACTAAATGTTTAAAAAGTTATTCTACCTCAGTCGGCTTTAGAGAAACTCTGTAGGTAGCCTCATTTTTTCTTATTTGATTGTTTCGGCTAACATTCTTTAGCTCAACTCAATATCTCGTATCCCATGTTGTTTAAACTGGTAAATGGATTGGAAAAGAAACACAGTCATGCAGGTGTTCTCGAATTTATTGCAGAGGAAGGCAGAGTCTACTTACCACAATGGGTAAAGTTCTTTGATAAGTGCAATTGTATGGATATGCGATTGATGTTGTTTTAAATGATAGATGATGGAAACTTTAGGCACAGAACCTGGAAATATTATTGAGGTCAAAAATGTCACATTACCGCTCGGTTCATTTGTCAAAATCCAACCTCAATCTACCGACTTTTTAGATATCAGCGATCATCGTGCAGTGTAACGTATATATCATTTCAGGCATAGAAAGCACACAATAATTAATCACTTGTTTTTTTTATGCAGTCTCGAGAAGGCGTTACGTAATTTTTCTACCTTGACTGTAGGCGACATGGTTCAGATTAATTACAACAATAAAATATACGAAATCCAAGTGTTGGAAGTCAAACCTAACTATCCTGAACATTCAGGTATATCCATCATTGAAACTGATTTGGAAGTGGATTTTGCTCCACCTGTTGGATATGTTGAGCCAGCTAGTCAAAAACCAGTACAATCTGTAAGTTGCTATTTTAAAAGGACTGAAAGAATGATAAAGCTTATATATACGTATGTATGATTAGAAGAGTCATATGGTCATTGATCTTCCTAAAGTTGAAAAGTCTGGGTTTGCTGCTTTCCAGGGTGGCGGACAAAGTCTTCGTGGAAAGAATAAAGGGTAAGCATACGCTTTTTTTAAGAAAGTTTGGACATTGACTTGTTTATGTAGAAAAGCAAACGCTGTAGATACTAATATGGATACAGATGAAGGTGACGATGAAGGGCCATTACATTTACCCTTTGGACAACTTTATTTTGGATTTCCTGTGGTTCCACCACCCAGTGCAGACGAAAAAGATGATAAAAAGCCAAAACATGTCTTTACTGGCTCGGGTCAAACACTTCGAAACAAAAAGAAATAAACAGAGGGATGATGTTTTTTTTAATAAGTATTATTCAAATAAATGAAATCATTTATTTTTAATATACAATTGTGTACACCAAGCTTGAATAACACGGGAAATGTAAAGTGAACGAGGAGACCAAGTTATATAATAAACATGATGACCAGCCTATAAAATATAAATAGTTAGTAACTTGTAAATCCATGTGAGTATTATAACACTTACAGGTAGTAAAAACAGTTCACATCCTAATCCTCCTGTCGCTGTATTAAAAATTAGTACTACGTTGTACTGAGCGATGATTTCCGTTTACCTTGGTTGTACGCTTCCTTGAAAGATTTAGACATCTCACATTCTGTTAAGCCGTCGCGCTCACCAGCTATTAACAAGAAAGGGACCAATTTATTCTCGCCTCTTGCTTTCTCAACCAATGACAAAGGTGAATGTTGATTTAAAAATACGGTATCGACTTTGTCAAGCTTAGCGACGTGCTTTGAGAAAAAAGTTGCATGATGGGCTTTAGTTACGACATCTAAGGCACCACTCAATGTGATTACACCACGAACAGATGTATCTACATCTTCAAACCCAGGTTGATACTGAGGTTCGTTGGTTGTCATAGATGCCATCGCGGCTAAATGTCCACCGGCAGAGTCACCTGTTTTAATTCAGTAATTAAGACATGCCACACACTCATGTACACAAATTTCTTACCTGATAATACAATGAAATTGGGATCACCTCCAAAGGAAGCAATATTCAGCTTCATCCAACGAATAGCACGTTTGATATCCATTAAATGAGTAGGGTATGCATTTTTAGGCACAAGACGATATCCGACATTCACAATGACCTGTTTAAAAAGAGATATTAGCTGCTTGTAATTCTTTTACATAAAGTCTACCTACCCAATTGTTCTCTTGAACAAGTAATTTTTCATGAGGATAAAATGTGTTTTTAGATCCAAATTCCCAGGCTCCACCATGAATATGAACCTGAGAAAATTAATACCAAAAAAAATTAGAAAAAAAAATTCCCACTTACTAACACAGGTTGTAAACCAGATTTGGATGGTTTGGAGGAGGTATAAACATCCAACATCATTTTACGAGGTTGATCGAAATCTTGGTTGGTAGTGTTCAAAGCGTCTCTGATTTCTTCATTGTTGGCATATGTAACTGAAACAAGAAAAATTTATATCAAATTCATAAAGGTACACATGCCAATATTTCACTTACTGTTTGGGTGGACCTTTATATTTTCAGGTGTCCAAATTGGATTGATTAATTTTTTAAAATCTTCAAAACTATTCAATCTCCATTCAGTTAATTTGTATGGTAAAATAATAAAGGGGGGGCGGGGAGCTTACCAGACAATACTTTTGATAGGTTGACTTGATGCGTCAATAGCCTTAACAACAGTATCAGCTACCGTGATTTCATTTAACATTTCAAAAAAGAGCATGCCCAAAGCACCCATAGTTATAATATCGACAATATACATGATCCAAGAAAGGGCATAGTCTAGTAAACATTGTTAGTTTCTCTTTTGTATTGCACGCGAAACAAAATCCACCATACTGAATCCACCGAAAAAATTGACAAGTTGGATAATAACTAGTTTGAGCACAATGAGATGATGACTCGATTCCGTAATTCCAGAAGTCAGAATCTCGCAGTAAATCATATACTTTCGCAACTTCGAGTTAAATAATGGTCTGACAATGGGCAAATCAAAAGCACAAACTGTTCCGGCTGCAAAAAACAGGACCGAAAATATGTAGCATGTTGCTACAAACGCCGAGAGTAAAGACATAAAGAAAAAATAAAGCTGGTTCAGATTTTTTTTTTCTCTTCCTTTTAAAATAAGCGCTGTTATTTTTGTGTACCCATAAAAAGTGTCGTGGGCCCATTATGCCACCAATTCGCTAATCGGCGACTGTAACTCAGTACGCATAAACAACCGCAGCAATCGTATCTACTACCTTACAATAGTAGTTACCGCGGATTGAAAACTGTAACATATATGAATAGCTTCAATTATCAATCAATAAACGTGATCTTTATTACCCTCTAGAAAGTTAATCACGTAGGTCAAGGGAGACCTAGCCCTTCTGACTCAGTATTAAAGCACTGTCCCCAAGCTCATTTTAAAAAGGTATAGAAGGTGCTTTAATATAGTGAGAATTTTATACCTTTGTGAAAAAATCAAAGTTATACTTGACCATTTGATTTTGTTCTTTTATATTGTAAATCAAAAGCTAATTCATAAAGCATAAAATAATACAACAAAATGTGAACTATTGTTCCCGTCTGGCTGTTTTCAAGCGTTCTTGTGAATATAATTTCTTTATTCGCGTCACATACTTCTCTCTTGCCTGTTATTGCCATGCCAGGATTATATTGGGTGGCTAAATCGACCAGGAATTTGTAAAAAATTGTTTTGGGATTTCAGCCCATATTTTGCTTTCCAATTTTAACATAAACAATTAATTAAGTCACAACTTTATCGTTTTCGACGGATTTTTAACAAATGTTTAAAAGATTTGATCGTTTGCCGCTTACACGAATTAAATTACTTGGAAGCACAAATTGTCCTGTCAATATACTTTTGAATAGACATCTATGTGCTACAGACCAGTTTAAAAATGATTATCGAACATCTATTAAGCATTTTTAAAAGAACTCATTTTGATCAGCAGTTCAATCTTGTCCCAATTTATCTTGTATCAAATGACAATTATTTTAAAATTCGATAATTACTCTAGTAAAATCAAGGGACCTGAGAAACAAACAAACACATTGAGATAATGAGGTATAAGTCAAAATACAATAAAGCCTACAAAGGAAATGAGCTCCTTTCTTAGTAGTTATACAAAGCGTCTATGCCCCATGCCTTGTACGAATTTTAGATAGAACTTGTTGGACACACATAAATAAATTTGCTTGTAATACTAACATACCCTGTAACGTCTATGTAATTATTTTGTTTTCTGAGTATACCATTTATCATAGAATTAAAATTCATTGTTAAGTATTTTACCTGGCAATAATATTGTTCCCCAAATAGCACAATTATCTACAATAAAACCATCAAATACACATTATAGTATAACAACAATAACATTACTGAGAATAAAGACATCAACTGTATAAATAAGAGAATAAATTACACTGTTATTCTTTTAACAATTTGCGATGGACACACTTATGTATCTAATAACATATATTACGGACACCTTATATGACGGTCTTGCTAGTATAGTCAGCATTTTCCACCCCATTATTCAATTTTTTCAGGACATTGAAGAATATTGTTCGGGGCAACAGTATTGTAGATATATTAGACCTTTCCTTTTGCATAACTTGGTCATTCGACTTTACAAGGGTATAGTATATGTCTTCACTCTTGTAGCTTATATGGTGATTGGATTATGCATGCTTCCAGTAAGAATATGTATCTCAGTATTCAATGGGATTTTAAATTTGATTGACGTACTCCCTTGGGCCGCCTATAAATTGTTTACTTTTTGGTATAGATTGAATGCCCTTGGAATTAATGCCATTCTGATGATAATCTACACCGTTTACAATGCCCCTCGTAATATATACAATGCCGTGAGAAAGTTTAGTCTTAAAGCCATCGTCGATGATATCATGAAGCCATTGCCAGGTACATCCAGTATGTTTCCCGAAGGTTCCTATTTTTATCGGGTTGGAAAAGTAATTACCAAAACCTGGCGCAAAATAGAATGCTCTACTTTACCTTCAAATATCAATTGTTTACTCGGAATATCGTCGATTCCTGCCAACTGCTACTTGTACAAGGTCTCTCCAACAGCAATTAGTGATACCGCCGGCGTCGCTTCGGAAACTTTCCTTTATTTTCTGTCAAAAGTCGTTATACCGACAGCCGGATTCATTTACCCTATTACTTATGAAGAGCCTGAATTGACTACAATAGCGTATATAATTGATTTTGTGATTGAAACATTGTTTCCCTCTAAAAAGATGATGATCTGTTCTCTCCAACCGCAACCATTAACTCGATACCAGAAAATGATGGATTTATTGAGACGGACAGCTCAAATTCAAGGATCCATCGTGAACTATAAACTAAATGCAACGGTACAATGTGTTCACTCTAGAACAGGAGAAAGAGATTACATGACCGCACTCTGTGAGTTACAACAATGAAAAACTTTCATACATATATATATATATACTTACAACTTATTTTTATCTTTAGACTATTTCTTAATTTTCGTAATCCTTCTTAACTCACTTCTCGTCATTATGTCGTTTTTACGCAATAGAAATAATGGAGCACGGAACACTCAACAAGCAAATTTGGGAACTGATAATGGAGACGCTGGTAATAATGCAGGTGCTGGTGATAATTGGGACGCTGGTAATAATGGGAACGCTGGTGATAATGGGAACGCTGGTGATAATGGGAACGCTGGTGATAATGGGGACGCTGGTGACACTGAAAGTCCCGGTTCCTTGACACCCGACTCCCAAGACAGCAACAGCTCTAGTACCGAAGATGATTATGTCGACGCTACTGAAGAACCAATCTTGGAAAATACTCAAACAGGCCGAGCACAAGCAGATCAAGCACAAGCAGGTCAAACCCAAGCTACCCAAGGTCGAGCTACTCAAGGCCAAGCTGGTCCAAGTCGAGCTGGTCCAAGTCGAGCTGGTCCAAGTCAGGCTGGTCCAAGCAAAGTTACCCGAGGACAAGCAACTCGAGGACAAGCTACCCAATGACAAGCTATCCGAGGACAAGCTACCCAAGGTCAAGCAGCTCAAAATCAAACTTAATTACAATATGTGACGTGCTTACGCTGAGGAAAGTACATATTCTTTTTTTTAAAAAAAATAAACAAATTACATTAAACCAAGAAACCTCTCATTTAAAAATGTGCGAATTATCCTTTATTACGCATCCTAAATAAATATAGAATATTTCCTAGAGTTATGAGTGCTGTATATTTTATAATATAAAGTAGTTACCTATGTTTTTTGGACCTGTGCCAATCCATTTGATTGTGAATAGCACACAGCAGATTTTTTCAAACGATCATTTTACATTTTTTTTTATCATTTATCTTGTCCAGCTTACATGTTAAATAAGATATCGATCCAGTACTCGTTAAATTACCATCCTTCTTCGATGTTATTTATGCACTAGCACGTTCTGAACGTTTAACTTTAAATTTACTGTCAAGAGAAACTTTATATAAATGCCAATTTTTATTGTGTAAATCTAATATATCGATGATTTCAAAAAAAAAAAAAAAAAAAAAAAAAAAAAAAAAAAAAAAAAAAAAAAAAAAAAAAAATTAGCTCATCTAGCACGTATAGCACCAAGTAACATATCGAGTTCCTCGAGTGTGAATTAAAGGGAGAGACTAAACCCTAAGTTCCTCTTTTTCGAGGTGTCTGTTAAAAATGCTGGGCATTTTTGGTTTTTAACGCATCTTCGAATACCATAATAGGTTGTACAGTAAGTATATTGTTTTAATCATGGGGCGTTTCAAACAATAAACTGCCCACTAAAATATTCGTTTTATGATTTAGAGAGCCCGGTAGAGTAAAGAGTGTCGGCACGTTCCATAATGTGCAAAGTCTTCGGCAGGATCTTTTAAATGCTTCAATCCCCGATCCGATTCTACATTTCTACATCGAGTCACCATCAAAGCACCATCGCCAGTTCGAATAAGGCATTTGGTTTTTAAAGTATAAACGTTGCCTGCAGCATTTCTACCAGAACTTTGTCATGTTACAAGCAGTTTTATCCAATGATGTGACTATTCATTCTCAATCGCGCGTGTTGTACGACAATCATCACATGTCATAAATGTTAGTTTCACGTATTTTAAACAAAGCTAAATAAAAACGGCCCTTTTTTTTTCTTATCTTTTTCTTTTACTAAATATGAAAGAATCAGAGAGGAGCATTTTAAGCAAGCCGGTCTCACAAGTTATACCAAATGTTCGTTGGGCACCGCTACGGGGGATCCCCTTTGAGCGAAGAGTACAGACAGCTGTAGTCTTTGTATGGATATTTTTGTTGGGCAACTGTTTAGCGATATTTGGACTTGCGTTACTTAACCCATTTTTATGGCCAGTTGATCTTGCCTACATTATCTATTTATTGCGTGACCAATCTCCAGAAAATGGAGGACGTCGTTCAGAGTGGTTTCGTCGGTTACCTTGTTGGAGTTATTTTGCTGGTTATTTTCCTGTCAAACTTGTCAAGGTATAAATAATAAATATGTAAGTGTGTGTATGTGTGCGCGTATTAAGTTTAATTAGGAATGCGACCTCGATCCCAGCAAAAACTACGTGTTTGGGTATCATCCTCACGGCATCATCAGTATGGGAGCATTTACAAATTTCGCGACAGAAGCAACATCGTTTTCCGAACTTTTCCCGGGTATTAAACCTTCGTTATTGACCTTGACAACCAATTTTAAATTCCCTATCTATCGCGATATCATCTTGGCATGCGGTATTGCCTCCGTCTCTCGCCATTCGTGTGAATACATCTTGTCCTCTGGACCAGGCCGATCCATCGTGATTGTGATTGGTGGCGCCGCCGAATCGCTAAATGCGCGTCCCGGTGAAGCCGACCTTGTTTTAAAACGTCGCCTCGGGTTTGTTAAAATGGCCATCCGCCACAACGCTGACCTCGTACCTACTTTCTCGTTCGGAGAGAATGATTTATATGAACAAGTAGATAATCATCCTGGAAGCACTCTTTTAAAGATTCAAAAAAAGATGCAAAAGGCTTTAGGTTTTACACTTCCATTGTTTCATGCACGTGGTATTTTTAACTGTAAGAGATTAGTATCCTTTTTTTATGTATATATGGGGTGACTAAAATATGTGCAATAGATGACGTTGGTTTACTCCCATATCGACATGATGTTGTCACAGTGGGTAAGTACAAAAAAAGGGGGTTCCATCATAGTTACACTAAACGTCACTTTTTTTTTAGTGGGCAAGCCAATCCCCGTTCCGAAATTAGAGCCAGGCCAAACAGATCCTACCGAGGAACAGTTAAAAGAAACACAACGATTGTACATAGAAGAATTAGAATCAATTTACAACAAGTACAAGGATATCTATGCTAAAGACAGAAAGCATGATCTTCGTATTGTCAGTTAATTATAAAATAGAAAAAAGTAAAATAAACCAGTTTTTCTTTTATTATTAATATATAAAAATAATAGGAATTAGGAATTGTAAAAAACGGTCACAAAGTTACGAATTTTTTGAGGGGGTGCGGGGGTTTCCCCCGCAAGAGGGGTGGGGGGTTTGGGGGGAGGGGGAACCCCTCCACCCAAGAATACGGCCCATATTATTTGGCATTAAATTGTTACCTTCTGAAAAACAATATTCCTTTTTTTTTTACAGCGCTGTGTTTTTAAAGCATGATTTTTTTATGGCGTAATATTTCTGAGCCGAGATACAAAATTAGAGGATGGGAAAACCACTCCTCCCAAGAATACGACCCATAATATTAAACGTTAGACTAAAAAAAAAGATCGTATATAAAAACTGATTGTTTGGAGAAAGTCATAATATAAAAAGTGACTTTTACGGAAAAAATCATTGCAAATAAAATTGTTACTATGGGGTTTTCGGGGAGGAGGTTACCCTCCGGCCCAGTATAACAACCAATAGTATTAAGCATTATATTATCGAGTTTAGAGAAACAGTCTATGAACACTTTTTCACAAACAATATGTCATTATTCGAGAACAACTGGAAATTGATTGTTTTAGGTCGATGAAGGGGTCGCCTTTGAAATTAATATTTTGGATTATCAAGTCTTTCATTATGAAACAAAAACACTGCGCATAGAATAGCTAATCAGATAGATAAACAATTAATACTTTTTGCGTAGATCAACTTTCCTGCCTGGGTCTAGGGATATCGTCTTTTTCCAGATATTTATACATATATTGAGAAAAATCAAAGTTTTCTCCAGTATCAAACTAATAATAGGCAGTGTAGCTTAAGTTATAATGGTGCATGGGCTTCATAGTTAATTAATATATGTTAAGTTTGTTATTTCAAAAACAGGCCTGCGGCAGCACGAGGCTTTTTCAAAGCGCAGCGTACCGAACCATAGTGCAGGTCAAAAATTTACCGCAGCGCAGCGAAGGTCAAATTTTTACCGAAACGGAGGTTTGGTTTGAAAAAGCCTCGTTATTTATTAAAAAGAGTGGGGTGTATAAATAAAGGTATAAAATTATCTTCTTTCTTTTACAAAGAATACAAGCCAAAGATAAGCAGCAAATATAAATATCAAAAACATGGAAGAGAGTCTAATCACATCTGGCCAATAATTCTTTGCGTTAAAACCAAAGGTGGACAGGATGGTGGCACCAGGAACATCGATCTTCAGGCCAAAGCGTTCTTCTACCAATTGCAGATATAGTAATTCATTGACCAACATCGCTTCCAACGCATAATTAAAGAACGAAAGGTACTTGAGCCAACTGAAATAAGGAGACATGGTATCCTTGTTCAATAATAAGCCTGCAAATAACATGCTGAATAAAATCGCCATACATGCAATCAAGTTGGCCAACGAAATGTTCTTTACAATGATACCAATAGCTAAACATAAAGCAGCCGCTGTCAAATTAAACAAAATCAACACAAGCAAAAATTTGAAGAATACAATGGGTTCTTCTACGAGTCCAACCATCGAATATGAAATTATTGCCATCATCAAGGGAGGGACCACTCGCAATGGAATGATATCAAACAGGATCTTGGACAAAAAGTATGTTGTGGGTGAATAATACCCATTGGCACGTTCACGAGCGAACAGGATACGTTCTTGAGAGAAAGCTTGTAACGAGGTAAGACACATGAAACCTAACAAAGCTTCATAAAAGAAAAATAATCCCATTCGATTTTGGAAACCTGCAATTGTATTTGACACTTGATAAAATAAACCACCACAAACCACTATTTAAAAAAATAACGAATTAATGTTTCATTGGAACCCCTTATAAAAGACTTGAAATACTTACGAGCAAGGACAACAGCGACAGCATAATGACTGAACATCAACATGGGATTACGATACAGGTTCTTAAAGGTACGATCTGAAAGAATTGCAAAGGCAGCAATAGGACCTGGTTTCTTCCAAACTATAATGGTATTTGTGCTAGACGAATCATCATCTTCACTAGAAGAAGTCAATGCGGTTTGAATATTCTCTTTCAAGGCATTTGCAATCAGACTATGATCATAATATTCGACAAGCTGTCTTAAATGAGATGTCAGTCCATCAGACTGTGCTTCCTCCACAACGATATTTGGTACATTTGTGACCAACGGGTCATCCTCTTGCTGTCTCGTTAATTCGGACGCCCATTGTTGTGTCGTATCATCCAAATCATCACTGAAGAAGGGAGTTGTACGAATGGGAGGAGCAAACAACTCACCTTCATCCAATTGAACAGCAGGTGTAGGTTGGTTTGGAATTCTACGAACAGCACCCATAGATAAATCAATCATATAATCTGCAATATTAAATCCAGGAGGACAAGGATAACCGATTTGCTTGAAATACTTTTGACATTCATTCTGAGGACCTGAATAAATAATTCTTCCGCTTGCGACCAGTACTAATTGATCAAAGAGAGTAACGATATTGGATCTTGGCTGATGGATAGTAAATACCACGGTACGTTTATAGTTTTTAGCCAATGCCACGAGACATTCCACCACGTTAAAAGCATTGTATGCATCGAGACCACTGGTAGGTTCATCCAAGAACAAGATGGAAGGAGAAGTGACAAGTTCACAAGCGATGGCTACACGACGTCTTTCACCTCCACTAATGGATCTAGCGCCTGGTTGACCAATCTTTGCATCCTTGATAGTTTCGATATTTAATTCCTGCATGACTTCCATAACACGATACTTTTTAGCGGCTTTACTCATAGATTTGGGTAATCTCAAGAGAGCAGAATAAAGGATGGTTTCGTATACAGTCAAGGTAGGAATCATGACTTCTTCTTGGTCTACATATCCAATCAATTTCTTGTAATGTGTGGTGGATACTTGTTGGCCATTAATATAGATGTCACCGGTAGATTTACCGGTCTTGGTTCGTTTTGCCAAAATATCTAATAATGTGGTTTTTCCTGCACCAGAAGGACCCATGATGGCCATGACCTGACCCGGCTGAACCATTCCCGATGCTCCTTGCAGTATATTTTTACTATTGATGGTATAACCAATGTCGTTAAAAATCAAACTGGTGGGTGTATGTTCCGACATTAATTTTCCTGCTTCATCATCTGCAATCTGGACAGCGCCCTGAGGTGGTTTTTTGGCAAAATAGGCCACGATGGCCGATACAAGAATTAAGAATAAAGTGACACCCGAAAGTCCACTGATGATATAGAACCAGTTGGTTTGTCGAGTAGGTCTGTTGAAACCAGGCACCATAGTATAATGAAGACACTCACCAGAGTTACAACTTAAAAAGATAGAATCGTCACCAAAGACAGCCGAGATAAGATCATCCATCGCGGGTTCAGAAAAGGCACAGTCTTTATCAACACAATCAAACGTAGCAGGACCTTTAATTTCGTCTGCCAATAATTCCGTGAGATCAATAGATCCGTCTTTACCGCACAAAAATTCGTCCTTGATACATTTACAATCAATGTTTTGACAGTGATAATTGGAAGAGTTTTTCCCGTTATAATCCGCGTGTTGTTCAAATCCACATGTACTGAAATGGCAATAAAACGATTCTACTTCATCTACCCAAACTACAGAAAAAAAAAAAAAAAAATGGTTTCGTTAGTTTCAGTGGAAGTGTGCAGTAATTAGCTTGGCAGAAACTTTACATTGGAAGTCACATGTCTCTTGATGTCGGTTACAAGAAAAGGTCACTTGTGGAATTTGTGTTTTCAACTGATCAAGGATTTTTCGGTCTATAAGATTACGTTTTTTCAGTTAATTATATGGCTCTTTTCTTGATTATAGAAGACAAGACTTTACTTGTTACATTGCACATTTGATAATTTTCGAATACGGTGACACCATCGCGATAACAAGTACCGTTTTGTCCGGTAGGCACCAATGAATTACACACATCGTCGGTCTTACAAACTAGTAAAAAGATGAGATAATGATGACCACATTTTTATTTCATTATTGTTCTATTTACCGTTGCAGTTAATGCCTTCCCAACCTTCAGGGCAGTCGCAGTGATCGTTCTCTCGAGGAGATCTATTGTGGCCATCGGGTAAAGCCCCGCATACTAACAACGATTTAGGGTTATTTTTATCTTTTTTTGAATGGGGTTTTAATATATCCAAGACTTACGTGGTTGTTTGCAGTCATCACCTCCAAAACCTGGCGGACAATTACACTTGCCGTCATATTCAGAACAGTTTGCGAAATGAAGACACTCAAAGCCTGGCAACATACAGTTGAAACAAGGAGGACAATCATCCGATTTGAAAACATCAAAAGTTGGTTTTAAGGATAAAGGGATAAAGGTAGGGTCATTATATTCACTTGCCTTGACTGCAAAGACAAGGACAAACAAATAGAAGAGGATCATTTAAAATAACAGAAAAAAAGAAAAAACAAAAAAACAAAAAAACAAAAAAACCCAAATGTCCCAAAGAAATACAGAGCCTTCACCTCCAATTTTCGCTTTCGTTTTGGTCTCCGACCAATCTTCGTTTTTTCATTGGCTTGCCACTTCCGGCTTTTTTGGCCCTATTGAAGGTCACACCATCACCGCGTTTTTTGAGTCCTCAATTCGAAAATTACCAACATCAATCACAGATACATAAGACTGTTGTCTCAAAAGAGATATTTATACCAACAACAGCAAAAGATATAAGACTTTTAAATCAATACATCAAGGCACATTCTGCAGGGCAATGGATGTTCCTTAGCGTGGAGTTTACTTCAAAAGGATATATTCCCAATCATCCAATTTCATTTCTTGTAGAAAATATCGTACAAAGAGGAGCTTCTTTGTTGTTAAGAGCTTTTACGTATAAAATTCTACCTCGGGAAGAAATTGCTGAAGTAGATTCCAGATTTGAAAACTCTGTTACCAAACTGACAGAATCAGGCAAACTGGTAAGGAAATATATTACGGAACTAAATAGCAAGGATCAGCTCGTAATCAGTGAATATGATCGTGTACAGTTAAAAAAAGACATGTTATACATTTATGAAAACACACTTGCTGGAGCCATTAAACACAGAAACAGAATAATGGCATTACAAATTGAACAAGAATATAATTTAGTTTGAATAAATAACATACACTTTATTATAAAAAAAAAATTGAACTTCTCCTAGTTCTCAAAGTAATGCCAAGTACTTTGATTAACAGAGTCAACCACGAGAAGGTGGAAGTTCATCTGACTCCAAAAAACAGCCCCCAGATCTCCAACAAAAAGATGTTGGGTGGTATTTGTCAGCAACATAGTGTAAAAGCAATTGTGGCAGGTCACTTGAACTCATATACAGGCGTGTGAACAACCTGTATCAATCCACTTTTGCAAGATAACTTCAAGACCACATTATCAAGCTCAGACTGCAGCCGTCTGGCCTAATACGGACGTTACCCCGTAGTACTAACACGGCTGTTACCCCGTATTATAATAACGCACTGTGTAAAAGTCCTCTTCCGCAGCAAAGAAGAAAAAAGAATATTTTTTTCTTACGTTTAAATATTTTATCCAATCAAAAAATCATGGGATTCTTGCAATTGACTTTTTTGCGCGCGCGTATGTAGTAATACTTTTACCTTTATGCCTTTTCCACCACTGTAGTTGAAGACGAGATCACTATTAGTAAACACTTTACAAGCTACTTGACAAAAACGAAAGTTTCTGACTGGAAATATGAAGACGTAATAAACAACCTGCTTGACCTTGGATTCCTTCCTACTGACGAAGATAATGATTTACAAAAACTTGGTTCAATATTTAAGGACATTGCAACTAAGCTAAAAAACGAAAATTCAGTAACATACTCAGAAGCCGAACATGGAAAAATGGTAAGTGTCAATGAACATATGGAATATTTATGTGCCGCTTCACCGATCAAAAAGATCATGCGCGAAAAGAAATGGCAATATGCGTATCAGCAAACCTTGGAGGATTAAGTTTTAGATGCTGCTACCGTGGAAGAAAACTCTTTGGAGACTGACGAGAAAAACTTTAAAAATCTATCAGTGACTGATAAATTCGCTTAAAGATGGAATATTGAACCTCCAGCACGCAAAACTTCCAAAACGATTCAACAAATACATAATGAAGATGAAGGACGAAGCTGGGATTGAATTAAAACCTTTTTTGGTTACTCTTGAAGAAAGGGACATGTTGGTTGAACTTTCTAATTGCAAGAACACTTCTGAACTTGAGACTCTTTTATCTACATGGTACTCCAAGAAAAATTTATCTTCAAATTGTAAATACATCAGATTCGCTTTGTCTGCGAGTGTTGAGCTTTGGTCAACAAAGGCTTTGCTTAATAAAACTCATGAAGACTGGTATCGGCTACATGTATATTCAAACATATGAGATAAAGCTTTTCTCGATGATGAAGAGCTTGAAACCAAGCGCTCTGAATGTGTGAGTCAGGTTACGAAGATTTTAAAGGAGGCTGAAAAAGACGTTAAACTACAACGATTGGACTTTATTTTATGTGATATGAATAGTGACACTGATGTTTTGACAGTAGAAGAAAAGCCGTCTGTAAATGGCGTGAAGGCTGATATTAGAAAGGGAGATATGCTGAAAAAACATGCACTTTACTTATGGTCTAAACAAGTTGGCAGCAGCGTTCTCATGGAAAAGTTGGAAGCTATATATTGTCAATGGCAACGTACAAAGTTTACAATTTATGGATCTCGGGCACTGCCTTCTGATACAATGCTTATCTACAAAAAAAGGAAGTTCTAGTTTCCCAATCTCGTCAAGACACTCACCTGAGTTCTCTAAGCTCCTGTTGGCCATCCTTTCTCTAAAGCGAACAGTGAAATTAAATTATGCCAAGTTCAACTTGATTCTGGAGGAAAAGTACAAAAATGAGGTTAAGACGCTGAACTTTGCTGATGACAGTGCCTTATATCAACCTGGTTTCTTTGTCGACATGTGAGCAATCCAAACAGCAATCCAAAAAAGCCTCCTTGACCTTTTAATCTAAAAACTCTGACAAACAGTCTCAACGTACTTTACAGTCGATCTCTTTATTTTAAAAGCGAACTTTGAAACAGACAAAAGCGAACTTTGAAACAGACAACTTTGGGAATGACAAAAGCTCTTACCAAAACGAATTTTGGTCAATGAAAAAACGAAGATTGGGTTTTACAAAAACGAAATCAGTTTGTTAGAAAGCGAAAATTGGAGATGGAGGCACTGTACATGTATTTTGCTCTCATTTTGAAACTAAGTCACAAGTGACGCACAATCAAGAGAGCCGCAAAAAAAATAAAATAAAAAAACCTGGATTTTTTTTGTTCAACACTTTTTTTTATTAAAACAACTTATTACAGGCTGAGCAGTGGCAAATGGTAAAATATTACAAAAAAGGGAACTCACATTAAAAAAAAAAAAAAAACAAAAAAAAAAATATATTTTTTTTTAAACATATAAAAAAATAAAAAAAGGTATTAGGACAACAAGGTCTAAGGTCCTCACACTCGGCAGATACTCGTCGTCACTCCAATTCACCTCCTTATTACCCAGCAAGTGACGGTAACCTATCGACTTGTTCCTCCACAGGTTCGCTCAAAAGAAGAAGGTCCGTCAGAAATAAGAACGAGATAACCTTTGACGCCAAACAAGATCAGTGGATAAAGAATGAGGAAGGCATAGACTCTGCTCAAAAGAAACTAAAAGGTCTTAATCTCACTCTTTACCAAAACAAAAGTAATATACACAAAATAAGCCCTTAATAGCTCCCTTTACCTATCTTATATAACTAAAAAGTGAAATAGAAAATATATACCGTAGTCTATCCTATAAGATAGGTGACCAAATAGAAGCAATTAAATGGACTGACGACGCTAAAGAATGGTATTGTGCTAGAGTCGTAGAAATACTGAATGATCAGGATGAATCCCTTGTATTTGTTCATTATGAAGGATGGCCACCCGATGAAGCCGATTGGATTAGTCCAACATTAATACGCAACATTCATCACGATAAACCTCTGCAGTATGGTCCTACAGGTGCTGAGTCCGAGTCTTCTTGGACCGACTATGCTGAATTTTATGTTTCCGAGCCTGGCGAACAAGCAAGACATCATACAGGCCTAGTACAAGATAGACGCATGTCACTTCACTGCTGTCCTTGTCATTCTCGCGAAACAATCCATCCTGAAAGACCAGATAGAATAAGTTCTATTCTGCAGGCATTTCATAACAATCGGTATTAAAAAGCCCCAGTAGTTTATATATTTTTCTACCCCCAAATTAAAAAATAACAACTCATCTTTTTTTTTTTTTGGTTATTTTCTTAGGTTGCTAAGATACTTTGGTAGGATCCATGCTCGTGAAATCACCACCAACGAATTATTACGAGTTCACACATATTCTCATGTTCGCAACTATTATCCAATTGATGAGGACGTACGGATTGTTAAGGAAGAGAAACCCTTGAAAGTGACTTCAATCGCAGCTCTCTTAAACCCTGCACCTGCATCGAATACCAGACAGAAAACAGTGATGCGTGGTGTGGGCGGAGGTGTGGTAGTTCAGGCAGATCAGGATCTTATAAAGAGACAGCATCGTCGATTTTCTTCTGCTGCCGCTGCGGTGGATGCCTCTCAGACTAACCCTGACCCTGTGGCTCCTCCTGGTCTGGTATGTAAGATGAGTTGTGGGGAGTTGGGCATTGCCGTGGATACTACCTTTCATCCACTTCATAGTAGCTTATCCGCACGAGTCGCCGCAGGCGCCTTGATTAATTTAGTGGATCCTATCATTCACGGTCAAATGAGAAATGGCTTTGCTTTGGTAAGACCACCAGGTATGTAATAAATATATAAATATACATATTTCAAATACAATTATTTATTTATCATCTAGGACATCATGCTGAAAGTGATGCTGCTATGGGTTTTTGTTTTTACAATAATGTGGCTGTTGCTGTTGCCGACACGTTAGAGAAATACCCGACCAAGATTAAAAAGATTCTTATTATTGATTGGTAAACACAAATAGCATCATTTATATCCATCTTCCATCTAAAAAAAATTAATTTTATTAGGGATATACAGTAAAGTAGTAGTTGTTATAATCAGAATTGGAATGGAATATTAAAAAAAAATACAAAACAAAAACTTTTACTTAGTCATGGTAACGGAACACAAAAAATCTTTTACGATAATCCAAATGTTCTTTACATTTCGATACATCGATGGGAAAATGGTCAATTTTATCCATTTAGTGGTGCGCCCAATGAATGCGGAGAAGCTGGCGGTTTAGGGCGGAATGTTAATATCGCATTGAGTGCTTCTGAGGAAAAACCAAGTAAGTCCAAGATTTTCCTTTAACCAAAAAGATTGCATTTAATAAATCATACACTTTTGATTAGAACCCATGGGTGATACCGAATTTGTTGCGGCTTTTCATCATCTTGTTATACCAATAGCCAAGCAATTCGATCCTGATATGGTAAATCCCTAATAGTTTTGTTATTGTTTTCGTCTAATTAGTTGAAATAAGATATTCGTTTCTGCTGGGTTTGATGCTGCTGAGGGACATCCGGAAAATGTAAATATTATATAAATGGTGCGAATAACGACTAACCTTATTATAGCTTGGTGGATATAATGTCAGTCCTCGCGGATACGCTTTACTAACCAAGATGGTAAAAGATCTTGCTGATCAAGTATGTGACGGACGATTAGTGCTGACATTAGAGGGCGGATATGAATTACAACCTTTAGCCGCAACCTGTGCAGCGAGTGCAGCCCAATTATTTTTACCCAACACAGTACCAGATCAACAGATCAGTAGTTACAAACACACATTAAATGCCATCAAACCCAATATTGGTGCGGTGGAAAGCTTTCGAAAAATTGTACAAACCCAAAAATCTTTCTGGAAATTTCCAGAGGCAATGCATGCCACCACCTTTCGATTTACTTTGCCCACCGATTGGCGCGCTACAGATAGTATTTCAACTAGACCACGTAGAGATAAAAAACCCGTCAAGATTCCCATTGTTGAAGGATATTAAAATTTACAACATCACCTATATACAGAACCTGCTTTACATATAAAAAAAAATCTCCTATATTTATATATTATCCATGAAAGGAACTCCCAATAGACGAAACGCTTTAATAAACACATCTTTTTTAGTTTGAATCATATTTGTCTAGAGTGACAATAGTAATTTCTCTTATTTACATGACCCGTATCGATTATTACGGACACATTAACTTTAGTAGCCCATCTACTAAACATGATACAAGTGTAAAATTAACTATTACGCGTAGTCATCCTTAAACATGCAAGACTTCAAACTTTCCTATTGTGCTATACGCGTATATATACTTTCGAATGGCTTGCACCAAAGAGTGGTCACAAAAAAAAATCGAAAAAAAATCGCCACCCTTTATTTACTTTTTTTTTTTTGTTCAAATCCCTCCTTATAACAATTAACCATGGCCACTAACAATACTGAAGCCCTTGAGACTGTTCAACTTGACGGTTTGGTAAAACAAAATTAGACCACCAAGAAATCTCGAAAAGTTATTAAACTTTTTGATTTTATAGGTCGTTTTAAAGATCATTAAGCATTGTCGTGAATCTTATCCTAATGATGTCACTGGTCAACTTTTGGGTTTGGATGATCAAGGAACCTTAGAAGTCACCAATTGTTTCCCTTTCCCTTCTGATGGTGATGAAGATGCCAGTGGTAAATCATTTATAGAGAGAAGAAGAAAAAAAATTTTTTTTAACTTTTAATGTGTAGCTCAATATCAACTCGATATGATGAGATGTCTTCGTGCCGTCAATGTCGATAACAACACTGTTGGTTGGTATCGTTCTGCTCATTTAGGTAACTTTGTTGATCTCAGCTTAATCGAGACCCAATACAGTTATCAAAACTCCCTCAGTGCTCAATCCGTCGTTCTCATTCATGACGTTTCCAAGAGTTCCGCTCAAGGTAACTTGAGTTTAAGAGCATTCAGATTAACCGAGGTCTTCATGAAGGCTTACGAAGCCAAGAAATTCACCACTGAAAGGTTAGTAGAAAGAGAGAAAATTTAAACAGGGGAAGGAAAATTAATGAAGGTTGTGGCAATTTTATAATAGTCTTGCTCAAGCCAAGTTATCATTCTCCAACATTTTCGAGGAATTACCTGTTCAAATTCACAACTCTCACTATGTTACCATGATGCTTCACAACATTGAGATGCCCAAGTTAGATTCCGATCGTCTTCGTTCTCTTTCTACTTTTGCTTCTACCCAAAAGACTCAAACCGAATTAGAGGAAGCCAGACCTTTAGCACCCAACTTTGATGTCCTTGACTTAGAATTAGATCCCTTCATGCAAAAGAACTTGCAATACTTGTTAGACTGTGCCGATGTTCAACAACAAGAACAAAACAACTACCAATACTGGCAAAGATCTGTTGCTCGTGAGCAAACCAAGATGCAAGCCTGGTTGACCAAGAGAAAGCAGGAAAATGCTCACCGTGTAGAGAAGGGTCAAAAGCCTTTACCTGAGGATGAAGTCAACACATTGTTCAAACTCTCTGCTGAACCTAGTCGTTTGGATTCAATGATCTTATCTGCTCAAATGCATAACTTTACCAAGCAAATTAACCAATTCGCTGGTCCTAGTCTTGCTAGATTGTATAGTATCCAAGAATTGCAAAAATAAACCTCGCTATCTCCTTCGCAACCATCTCTTCAACAAACATACAACACCAACAACCCCCTTTTATATATAATAAAATATAACAATTTGACATAATAACTGAATTTATGTACAATGACGATAACGTGGCATTGGTTTTATTTACAATCCAGGGCGTCATGGTCGCACGGCATGCGTACTCCAGTTGTTTCAGCTCTTTTTTGCGCCCGTGACACATTGACAGACTAACATTATAGAGCTGCATCTCTTAAACCTAGAAGCTTGGCTACATCTGTTTTTTTATTTTTGTGTATTGATGTATGTATGTAGTCTTGGCCAAAAATAAACTCTCTTGTTATCTAAACAGACGCTCTGCTTGGCATTAAAAAGTTTTTTTTTTTTTTTTTGAGTGTGGGCGTTTCCTTTTACCGAGCAAACCATGCAACGTTTCACCCTACAGTGAGCAACATGAATACATATTTATGCGTCAAAAGAAGGGGGGAAGAGGAGGTGAATGATCGATCTCATAAGATGTGTGTATTTCTAATTTTAGTATGGAGGATGACTTTTGTGCGATCATCCATTAAAGCAGGTGGTTTTCTTATAAGAGGGCCAATAATGACGCGAATTGGATTAAAGCAGGTCAATCGGGTAGACATTAAGGTTGAAGGGTAAGATCTGAGATTCAAACATTTGTATAAATAGGGTCTCCTCTATTTTCCACCAGCCTTTTTTCTCTTTTTCTTTTCTGTATAAACAACCCATAAAAAATATAAAATAAAAAATGGACATTCTCAACTTATTAAATCATCCTACGACAATGGTGAATAAACCATATCAATGTAGTTGGCATGGATGTGAAAAGAGATTTTCTCGTCGATCTGATCTATCACGTCACAGAAGAATTCATACAGGCGAAAGACCATTCCAATGCCTTTGGCCTGGCTGTAAAAAGCAATTTATTCAACGCTCGGCTCTGACTGTACATCTTCGAACACATACAGGCGAGAGACCTCATGCATGTGAAGTCGCCTGTTGTAAAAAGTCCTTTAGCGATGTAAGTTGTATATATTTCTTTATTAGAATGTATTTGTATTTATTCAATCTTCTTTAGTCTTCCTCTCTTGCTCGTCACAGAAGAACACATACAGGAAAACGACCTTATGCTTGTGAATGCGGTAAATCATTTACACGTAAAACAACCCTCTCTCGACATCAACAAGCGCATCATATTCTTCCTCAAACAATAAGGTAATAATAAAATAGAATAAAAAGCTTGTGTGTTTATATGTTTATTTTTTTTTCTAACTATTTTTTATAGCCGTTTCGAAACTAGAAGTGAATCACCGGATTCATCAGACCATAGTGAAGTAAGCAGGTCATCATACTATTGCTCACCCCCAACGCCACCTTTAGAACCTGTACATTACTTTAAACAATATGCATGTATGCATCCACCATTACTATCTTCTCAACATACACTTGTGAATAACACAAGCCCAATTTTATTACCACCTTTACTACATCATTATCACCATTAAAACCTTAATTCTATACCTATCATAATTTTCATTTCATTGTTTATATGTATAAAAAAAAAAGGATTACCTATTAAAGGAATCACCCTTTTTTTCTTTCGTACCCTCATGATTAGAACCACTCATATGAATGGAAACTTTAAAACAATAATACTATAAAACGAACGATTTTTTTATATATAAATACTATTGTTGTTGTTTAAATGCAAATATTCGGTATCTTCGGAATACACAAAAACAGGAGAAAAAAGGTGCACACTTTGACAGGAGTTGGAGTGCGTGCGTGTGTTTCCTACCAAAAATATAATTTTATCCGAACCGACCACATTAATAAATTATAATAGCTTTTTATTGTTTACGTCAATCTGTTACTATTTGTCTTACTTTTTCATTAGTTTAATTTTTTTTTCTATATTGCTATACTCACAAACTTTTCTTATAGTTAGCTATCAGTGGCGTGCGGGCCCATGTATCATCTTCCCCCAGTTGAAAATGAGATCTCTAATGCAAAACTTCTGCTTGTTTTAAAACACTTTCTTATACCGTTGTAAATCGTCATCCTGATGTAAATAAGCTCCCTCCCTCCCCCCCTCCTTCTTCATTTTTTTTTATTTTGCTACCCAAGGCTGCAATTATGAGTATGAACGCACAGACGTGGGGTCATATAAAAAATATTTTATAATCTAGATATATCCGAAACATATCAAAAGTGTGGCACTCTCTACGGTAAATAGGTTACTTCATAAATCACAGGTTCCTCACTCCATGTATTGGCTCATTTTCTTATAACCTGATCGAAACACACACAACAGCTGTCATTTGTGCTTGTTGTATGCACGCGCGCGCGAACGAGCGACTGAACAAGTAAGCGCGGGAAGCGAGGGAAAAACATAATAATAATAGATCACTTATTTAAGGGCTCTTTTTTTTTAGGGTCATGCAAATGCATGCTAGATACTTTTAAAATGTCATTCATTATTTATATGAATACATTTGCATGATGATATGAGGAAAAGGGGGAAAAAAGGTCTTTGTATTTATTTCTTTTCAAAGAAAAATACATGTATGTACATTAGAGTCCTGGAATTGTTTCAACCGATGTGGATGGAGTCCCGGGTGTGTTTTCTGAGGGAGTGGTTGCGTCTTCTGCAATTCGATTCGGGTCATTCATAATATAAAACTTGGGACAATTCTTATTTGTTTTCATGTGTCCCAATTGTCCACAGTTACCGCATCGACGCTATTATATAAAAAAAAACAGGTTAATAATAAACAATAGGAGAAAAAATAGAGATGTTTTTTTAATTACCATGGCGCCCTCTCGCTTTCCTCGAATAAGACCAAGGACTGGATTTTCGGCCAATTGTGCTTGTTTAGCTAATTGGCGTTGACGACGTCGCTCTGCATTTCTCTTTAATTTAGCCAACTGATCTTGAATACGTTTCTTCATACGTGCATTCTTTTCTTCATCATCCGTAGGTTCCAAAGCCTCAGCACTATTTTTTAAAAAAAAAGTCAGAGGGCAACTCAATTTTTTCATTACTTCATTCTTTGCTTACCTTGTGGCTTCTTCCTCAATCATCTGTCTCTGTCTCAAGTAGGACTTGATGACTACAGGATCACGAACAACTTCTTGTTGCCAGGTTTTTTCACCTCCGCCAGGTGGTGCAATCAATCTTCGGATTATCAAGTATTTATTTTGACTGTTGACATGGTAACTGGAGTTTAAACTACCCGTAACTGAAACATCATCATCATCAATTTCAGAAGTAGCACGATCATATCGACTACGGTGGTAGGAAGGGGTTGCTGGGGATGGTGACATCCCGTGACTATTACGATGGTGACCCCAATCATACTCAGACTATACATGTATCTATATGAGTTTTCCAGATGATAATAAAAAATAATACATGATGAATACTTTACGGCGGAGGGACTATCCACTTGGTCAACATCTCTTTCTTCGTCTTCCTCTTCATGGTCAGAAAGAATGGGTTCGATCTTGTTCCCCAGCGATTCTAACTGTGCTTTCCAAATACGAGCAATTTCTTCTCGATAGATTTGTTGTTGCTCAGCAACATTATACCTGTGTGCACTCTTGGGTCTTGCCTCGATTTGAGCTGGTTTTTGTTTGTTTTGGATGAGTTAATTGTTTATCTTGTGTAGTATGTATGTGTTACCTAGTTTTTCTTCAGCTGATTCGCCCGCACGCAAAAAAATATCCTTCATGGATACACGGATGAAACTAAAACCTTCACCACGACCTGTCGGATCACCTGCGCCATAGAGTTTCAACATGGCTTTACCTTGTGTCGCATTGATGAAGTTTCTGGTGGAGAACCAGGGCGCCAATTGTTGTTCGACTTCCAATTTTGAGTCACCTTCACCTGTTTCATCGTCGTCATTGACATCACCGTAACCCAGATCTTGAAGATGGCGTTCACCCACCAGCATGCTCTCGTACAAACAAACCATCTCGGGTGTCACCATCTTTCGAAGATCTTCTTCCGAGGGGGGTTCTCCCCCTCCACGTGTCTTCCAGTATCCTCCTCCACCATCTTTACTACGGCGATGAAACTCTAAAAACTCTTTCAACCTTTGTCGAATTTGAATATCTGAATATTCAGGAAACTTTTGCGCCAACTTGTTCATCTTGAGCCTATGAAGTGGATTACGTTTAATCAAACGATAAGCAACCACCTGCAATCGGTTCTTAATGGTCGTCGTCACCTTTCTTGAATGAGGGCCTGGGACTTCTTGCACTGGATAAGACTGACCAATCGTAAAGATGGCAGGAATTTCCCGTAAGTAGTATTTGGTATGACCTTTATATGTACTCTTTAACAATAAAAAGTCGGTGTGTTTCACATCATGACGGAATAAAGGCGCACGGATCAAGTTGTTATAGTATACAGAAATTGTTTGACCCGGTTCAACATTACCGAAATTCATAAAAGGTGAAGTATCACCAATATCGAGCACAAAAGGTTCACCGATATCAAGATTGGGTACAAACTCATCTTTGGGTTCTGTCTTTCTGTAATAGTTAATAATTAAAGTTCCCATGCCCACATTAGAAATAATCGGTGGATGTTCTTCAGAATATTCCATAAGCACATAGGGTGTGCTGTCCTTCAATGTTAAATCTTTGGTGTTGCGTATAATATCCACATGACCCTTCTTTTTATCCTTCTTCTTCTTCTTACTCGCTTTCACACGCGAGAAATGGATGTCTGTATTCGCTGGTAATTGGATTAAAGGTCGATGGAACGATCTTAATTCTGCCTTGGAAAGCTTTGTCTTGTAAAGAGCAGGATGTAACTTTAAGGCAGGTAAAGCGTGTTGAACAACCAATTGACCAAACGTTTGTCGAACACGAACTAATCTTCCTGCCAGATGCGATTCATAGAACTTGTCGTTGGATAAATTAAATCGATTCAATGGTAATTTGTTATGAGGTTCAGTGTCTGTGTGGTATATTTGAATCTTGGGAATAGGCTTAGGAAGTGGTTTACGACCCTTCTTTACATGCTTGGGTTCGATTAATAATTCCTTGGTTGCTTCTACTTCTTCAACGTCAAACAACATGTTGGGATCATTCAAGTCAAGCGAAATTTTCATCGTCGAAGCAGGAGGTTTTTCTTTATCCCAGATAATCGCATCTAACCAATCTCCTTCTTCCAATTGCATGTTTAAATGTTTGTTGACTACAGGCTGTGCATCTTCCATTTCACTAGAACGTATACTTCATTAGCCAGGAAAATCATAAATTATATCTTTTTCTTATACTTACGTGATCTCATCGTCATCTCCCCATACAATATCGTCCTCCCATTTATCCAGCATGACAGAGTGATATAATTGATCTTCATCCAAGATCTGCGGTAAAGCTTCTGTCATATGTGGCTACAGAATATGTAAATAGTATGTCAGTAACAAACATTTTCTCGACTTTTAAAAAATATATACTCTTTCAGCTAATTCTTGTAAATATTCTTCGTCCTCGCTCATACTATCGCTACTGTCGCTATTCTCATTCAATGTTTCGATCCTACGTCTTTTCACAGGTACCTTTGCTTGCTCAGCACGGAGACGATCCAATTTACTAGCTCTTGAGAACAATGTACGTTCGTCGCGTTCCACTTCATATTCATATCCATCACCAAACACAACTGCCGGGTAAAGAAAAATTTAGATTTATGTCGCGTTGCTACTACTTTATAACGGTACCTTTTTTATGGAGCTGCAGTTTAGAAGGACGTTTTATTTTGGCCATGAAGAGTTCTGAAAACTTCAAGATCTTTCCCTTTTCGAAACCAGGAAATAACTGTTGGATATCCACGTTTTTTTTAGTCTCGGCATTAGGGTCCACACTGGTAGTGGTTATGGTGGTGGTGGTGGCGTTGGTAGATAAGTTAGTAGGTGGAGGAGGCGTAGGTGTAGGTGCGGGTGCGGGTGTTGGTTTGGCGGGTTCCTCTTCCTCTTCATCGTCGTAATTATCACTGACAAGAGCAAGTCGAGATCGCTTCAAGTTCTTTTGAATCATACCCATGCCACGTCGATAGTATTTTTCTTGCTGATCGTCTGGTACGGTCTCGTCAAAATCAGAGTAATCGACAGCGTCTGAAGCATGGGCTGTAGGTATCACTGGTATGGATTCCGTCCCATCTTCATCGTCGTCCTCGTCAATGTTCTTAGCTCGTTCTAAACCAAACGTATCATCACTGAAAATTCTTGAAATAACATCGGCATCCACGCTTGAAAGAGTCTCTTTGAGATCCTAATTCAGTTCGTAATTAATGTTTTTTTTTCAATTTTTTTCGTTTTCTTTCTTTTAATTACATCGTCTAAATCACTCTCAAGTCTTCCTTGTGCATCCACATTTCCGAAAAAGTAGCCTGCAAACGACATTTCTTTGTTAGGGTGATAAGTTCTTATCAAATGTACAAATGTCTCTCTTTTTTTTTTTTTTTTTGGTTCAGGAAAAAAAGGGTTCCTTTTATATTTTTCGCTGCCAGCTTTCGCACACAACACATTTTGTGACGTCACAAAGACGGCCGTAACAACTTACAGCATCATGAAATGTTTACGTGTGAAGGACTCATACTGTTTCTACAAGAAAGACAGAGCCCGTTCACCTATTCCATTGTTTACTTGTTTTAAAAACAAGAGTAATTTGTATCTGTATCAGATAAATTAAAACACGCTTTCATTGTCAGCATCTGATAGAAAAGGGCACAGCTAACAACAAAAAAAACTTTGATCCAGCTGAAAATTCTTGTAGAACAAGGAATGGTGTAACCTTCTTTTTTTAATATTAAATGCTTTATCATACAATAATCTTTTTTAAGCATCAATGAATTGATCACTGTATCAAATAGTTTTTGTGGTCTTGTGACGGGAAAAAAATAGTTTATTATAAATTGTGAATTTTAGAGCTTGTTGAGAATAAAATCTAATACTTTCTCTGCAAACCAAACATCTTCCATTTCTGGGTATGCATTATCTAATGTTTCTAGGGCTCTTTGAGCAAGGTGATGTTCCAAGGCACCATTGTCCATGCGGATCTTGATCATGTCTCTCATGGTGTCCCTACAGAATTCAGGATGGCCTTGAATAGAGAGACATTGCCCGTTTTCAGAGACAACAATATGTGTGGGCGTACTATTTTCTGTATAAGCCAAGCTCTTGAAACCCTTTGGAAGCTTTACCACATGATCTTTGTGGAATTGATTAATTCGTAATACTTTCTTGTCTGTCTTGAAGAACTTTTGTCCTTCTTCGTTTAATTTCACCTCGGTCCAACCAATCTGTCAAAAAGAACATTTAGTCTAAATCGGTGATCTTTTCTTAGAAATGATTAAATATGTACCTCCCAACCGGCTTCGTTCACCTCTGATTTACCACCAGCAGCACGCATAATGACTTGATGACCAAAACAGATACCAATGAGCTTGACATGGCCCACATGGTCCTCTTGTACCGTCTTTAGGAAATCCACCAGCTTCAGGATCCAAGGATCATTACCTTCCGCGCTGCAATCGGAGCCTGTCAAGAGAATGGCATCGTATTTCTTGCTGGCAATATCTTCGTAAGAAGGGTACTCTTGCTTGTTTATCACGTCAAAGATATCCCATTGAATGCTTAAATGTTCAATATCGGCAGCCTTGTCAAACACAGCGTCAAATTGTTCATGATAATCACCAAGGTGATCGACCAATTCTGGCATGGGTGTATCCGTCTTGAGTAATGCAATATGTAATTTAGTATGGCTCATTTGTTTGTTTTCTTATTTTGGTTATAAAGAAAAAAAAAAAAGAAAAAACTGGAATTATTTGCAGCTTTTTTTATACATGTGTCAGATTCTTCAAAACCCTTGATTAGACTAAATATGACGTGCGACAGAGACTTTTAGATCATTCCAATTTTTATTTCACGCTCATTTTAGTGTATAGAAAAACAAACTCAATGGCTACTAAATGTATAAAATACAGATCGGTTACGTAATGACGGTATCATGGAAGAATGCGGATATGATCCTGTTACTGTGCAGTCATGCCAACGCGTAATTTCATTTTTTTTTTAAAAAAAAAAAAAAAAAAAAAAAGATAGGGAGGGAACAATATTCCCAAAGGAATAAAGTAGTATCAGAACAAAGATATAAAGTAAACATCTGTATTTACCGCTATTTTTGAAAACAAAAAGAATGCATTATCATGCTACATTAGCGATAGTTTTAATGTAGTAAAGCCCCATGGGTTAGTTAACTCCGTAAGCCACTACCTGAAACTTTTTTATTTATTTTTTCTTTACTGGCTTTTTCTTGAACTTTTCTATTTTAATATAATAAAATGTCTGCAACTATTCAAATAAAGTGGCATCACAAGAAGTTTCCTATAGAGTTTGCCAGCATCAAAGACTTGGAGGCAACCACGGTAAAAGACTTGAAAACACATATTCAACGTTTGACTGGTCTTGAACCCAGCAGCATGAAGTTGCAAGCGTTTGGAGGTATACTCTCAGGTTTCTCCAAAAGAATTGGTAACTAACACGACCCTTGTTTAGCGTTTATGACCAACGATGAGTTACCATTAAGCGTTTATGGTATTCGTCCCGGATGTTTCGTTAAATTAATAGAGGCATGTGTGCACGCATAAAAAAAAATAAGTGAAGAGTTATATTAACGTATAAGAATGATTAGCATCACAAGAAGGATCATGGACCACCAGTGCCTGCCAAGGATCACCCTAAAAAGGCTCATCATCACCATAAGGAAGTGCGAAATGAGGAACAAGAGTTAATAGACAAATTACAAGTACTCAAGACCAAAGTAGATACCGAATTAGCTCCCCAAATCAAGACTTACGAAAAGGAAGTGAAGGCATTTTTAAACAAGTCTGAAAAGACAGAAAAAGAAAAGAAGGCACAGATTTACAAAGCTGCTTACCTTGGTGAGCAATTGATGTTGATCTTATTCGATTTAGACGCATTTTCTTGTGGAGTCCACACCAATGCACGACAACACCGAAAGGAACTAGTTCAAGTGACTCAAGCATTGTTAGATAAAGTAGATGAAATTAAATCCGTTGTAAAGAATATTGTTTTATAAAAAAAAAAAAAGAGGCATTTTATTTCAAGGAAAAAGAACGTAATCATCCAATGATTCCAACATGAAGGATTCATGAGAATCAGAGGGAGATAGAGGAGGAGAAAGAGGAAGATGATTGGTTGGTGTGTGTGTAGTGATCCAGTCAAATTCACTAAATACCGTCTCATCGTCCAGTATGTGAGCACCATAATCAAATGTATCATGAGATTGAGTTGGTATATCACCAAACAATGCATTCATTGGCTTCTTTACTGGCTTCACATAAGGTTGAAATTTATGTGAATGATTAGATTGTAATAAGAATTTGCTAGGTTTATCCGGTTTAGTAGTTGTTTGTGAAGAGCAGCGCCGTATTAGTATTTTGTCTTTCTTTTTCGGTATTATGGTGGCTGTAGGACTGTATCCAGGTGAAAACCCGACGACAATCGACTTCCTGCGTAGGCATAACAGTGTTCCTTTGTGCTGTTCAGGTAGGCTTCCTCCTTCATATTCTTCTGTCCATCGTTCTTGTTGTTCATGTTGCTCTTGTTGTTCTTGTTGTTGTTGTTGATTAAAGAAAAGGTCATTTTTAACTGTTGGATACAAAACGTTGCGTTTATTAGACAGAAGGTACGGGAAAGGGTGGACTTGTTAGAACACCCAAATGCTTAGTTAAAAAAAGAGATGAAGGGGTAGTAAAAATAACAACAACAATAAACAAGGCTTAAATAAAAAAAATCCTTTTTACATTCTAGAGCACTGATTGGCTGGATTGGATTTTGAAGTCACTTGAGTAGCACTTGATCAAAAATGCAATTAAAGCTTGTGCACCTTCCACTTGGATATCGTTGTTACAATACAATCTTTTATTAGATTCGGGATAAGGTTGAAAGATATATTGCTTTCATAGCTTCAAGTCCTACTTAAGAATTCCACAATATCTTTTTCAATGAAAGCTTCTTTGTTAGCCACGTTTAACTATTGTGGCACCTTACTTCTGCCAAGCCGACTATCCATTCTTCGGCTTTTTATATCTTCTTTCAATTGCTGTTGAATAGATCTATAAAAATGGTGCAGTTTCATCTGTGTTCTTGTGACCTTGTATACTTGCCTTATTTTGTAGATATTTCTGTACAAATTTCTCATTGGAAAATCATTACATGCCCGAATATCGTGGCCAAAATGGATTAGTATTCAATGCACGATAAAAACGATAAACAAATATTATGCTGGAAGGGGCGGCATCTATACGTGTCCTGTTTACCGTACACAATTGACGTTAGAAGTGACTCTGATAAACAAGCGTGTCGGAGTATAAATTACAGAGGTTTGTGGCCAATTGACCAATCAAGCACTGAATCGCGCGTGGTAACTGTCAAAATTAGCAACGCATTGTTGGCGATATTATGTAAGAGGGAAAAGACGTGTGTTACAGTTTACCAAGAGTTTTTGTTTAATAAAATGTGCAAAAAAGGGGGGTGTTTTAAAGGAATTAAGCCTTGTAGGAGATGACACCATCGAAACGGGCCTTGAACCATTCTTGGGATTCTTCCTTCTTGATTTGATGGTTAACACCAACCTTGGTCTTACAATGCTTTCTGCGGGCAACACGGTTACCGGGACGACCCATAACAACGAAGTAATCCATACCGTAAATTCCAATAGAGGGATCATACTTGATACCCAAATCGATATGTTCATCAATACCGAAACCGAAGTTACCGGTGTTGGAGAAGTTACGAGCCTTGAGTTCGTATTCCTTGACCTTCAAACCACGTTCAAGGATTTCCTCGGCCTTGGGACCACGGACAGTAACGTGAACGGCAATCTTTTCGTTACGACGAATGGAGAAAGTACGGACAGTATAACGGGCCTTGGTGTAGACGGGAGTTTGACCAGTCAATTGTTCGAGAACCTTGGCAGCACGAGTAAGTCTATCACCAGATTCACCAACACAAATGTTGAGAACCAACTTCTCAATTTGGAGGTTACGCATGGGGTTCTTGGTCACCTTCTGTTCTTCGGCGCTCTATTTAAGAAAATTGTCAGTCAATTTCCAGCTCTAACTTTTCTTTTTCTTTTTTTGGCTTTTCCAATGAAACAGTGTGAGAGATCAAATGTCCACATGTACATTCCATCCAAGTTGATTTTATTCCACATTCATACATTGTTGAAACTGTTTTTTTTTTTCGTATGTTGTATCATCCATCGATTCCTTGTGTAATCCATCTGTCTCTCTCTCACAAAGTCATTTGCCGTTCATTTGTTATATTTTATTACCATGTTGTCTGACGATATAGTAAAAAGAGGGAGAACTAAAATACAGTTTGCATTTGACTATATCCTCCTTTGCCTGGGCCGTGGATTTTTTTTTTTTTTTTTTTTTTTTTTTTGGCAGGTATGCTATGACCGGACATTATTAAATCACAGCCCGGACATTTTTGTATATGCTTAATACAAAATCCACTACTTTTTTTAAATTGAACAAGCTTTCAAACAGAACAATAAGGAAATTATGACAAACAATTTGATTTTTTTACAGAAGTTGTGTTTTTATTTAAAAATGATAAAACCCTTAATTTGTACAAAAAATTTAAGCACAGAAAAAGGAACCAAGTCAAGAGATTTAATGCTTCTTGGACTACAGAAATATATGTTAATACAAAAAGAAAATTCCTGCTAGTGAAATAGATGTTTACCTTGATCTTACGGAGGTAGAACTCAAGTTCCTTACCCTCGAGAATGTAACCATCACAACGACCAGATTGACCGGGACGAGAAGCGATGACAGCATAGAGACGACCAGCATTGAATTGATCGTTCAAGAGAGGATCGACAGCAGCAGTGGCAGCACGAGCAGCAATCTTCTTTTCAACGCTGTTGGACTTCTTCTCAGTGGCAGCCTACAATTATATATCTTGTCAGTATACGCCCATATATTAACTCTTCAACAACTTAAATAAAACTTACAGCAGCCTCACCAGCCTTTTGCTTACCAAGGGTAATAGCATAGTGAGATTCATACCATTGACGGAAAGGAGTGGCATCAATTTGGATGACGGCACCCTTAACGAGAGTGTTGGTACGGACCAACTCGTTGTTGGAAGCGTTGTAAACAACGGTCAAGGCACGAGTCTTGCGGGAGATACCCTCGGAACCCCAAGAGAAGTTACCGGATTCGAGACGAAGGGCACGACGCTTGAAGTTACCACCACGAACACGAACAAGATGGATACGCTTACCACCCAACTTGGTGTTGGCAGATTGACGACCTAACTCGAACCTATTTTAAAAGTGAATTTAGTCGTCTCGTTCAAATTTAGGTGGCATTGGGACTGAGCGCATTTGTTTATTGTTCCACGATTCTATTATAGATATATATACACATGCGCCATGTGCCGAAATGTCACCTCCAAGATAACAATAAAAAAAATACTTACTTTCTCTTCTTTCTGTATTGATCACGTCTAGCACCGGTGGCGCTACGCTTATGGCGAGAATCACGGCTGATACCTATTCATTAGATGGATGGATGCATATAAGTATTTCTGCTTTCTTTGGTATTGGATGCATGTCTGTTCTTCTTTACCCATATTATTTGCAGAGAAGGAACTCTAGAATTCTTGGCCGCCTAATGTTCATTTACACCTTTCGCAAAAAAAAAAAAAAAAAAATGGTCCGGCCCAACTAAGTGATGTCACATTCTTATAATTTTGCAACTCCGTGTCCGAAGGCGCTATGGCAGTAGTAAAGCAAAGCATGAATTCATCGAATTGTGACTGAATGCTGTCTTTTACACCACATACTTTCAGTGCATTCAATAATTGCTGTCTTTTTTTGTTTATTAAGTAATATATGAGAAAAAACTACAGGAATATTAGCTCAAACATATATTGTATACATATTTTTGTTTGTTTATAGGCCTTCCTAATAAAGATACTCTCCGTTGCTATGGTAACGCTACATGAGCAAATAAACTTTCAATGACTACTTAAGTAAGGTAAATGTTAGACTTTTTTCTAACCTTGAATGTACTCATACTACTACCTTTTTTTTGTGTGTGTTCGGGTAAAAAGCTCGTTGTTTAAGTTTGTTTAGGATCTTCATTGACATGATCTATGTCTTATCTTCAGTTTGACATGCTGCTCTGTAAGTATGACGAGATTACGTAATGGCTTTTCTCAAGATGTAAAAAATGACACCTATGCTTACGTCAAAGACCGAGGAATATAACCCAACAGCAACCATGGATAATAAGAGGTGAGAAAAGAATGGTGTTGTATTACATGTAGTCGAAACACTTTTAAAGAATTCATTTCTTTATCTTATTTTATATCGGCTTGGTATGGATTTCTAGTATTGGTATATCTAAATCTCAGAGCATTTTCTACGGTGTAAAGTGGATTAGGAACAATAAAAAATGCTTCGCTATTGCAATAGCTAATGTAAAAACATTTTGCAGAAATTCTAGCAAGCAAGTAGACACTACCCGGGAAGCATTTAATTAAATCCTTGGTGGTTATAAGTGGTGCAAACGATATTTAGTTTTAATTTTTACACACTCATGTGTATGAAAAACATTAGTTATTGAGATATTCCCTCCTGATAAATCTGTTTATTGCTAATCTTGGCTGCCTTCAATTAATTCTCGCGTCAACGCATACCCCCAACTGAATCGACTGAGTCCAACATGTATACAAGGAAAATACAATCAATGCATTCATATAAATATAGATCATGCAACACGGAATAAAAATTAATTTACTGCTATTGAAAAAAATAAATGTTGTATCTGTATGATCTCATCCTATTATATAATTTTAAACATTCTGTCCTGTGTAATTTCGCCACGACATCTCTAAATTACTCTCTCCTTAGTCAATAGCTCTTGTAAAGAAGCTGTACTAAAAATAGCACATTGGCAAAGATCAAAGGTAAGCAACGTTATTTTGACTATTGCGTTTCGCCATTAAAGAATAATGACAGCGTATTGATAAATTCACCGGCACGTTAAAAAGGATATGAGGATAAAACAAAAGAATCCGTAGTAGTAATTACAAAAAGAGACAGATTCCGTTCTTCATTGCTAACAGTCCAAAAAAAAAAAAAAAACCAGACATATGAATGGAACGATGTTAGATAACGCCTTTTGGCTATTACTAAAAGCAAGAATATCTACGTATTTAATGACTCATCATAACAAAACGGTATTTATTCAAATCAAAAATACAGTCTTCTGGAAGAACATTTTGTCTCTATAAACAAAGAATGATGTTAGTGCTTACTGTTCTTGATGCAAGAGCTGTATCTATCCGAAAAGTATGAAAAAAAAAAGTGGATCCGTTTGTGGAGAAAGTAAAATAAAGGAGTACGCACAAATAGGTCCATATTAGGATATAAATTAAGATTAAAATAAATTAAACAGAAATAGAGGTTTTGAGAGGACGTGCTAAAAAAAACTAGTATGTATTAAAGGGGCCGTATTAAAACGGAGGTGATAAGAATGCAATAAATGTCAAAATGGGAAAAGGTCTTTTTATTGTCTAACAGAAAATATAGAAAGTAAAATAAAAAACCTGTCGCTTTTTTTATTATTATTATTCTTCTCTTCTTATTGTTTCCCTTTCCATTCCCTTCTAATCACTCATTTTTTTTTTATATATATTTACACATTATGCTTTCCAATGCGCAGGACGCACCTTTTCTCCACCCTCATGACCCATGCGTCGAAAAAGAATATGAAACTTTAATTCGAGCGTGGAAAGATCAACTTATCGACCATACACCGGCAGTTCCTAATAATGATTATGTTCGACTGGCTTGGATGAGATTAATGGATCATTATCTCGACCAGCAATGGCTAGACTCGAAACAAATGTTACAGTGTGCTCAGGCTTGGAGCGCCCGTGACGAGTTAAGTTTGACAGAAGCTGTTCATACAATGAATATCCTCAGCCTCAAATCAATGCAAAGGTCATTGGATGCTCGTCAAGAGTTACTACAAGCTTTGGGAGACCCAGATCTCATTGGTATTGCTCGCCCACAAAGCATTTCTAGCTCCTCTTTTCTGACAGGTTCAGAAGAGGATGTACATGCCCCATTACTTGTCCAACACACCAACACTCCCACCCAGGAAAACTTTAATATTAATCATGATGAACCAGCGGTCCTTTCAATGAATGAAGAAGAGGAAGAAAAAGCCTTCCTAATTGACAATGGCTATAATCTTGATGAACTGATTGATCTATCCCTCGAGCCCGATTTGGAAGACTATGAAAATGATGGACAGGACATTAAAGTAAGACCAGTTTTTGATGAGGAAGAAGAGGAAGAAGAGGAAGAAGAGGAAGAAGAAGAAGAAGAGGAGGAGGAGGAGGAAGATGCAGCAGAGTTTATATCGCCGCTGGCCTCCCGTGTCTTTACTCGCAGTATCTCTTCCTCCATGTCTTCGCCTAATATATCCACCACTCAACGCCACGAAGAATTTACTCAACGAAAATACGAGAGCTACTACCAGAAATTACACCAGACGTCATCGTGGAAAGAAATTGAAATCCGTAACTCTGATTTATTATCTGAAGGAGGAGGCAGCTGTAGTAGCAGTGAGATTAGTTCTCCGAATGTGGGAAGTGATGTTCAATGGAAGAGCTGGTTTTTGGGAGATCAGTCAACTGAATTTGCAGAGGAAAAGGTAGAGACGGATGCAAGCTTTTCAGACTATGTCAAGAAACAGCCGTTTTTAATGGTTCGAAGTGAATCTAGCATTTCAGCGTTTCGACCAATCAGCAATAATTTGGCACCGCGTTGTCAGGCGCCATTGATCACCAAAAGTAGATCTTTCCCTTCAAAGTCAGCTTTATCGGCATCCATGAAGAAATCCTCTTCTACTCCACCGCCTGTGCCCCAGCAACGAAATTTTATGATTCGATCTATTGTCAGTAAGAAGGCTTCGTTATCCAAACTATTTAGTAGTAAAAAGCCTTGATACTTTCTTTTTCTTTTGTTTGTTTATAATTCAAAATAAATAAAATAAAAAAATATAATAAACCCTCAAGGTTTCCAGTCTTTGGGATTTTTCTCTCCCGCTTTCTTTTTTTTTTTTTTCTTAATGTCTTCATTCACCAATAGATTAATCAAGGAGAAAAGTCCCTACTTACTGGTAACAAAACGACAATCATATTTAAGTGCCTGCCCATTGAACATTAACAATAATGTGACCCACTTTTAGCAACATGGTAATTACATTTTTGCTTATTGTTCAATTAGGTTCTTTTTGTTTTATTCATCTCTTTATTTATTTTTCGACATTTTAAGCTCATAATCCAGTATGTGACACCTCATGGCATAAACTTGAATGACGACTAATGTGGAAATAAACCCCCTCCCTTTTTTATTTTAGGTCGACTGGTATCCTTGGGGCGAAGAAGCTTTTGCTAAGGCTCGTACTGAAAATAAGCCAATATTTTTGAGTGTGGGTTACAGCACTTGTCAGTGAGTTGTTTAAGAAAAAAAAAAGAATCTGTAAAATCCTGGCTAGCAAAAATTAATCCTTTCATTTTAGTTGGTGTCATGTCATGGAACACGAATCTTTCGAAAGTGAAACTGTAGCAAATGTCATGAATAAATACTTCGTGAATGTCAAAGGTAAATATGTCGCGCATAAAAGAAAAAAAAAATGAAGTAAAATTCCTGACATAATGTCCAGTTGATAGGTAAAAAACATGGTACTTCCTAGAATATAAAATTAAGCTGACAGTAACAAAAAAAAAAAAAAAAAAAAAAAAAGAGAGGAAAACCCTGGTGTAGATAAATTATACATGACATACATTCAATTAACCTCAGGAACGGGTGGTTGGCCCATGTCAGTCTTCTTGACACCCGAATTGAACCCTTTTTTTGGTGCTTCATATTTTCCTCCTGAAGATCAATACGGAAAGCCTGGTTTCATCACCTTATTGACTCGCATTTCGGATCTTTGGAGAACAGATCCTCAAAAGATCAAGGCATCTGGAGAAAGCATGACTTCTCAATTGAAATCATATATACAAGCTAAACCCGCAGGTAATCAAGCTCCTTTGGATCCTGTAGCAGTTGCGGCAGAAACCTATCATCACTTTGTCAATTCATTTGATCCTGTATTTGGCGGGTTTGGTTCTGCTCCCAAGTTTCCTACTCCTGTTCAATTGCAGTTTTTGATTGATTATTACATGTACAATCGTCAGGTCAGCAGTCGAGCTGCCGACGCTCAGAAAGCACTAGACATGGCATTGTTTACTTTAAAGAAGATTGCAGCAGGCGGAATTCATGGTACTAGCAAATATCAAAGTTAGTCCCAACATATAATCCCAATTAATCAATCATGTATGTCTAGATCATATTGGAAGTGGATTTCATCGATACAGTACAGATAAAAAATGGCACGTCCCTCATTTCGAAAAAATGTTGTATGATCAAGCCCAGTTATTATCACTTTATTCATCCGCGTACCAAATCACGGGTGAAGCAGTCTTTGCAGATGTGACAAAGGACATCATACACTATGTGTCTAGAGACCTTCAACATGATACGGGAGCATTTTATTCTGCTCAAGATGCTGATTCTTCACCTTCCATAGGGTCTTCCCAGAAACTAGAAGGCGCGTTTTGTGTATGGGAAGAGTCGGAACTCGTGAATATTTTGGGTCCCACTGACGCTCAAGTTTTTGGGATACATTTCGGGTGTAAAAAAAATGGTAATGTAGAACCTGCTCAAGATCCTCAGAAAGAATTGGTCAATAAAGTAAGTTTTTATAGAGATCCTTTTTGTCTGACATGAAGCTTTTTAGTGTGCTTACTTTTACAATAAAAAAACGTGTAATGTAGAATGTGCTGGCTGAAAGTGGCACGGTTGAAGATACTGCAAAGGCGGCAGGTATGACACCTACAGAAGTAACCCGTATATTAAATTCGAGTAAACGTAAGCTTTGGGATTACCGTTCCAGTATCCGTCCAAAACCACACCGCGATGAAAAGGTATGTGGTTTCCCTCCCAAAGATCTAGTCGTATTACTTTGTACTAATTATTGTAAAGATCCTTACTTCATGGAACGGATTGATGATTACAGGTTTGGTTCATGCTTTTGAAGCGCTTCAAGAGACGGATATTTTGAAATTAGCAATTGAAGCTGCCGAGTTTATCTACAGAGAAATTTATAACCCAACAACACATGTGGTGATGAGATGCTACTGTCAAGGCGCATCTGATATTGGAGGCTTTATAGATGACTATAGCTACTTGATTCAAGGTTTGCTAGATTTATACGAGGTCACGTTTGATGAAAACTGGATTAAATGGGCCTATGATCTTCAGGAAAAACAGAACGAATTATTCTATGATACCGAAGATGGTGGTTACTTCAATGTAACAAAGCACGATAAAAGCATCCTTGTTAGAATGAAGGAAGAGCAAGACGGCGCAGAGCCATCAGCGTAAGTATTTATTTCTCGCCACTTTGATTGACGCTGTCTCATATTTTTTCTTTACAGAAATGCCGTATCTCTGAGAAATTTAGTCCGCCTTGCTTCCCTGCTGGAAGAACCCTCTTATGCTAGCAAAGCGCAAGAGACAGTACATGCATTCAGACTCTCCTTGAGTAAATTCCCATTTGCTATACCAGCTCTTGTTGCATCATTCATGTTGGTGTCGAATGGCTTGAAAGAGGTAAAAAGGGAAATAAAATGATGGCCTATGTATAAACTAAATGCTGTTTTTCTGTAGATTGTATTATCTGGCAATCCTGATGATTTCCGTATGCGAGAATTCCAAAGAATTGTGTCGCGCGTATTTCTACCTAACAAATTAGTGTCATTAGCCAAGGGCGAAGGATTTATTGCGCAAAAGAACTCGGTTATCAAACAAATTGGTGTGCATGCGAATCCTGTAGCCTACATTTGTGATAATTTTTCATGTGGATTACCCATTCATGATGCGAACGCACTTAAAAAAGCATTATCAACTGATCAATAAAGGCAGCATTCATACAAAAAAAGACAAAGGGTGTTTATATTTAAAAAAAAAGTGTGTATGTGTAAGGCTTTTTTATTCTAGTAGATTAAAACGCTTATTGGGCAGATAAGATATCAGAGTCACCAGCATCAGTGATGGAGAGGACACTGGTACGGAAAAGCTTACCACAAGCGGTACCAAGATCGATGTTGTTACCGTTGTAATGATGGACACCAGTCTTGGACAACATGGCGTAGTACTCAATCTCGGACTTACGGAGAGGAGGACAGTTACCAGCAATGATGATCAACTTGGCTATAATTTAAAAAAAGAGATTAGCCTAATGTTGAAAGGGGGACGATCTCTGCCAAAAGAAAAAAAAAAGAGAAAAAGTTCATAGGACAAAAGCAATAACAAAAAAGAGTAGGCTCCTGTCCCCCCAGTAAAAATAGCACGAGATCGATTTGGTTTGTGTGTGTTTATAATTTTGAATTCACTTACCCTTTCCTTGACGGACAGTCTTCAAGGTGGTCTTGTAACCGAGAGTGTACTTACCAGACTTGGTAACAAGTTGGAGACGAGAGTTGATGGACTCGGCGTTCTTCTTGGACTTGACAGTAGGGGCCATTTTAACTATAAGGAAGCAGGGTATCAATAAAAACGCGTTTCGTCATTACTGCATTATAGTGAACTTACTTAAGTATAAAGGAAAGAGAAGGATTTCTAACCTGGCAAGACATGCCCGTTACCCTAAAGGATTCAAAAAAAATTTCATTTACACTAAGCCACCTAATTAAGCCAATCAACCTCAGCTAACCGCCTGAGGCTCAAAAAGCTAACCTGGGTTTTAAAATGTTCCCAAAAAAAAAAGGTATATGTGTAATATTGCCCCTGTCGCTTTTTTTTTTTTTAACCCTTTTTGTTCCGTTTTATCACTTACACTTATCATGAACAAACTCAGTGCTATCCGCAGTCTTCCTCAAACATGGGCCAGAAGCTACACAACAGCTGTCAAGCCCAACATTAAATTATTAAAAGAACTTCGTAAGGAAACCGAGGTTTCCATGACAAAGGCTAAGGAAGCCCTTGTCAAGACAAATAACGACTATGCAAAGGCCTTAGCTTGGTTATCCGAGGATGCTCAAATCTCCGGTGCCAAAAAGGCTCAAAAGGTTGCTGGCAGAGTCGCTGGTGAAGGTTTGATTACCACTGCCTCTGTCGAAGCTCCTGTTGCCAACGGTGTCAGAAGCACTATCATTGAGGTATACGAGAACAAATTTAAATCACCTTTGCAGAAGTCAATTTTTTTAACATTTATATTCTAGTTGAACTGTGAGACTGATTTCGTTTCTAGAAACGATGTATTCAAGAACCTTGCTTCTAGAATCGCCGCCACTTCCTTGTTGATGCATGATACTCTTGGTAGCGCTCGTGCTATCGAGATCCTTCCTGTGGACGCACTTTTAAATGCTCCCTTGATGCCTCATCCCAACCAAACAGAATTAAACATCAACGATATTGGAAAGACTGTCAACGAAACTATTGTGGAAACAATCGGTAAGCTCGGTGAAAACATTTCATTGCGCCGTGCTGCTTTAGTCACCAGCGGTGTGTCAGCCAGTTATATTCACGGTGGTGATGCAACCAGTGGTAAGATGGGTGGTCTTGCTGTTTTACAACCTAAGAAGGTCACTTTAGCTGAATTAGATCCTACCGCCACTCTTACTTTAAACAAGACAGCTCGTCAAGTCGCTCGTCAGGTAGTTGGATTCAATCCTCTCTACTTGAACACTGCCGATGTTCCCGAAGCCGAACTTTCAGCACAAGCCAATGTTGAGGAATTTGAGGAGACCTCAGTTTTGAACAAGCAAAAGTATCTTTTGAAGCCCGAATTCACCATTGCTCAATATGTTGAACAAGCTGCTGACGCTGAAGTCATTGATTTCATTCGTTGGGAGGTTGGAGAAGGTATTGAAAAGAAGGAGAATGATTTTGCTGATGAAGTCAACCAAGCTGTCAATGGCAACTAAGTTACATTTTTGCGTTGAAATATTGTACCATACTAGATCTTTTTCCCATTTTTTTTTTTTTTTTTTTTTTTTATTATTCTATCTTCCACCAAACCATTTTAATAAATGTTATTTCCCTTGTATATTTAAAAACAATATATTTTCAATTTGATTGTGTATTATGCTCTACTATTAATAAACATGCTTCTCTAACTATTATCAGCAGGTGCACGGCCCGAATTATATCCAAAACGTTCTCAGTAAACATTGTGTAGATGGACTTTCTTTGTACGTTTATAAATTAGGCTTTTTATAAACAATCACCTCTATTCGATTTAAAAAATTTCTCATTGTCCCTTTTTTGAAAAACTAATTTAGTTGCTTGAGAAAGTTTGCTTTTGTGTGCCCTTTTTGTCATTTTTAGTATTTTTTATTTTTTGTTTTTGTGCATCAAAATGGAAGATGATCTGTCAAGCTCAGGTAATCACACACTTCAAAAAAAAACGTATTACAAAATTGTAATGAAAAACAAACCCTTTTTTAGAGGATTTCAGTGAAGGATCCATTTCCACCGACTTGTCAGAAGAGCGCATACCTGGTGAAGATATAAACTTTGTCATTGACGATCTTCGTCTCCGTTTACAAAACCCACCCGATTGGTTTGGAACACATGATCTTACAGGTGAATTGATTAGGGAGTTTAGACGGGCTGGGCTATTCGACGATGAAATCGAGGCATTAGAAATTAAATTCTATCAGACTGAGCGGTTCAAGTTGAGGGTTAGGCGATTGAATATGTTGGACACTATATTGGGCTATGTTTTAGTCATTGCATTTGTCCTTTTCTTCGAATTACATAAAGGTTCAAGTAGATATTTATACATTTCAAATAAATTTTAAAATAGCGTACAGTATAACTTTTTTATTTTATTTTTATTTTCGCAAACTTTGCTTGAAACGTAATCGTGATGATATGTGAGGCAAAGGTATAAATTTGTAATAAAACAACAATTTGCACGCAAAATATACTTGAATAGGACTAATAAACATATTACCAAATAACAAGAAAATGAAAAGTGACCGTGATTTATAGTTTTTATAAATAATAAAGAATGCTTTTGTTTTTCTTTCTTTTACTGTAGATAAGATCATTATTTAAATATTTTATTGTCTGCCAGAGAAAGAAAAAATCTATCTACTAAATAGGTACAGGCCTGTCATGAGTTATGCTTTTCAACTGCATGATTAATTATATGTGTTTATTTAAGTAACAAGGAGAACGTAAGAATCAGATTGGCATTATGCGTGTAATTATTTATCTATTAGTTAATTTTGTAATGTTGAAAGTGTTAATAAAACTCCATATTTCGAACGTAAATAAACTGTTGAATAGCTATAGTACGGCCATTAATGTTCACTCCTTCACCACCGTTTCCTGGTGGTCCGTTCAAAGGAGGGTCTTGCTCTTGTTGATCATCATTAGCAACAGGTACTTGCTCTTGTTGGGGATCACCAGCTTGCTGTTGGTTGATATCTGCTTGGGGTTGGTTAGCATCTGCGTCAAGTTGATTATTGTCATTGAGTGCAGGTAAGTTGTTGATAATTGGTGGCTGTAAATTATCGCGATTGTTGCCGTCTGCAGCAACATTTTCGACATTACGTTCGGGTAAACGTGCGTGAAGTAATTCCATTACTTGGTCGAACCTTACGTCAAAACCATCCATACGCCGTGTGTTATTAGCTTGGTGCATGTTCGCATTAGCTGTTACTTCATTTAGATTTTCTCGAGTCGGTAGCAACGCCACGCGATTGTTTATTTCTCTCGAAGTAATTTCCACATTTGTAATCTGGTCTCGTAAATAAGTCATACGATCATGGGTTATGTCTATTTGAGCTAGAACAATCTCTACACGATAATCCAAGTCATGTATGTTTGTCATAGCCGTATTTATATGAGCATCTAAACGATCAATTCTTTCTCGTAAGCCTGCCAGTCCTTGTAAAACCGCTGCCCGTTCATCCTCTACCTGCTCATCCCCTGCTTGTTCCTCCTCTTCCTGTTCATCCCCTGCCTCATCGCCATTAGTGTCACTCCCATCATCATCGTCTGAGTTATCAATAGGTTGTTCAGCTGTTTCATTATTATCATCATCATCGTCTGAGTTATCAATAGGTTGTTCAGCTGTTTCATCGTTATCATCATCATCATTGCCATTATCATCATTGATATCATAGTCCTCATCAGCGTCATCATCATAATCGCTGATACCGTTTGTATCCTCAGTAGTTTCGGTATCAACGTAGGAATCATCATCAGCGTCGTTGTTATAGTCTGAAACCATTCGTCCGATTTGAGATACTTCAGAGTACATACCAGATAAAGGAAGACCACCATTATTCTCAGTGCACGATCTGGCTTCCCTATCGACAAAAAATAAAGACATCATGTAAAGATCAGGCGTCAATTTTGCTCTTTTATTTTTCGGGAGAGTTTGGTCTTTGCAATCATCATTATGGTAGGCAGATTGTTTTCTTTTGGTGCTGCTGTGTTTTGTTGACAAAGGTCTGGATCGCGACATGCTACTATATATATAGAAAAAAAAGAAAATAGAGGGAATTTGGAATAAGTACCTAAAGACCCATTCTATCTATCTATATATATACAAAAATGGTCATAGTACAATGAATTTGTTTATAAAGTTTGTTATCCATTATGTGATAATAAAATCAATGTCTTGATTTATTGTTTTGCAATTCTGTGATGCTCTCATTGAAGATATCCATCTATTTATAATATTTCATTGTAGTTATGCTAGATGATAGGGCCGTTCGTTAAAGAGACAATTGTTTGTTTCTGGTCAGAAATGGTGTAGCTGCTAGCACGTGGACACCGATAATTTATATTCTTCTTCAAACTAATAGCAAATTTGTTTTAAGCAATACAAACTCTATTCCATATGTTTTTCTGTAGTCAGATTATTTTCAAAATATGTACAGTTCTGAGACTCCATAAAGATATCATCATGTTCAAGTCTTGCTTTAGCATTTTATTTTTCCTTCTTCACTCCTAATAATTCATTCATTGTACATTTGGTGTGGGGTTTGAATAATACAACGTTAATAAGATGACAATAAAAAAAATGGTGCAAGAACGTCGCTTAATATAAACTTATGTTTTCGAATTTATCAAGAAACTGTAATGGTTGTAACCCCTTTCCGTCTGTCGGGTGTAGAAATTTCAGCGGCATCTGCAAAAACAAAGGCCATTTGCACATATAACTTCAGAAATCATCATGTATTATACTTTCCCTTTACCCAAACCAGACATACTATTCAAGTGAAAGATTTGCAGTCAAAGTGTCTTAGAGAACAGTTAATTTAAGATAAACAGCGTGTGTGTATTTCTTCTATGACCTGACCATGTTACGTGCTTCTTATACAATCAGGGAATAGATCGGCTAATGCTTACTTGTCTAAAAAATAACCTTATTTCGAACACTGGGATATAGAGAGAAGAGCAACATAAAACTTTGTTGAAAGTTAGATCACCTTTTAATTCAGCTTTAAATGGGATTCAGTTTGAATTGCACCATTGTCAGACAAAATAGCTTCGTGTAGGAAATTACGTCAGCAATTGTTTGCGTACTTTCTATTGCTAGAGGCTGTATTCGAGCTTTCAGGTGATGTATGTTGGAGAGCCCACGTTATCATATCCAGCAATTACATCAACAGCGAACAAGAATTTATAACAACTAGCAAAAAAAAAAAAAAAAAAAAAAAAGTAAAATAAGACTGGGTAGCGGATATTGATCCAGGTAGCATCCAAGTCCCTATTGAAAGAGCAAGTCTTAGTGTTTAAAGTAGAGAGATGGAACATGATGTATGAGACGAGTTTGGTTAAGAGGTTTATTGATGTCATTGCGGAGGCTCCATTATCTGCGTTCATGTATGTGCTTGTCTTTATGTCATCATATGTGTTGTCCGCATTATTCTTTTTTTTTGGGGGGGGGGAGACATGATGTGTTTCCATCTTCTTGTAGTAGCTGTCCTGTAAGTACACAAAGTCTTTTTTTTTTGGGAAATCAATAAGGAAGCATATATTATTTATTCCGATGAACTTTGATGGGTACAAGGCTTGTATGACTTTATAAGAAGATTTAGAAAAGGTGAGGTGTAATCAACGAGGATAATCACAATATTTATTGTTTATACGGCTGTCGTATGGCTTTTTACAGAAAAAAAAAAGGGAGTTCAAGTTGACATTTCATGGTAAAGATCGTATCATGTTACTATAGTAACTTGTGTTGACTTTTAGTAGAAAACACAACTATTCTGTTTATTCCATGCATGTGAAATGCTTAGTCTGTTACACCACAAGATAATAACTTCAAATGTTCAGAATATATCAGTACAAGATCAAGCCCCCCTCCCTTCGCTAAGCTAAACTCTTTATATGTAACACACGGGTATGTCATACAAAACATCATCCCACAGAATATTTTTTTTATGCTGCAATTTATAAATGGAATAGAATGGTAGGGCGTAGAACCAAAAAAATTAGTTATCTCGGCTGACATCATAATGTAGCCCGGAACAACAAAGATGCATATCCGTGTATTTATAAATAACTTGTATCAAGTTAGGGTAAATGGCGAGGCAATAAATGTATCTAAAGGTGAAAATTAAAGACAACAACCGCTTTAAGCATGAGGGGGAGGAGGAGGAAAGAGCAGAATTATTACGTATTTAAGTCATGATACGGACAAGGATTGTTATTATTAGCAATCTATGGAACTGCATCCGACCTTCTTTTTCGGCAGGTCAATTAAAATAAGTAGTTTTATTCATTTGTCCTACCCGCGCCCTTTACTCAAAAAAAAAGGAACTACTTTTTCTAAAAAAGGTAAGCTAAAGCCTCATCTGAAAATAAATTTTTTTGATTCGTCTTTTGGTGCAGTTGGAATTGTACTACACTGCTATTGACACAAGCTATTATATAAATAAAACTTTTTTATTTATTTTTTTCTTCTGTTTCTTCTTTTTTTTTATTAACAAAAATATAAAAACATTATACAATATGACTGTGACCGAAAGCCAATTTCCTCTTGGATATTTCTACATTATTTCCAAAATGAACGAGCTCGTGATTGATTTACGTGGCCCTGAAACTGCTACCGTGAGTGTTTAGTTGATAGACGCGAGACTAAAAAAAGCGAGTGACTGAGACACGTTAACTAATTTTTTATATATAAACGATAATAGGTTTCCTCCAAGATTGTTATGGCCGCAAAGAAGCCTACTTCTCCTGAAAGAGATAGTCAACTCTGGATCCATCAAAATGGTTTCTTGACAAACAAGTCTACAGGTCTTGTTTTAGACATTAACAAGGCTGAAAGCTTTGTCGGTATGTTAAATCTCGAAATATCTAAAAAAAATAACTGTTTTTGCTCATATATATATCAACCTCTAGCCATCTTTACCAAGGAAAACCGTCTTTATTTAGACAAGATGAAGGATCAAGAAGCTGTAAGTAGCCGGATGATAGGACGAAGAAAAAAGAAAAACCTTAAATTTATATAAATTTTTTTTTTATTAGGCTAACGATCAACGCTTCGGATATGAAGCCGAGACTGGTTATATTTATGCTTTATGTAACCATGATTTAGTGGTGGATATTCGTCATGAAGATTTAAAGGAAGATGCCCGAGTCATGGTGTATGAAAAGAAACCTATTGCCGAAGCCGCTAACCAGTTATGGACACTTGAACTTGCTGATCCTCCAAGAATGATTGATTCTGATGATGAAGATGAGGATGATAGTAAGCGTGAGCGTATGAAGGCCTGGTTCGGTAACTGGAAGGGTTGGGGACACAAGAAGGGTGAGGTTTTGGCCGAAAAAGATTTGGTAGAAGCCAATGAAAAGGTCTACAAGAACAAGAAGGAGAAGGCTAGGTAAGATATTAACAACTGACAAGTATAAGACCAAAAAACAAGGGCTGACCTCTCATGTCTTAGTTATGAATTGATTGCTGCTGCTGCTGCTTATGAAGCTGTCAACGTTTGGGAAAAGAAGCAAAAGGAAGAAGGTAAAGAAGTCCAACATGCTACTGCTAAAAAGTTGATTGCTGGTATTGCTGCTAAAGAGGTAAATATAACTGCTATACTGTGTAGGTTTATCCTAGCTGACCCTTTCCCTTTCTTTATTATTATAATTATTTAGCTTGTTAAATTACTTCAAGAAAGAGGTACTGAGAAGGAATTCAAGGAAGATAAGCGCAAGAACGAAATGATTACCAACATGACCAAATCAGCTGCTATCAACTACTTTGACTCCAAGCATGGTTATTAATTTGATTTAATAACTAAAAATAAATAAATAAATATCCCCCCGCTTTTTTTACATATCCAGGCTATATTTCTCCGTTTTCTCTCCACTGTCAAAATGTGTTGTTTGTTTTTTGGCCCTGAATTTCTTACTCCGTCCTTTTATTTTATTCTTAAAAAGGGGAGAGTTTTCTTTTTTTTTTTTCTCTCTCCTTTTTAATTTTTTTTTAACACTCATTTCGCTTGACATGAATACACCAATGACCAGCACTGGTAAAGAATCCGAAGTGTCGTTACTGAAAAAGTTTTACTCGTATGGTACATTACCTCCGGAGGTTGATAAAGAAGGAAATATTGAATATAAGGTTGGATTTTAGAAGCAGGAACATTTATATATATATATATATAAACACACATTTTACTAAATTAATGCATAAGCTTAAACTGGTGAATCCCACAATTGAACGTCTTGAGCATTTAATTACACAAATGAAATGGAGGTAACTTTTATTAAAATAACCTATACACTTTTTTTTTTTATGGCTCTAAAAAAAAAAAAGGTTATCCGAAGGCAATGGTGAAGCATTGTATGAGATTGGTGTAGACGATGATGGTACAATTAAAGGACTTTCAATCAAAGAAATGACACTCTCTATCAACACACTACGAAAAATGGCAGATGCCTTGGGAGCAGATGTCTCGATACGAAGAGAGTATATTTTAGATCCCGTTCTAGCATCAAAATGGGGTCATCCCAAGAACAAGGATTACAAAGTCGCTGAAATCCTAGTACGAATACGTCCCAATGACGATGACACACAACGATTTACGGACCTACGCATTGTGCTGGTGGGTGGATTAGGTGCGGGTAAATCCACGTTGTTGGGTCATATATCTCACGGAGCTAAAGACAATGGACGAGGCCGTGCACGATTAAATTTACTGCGGCATCGACATGAATTAGAAACTGGCAGAAGTTCATCCATATCACATGAAATCATCGGTTATGACTCAGAGGGTAAATTAATCAACTATGCCACCACCAATGTCAGCACGTGGGAACAAATATGTGAGTCAAGTAGCAAGATCGTGACGTTTTTGGATACCTGTGGCTATGCTAAATATCTTCGTACCACTATCTCGGGTCTGATGGGTTATGCGCCTGATTACGCTTGTTTGTTAATTGCTGGTAACGCAGGAGGTGTCACCGATATGACTAAAGAACATTTATCCATCGCCGTTATGCTGGATGTTCCCGTCTTTGTCGTCATCACCAAAAGTGATTTAGCCACACAAGATCAGTTACGTCGAACCCTGGGCTCGCTTTTGGCAATGCTGCAGTCTCCCTGGATGAGTAAAGTACCCGTGGTAGTACAGTGCGAAAATGATTTGGTCACCTGCGCTTCTCATTTTGCAAAAAGAGGCCCTGAATTACCCATCTTTATGGTTTCTAACGTCACTGGTGCCAACATGGATCTATTGATCAAGTTCTTTAATTATCTTCCCAAACCTATTCGAAAGAATTATGATGAATTGTTGGAGGAGCCTGTGGAATTTCAAATCGAGGAAGTGTTTAGCCTATCCGGTACATATTTTTTTTAGATTTGATGTGTGTGTGTGTGTTAACTAAGTATATATTTAGATGTAGGTACGGTAGTGGGTGGTGTGTTGGGTCAAGGTCGTGTGAATATAAGAGATGATTACGAATATCATCTCGGACCCAACTCCAAAGGCGAGTTTATCAAGGTCAAGATTGTATCAATTCATCGACACCGCATGTCCGTACACTATGTGCATTGTGGACAGACCGCTACATTAGCTTTAGACGGTATAGATGATCCCAACTGGAAGATCCATAAAGGCATGGTGCTTTTGGGTACGCGTAATCCTGAATGTTATATTGAATTCGAAGCGGATCTGATGGTATTGTACCATGCTACAGGTGTAAGCAAAGGTACATGTGGTATGGTAAATTCGGGATCGATACGACAGCATGCCAGGGTTACGTCAGTGACTTGTTCAGACAAGTTTGATGAGTTGAATTTTAACTTTGATAACTTGACAATGGATGATCAAGAAAATGAATGCGGGCAGGATAATGAGGAAGCGACTATTTTATTATCTGGTACACGTGGAAGATGTGTATTTAAATTTATGTATGAGCCTTGTTACTTGCGACTGGGAGCTCAGATTTTATTTATGCAAGGAGGATCTAAATGTTTAGGCCGTGTTACTCGGTTAATTCATCGTGAATAAAACTTAGTAATAAATGAAAAATGAATAAAAAATATTTTCTTTATTGAGTCACTTCACAAGTGCGGATGGTTCGGTCATATTCAGCAAGATTGCCACGTTTATAATTACACCAATCTGTCATTGAACCGCGTAGTTCTTCTCTGGGATAAATGAAAAACTTGAGAATACAAGCAGTACAAAATCTATTGTTGGCGTCACAGCCTCGAGCAAAACCAACCATGGAAGTCAGGCACTTTGAGTCTTCTACACCAGGGACTATACAAGGTGTATATCCAGTACTGTTATAGCATGAAAACGTACTTGGTAATGTATCAGCATAAGTCAAGCCGTAGAAAAAGACACTGGTAAAGAAGAGGATATGTAAAAAATTCATTTATTTTTAAAAAAAAGAAAGAATATAGAAACTGTATTTATAGTTTTTTTTGGAGGATAATGAAATAGTTAGTTTTCTTCTAGCAGTTATTTACACACAGGACTACTGCTGTTGTATTCGGTAATATAACCATTTTTTTGATCACACCAGATTCCGAAGTTTCTCTGAGTTTCTGCTCTTTGCATATTCTGAAAATTGTTTAGACAAGCCTTGCAATCTGTGAGCTGATCGTTGCATTTATTGGGAACACCCAGTTGGTGATGGTTGCAAGTGGAATGTTCTACGCCCGTTACGATACAATAGGATTCATCTGGTAGCTTGACATAACAGGAATTATAGGTCACTGTGAACAAGTCGTCGTTTTTACCGTTACTAAAGAGCGTCATATCGTCACGGATCACTACCAGCGAATGAGCCAGCGTAAGGAGGGATAGCAACAGCAGCAACAGCAAGCAGATTTTCATTATTTGATGGGCAAAATATGGAAGATCGAGTAAGGGAAGGAAGGGATAGTTTTCTATTTATACTCGTGTTGTTTAGACAATCAAGTAATATTTCGTTGTGTTATTTTGTTGTTGTGTAGGTTACACATGAGGCGTCAAAGATGGACGGTGTAACATGTCAGATTTTATTATTATTAGAAAGAAAGCATAAGGGGGTGAGGGGGTGGAGTTTGTTTACATTTTTTTTATTTTTTTATTTTTGAAATGAATAAAAAAAATCGGGAGATTTTGTTGTATAGGTGAAAGGTGTGAAAAATGCATCATATATATTATTTTGGGGGAGCACAAAAGAGGAGGAAGGGGAGGAGAGGGAGTATCTGTTTTTTTGGGTGGGTGGGATAATAGAAAGAAAAAAAAAAGAAAAGAAATGCTGAATAAAAGATTAAAACTACAGTGTGTGTGTGTTGTGGAAAAGGAATGTTTTTATTTCTTTCCCTTCTTTGTAGGAGGAGAAGGCTTTGAGACCTTTCCGCCGTTACTGCGTTTGGCACCTTCGAAACCTGGACGTGCCTTCTTGGGAGCAGGCTTTACCTTGATACCTCTCTTTTTATTCATCTTTTCATCAATCTTTGATTTAATGTTCTCTTCTCTCTTCTTGATATGCTTCTTTTCATCGTATTTGACCTTCTCAATACGTTTATTCCATTCTTGACCACTCTTGTTCTTTAACTTTTCTTGTCTCTTGATAGTCTTCTTTAACAACTTGGTATCATCCTTGAGCTTCTCACCAGTTGCCAATGCAAGCACCTTGTTCCATTCTTCCTTCTCCATTAACTCTTCTGCCTTGCTCTTATCTTCACCCTTCATCTTTTCGAGCTTCTCTTGCTTGGCTTCGAGCATCTTTAATTGTGTCTTGGCGTCAGTAGGTCCCTTCTTCTTCTTTTGGTCAACAGTAGCTCCAACAGCGAGCTTACCAAAGTAAAGATCACCATCCATCTTTACAGAATCAGCAGAGGGACGAGTCTGATTGAACACAGGCTACATTCATATAAAAAAAAAAGGGATATGTGTAAGTTGCATATTGATTCGGGATAAAAAATATAAGCAAAAGTCGATTGCTTGCTTTTTGCATACCTTTCTATCATCGAATTTAACAAGCTCTTCAGAGGCAACTTTGCCACCTTTCTCCTTTTGTGCCTTTATTGCCTTCTTTCTATCTTCCTTCTTTTTATTTCTGGCAGCTAAAATGTCATCACGGCTTCTAGGGTTAGCAGTGTTGGCACCAGGAGCATTACGCTTCTCACGCAATTGGCTGATACGTGCTTGGAGACGGTTACGAAGTTGATCAATGTCGCTCTTTTCCATAGGTTGGAGGTTAACTATGAATAAAAAAAAAAGTTAGGATAAGAAAAAAAATTTTTTTTCTAATAGATCATCATAACTCGATCTTAATGTCAAAAAAAAATTAAAATTTTTACCTTCTTCAACAGTGGTTGTTGCTTCAGCAAGAGCGGGTGTAGAGTCGTCAAGGCCACTGAAGGCACCAGTTTCGACATCCATCTTTTCGATTTGTTCTTCGTCAGCGTCACTGGATTCCTCTTCGTCGTCCTCTTCTTCGTCAGATTCAGACTTATTTTCCTGTTCCTCGATCAACTGCTTTGCCTTCTCCTCTTGTAATTCACCAATAGATTTAATATTGGTGGGATCGAGCTTTGCTTTCTTTGCTTTCTTTGTTCTGTCTTTGATGGCTTGTTTAGGTGCCTTCTTTCTTTTATTATGTTGAAATTTTCCGGAAGCATCGTCATTTTTATCCATGACGTAAAACTTGGCGGGTATAAGCTTTAATAAATTATCAAATATTTGAACATCACGGCTCAAACGTTCCGATAACACATCCATCGTATGATTTTGAACCATTATTTTCTTTTTTTTTCTATAAAATATATATATAAAAATAAAAAAATAGGGTCAAAAAAAAAAAGTTTATCCCTTTCCACCCTCTCACACAACCCAAAAAAAAAAAAAAAAAAAAAAATGTGGCGGGTTTTTTAGCAAAATAGGTCACATGTGACTGGTTTTATTTTTACGGTTGTCATGCATACACAGCCAGAAAAAAAAGCTGGGGAATGTTTTACGACTCCATGACAACCATGTTTACGCTTGTTGCACTGACAGAAAAAAAAAGAGGTTTGTCCCTGAATTATGGTCTGACACTTTGGAATCTACACAGTAGACGCAGTAAACCGCATCCTTTCCCCCAAAAGAAGAAAGAAAAAAAAAAGGGGGTGGTATAGTATGGATAACATGCATGTTTTGCTTCATGGGCTTATTAACATCTCATCATACATCAGGTTTTTTTTGAAAGAAAAAAGAAATCTTCTCTCCAAGGTTTGTATGACGGATTTCTTAAGCTTATATCATTATTGACTTGCCGAACATTTGACTCTCTGTACTATCGTGCATAAAATGCGTAACTTCAAAATAACTTGTGTGACAGTGGCAAATCAGTCTCCCAAAATAAAAAAAAAAGGGGGGGGGGGTTGGACAAAGGCATGACCACGAGGTGAAGGCTAAAATAACTTCTTTTATAAATATTGTTGACCGTCAGTGCGTCAAGAGAGTATCAGGTGGATGCACATGGGTTATGAAGCTAACAAGAATTATACCTGCTTGACCATAAATGCTACGTCATATCGCTGTCGTTTTTTAGCTTGAAAGAATTAAAATGATGTATTGATACCTGTTTGTTATAACTCTTGATGGGTTAGAAAATCATTATTCAGACTGGGGACGAAAAAAGAAAGTTTAATTGTCTGTTACAAAACGTTTTTTATTTGTTACAGCGCCCCTCAGTGAGGGAGTCTGGAACAGACGATAGAGATGTCAATAAAAAACGTCATGTTTTCTAAGGCAAAAAAAAAAAAAAAAAAAAAAAAAAAAAAAGTACAGTGGGGGTCTCTCTCATAAAGATGCAGATGTAACTCTTTTTTTTTTATTTTTTTTTTATTTTGGTAAAGCTTGATAAATTCTTCATGAAAAAAATGAAATAAAAAAATAAGGGTAATAAAGCTGACCAGATTTATATAAAATAAAACTGAACGCCGCTGCCGCTGCCCGTTGTTATGAGTAACACAACCAAAATGTTGCCTGATCTTTTGACGCATTTCATATCCGTTCGTTCCGTTTTTGTTAAAAAGGTTGTCAAATACCGCCGCCTCCCCCCAATGCATATGAGGGAGGTTTTCCCCCAAAAAAAGACAAAAAACTTATTGAGATCTGCAGTCCAATTTATATGAAATGATTGTTTTATTAAAAATGATGCATAATTGACATTTAATAGGATGAGCTTGATAAGAGTTTTTTTTATTATTATAATAAAGAAAGAAATGTGGTATAATCAAGCTGTTGTTACATGGATTCAGCGAATAAAACCTTCTCTTTTTTTTATTTTTGTGTGTGTATGTACAGTTTAGATATATATATGTATATATTTTTAAGGTTGTGCTGTATCGAGGGTAGTCAACCATTCTTCAGAGATGACTGGAATGATGTGTTGTTCGTCCGTCTGATTTTCTCCAAATGAGATCATGTGAGTTGTAGGCACGGAGAATGGCAACATGAATTTAGTATCCCTTGTCTCTTTACTATCTCCTTCCTCATTGTCATGTTCATGTTTGTGTCTGGCAATATCTTCTGCGCATTGCATGGCGTATTTTTCAATTTCGTCTGGTATACGTACTTCATTGACTTCATAACGATAGGACAGGATACATCGTTTTACTTGCGCAGAGTTGAGTGTATCGAATGATTTAGTGGTATTGATAAATTCGGCCAGGTCGGTGAGATGTGTGATGCATTGCAAGAGCTGAAGCAGCTGAATGATGGGGTTGAGATAACTTAGTAAGTGATTGGGTAATCTCTGCAGTGAGATCCAATCCTCCAAGTGAGAAATGTTCATGCGCACCTGCATGGCTTTGGATCGACACAGTAATTTCTTGTTGGTCAGGATACGGTTGAATAATTCACATGAAATGAAATGAAAGAATTGTGCGAGGGCTTGGATGATGATGATTGGATGAACATCAAATGATCGTAACACCACCAAGGTGGAAGATAATAGTCGGGTTATCGATTGCGGTGTGATGGATGTAGGTTGTTCTGCAGATTTCCTTGAGCGAAAGAAACGATGCCATTCATCTGTAAAATCAACACCGTCTACCTTGATCTCTTCGTGTTCAAGCATGGCTGGATCGATGATTTTATGCAATCTCTTTTCTGTGTCACTAATGATCATGTTGTATATTTCTGATATTAATTCAGAGATTTGTAATTGTTGCTGTGCAGTCACTACAACGAGACCGGAATCTTTCTTGAGATAGAATAACAATCTGGTCAGGTTGTTGGTCCAAAAAGCAAGTGCGTGGATATTGCGAGCGTTGATCTAAAAATTTAAATTGGTTTTGTTACATTTCATATATTTAAGCTTTTTTTTTTTTTTTTTTTTTTTTTGGGTTCTTGTTGTTACCTTGATGGTAGCACTAATTCTGTTTAATGCACCTTCTAATACTTGGTAAAGTAATTCGGCACTAGAGAAATAATGAGCGAATCGAGCGCTCAAGAAAATAACGTTGGAGGGAACATGAATATCTTGTTGATCGTTCAATGGAAATTCAACCATGTTGATGACTCGATCCAAAATACCGTCCAAATCATTAGAATTGAATACAAACATTTGGTCTGGTCTACATGTATCCCAATGAAACGCATTGTCTGGAATATCCTCTTCCTCTCTTTCTTGTTCATTCTCTTCATCCGACTCATTTTCCTCGTCGTCATTGTCGTAGTCATTGGCCAATGCCATAGTATCTTCAAATAGCTTTTTACGTAATTCAGCATCTTGTGGACTTTCATCATGTGTATGGTAATAATAATCATTGTCAGTACTGTTGGACGAGACACTACCGGTTGTTCTATAAAATAAACTAGAGGTGGAGGATACACTATCACGAGGGTTGATGGCCAATATATCGACCAACTTTTGATTTTCAGTATTGACAAAATCAAAGACGGTTCTTCCTTTTGCGGATCGTGTTGTTGCAGAAGCGCCTGCATCCATTAAAATCTTGACAAGCTGTTCATGGCCATTATTAGTAGCCCACATTAAAGCAGACCAGCCGACTATAATTTTTAATTAATTTCTGTGAAACGGAAAAGTGGAAAAAAAAGAGGTACTTACAACTATCTTGTACATCTATATGTGCTCCATATTGGATCAAGAGTTTAGCCATCTCGGTCTTTCCGAAACATGCAGCATAAATGAGTGGAGGTGTGCCATCATTATCACCGGCATTAATATCGATGGACGACCGGATAGTTTCATCCGATAACATTTCTCTGACCTTTTCCACGTTGCCACTAGACGCTGTACGTGTGAAAAGTCTATTGTGGTTGATTTCTTCTCCCTCATCTGCAGGTTGGAAAGTAATGGGTTCAATCTCGATGGAGCTTGTAGACAAGGTCGAACTAGTGGTTGAACTCAGCATGGCAGATATTTGTCGATTGCTTTCTGCCATGTGCTGTGACATTTCCTCAAAGGACATGTCTTCATACTTGTTCTTGACGGGTTCTTGTGCTAATAAGGTCGTGGCTATAAATCCTGTCATTGGATACGTGTATAAATAAAAATAATAAAAAATAAAAAAAGTGTAAATAAAAGAGAGAGAGAGAAAGAAAGAGAAAGAAAATAATATATATTTATAGTTCATTGAATAACATTTAAGTCACCTTTTTAGGACTTTAATGTGATTGGGTGGAATAAACTCCAACACGAGTGTTCTGAAAAAAGCAATGGCACCCCTCTCCTCCCCTTCTTTTTTATTATTATTAATATTATTGTGTATAGAAAGAGATGGGGATAAATGTGCTCGAATTTTGTACACCTCCAGTGCCTGGAGAACGCCATGAATTCTATGGCAATGCGCATAATGAGTTTATAAAGTTACCAGTAGCCATTCCTCATTCTGCCATTCAAAAGACCGTGGCGACCAACAACTCACTTC